AAGAAGATGAAGTAACAGAAAAAAAATATATTTTTCTGAAGATATATTAAAATATTTGGGATCTGACAAAATAAAGCGGGAATGTAGTGTGATCATCAATAATATATCACTTTTGGGAGGATTTAGACTGAATTGAAGTATGTTTGAATTGAAAAACACAGTGCCTGAATGTCTAGGAAGAAATTGTAGGAAGATTAGACTGTTTGGTGTCAAATATTGCTTGATCAAAACAAGTTGGATCGACTCTCTTTGAAAGATACAATAAATTGATTTAAAACTTTGAAACAAGATCTTCAGATGACTCTTTCAAGACACACATTTGATCAGGTTTGTTAAAGACTAGCTCTAGATTCTTACTAAGTTCGATCTAAGTTTACTGTAGATTTGTTCTAGACAACAGACTAGTCGAGGTTCGATTGCAGAAAGTTTGGTTTAGGGGCAGATTCTAATAGCTATCTTGTGTACTGTTCCTTATCCTAGATGCTGATTGGTCAAGAAAGCGTTACCTGATCTTGAGTAATTTTTCCGTTGTTTAATTTAACAACCTAATAATATTTTCAAAATCAAGAAATTTAAAACAATTAAGTTACAAAAAATAAAGGTGAAAATAATAAGATTACCTTAAACTTACTCTTTTCCACCAACCCCCCATATGCATACTTACATTTCAATATTGCTGCCTCAATTCCACAATCAACTGACAATTTTTTTCTAAATCTCAAAACTCATAAATTGAAATCAAAGAAACAATTTTCTTCTTTTTGACTCATTCATACAAATCTATTTTATCCATCTAAAACATCTCTTCAATACACATTCATATTCCATATTTGTTTAACAATGACAGAATGTCTGACGGTAAAAGAAAAAAAAAGTATTTTTATGATGAGTAATAAATTTTTTTTTCATTGGCTCTTTCTCCTTGTTCATTTCACGATCTTGAGTGGCAATCAAAATTGATTTGAATTACAGGCAAATTAAAGTTAATATTTAGAGTTATTTTTGGTATTTCAATCGAGCTAATCTGATTAAATTACAAAATGACTGACTTTTTATTGAAATTGATGTAAATAATCAATTTTGAAATATTTTGAGGTGGCATTCGAACTTTTTTTGCAGCGATTGATAGATGATCAGAGAGTATTTTGAGGGTTTCAGGATACAGTGAGATTGAGTTGACGATTGTGGAGTTAAAAATTTGGTTACCATTTGATCAATTCGTCAAGGTACAAAAATCTTACAAACTTAACGTATTTTTAAAATTTAAATTTCATTAATTCTGTAATTTTTTGCATGAATTTACTACAGTTTGTTTTAAAAATTCAAAGAGTAAGCGTTGATAAAATTAATTTTAAATTAAAACCTTAAAGAAGATTCTGATGTATAGAACTACTTCAACTAATGCAACTTATGAACTTCCTCAACAACATGCAGTAAGTAATTGAAATAGCATAGAACACAAGAAAATACAAATTGAAATCCTTAAAAAACAATCAGTTCTATTTTGCTCCTTAAAACAATAGAAAATGCACAAATTGATTAGATTCAGAAGTTCATCAGTCAACAATAATTGACAGAATGCCTATAAATACATAATCATTTAGAAAAGAGACAAAAGAAAGCCAAGCAATGCAACGGGGGTACAAACATAAACTTGATTAAGTTCCAAAACAATAAAATAAACTGTTGATTTTCACTTGCTGCGATGAGCTCTTTTCTCTCAATAAATACAAAAGAAAAAATTATTTCATTTTTATTTTGAATTGTAAAAAAAAGAACAGCAGAAGCGACTTAAAATGAAATGTTTTAAATGTATGTAAAGTTGAGAGACAAATATATATGTAAGGCAATAATAAAAATATGAATGTTTATCAATTTTTATATATAGATATTAATGTATGAAAACATGTATGTATATCCATAGAAATGTTGCAACAGTTTGTTTATTATTATATTGTTGTTCCATAGACACATTCATTGAATGAATTGAAAGAAAAAAAGTGAGTGAGAGAGAAAAGTGTTTATTGTGGCTGAATAATACACTGAAAGTGTATTTATATAAATAGAGAGAGGAGCACATTGAACAAGATTTTTTTTGATACAAATCTCGGTTTATACTTTATACTTTTGATTGTTGATGATTCTTTTATTATTCATCGCTTTTCAATAATGCTGAAATTCTATTATTTATTGTAGCAAAATATCTATGCTAGACTTTAAGGTGCATTACTCCATCTCACTCACTCACAAAATTTTATCACTCTTTATTTAAAAAGGAAGAAAAATCGATAAATAAGCCACTTTTTTCCTTCAATGAAATTTCGTTTCCTTTTGTGTGTAGTATTTTTGTTATGTTTTGTAAAGAAATGATTTTTCTTTTGACTATTCAAAAAAAAGGGAAGTTTTTCATTCATTCAGTCGCTTACTCTCTCTTTCTCTCTCACTTTTATTTATATTTAAAATGAAAACATTCGGCCTTGAACTTTGAACTTACTTATTTCTTTATTCTCTTATTTTTTCATACTCTTTTTAACATTCATAAAAGCATATTATTATCTTTATTATATTTTAATGTTAGATATAGAAATCATTATATGCATAAAAGCTCATTCTCAATTCCTTTTGTGCTCTTTGCTTTTGCTCTTTTCCTCTTCCTTTGCTTGCTGACTTTTCATTGACGACATAATAATGAAAAAGTCCAGTGGTAAGCAATGTTGTCGTATCAGATATATCTGATATTCTTTGACTATAATGAAAGTAGGCTAGGGATGGAAACAGATACAATTTTGATTTCCTTAATTAACCTTTTTTAATTCTAGAGTATAATTAAACTGAATTTTATAGAGTCAATCTAGTGTGGAATTGAGCATTTTGTATTAAAACTCTAAAATACTAATGAGCAATAAAAGCTTAAGATCTAGGAGTAAGGCACAGTAAGTTCGATTCCTTTCCAAGATAAATTGTAGAAAAAACTTTAAAGTATGCTATAGATTATAAGTTCAAATGGTAAAAATTGACCTTAGTAGCTTTAGAACTCTAGATACATTCATACTCATTCACTGTTAAGTTCCAAACCTTAATCAACTCCAATAAATTTGCAAAGCATCACAAAAGCAAAATTTAAAGACTCCCAAAATAGCAAATAAAAAATAAATTTAAAGCCTCAATTTGACCTCCATTAATGCGGAGAGGAGAAAAAATTTATATTCAAAAAAATAAAAAAAAAATGTGTGAAAATGCGAAATTGTCGTGACGATTTACAGAAACAAAAAAAAAATAAAATAAAATAAAGAATGTTAGATTGTGAAACTCATTCAACTCACATAACACATTTTATTGTATTGTTTCCTGCAATAAAATTCTCTTGATGGAAATTTTTTTATTTCGTACGAAAAAAAAATGACGAAACAATTTTTTTAAGTAAAGTTATTTCATCTACAGCTGCCTGCCGTCCATCAAATAAATGATATGAAAGAAAAATATAAAAAAAATTAAGTGTAAGTAACTAATGCGTATGCGACAAGCAAGAACGAGAGACATTTGAAGTGTGAGTAAGTGTCAAATCTAATGCTGACATGGCAGTGGAGACCATCAACGCTCCGATTGAGGACAAGAAGGAGGAAAAGGAACCATAAAGTAGCGAAAGATGCGTATCTTTTCATGACAAGTCATCAATCATCAGCACAGCAAAAAAAAAGTTCTTTTCGGCATTAAAAAAGAAGTAGTAAAAAAAAGTTATGATAAACGGCATTTCTCGGTGCCATACTAGAGATGTAGAATAATTTGCGTGTCATACAGCGACGACGAAAAGAAATAAAAGAAAACATTTAAAATAATTTTCTGTCACTATTAGATGCTACTTATGCATACACATCAGAAATGAAAAATGCGAAACAAAGTCTGACAACCTCGCAAATTTGAGAAATTCGAGCGAGAGAGCAAAAAAAAAGAAAAAATTTCCGTCGATAAAAAATAATTTTTTTATCAGCCATTTTTGTATTTTTATAGGTTGAATAGCCCATGCATAATGACGCAGACTCCACTAGAGTGAGAGAAGTGAACGTTTTCACACAACTACAAGTATTTATGCTGTCGAAAACATTTTCATCTCCCCCACTTGACGACACAGCGCAAAAGCAGAAAGACAAATCTACAGTCTCGTACACATGCAGAGAGTATTAAATATACGCGAAGGAGAAGTCAAAAGAAAAAGAAGCGAAAGAAGAACTTTGCGCGTCGTTTAAAAATATATACATAAGACGTAAGTATTCATCTCCATTTTGATGCACATTTGTGTGGGTGCAGAAAGACTGTAAATTGCGCAGAGAATATTTGCTTCAGACTTTTTATTCTGCAAAGATATTTATTTATTTATTTATTTATTTTTTCTTCTTCTTCCTTCATGCCTGCTTTTTTTTCGATTAAATGGAAAACTTTTTCTCCCCTTTTTTTTAGTTGAGATTAGTTTATAGGTACCTAGAAATAATATATCATGATGTTGTATGATGATGGAAAAAAGGGGGAAATGAGATGATGCGGTATGAAGAAAAAGAAGAAGTTTCGATGAGGATAAATAAGTAAGTAAGTAAATACACACATCCTTACTATAGCTGCACATTATTTCGTGTTACTATGCGTGTTTCTGAAAGCTATATTATGGTCGATCATCGTGTATGGATATTTAGACTACTTGCCATGTAATTTATTATTATTATATTTATTTTTTGAGTAGGAAGAAGGAATGATGGGCTCATCGACAATTCTCGCCCATTTACTGCGAACGTATGTATATACTTTGGAGTGTATGTGATGGTTTTCCTTCCCTTAATTCACTTCACATTTTTGCTTTTGCTCGTTTGCTCGAGAAAATTGCTAAAAACATTGGCAACAACAACAACAACAGCTCTCATGTAGATGAATGAGTTTGTTATGGCTGAAGCGCTTTTTTTAAGATCTGAGTTCTTCTGACTCCTAGCTTCATTTCTACTCAACTTACAAACCTATTCTTAGCCACTAATCTACTCTTAGCTACAAACATACTACTTGCAATGAACCTGTTAGAGCTAAATCTAAGTATCAAACCAAGACCAAACTGCCTTAGAGAAAACTATAATTTTAATAGCGCTTAACGCATCCTTAAACTTCAGAAAAACCTCCACAAAAAAAATCCCAATTTCTCAAAATATTTTGCTAAAAATTCAATCGCTTTCAAAGAATGAGGCAGCAAGTAAATGGAAAGAGACGAAAAAAAATTCAATCAATAATTTATGTAATCATATCAAAAAAAAGTTATTAATTTTTCGGGTGGCTTCAATATTAAATGTGGGTGTTTTGTCGTCCTCGAGAATACATAAACATACTTACAGGCAATCTATATGGAAGTATTGTGGTGGAATGAGAGGAAATGAAAACTCTTAAGGCATTGCCTCGTGTTGATAAGGCCTATTGATGGCTAAAGTTTGATACATTTTTGCCAGTGGATTGATTTTTTATGCCATGTCATTTTCCTCAAATTTCTATGTGGATGAATGGATGGTGGAATCTTATAATAAACAACGATAAGCATTTTCTACTTTGGAACTTGAAAAATTTCCTCATTTATTCTATTCATTATGTCAGTAAGCGCCAAGCAACGCCAAAAAATTATTATTTCAAACCCACACGCGATTCACTCGATGAATTTCATTCACAAGCGACTTACTTTTCGTCAAACAAAGTTCAAACTTTTTAACTCAATTTATTTATGAGATTTTTCGAGGAATAAAAGAATTTTAAACAATTTTTTTTATATTGGTTCGGTTTATGATGATTTTCATCACCCCATCTACAAATCTGAGTAATTTTCATTCATAAAATTTTTCCTCTCTCACTCCACATCCACATTCACGACAATATTTCGAACAAATAAAAGCTCAATTCAAATGCAAATGATTTACCTATTTACCTATATATTCGCTAAACAATTTTTTTTGTGTCGTGTCGACGATGTATATGGAATAAAAAAAGAGTCACTGTTGACATTCAATTTTTTGTTTGTTTGCTGCAGGGTTGTTCGGTGTGCAACTTAAAATGCAGTTTTTTGGGGTTAATATTTTAGGGTTTTATGAGGGTTTGATGTATAGTTATGGCAGCTATCAAAGCTACACATTAGATTTGAGACATCTATTTACTTACTTCTACGATAGTAATAAGCTAATATTAAAACAAGGAAGTGAGAAAGAAGTAGATGCTTGAATATTGGAGCTCAAACTTAAAAAAAGTTTTGCGAACTTATTACCAAGCGCTTTTTGAAGTGAGAAGTCTAGAACCTTACATAAATAAGTAAATGAATAATCCTTCAAAAGGATTCGATTCCACGGATGTTCTCAAACATCTAATCATACTGAGTTTCCAAACAATCATCCATTAAGTCGTAGATAAAACGAAGAAATTCAACAGCATTAGCCTAATTCTCTATTAAGCTCTTTCAGCACCTAGTACAAGTATTCTTTTGAGTTACATTCAAAAACATATTTTCATTCTAACAGTCCTTCATTCATGACTATAATTCTTTCAAATACGCTTCACTACGAGTTACGCATTAGCCTACGTCAATCAATTATTCAAACCTTAATAGTTACATAAAGCTCCCACCCAAAAAAAAAAAATAATCGTCAACCCTGATTTGTTTATTTAGCTGTTGCTGGCTCATTCAAAACTTTTTTTTTCATGTGATGCTATAGCAATCATATTTGCCAAGTTTTTATCTCATTTCCATCATCATCAATAAATAAAATGCTTATTTAACCAAAGCATCATTTGTATTGAATTGATGCAAAAATGAAAGTAAAAGTTTGTTTCCCTTCTTTCTACTCTCTCTTTCTCATCCAGCACAATGAATGCAGATATTTCCATCATAATCATTCTGATAAATGCGACAAAAGCTCAATAGATGATTGTTGAATTGTGTGAAGCTTTCAACGCTTTTTCAATGATTCTTTGAAATGATAATCTGAATGAGTTTTTTTTTTTCATTGTATATTGCGTACTTTATTGTGTCACGATACTTATGTATTTGCTTCTGCTTCCATGTTTAATATTTTACTCTATGATTGTAAAACCCTTCATTGATATCAAGCTGATTGAATGGAAAAACATTAAAATTCTTGTGAAAATTTATGAATTTGTGACTTCTTTGATGTTTGTCTACAATTCTTGAGTTTACAATTCTCAAATTTGTAATTATTAAACATTTAAGGTTCATTAACTTTATCAAAATTTTAAAGCTTTAAAAATTATAGAAACATTTTAACCATTACTATATATGTTTCGCAATGAAGTCTTATTAAATCAATTAACTTTTTATTTCTAATTCTTGAAAATTAAAGATTTTTAAAAATTTGATGATAAAGTCTCACCTGAAAAGATTTCGATAAAATAATTTTTTATAGAGTTTTAGATAACAGTCAAATTTTTGACAACTTAATATTGATTGAGAGACTAAAACAAAGATTTGGAATTGATAAATTGATCATAATTGATCAAAACTCGATAAGAGGAATTGTTTTTTATTGATAAAATCTGAAATAATTTTCATTGATTGAGTTGGATTCGCATCCATAGAAATTCTATAATCGTACATGAAATGCTAATATTAAAAATTTAAAGAACTATCTTACATTAAAAAAGCATTTCCTTATTTTGAAGAACTTATGAAACAATTGTGACCAAAAGCTTTAAATACTTTCAACTTTGGCTGGATGTTTTGCTAGCTATAGAAAACAATCCAATAAAACCTTCCATTTTGGTATATTTCAATCTTTGAGTTCAATTCATTCAATCTTATAAGATAGTAACAAACTGAAATCACACATCTTCAAAGGTGAAATTGCTTTATGGTGAATTCAGGAAAATATGTTGCACGATTCCAATTTAGTTCATTTACTTTTCAAAAGATGGCGCTTTCTAAAAATCTTAATGCGAATACACAGAAATGTAAACTTCTATCCGTTCCATCTGATCAATCTCGAATGTATTTACATTGACATTTTTTAACTCTAATGAACACATTATAAAATATTAAAATATCAAGGAAATAGAATATCTAAATAGAAAAACTGTAAAATAATAGATCAGCATTGAACTGACTGCAATACTCCTTTTTTTAGCAAAATCAGAATTTTAATCAAAACAGGAAGAAGACGATGAAGAGAAAAACGAAAAATTTGCGTGAGAAAATTCATTGAACCCGATAAATCATTCGAGAAACCTGAAATCAGACGCTGCGAGAAAATCTTATAAAAAGTACTTTGCCCTTCTGATATCAAATTACAATTATTATAGTCGCGGCGATCGCAGACTCAATGCTAAATTAAAACCACGTGCTATTCACTCAGAAGATCTCTCATATTTCTCAAAAACTTTAAACATTTCAAGTTGTATGATCAGCGTCTTCTTCTTTTTGCCCAACTCATATGTTTAAGCTATTCCTAACGCAACGCAGAGAACATTTTTTTGTTATCTTTCATTATATCACCAGTCAGTTCCATATGTTTTACTCACTCAAGTTACGCTCACGTTTCTCTTCTTATTCTCTTCTCAATTTTTCAGATATTTTAAAGGCAATTTTTGAGCGGTGCCATTGTCAGTGTATTTTTACAAATGTAGCCATCAAGTTGATCGCGCATCTATTTTTTTGTTTCCTTACTTTTGTTGCTCTTCGCCATTAAGCGAATCACAAGAATTTTATCACAATTTTCTCTAATAGATGCAAAATTTTGTTTAATCTTACTCAAAAAATTAATGTTTATTATTTCTTAGTGATTTACATGATTGATAATATTGGAAGTGATTTTGTTATAAAATTTGGTGAGTATTTGCTATATTTGTATTGTGATCTATTGAACTTAGTACAAAAATAGGTCTCGGCAATGAAAAAAAAGTAGATCAATGCGAAATAATATTAAAATAGGCGTCGTATGGACGACTTTTTATCGCGATTGATCGAGTAATACATAAAATGCAAACTTCCTAGAATTTAATTTCGATAAGAGTTCAATGAAATTTGAGAGAATAAGTGAGAAAGAGAGGATAAAAATGAATTCTTTTATTGGGAACATGAATCTTAAGAAAAATTATGTTGAGGTTGTAGATCCGGCGACATATATGTGTGATGCAACACACGTATCTTGTATTTATCATGCGTAGATCCAACTTTATACTGACACAAATTTTTTGAGATGAAAAATCTCATTTATAAAAGAACAAGAAGAAGGCAACTCCTCGAAAGAGACAAATTGTGTCGCCGCATGTTTAGAAATGTCTAGAAACTAGAAAATTATGTGTGAAATTTGTAGCTAACTCAATTTTGATGATATTAAAGAATTAAATTCTGCTTACATTACGATTTCCGATATTTCTGTAATTTGTCACCGATCGTGCTCATGTATAATCGCTTCCACGTGTGCATAAAAAGGTGATTCGCTCATTTGAATATTTTTGTTATTTTTTCGCAAACACACAAACGCAGAGACAATATGAAAAGTCTTTGAAGAATCTATTATTCATTTATAATGCTATGGACGATAGATGTGAGCGTGATCAGAGTTCAATTATTAACAACCAGTATTTACCGCTGATTTTCATTTTATTTTACATTAAAAAACGAAAGTTTATTGCAAATAAAAAAAGACATGAAACAAAAAGTTTCTCCTGCGGAACAAATTATTATGTATTATTAGACATCATTTGCTTCCAAAAAAAAAACCGAAAAACACAAAAGTCAGTTGGGAAAGATAGCAGCAGTAAAATTTGGGAAGGATTTATAAGTTGTTGTTTGAAGCGCAATTTCAATAATATTTAGAACTAGTTCTGGCTTTTTGAATCTCCGATCTGCATACATGACATGTTGTCCACATGACAGCTAAGCCAATAGTATACCTAAAATCAAGAAGCAACTGTTAAACATAAAAGGCAATGGTTTAAGATAGGCTTTAAGATAGAAACTTCACAGTAATTTTGCAAAATTATTATCAGAGACAATATGCATCAACAACTCTCTCATTCTTCAAACATTGCTAAGTATCCCTAAACTACCTGCATCCAAAAAGGACTCTCTCAACAAACACAAACAAGTTAAACCAGAACAATTAAATAAACAGCAACTGAATGCTTCAAAACTCACCCCTGATAACTTAAGTAACATCATTAAAGTTATGAAATCGCCAGTAACATCATATGACAGTCATAAGGTGATACATTTTCATTGTTTTGTGAAAGTTTTGCAAACATTTTTTTCAACTGTGATCTTTTTTTGTTGTAAAACATCAGTGACTGCATTAAAAGATAAAATAAACATAGCTATTTCCTTCCCAGGTGATAATTACGATCTTGTTGAAATTAAAAAAGTATAGGCGCAAATTTTTATTGCCATTTTCATTATCTTGCGACATACATGTCGTTTATCATTGACTTATTGGAACCGAAAAAAGTGATAATTGATGAAACATTTTGAGTGGAAATTCCGTAAATTGAAAACTGTTTGCTTGTAAGTCTAAAAATTTGTTTTAACACGATTGAATAAACATTATCTTGTGCTTGAATAATGAGAATTAGGTGATTCATCAATTTGCATGCATTTAATCATAAACAATTTTTCTAGCTAATCTGATATCATTTGGACACATCAACAAATGTTTATTATTTTTGTGTGATTTTCGGTGATTTTTTCCTAAATCATCACTTTCCATTACATACATACGTCGCAATAATATATCACTGATGTTATTCCAATATATGCTAAATGGAAAAATAAAGTGATTTAATTTTTTTTTTTGAAAAACACAAGTCGTCGACTACAACTCAGAATATTGAGGGCTCGTAAAGAAACTTTTTATTGTTTTTTTGCTGCGTAATAAGTGTGAAAAGAAGAACTTGGTTGGCGCAGTAGATAAGTGGTTAATTTACGACCTTAAAGTTTGAGGTTTAAGTTGTTATTTGGAAGTGTTGCTAAGTGATCAATTCAGCATTACTAAGTCAAGACTAGATCATTGAATATTGCAAAGACATTGGCTGGATGTTAGTTGATTCTATTTAAATAACATCATAAAACAGACTATTAATTATCAAGAATTAATGTAAGCATGTCTAAGACATTACTGCGTTCAGATCTAGAATAGGTGAACATTTAGGTTAAGACTTAGTCAAGCCTACGTCAATCAGAGAAAAGTTTGTTTTTGTGCCAAAAAAGTCTTTAAGTCAAGGTTTTAAAATAAGTTATTATCATATAATCAGGGAAGCTTTCCTCCTGTGATTTATCCTAATCTGATGCCATAAAAAGATAAAATGTCATCCAATCAATTGCTAAATGCTGAATCACAGGTAAAAAATCTTTTATTCTAAGAATCAATTCTTAATGGATTTCCAAAGAAGTTGTGAGACAAAAAATTAGAGCAATTGCTTTCAATTCTCGGAATAACGATCACATACTGCGCAATAATCCACATGTATTTCCTCCAAATTTCTAAGAACATGTAGAATCTCATTCAATGAAATCGTATTGTTGTCTGTATTATTCATGAAACAAACAGTCCTATAAATCCTCCAATATCAACAGATCTGGTAGTTTACATTTCAAATCATCTTCACGAAGTTTTTATCACTTCATTATCTCCATCCGCAATGTTTTCTTAAACAATTTTCGTTACTTATGTCTTTTTATTGAGAATGCCATTGTACTAGCGGGTCAATGGAAAGTTTCACAAAAATGACATTGTCAGTCAGAGGTGCTTACATTATCCTTAATGTTTTGTATTTTTGAACGAGATTATCTCCATAAAATTGACTTTATCAGGAATACAGTATATTGGAGATAATTTGCATAATTCATTGACTTGCTAATATGAGAAGAGGATCAATGAGGAAGGCAATAAAAGTATTCAGTATGTTAAGGGGCTTTCACAAGTAAGTGTATCTGTTGAGTTTGAGCTTAGTTAAGTTTAAATTTTGTAGATGAAAATCGCACAAGTAGCTATGGATGGAAGATTTTATGTTATAGAAGGTATTGAATTAATTTTAAATGTTGGTGAAGCTTCAAAGACAACTTGTGGTTATCGAGTAAGAAACAGATGACGTTCAAGTGATAATCTGTAGTTTACATGCAGAAACGTCAGCTTTTGAAGTCAATAAATAGACAAACTGGTTTTATTTTCAAAAAAAGAACCAAAACCTTGTTAATTGAATTATTGAATAGAATCCAACTCGAATCAAGAATAAAGAAGGTCGAAATTTTATTTCTAATTGAGAAACTAGTCAATATTGTCCAAACTCAAATAATAGTCTTTAGAAACACCGAACATAAAAGCAGAATATAAGTTAAAGATAATAATTGTTATTGTGAGGAATCAATGTTATTTATTGCTAATTAGATTCTAGTTCAGCTTCAAACAGTAACTCTTGATCTATTAAAATAACAATCTAGTGATGAAATTCACCATTTTTAGGTCAATAACACAAGAAGATCAGAAGCTATTAAGTAGCACACCTCTGACTTTACCCAGAATCAACATAAAAATCTGCGAATTTTCACTTCCGACTCTCAGACATTAGTGATAATTTCTCTTGAAAAACTTTCTAGCAACAGATTTAAAAATAACACACGATTTATAGTGTCGTGATAATACACAGCAAAATTTAGATTGTAAAACCTTCAAATTAGCAACGACTCACTTATTAAAATGCAATGATTATCATTATTTTGTTGTTTACTATTCATTATTCGCGGTGTCAGCCTTTGAAGCCTCATTGCTTATCGAACTCGTTTATGAAAGTTCACTTGCTAATTCCTTGAAATTTTTCCATCAATTTCTTCTCTTTCTCACTATCACAGCCTTAATTATGAAAATGTGAAATAAGTCGTGCAAGAAACATTGAGCGGCATTTGAGACAGTAATTCGATCATCTTGTTACTATGTACTTTATTTTATTCACACACATAATTTTATTGCTTTTTATACTCAAATTTTTAATTTCGTTTCTTTTTATTTGTGAATTTTTCAGGGTTCCACGTTTAAAAAACTGAGTAAAATTTTCATTTGATCGGCTGTAAGCAGCAACAAAAGAACAACCAAAACAATCCACATCTTTCAATGGGGTGAAGACGTTTTTGAGAAACTTCCGTCGTCGTGATAGAGAAACAATTAAGCAATATTAAGAATAAAGCTTTTGGAGAAATTCAACACAATTGATTTTCACCAGCATCATAAGGTGAGTAGTCAGGATTTATGAATAATGTAAACACTTTTGAGTTCCTCGTATATCAATTTTTCAGTCAATCAATCATATAATTATTTATGTTAGTAATTAAATCAACTTAAGTATTCGCTGAATTTTAATTACTTTGATGATCACATGATATATTATATTTAGACTACCTACTGATGATATTTTAAAAACCATATGAAGATCTCCAAGGGATGTAGATCGGTGTTGTTTGCATGATATTGCAATTTTTTGCTTGGTCATCTGAACTGGATTATTGGAATTATTTTGAATTCGATTCTTATTCATGCATTAGCTAATAGGATGCTTAAGCTTAGGATTCATTATTATTATTTATTTGTCGACGTTACCGTCCGGAAGAATTAGTATTTATACATGTTTTACTTTTTACATTGATTAGTGATACATTTCATATCACTATGGGTGACGGAAAATCAAGCTTCTAATCTTCAAATCTAGGTTTCGATTAAATTCAGGCTCTCGTTTCAATCTTCTGTGGGCGTGACGTGATACATTTCAGGTCCGTTCTGACAATATTCCATTATAAGGTAATCTTGTAGCTTTCGTTCCTTTTTCTCCCGCTACACTTCAAGTTCCTGACCCGTTCCTTAATCCAACGTTGCCCAAATGCCCAATTATGGCTTGATCTCTTACATTAAGCAGTCGAAGTATCTAAACTGCCGAAAAAGAACAAATTTGGAAATGGCTGGATTCCAACCGACGACCTTCTAGTTACCATACCAAATTTGAGACAGGCGCCTTACCTATTCGACCAGCAAGGCACTTAACTGCTTCAGGACGTATTCAGAGCCACTCTCATGTAATCCATAACTAAGAGCTTTTATAAATTGCATAGATTATCGAATGTTTGAAGATTGTACTAATATTATAGCAATAAGATCAAAATAAAACTAGGAGGAGGGAGCGGGGTAAACAACATGATGAGGAAAGGTTTTGATATAAATTTTGCAATCAATTTTCTTCAGAACAACGAAAAATTTTTATCGGGAACAATAGAACTATTTATTCGGTATCCATGCCTTTATTATCAATTTGAATTGAAACAGGTACTGAGGGTCCTCGATTTAAGTAGGTGTTTTGTTCCAGAAAAATCCTGTTCAAATCGAATCTGCTCAAATCGAGGACCCAAAGGATGGAGAGCACTTATGAGTATAGGTTATGGAATATACTAGTCTTGTTTATTAATTCTTCAAAAATTAAAACCCAAACTTTCAGAATAATCCTTAATTAAAAATCTTAGTTTAGACTCGAAATTCTGAAAATCCCAAAAAGGCAACATCAACGAGCATCACTCCACATCCCTTGGTTAAAATATTAATGGAAAATAATCGATTATTTTCCCCCCGAATGAAGGAGGAAAACAGTTCTTGAATATTTTTTTAATTATCTCCCATTTAATTCTATCCAATTACGATCTTATGACGATGATCATCGTCATTATTATTATTTTTATTTTATCTCGGAACAAATTTTTTTTCTTTCTTTTATTAAAAAGAAATGTTTACTCTCTACTTAGACGTTAAGGAAGATTAAAGCAAAATAGTTTGATTTCCTGGCGATTTTTTTAATAATAATAAAAATTATTAATCTTTTTTTTATAAAGGCGCAAATCTTTGAAAAGAACATCCAAACAGAAACAAGCTGAAAGTCATTAGAAAATAATTTCCAATGATTTTTTCCGTTCATCCCGATCTTAATTATAAGTAAGTTAGCGTCCGTACAGGATATCAAGGAATTGTAAGGAGAAGCATCACTTCATGTCTAAACCATATAAAAACGAGAGCAGAATGTTGCAAGCACTGGGTTCAAGCACAAACGCTAAAATTGCCTACATCATGTTTAGTGGCTGTTGTGTGCTTATAATTGGAACCTTCATTTTTGTAGCAAACTTTGAACGGTAAGAATAAGATTTTTCATTACCAAACGTGACTGCTTTATCGACGCTGTCTGTCTCTTTTTATTTCATTGATATTTTTATAGAATAACTTTTGACAATAGTTACGCTTATTGCGCGACAGCTTACTTCTCACCAAAGACAGGCTATCGTGTAGAATATTGGGGACAGAGGAATGATTTTGAAAGAATTGATACAGGCTGTGCTCGTGCATGTTACAAGGAACAAAAGTCAGACACTGGTTTATCATTTCTCGAAATTGAAACCCAAACTGGATATGCTGATCACAACCAAGCATATGCAGCAGGAATTCTAGAAGGTACACTCACGTGGATGAGCATTTATGCTCAATGGAAGAACACTATTCAATCATTTTGTGAAAAGGATGATACATCCGCAAAATTCTGTACATGGTTGAGAGCAATAATAGAAAGGAATCATGAAAACATCATCGATATTGCCAAAGACAAGCATAAAGAGTCAAAATATCAACATCAAATTTACCTCTTTTATCAACAACTTTATGGCATCGATAAAGGATTTAAACAAGGCGTGAAGCGTGCACGAAAAGATTTTGAAATTTCAACTGTTGACTTCTTGCTTTTAAATGCTCGAGTGGACATAGACGATCTTAAAATTTACTATAATAAGTATGTCGAAGAAGATGAAGCCAATTTTGTGGACATCCATGAAAATGTTGAGAAAATGATTATAAATCTTGTCAGCAACAGCGAAGGTCCAACAAAACTTAACATCGGTCATTCATCAGACGGCGAATACAGTTCAATGCTGAAAATAGTCAAGACATATCGCTTTAATTACCATCTAGGACCATCAATTGACTATATAAGCCATTTAGTCCCAAATACAGACATCACTTTTACAAGCTATCCTGGACTAATTGCCTCAACTGATGATTTCTATCTTGCTGAAGGTAAAAAGACTCGAATGATCATTGCCGGCATTAAAATGAAGTACAACCATCCAGCACAAATCCATGGCATTGATCTTGACAGTGCTGTTCTTATGTCAGTTCGTGTGATGGCGGCAAATCGATTAGCAAAGGATGGAAAATCGTGGGCAGAATATTTAGCACGTGATCCTGACATTGGAGCTAAACAATGGCTCTTTATAGATGAAAAACGTTTAAAGTACTTGCAACTTAATGATCAAAACAATGGTGATGATGAGGAAATAGTGACTTCATCTTCGACACTTAATGATGGACTTATAGGACATAAGGAGATTCCTTTAGATAATAGTGTGATGACTGAAAAAGAAAAATTAACATCCAAGGCGGAAGCTGTGAATGGTAAAAATATTATTTGGTTAATTGACAATACTTGGAAGAGATTACATGGAGAAGATGTAACAGCTAGACTTAAGAAGGATGCAGCATGGATTTGCGGTAAGTAATCTGACTTTGTAAACTTTTTGGCGTGTGGTCAATGATTTTATTTCATTTTTCTAGACGGAACACCTTACTTTAAAGTTATTCAAGAGCTTAATAAGATTGACGGAAAGGACTTAAAACTAAATGAGCAGGAAATGACTAACGGAGATGACATTGCATCAGTATTAAGACAACATGCTTATCGTGGTGATTTAATGGGATCTGAAGACGATGAAGCCATTGCATATGGAAACACTGATATTAAAACTTATTCAACTAGTGATCATCAGCTCAGCATTCAAAGTGGACCAGTCTTCACGCCACTTAACAGCAAAGAAGATCAGGCTGAAGAAAGCAATGAACTTATTGAGAAGATTGACTTCTTTGAATGGCAAAAATTCAGTGACATATCTCATGATGAACATCCAGAAGCATGGAACTTTCCAGCAGTTCATGTGCAATATATTTGGAACTGAACATACAATTCTAAAACATTTTGGACAATCAATTTTTGTAGCTCAATTCTTTTTCATAATAAAATTCTGACTCAAAACCTAGACTTTATGTTAAATATTTATTTGCTTCCTTTATTTTTTTTACAGTACTAACATTTTGATTCTTGGAGATTTGAGGATGCTTAAAAATTTATTTTTGTTTTGTTTGGAACCTTCTGTTACTTTTGTGAAGCATTTCATTGCGTACAATAATGTTGGATATTGTTATGATAACTATGCTATGTACAAATATTGAATTTTACTATACTTAAATGAATTTTGAATCCACCGAACAAAATAAAACATAAAAATAGAATTAAAATTAACATATCTATCACATTTTGTATGTATCTACGTTCTGTATACATTAACTGCAGTCTTGTAAATAAGTATAATGGATGCTGATCACTACGAAATTAGTAGAAAAATGTGGGTGGGTATCAAAAGTTGTCAATGTGAATTATTTCACTGATGATTGGAAATGCTGATGTGTTCGGACTTTCTTGCTTATCATTATTAATCTCAACAATTGTGTCATTTATAATTTCAACTGAGTCATTCAACTTGTTTTGAACTTTTTCGCCATCACCTGGGCAAACTACATCTGCAGCTGTTAAGTTTTCAACATTTTCTTTGTATATTTTCACTTTAAACGAGCTTATTCCTATATATTCGACACGTGTTTGATTCTCTATGGTTTCTTCATCATTATCTTTTGTTTCAGCTTTGGCTATACGTCGACATATGAAGCCTAACTGACTTGGGTGATTATCTGTCATGTGTTTGTTGATCTCATCTAGAAGTTATTAAAAAATAGTTGAAACTTAGTTTTTGTGGACAATCTTAAATAAGTTCAAGTGCGTAGCTTTCTGGGAAGCATTATAAACAAAGATACTTAGTTGCTGATTTTGGATCCTACTCACTATTATTGTCACTTCCATATTCACAATGCAAGCATTGATTGTTGCCTTCCTTATTTGTCGTATTTCTAGTTTGGTCCAACAACAAAAGTTGATAACAGATTTCATCAATGTGCTGTGACAGGCTTTGATTGTCTGATTCTTGCTTTAGATGATTCTTGTAGTTGTTTTTGTTGTAGAATTGCTTATCACATCCGGGAGCTGGTAACATTGAGATAAAAGAAAATTAAAATTAATGTCAAATCTAATGCTAATGTTACAATTAGCATGGCTTAGAAAGTTTGAGTTCAAACCGTTAATTGCATCCGATAATATGAACTCTACACTAAGAATGACCTTAAACACAATAAGTTATTCATACGCATACTCACTTTTACAAACATATGGATGCACAAACTTCCTGCGATTCACACTCTCCAGTCCCTCTTGAACTTTAATTCTCATACTTTTCATTAAAATTTGCGTCGGAGACTTCAGAATTTTGCAACTCGAACAAGTATGAAACCTTTTTTGATGCCATTCAACGTAAGCTTTCTCAGACGCCCGGTACATGCACATATTGCATTGATATCTGTCATACATGTGGTTACTCTCTATGTGCTCAAATAGCTCTTGACTGGTTGAACTGTTATAAAGGCAAAATGAACAGAAATTGTGTCCGTCATCGTAAGACTCAGTGTGTGTCTTGTATTTCTCAAAATCTGTTGTAAAGAAGCTGCATTTCTGTTTCATACATTTAAAAGTAGAAAATTTAGTCTGTTCTTCTTGAAAAGTGTCTACAGCTTTTCTTGACTTTTGAACTAATTTAGTAATGCCTGTATCTATCCACGGATATAATTGCTCTAATGTAATTAATTCATTTTCATCTTCTTGCTGTGATATCGACATGACATCGTCAATTACGAAAGATAAGCTTGTTTTTTTTATTTCTGTAGATTTTTTTACTGTATCTGTGGCTTCTATCGAGAGGTCAGTCAAGGTTTTATTACAGAGGTTTTCTGTGGAATTATCTAAAGGCAAAATATCCGGTGACTCGTGTATCTCAATGACCTCATTCTCATTATTTTCTTCGGTATCTTCAGGTTCTGTTTTTTGGAAGAAGCTGTCAATTTTATGGAATTTCTTAATAAATCTCTGCTTCTTTACAGCCCTAGGTCGTTTTGACGGAGATTGGGTATTTTTTGGAGACTCTAAAACTTTTAAGTTTTCAATATTTGTTGACTTATTCCCAGAATTTTCTTTGTCATCAACAGACATTCCCACACTATTGACTGCCTCTTTTTGCAAATTGATACTATGTCTTGTTTTCATCTTCTCTGTTGACACATTGAGGATAAATTCTCGTTTTTGTCTAAATTTATTTCTTGTGAATCTCAAATTTCCATCTTGCACTTCTGATTCATCGTCAGGATTATTCTTATTAGAATCTGTCAGTTGACCGATTTGTTCATTCATAACTTTCTCATTGCTGTCTTCATTTATCACACTTTTGTTGCTAATTGAATGATCACTCAGACCTGAATCATTATCTATATCTTTTTGTATTTGTGCATTTGAAGGTCTTTTGTTTAATGGAGGACTAGGAAGTGAATCTCGTGAGTTTTCACTCGATGGAGGTGTTGGTAGGTTGATAGGAACTGCAAAACCTTCATGTTCTTTAATCTCTGTATCTTCAATACTTGTGTTTTCTGATTCTCGTGCATTTTCTATTCTCTTCAACATTACTCGACATGAAGGAAGTTCCTTTACTGATTCAACATTGTAAACTTTATTTAATCTAGGCGCAAAGGGTGTTGAAGTTCTCTTTCTTGCAAAATATGTTTTCTTTCGCTTCCTTTTCTTCTGTTTTAGAGATATTTCCTGATTTTCTGCCTTCATTAATTCCTCAAATGCTTCTACAATACTATCATCTAGTTTTGAGTCTACTGATTCATCATTTAAACCTTTAATGGATTGATGCATCTTTATTCTATTAAGCATGTATAATGGAATATCATCTAATTCAGGAGGTTCAGGAGGCACCACTGGTTCTTCATTTTTTGCTGACATCTCGTTTTTTGTCGAACTTTCTGTTGTAGGAACTTCAGAGTTTTCCTTATCAGTTTTTGATTCTTCTGACTCACTTTCTGTATCAGCAAAGATAATGTCTCCTTCTTCTTCTTCGTCATCTTCGTCTGATAATTGGATAAATTCGTTAATGTCAGGCTCAGAGTCATTTTCCAGGTCATCTAATGTTTCTTCAAATTCGCTTTCTATTTCTTCATCAACCTCGTCGTTTTCTAGGTCTGGATTATAGTCTTCATCTATGCTGTAATTTAATAAATTGCTTCTAGTTCCTTTCTTCTTTACTTTTGGTCCAATCGAATCACTTTCAATTGAGGTTGTAGTGTCATTCAGATTCATATTTTTGTTTGCTTCACATCTTCTAATCAGATCATCCTCCATATTATGTAAAATATTGCTTGTGTCCTCCTGAAAATCCTCTAGTGGCTTTTGAAAGCTGGATTGTTTCCTAATTTGTGATTTCAAAATCTGATGCATTGGATGCTTATCAACTGACTTCACATGTGTACTTAATATGTGTTCAACTTCATCAGTCAAACTGAATCCACAACAATGCTTCTCACAAAGTTTACAATAGCCTTCTCTTGAGCCACATCCTTCAATATGATGATATGTATTGAGATGTTCCTTAAATCTATCTAATTCATATGACTTAAATTTACATTCATCCGTTAGACATGAAAAACAAATTCCTTTTTTTGTTACGAGATAGCCAAGGTTTCTTATTCGATAAAAATCAATATTCTTTGGAACTAGCTTCATATTTGGTACATTTGGCAAGTTCTCACGCAAAATGTTCTTGCCAAAAATTCGGACATGATCAGGATAGTTGTTGTTATGAAGTGGAATGTAAAACTCTCTGCATTGATCTAGCAGCATTTCATTACGATCTGCAATTATGTCTGCTTTTGTCCTTCTATGCTTCTTTGTTGGACTATATTCACCTGATGATCTTGACCCTTTCCTTTTTCTTGAATTATGCTCATTAAACTCATTTTCATCGCCAAGTGTTAATCTTAATAAATCAGTAACATCAAAATCGTTAAAATCGTCCACTCCTTCTTCATTAATGGAATTAGGTGTAGGTGTAGCTGATTCTGTTAAATGACATTCAAGCGGCATTAGTGGAGGTGGCGTACTTTCGCTAAAATTATTCCAAATAGGTGCTAATGATCGTACATTATGAAACCGCCATTGTGTGGCTTGTTGTGTTGGTCTATGTTGTTGTTGAATTGGAACTTGACGTCCTGATGGTGAAACAACCATTGGTGGTGTAGACATTCTAAGTTGCGGTCTCGGACCCATATGACTGAAAATCAAAGAAATGCAACATTTAATATTTTAAATTAGGACATGATTAAAAATTGATTTTACCTCTGCATATTCATCATATTTTGTTGAAGCATTTGTTGATGACGTCTGTGATGTTCTTGCTGCTGTAAATGCATTTGCTGTGCACGATATTGAGGATGCATATACGGTCTATTTTGATTCACATTTATTGACATGCCCGACATTCTATTAAGGTAATTTAAAGGAGGAGGTTCCGTTTGGGCATTGTTAGCACCAGGTTGATTTGGATTCGGATATCTTATCTGTTGACCAGGAATTTGATGTTGCTGAGTAGGCACCTGGTAGATTTGAGATTTCACAACAGTTGGTACTTGATGTCTCTGTATCGAAACTTGATGCCTCTGAATTGGAATCGGATGCCTCTGAATTGTTATTTGATGCCCTTGAATTGGAATCTGATGCCGCTGAATTGTAATCTGCTGATGTTGTGTTGGAACTTGATGATGTTGTGTTGGAACTTGATGATGTTGTGTCGGAACTTGATGCTGCTGCACTGGAATTTGGTGTTGCTGCATCGGTGCTCGATGATGGTGCATATATTGGGGAGGGACATTTTGTTGATGATGATACATTTCCAAAGAATCTTGAGGTAGTGGATATCCCAATGATGAGGCCTAAGCATTAAGAATTAAAAATTAATTTAACATTGTAATTATATTTTTTCAACAGATTTAAATTAAAAGAACGGAAATGGAAATACGAAATATAATGAAAAAACAGGAAATGCGACAAAAATGTTTTAGAAAACGTGATAAGACATAATTTCAGTTCAAATTTGTCATAATAGGTCAACAAAGGAAGTATGTAATGATATCGTCTAGTTTGTAATGTATTAGACTTCGAAACTATTAAAAACAAGACCCTATTGCCTATATTGATGCTAATATACATTTTCCCGCCATAGAATAATTATGCACATATATTTAAATACAGCATGCTAATTGAATTCAATTTGAATTTTCAATGAGATGTAAAACTAGCTGTCCTAATTACCATGCAAGAGATATATTCGAAGTTTAAATAAGTATTCTGTTTGAAATTCTGTAGCAAGCATAATTATTGTGCAGGAGCCAAAGCGTAGCAGAAGGGAGCTTAAAATTGTGAAAGTTTCCATATAACAAGGCTTACGCTTTATGGTTTGGCTCAAGGCGAAAAAAAACCCTTTCTATGTTCCAGCTTAAAACCATTCAATATCGAATAACAAACATTCCAATTCATGAAACCAGTCAGTCGTTCAATCATTCTTAATCTGATATAGAAATATTCTAGATACATAAAATTTCCTCTTTAATGACTAACAACAGCTGGCATTGATTGACGATCATTAAATTCATTTTCAATGGATTAATTTTGACTGACGTTGATTGACATTGATGGATTGTTTCCATCTACAGCGCCTAGCCCCTGGAAAAAAACCTAACTGCGCCATTATATTTTTATGAAAATGATGAAGATACGCTTCAACGAACAATACGTGCTGTGAAGCATTATATAAAATATTGCTCGTGTATAGTATAATGTACTTTAATGGAACGAACAGTGACTGCAATACCGAGCGCTTTTAAATTGTTATGTTCGCAATTTCGTAAAATAATATTAAAGACAATTAAAGACGAAATTGGGGCTGTATAAATTAATTTGCTTTGGGATCGAACACAGAAAGACATTTCCATTGCGCTCGCATCTACTCGTTTTCTGTTATTTATTTCATTCGGGTAGCTTCGTTTCGCTTCGTGCAACTCGTATTAAATTCCGTTGTGGTCTGTTTCCCTCTATTATTTTCTTTTAAGGTATATTCGCTAGCTGTGGGATTATATTCAATGTACTGGTATTGAATACAGTTTGTTTTATGTACAGTAAATTTTACAATAGCTTGGGAAACTAAGCTTACTAATTCGCTCACAACTGCTGCGCTCGACTTATTGAACATTTTCTCTTTTCTACCTCAAATTTGATCAAAACTCAGTCACATATGTACATATGTAAAACTGTTCGTTCCACACGCTGCGCTCAACTTGATATAAATCCTATTCCCCTACGCTCATCTGTCATTCACTTTAATCTTCGCCAACTCCTTCAGTCACGTATTTATTCGTGTTTAAGCTACACTTTTAATGACAATCGTGCTGAGTCATTTCAATACAACCTTACGAATCGAGGTCATTATAAGTGCTTCATAAGCCCCCTGGCAAAATGAGAGTTGGGCTGTTCGTGATGGTGAACACAAAATTGGAAGGAAAATTGCTTGAGGTACATAGGAAAACGCCCATTAAAAACTCCGGGCGTTATTGCCAGTAACAGTTGTTATATACATTTCATCATGCGGTTTATATACCATAAAGCCAAAAGTATATAACGTTGAGTGTACATAATCTCTCATCAGCTTATATATAAATCTTCATGCGGGTAGACTGACGTTATATACGCCTGTCATGTTATTGGATATTCATTTCACATTATATGACTTCACTATGTCACTGTTGTATGGTTTTTTTTGGGTTTTGTTCATGTTTATTGCAACTGTAGTTTGTAGGTAAGGTTGTGTGGCATGAAGATGTATGTGGGTGAAGTTAAACTAACAAATTTTGTTTACAAACACTAAGTTATCTTGGGATCCGTTCACAAATGATGTATACAGGAATTTTAGAAAATTTTGATCAAATTTCATTGTGTTTGGAGTGACGCACAGCCTTAGACCCCACTTCAATATCAAATCCTTGACATCATTCATGAACTGCTGTTTGTTATACAACAGTAATCAATTTTCAGACACACACTTTGACAGTTCATTGAGTTTTAAGTTATAATGTTAAATTTTGAATCAAGATAGACACAAAATAAAGAATTCAGAAATGAAAATTAAGATAGAATAAACATAAAATTGATGAATTTACTCTACTTATGCTCACCATATGAGAGTCATAGTCAATAAATTCTCGATCGCAGCTCATTATGTTTATGTTACAATTCTAGATCAAAATAGTCACAAAAAAATATTGTAAAGATTTTCAAATTTGGGCGCAAATATTTTGGACAACAGCAAGTGTCTTAAAATAAGATTTAATCATGCTTAGGAGCTTTATGTGATGTACTAATTTCTCATGATGACCACTATAATGGCTGCTTTCACATAAAAATATTGCATTTGTCTTAAATCATTTTGTGGGAATTTCTCTCAGTTTTTCAGATGGATAAAACCTTTCTCTTGTTTCTCGTGAGGACGCTTGCCAAAAATCGATTTTTCTTGCACTTAGACCTCGGGATTAATGGGCTTTTCTATGGAAATAGCTATGGGATTTAGAAATCTTTATACACTGCTTCTTTTTTGTTGCTTTTGCGGTAACTACACTTCTACAATTTTCTATAATTTTTTAAATCCAAAACTTTTTTTTTCTTTCTCTTACCACAAAAATTATATTCTCTGAAACTTTTTGCTTTATTTTAACTCCTTTAAAGTCAATTTTTGAGTTTGTGCATTCTCAATTTACATTTTATAGACATTATATTTCAAGTTTATTCAAAAATATTCATAAATTTTGTAACTTTAAATGGTTATAAGAATTATTTTTTAAAATTTCAATTCTCACTAGCTGCTTTACAGTTCGCGTATTCCGTGGTACTAAGTCGAATGTCGACATTTTGAGTAAAGAAATTTTTTTTCTGTCGACACTCAATACAATGGACTGTCAGCATGGTATGAACCAAAACAGAGAGTAATATGAGAAAATACTTGAAATTGAGAGAGGATTCGATGTTGCTTTGTTGTGTGAGCGATTAGGATCATATGTTTGATATTTTGGTGAGCCATCCTTTAAGTTTTCACAAGTTTTTTATTACCATATTGCCATAATTATTTTGGAGATGAAATTCTTTTATTTAACCTTAAAGGGATTTTCAACATTTTGTCGGCATTAAATTGAAGCTCAATTTATTTATTTACAATTATTTTTTTCCTAGAACATTAATTATGGAAACATTTGTTGTTCGTTTTTTGGATAGTTATGAAATTTCACAAAGGTATGCAATTTCAAGCATATTGCGGAAAAAATAAAATAAAGAATATGTAAGCTTAAAAAAATTTTAAAACAATATTCTGGCGCAATCCTGTAAAATATCAAAAGTTTTTTCCATTATAAGTTGGGAAAAAGTAAATCAAATATTCGACTGTTAAGCTCAAATTGGACTCGTTAGCGATAAATTTTCTCTAATTTTATTGTTGCGACACTCTTGAAGATCAACTTTTGGGAGATTTTATTGTTTCTGTAAAAATACAATGTTTGTCACACAAAAACAGGACTCGTAAAGAGTTGACGAATTCTTGATTTTCTAAAATCACGTTTTTTGGTGTTTGAAAAATTGAATGTCTTGCACATAAAACAATAAAATAATTATACAGTTAAGTTATAATTTGTTTGGAATTTTTATTTACTTCTCCAGCTGCAAATCGTTGTTTTATCTTTTTGAAAAATTATCAAAGTTCAATCTTAAAACTTACAATTTAGACAAGAAAATAAAATACGCATCACACTCCTACCATGCTTATTATTTCATTTCATTGCTGATATGCCTTAATTATTAACTGCAAACTCATCATCTTATCTCATGTTTGGTATTTTCAGACTAAGAACAAAACTTTATGTCATTAAAAATGAATTATTTTTTATTCAATTTATTATTTATTATTTATTTGTTCAAAACCTAAATGTGTAACTTGAAAGAGTTGCAACTATTAACGTAATGCATGTGTTGCAACTCTGATTGTGTGACTGACGATTTTTTGTTTATTTTTTAAAAAAATTGTCGTAATTTTAAATAAGTTTATGACAATTTGTTTTTTAGCAATTATTTTTTTATTTTACAACATATCCTCAACTTTGAAAACCTCTTTTACTTTCAGTACCTAACAGACTTATGGAATAATCCTTCAATACTTTTGCTAGGTTAAGATTTTCTTTCTTTTTAACGAAAATTTCGGAAATGGCACAGAAGAATCATGGCAAAAATGGCATCAAGTCATTAGACTTCAATTAAAAGCTTTTCAAAATATTCTATATAAATCTCCACAATTTTAGATATAAATCAAGTTATTTTGTATCATAACCAGCGATAATATTTTTGTACAATAATTATTTTACGATCTGAATGTCCCATTGAAATGTTTAGATGCTTAAATAAACAAAACATTACTTTTATGCTTTGTTGCTATTTTGGATGTATTTTTTCCTAGAAGATTAAAAAACACAAGAACTGAATCAAAATTGAAAGTTTAAAATGCGAGCCAATACTTAGTAACAATGTAAATGGTTATGAATAATTGGTGTATTGATGTAAATGTACATTAAGCAATTTTCTTTTTATTAATGCTTACTTATTGCCTCGAATATAGTTTGCATAATTAGCACTTCTACTTTGCGCGCATCGCTACTCATTTTACAGAAAAATGTTAAAATTCTGCATAAAAATTATTGCAAATTAAAATATTGAAATTAATTGCATAACTTGCATCTTGCAAGCGATTCAGCGTTTCTGATAAAATTATGCTTACTTAATTGTAATACTTTTAATATGACTTATAAGTATAGAATGTTAAGTCAGTCAAAATAAATTAGATCACATATCTTCAGTACAGTGAATTTCATTATCTTAATAAGTTATAATGAAAAAGACACAAGTGTTTACACATACATTTATTAGACAATTCAACTTTACCTCATTTTTTACTCTTTTGACATGATGTCAGGTAAACTTCAGCAGTTATCATTATCTGAATCGGTCCCTGATGTACAATAAAAAAATATCTTGATCGTTATTTTTTAAAATCAGTGTTTCACAAACTTTTTTGGTCCACGGCACATTTTTTTATGTAAAACGTTTCGTGGCATACGGGAATGGTTTCGCGGCACACAAAATGATTTTCATGACCTTTTAGAAGTCTTAAATCATTAAAACATAAGGCCAATTTTTTTTAACTCATAGTTTGAGAACCACTGGTTTGAGTTATTAACCTGATTTTATTATACCTTTATCAAACCCTTTTCCGATTCATAATTGTTTTTTACTCCACTTAGGCTTATAAAATTCTTGGACCATTAAAAATTTGAATGTTGTTTTAAAATAAACTAAATTATGCACCGCAAAATATGTAAGATTCAACATATTCATTGTTAGGGCTGATAATTATACCTGTCTCTGCTCATTCAACTATAAGAAAGTGAAATTTTATACACTGCATCAAATGTGCAACTTAGTTTGTGAAAATTACCATATTTAATTTAGCATATCGCAAAGAAAACAACTAGGTATTTGCTGGGGTCATTCATTAATGATGACCAATAGATAAAAGAGGATAGAGGGCACAGAGTTGCATGTCTATAAGTATCGGCGAAAAAATTTTAAGTTGAATTATTAAGGGCCGTTCACTTATTACGTTCGCATTTTAGGGGGAGTGTGAGTTGTAACATATTATAACAAGGGGGGGGGGGGGGGTTAATAAAGTCGTTTTTTGCGTAACGTAATAAGTGAACGGCCTCTTACAATAAAGAGACGAAATAAGTCTGAAACTCCATTTTTGCGATAGATAACATTGGTGAACGATCCCTTCCCATGTAAAATACAAAGAATATATTCTATGCTGAAACAAGAAAATCCAAGGATAATTTTGCTGTATTATATGAAATGAATTATATGTATTATATGAAATGAAAATGAATTTATAATTTTTGTAAGTAATGTTATTAATTATCCCGAATAGAACAAGTCGGATAAGCTAGATGGAATCATACGCTAAGACGACTTAAGTGTAAATTTCTTGTCACACGAAAAATTCACACCGATACTCGGGTATTGGTCCTTTTTTCACTTGACAAAAATTCTTGAACTTAACTGATTGTTTGCTCAGCTGCTTTCAAAAGCTTAATATTTCAATTACATCAATTTCATAAACAAACGATATTTGAACCTGTAAAACAAATAAATAATGAATCTTCTGAATTTTCTGGAATTGGATGAATAATCGACAGAAACAATAAATAATTAAGGAAGCAGATTTAATTACAAATTTTATTCTTTTCTTATATACAAAATATTACACGTATTAAGCGTTTTTTTCTTCATTTAGAATGAATTTCGTAACATTCCAACTACATAGTAGTTATTTTTAGAATTCCTTCTGTGTTTCTCAGCACTTCCAAATCTCCATTGTACTTTGTAACTTGAAGATCTCCTCTAGACTTTATTCTCGTGTGTTTATACTGTTCAGTTTCGCGGACACAGACATAGTGCAGCGTTCTTGGGTGTTGATGAAGATGAGTTCTTATTTCAACTGTAGAAATATGGGAAATATTAAGAATTGAATTGTTGAGTTTGTGATCAAATGTATTAATACTATAATAAATAAACTTACTTCTGTTATTTGATCCAAAAGGTTTTGTACTTTCACATTCTATGCATTGATATTTTCCTATTCTATTATTTGCAAAACTGATATTCATTTTCTTAATTTCTTCTTCCGATTTTTCCTTTTCTTCTACGCTCTGATGATCGGATTTTAAGTGCTTAATGTAATCTTCAGGAATGATGAATTTATCAAAACATACTGTAAATTAAATTGGGCATTGATATTGCTTTAGGAATGTTATTTTTTGGTTTCAAATAAATCACAAATCACGTCATAAAAAACAATCAATATTGCGGAACAGAAATCAGTGCAATTTGAAACTTCTCAATAAGAACTTTATAGACGCCATTTGGAATAACGAATCGAAATATTAAAAGTTTGCAAAAAACATAACTTACATTCACAAATTAAACATTCCTTAATTTCTTTAATTTTATTAATTATCTTGTGTTCCTCAATCTTTTCATCTTTTGGATAAACGCTTGGACATTCAAGAATTTCATGTTTTCTAGTGTCTTGACTATGATAATGCACTTGATGATCATAGACACTTTGTTGTTCTGCAGCTCGATAAAAGCATAAGTTGCACTGATAAATGCAATTAAAGTGGGCATTTTTGTAGTGCTCAATAAGATCAATTGGATCTTTGGATATATTTAAGCAGTACGCACAGTTTAAAAAGCAGTCTTTAGTGGAACAATTTGAGTCCATATGAATGTTAAGATGATCTAAGAAATTTTCATAGCTGATTGTTGTATAAAAGCAGTTAATTCCCATACATTTAAACAGTGAGAACAAGGAATTCTTCAACATCATGAAGTTTAAAGTTTCTTTATCTTTAAATCCATGATTATTATTTTGACTAGCTATCCACTTATTTATTACAGTCATATCTGCTAATGACTTTAATTTTTCTGAATCTTTAATTACTGGAACTTCTGTGTTTGTGGTATTCTGTGGAATTATTCTAAAGTATTCCTTAGAATCTATGCTTAACTCTTGCTTAATATTACTCGGTGGAATATTCTTTGAGCAGTGAGGTTGTGGCTCTGATTTAATATTAGTAAAACTTATATTAAGTTTAGAATCAGGTGGTTCGACTGTTGTAGACGGATGAAAAATAGAAACAGGTTTTGTGAGAATTTCATCAACATCCATAACTTCAGTCTTTATAGGCATCATTTGAATATTTTCGTTAGTACTAATGTGCTGAATGCCATTAATTTCATGCAAAGGAATTTCTGTGTTTGGCACTAGTGTTGCCATTTTTTCACCATTTTGTTGTTCGGGAGTTGCATCAATTTTGAGCATGTTGGTACATTCACTTTCGTAGTCCTTGCCTTTTTGTGAATAAATTTGAGCACTATTTATTGGGTCCATATAATAATCGAGCACACATTTTCGGACATAATACCCATTAATTAATATATATTCATAATCATTGTCCTGAGAAGGAATATCCAAAACAGGGATTTCATCATTACAATCTAGAAGATTATAAGATTTGAGATGGACTGAATTCGAACCTTTAACTAAAGGTGGCGGATTTTTACTGAAATCTTCAATAAATTTCTTGGTCTCATCTCTAAATTTCTCTATCATTTCCGACAAAAATTTCGTATTCTCTTCTCTAATTTTTTGAATTTCTTGGTTTATAATGTCGTTCTTACTTTTGCTCTTACTTTTTCGTTCCTTGCTCTCATTTCTCGATTTATCACAATTTGATTGCGGAGATGACAATTTTTCCGAAAGTTCGCAACTTTTTGATGTTGAAGAAGAAGAACTTTCTTGCTTTGATGTTGAAGTTGATAACTTTTGTTTTGTTTCTGATGATGAAGATTTATCTAATGAATTATCTTTAGATTTGGAACTTGTCGAAGATTTTTGTTCCTTTTCAGAAGAAAATGTTTGAATTGAGTGCGTGCTTTCTGTACACTTGTGTTTGGATGATGATCTGTGTTTAGATGATGTTGAGCTATTTTCAGATTCCTTTATTTCAGATTTTGAAGCATTTTTATTTGAAGATTTGTCTCTTTTAGCAGACTTATGTTTTGAGGATGATGATTTGTGTTCGGATAAGCTTTTCTTTTCTGTTTTTGATGATTTCTCTGTTGATGAGCTAGATGAAGCTTTTTCTGAATTTTTATGCTTTGTTACAGTATGTGATTCATGAATTGGTTTGTCTTCTTTTGAAGAAATATGCTTAGACGTTGATAAACTCCTTTCTGAGGATTTCTTTCGCTTAGTTGGTGATGACGATCGATCCGAAGATTTTCGTTTTGAAGAAGAACTTTTCTTTGATCCACTGCTCTTGTCATTTTCATTAAATAAAATTTCCCTTTTCTCTCCGTTAAACATTATTATTATTTTCCGTTGTTTTTGAACATTCTATATAAAAAAACACAAGAGGTAAGAGTAAGATGACAATAAAATTGTTAGTAAATAAAAAGAAAAACGAAAATTTCACTAAATATGTGCGATTCTATAATTAAAATAGCTTGTAAACACAAGATCAGACAAAAAAAAATCATTTTTTTTTCTCTACTTCAAAAAATTCGTCGAGTTAATATCAAGGCGAAATTTTATAAATTTTGCATCAAGCTATAAATCACTTCAATTCACATAAACAAAACTTTACTGCCAGATAGAAAAAACAGTCACGTAAATGTGTTCCATACTACTAGATATACTTATTATTTATCCAATATAATCATTAGGAATCGCTAACGCTATTGCATTAAAAATGAATTATTTCACTCAATGGCAGCGCAAAAAAATTTCCTCAACAGAATCGATGACATACATTGTATACTGTTGCTTTTCAAGTTCACAATCTAATGTGAGTTCATTAGCTTGTTGGTTTTTTTTAGAAATAAAATTAAGAAGAACAGTATTTTGCATTTTGTCCAAAAGATATTAATTTTAATTTATTCAGATTCATTTTTGAGACTTAACGACTAAGATCGTTTGTATTAGCTATGATATGATTTTTTTATTCAAATTTATATGTTTATTACAAATGGCATCTAACATTCAAAATTAACTAGGAAGTATCTGCAGCTATTTGACACTTAATGTACATGATAACGTTTTAACCAGTTTTGTCCAAACTGTGTGCCGCGGCACACTAGTGTGCCATAGAATTTTTTTCATATGATGCGAGCCGCATTATGTGTGCGACTTTGTTAATGGCTTACCCCTAAGGTGTGCCGTGGCTCAAAAAAGTTTGAACAACACTGTTTTAAAAAGACGGAAGACACCATCAAGTGATTTTTTTTTGTATCAAATCATTCAGTCAAAATCAACTAAAAGGTCTTGATTAGATGTCAACTTAATATCAATTTGACTAGTCTACAATTCAAACTAGCATTGCAATCTTTCAAAAACAAGTTCAGCACAGACAGTTTATCTTTCCATCCGCGATCGAAAAATCTTCTTGGTTGCACAAAAAGTCGTTTAATTTAAATAATTACCAAATCATCATTCTCCATACTACCGAAGGTATCACAAACCCAATTTTGTAATCAATTTCACTTAATTTGTCCTTTTTAAAAATTTAATTGTCCGAGAAAATCACTTCACTCTCTTATCATCACAAAGAACAAATTGAAAATGTCAAGGATTAATTTTTTTAACTGATTCTTAAGTCACTCCAAGAATTTAATAAGATGTTCACTTTAATCACAATCTAGATTCATCTTAAGTCCAAATTCTTAAAAGTTTATTTTATTAAAATTCTATTATTTTTTAAAAAATAAGTGCACGATCAACGATCAATGCTGCATGGTCGAATGCCAAGAAGAAACTAACGCCAATTCTCTTTGGTACTGAATTTATACATGCACACACACATGTGCCTTGTTAGGAAAAAAATGCTACAATGAGAGTGAAAAAGGAGAAACTTAAAGAAAATCAAGTTAAATTCTCATAAATTCGTTCCTTTGAAGCTCAGTTTTGCGAACGATTTATTTTCATTGTGGACATAAAAAACACGATTAAACACGAAAGATTTTCACGGATTTTGTACAATTTTATGTTCAAAACTTCACATTTTGCTGTTAATTTTTGCTGAATAATGAAAATAAAAATTAATTTTTATTCAATTTCGATTTTCGTTCCAATTTTATGCAATCAATACTGCATTAGTCCTCTCTCACAAATTCTTATCATTTTAGGTCTGATTAACTTTGAAAGTTTAAAATTTAATCACGTTGATCTTTTTCAAAAAATTTCTTTGAGAGACATTTTGGGAAAATTGGAGACACTTTAAGATTGTCGTAAAATTAGAAGAAAAAGGTTCAAAAAGGCATAAACAATGGTCGTAAATGTCATGGCATTTTAAATGCTCATAAGAAGTTTCGCATGATGTTTTTGTGTGATGGAAAAAAAATAATTATATTCACACCGTTTTCACGTGTGAATCTATTGGTTTTGTTCAGATTGAAAAATCAGTTTTTCGCATTTTGTGAGAAAACAAAGCAAAATTGGTTATAAAAGGTCACAGAAGAAAAGTGTGTGCCTGAAATTTTCAAAAAACAGATTTCAAATAGGTTGTGGCATTGCTGAGAAAATCGCAAAATGCGCTTTCTGTAAGCAATCAAGCAAGCAAGCAAGTTAATCAGCAAGAAATCTCAATAACGAGACATCATAGAGACTTCTAGTTTTTTACATTTGATCCGTGCTGCTCTATAGAAGAGCTGTATTGTTTTTGGGCAAGGTTGGAACAGCCGTTGCTTCAGAAAAAGCAAAAAACTTTCCTTTCTTACGAATTTTTCAAATTAAAAGTTCACTGTGATTTTTTTTTTTATTTTAAATTAAACTTTGGATGAAAAAAAATTTTTTGAGCAAAGAACCAAGTAGGAAATACATTTCCAATTTTGGACTAGGGGCGACCCTAGTCAAAATCAATTTTGTCACTTTTTTCTTCGGGGGTTTATCCAAATGGATTGAAACTTTGCATAAATATTTTAGTGCTTAAAAACAATACAAATAAAACATCCAAAAATTTTTTTGAGCAAAGAATCAAGAAGGAAAAACATTTTCAATTTTGGACTAGGGGCGACCCTAGTCAAAATCAATTTTGTCACTTTTTTCTTCGAGGGTTTATCCAAATGGATTGAAACTTTGCATAAATATTCTAATGCATTTAACAAATACAAATAAAACATCCTAAAATTTTTTTGGGCAATGAACCAAGAAGGAAATACATTTTCAATTATGGACTAGGGGCGATCTTAGTCAAAATCAATTTTGTCACTTTTTTCTTCGAAGGTTTATCCAATTACAGTGAAACTTTGTATGAGTATACTAATATTTATACAAAACAGTTTTAAATATCTAAAGCAAGAAATGTATTCTATATGTCGTCAGACCCAAATTTTATAAATTTGGTTGTACATTCAAAAACAACGTGAGTTAAAATTTTGTCCAAAAAATGATTTTTATTAATTCAGAAATGTGTGACCTGAAAATTAGAATGCTCATACAAAGTTTTACTGTATTTGAATTTATCCTCGAAGAAAAAAGTGAAAAACTAGATTTTGACTGGACCTGTCCCAAATTCATAATTGAAAATGTATTTCCTACTTGTTTCTTTGCTCAAAAAAATTTTAAGGATGTTTTATTATATTCACACCGTTTTCACGTGTGAATCTATTGGTTTTGTTCAGATTGAAAAATCAGTTTTTCGCATTTTGTGAGAAAACAAAGCAAAATTGGTTATAAAAAGGCAAGAAGAAAAGTTTGTGCCTGAAATTTTACATCATTTTCAAAAAACAGATTTCAAATTGGTTGTGGCATTGCTGAGAAAATCGCAAAATACGCTTTCTGTAAGCAAACAAGCAAGCAAGCAAGCAAGTTAATCAGCAAGAAATCTCAATAACGAGACATCGTAGAGACTTCTAGTTTTTTACATTTGATCCGTGCTGCTCTATAGAAGAGCTGTATTGTTTTTGGGCAAGGTAGGAACAGCCGTTGCTTCAGAAATGGCAAAAAACTTTCCTTTCTTACGAATTTTTTAAAACAAAAGTTGACTGTGATTTTTATAAAATTCAACCTTGGATGAAAATTTTTTTTAAAAAACTTTTAAAGAATATTTGGCATATTCGTCAAGCTTTATACCTTCAAACTTATGCTGAGCGTAGCTCAGCTGACTCGATAGCTTTATATCTTCAAACTTATGCTGAGCGTGGCTCAGCTTACGCGATAGCTTTATAACTTCAAACTTATGCTGAGCGTAGCTCAGCTTACGCGATAGCTTTATAACTTCAAACTTATGCTGAGCGAAGCTCAGCTGCCTCTCTAGCTTCATATCTTCAAACTTATGCTAAGCGTAGCTCAGCTTACGCGATAGCTTTATAACTTCAAACTTATGCTGAGCGTAGCTCAGCTGCCTCTCTAGCTTCATATCTTCAAACTTATGCTGAGCGTAGCTCAGCTTACGCGATAGCTTTATAACTTCAAACTTATGCTGAGCGAAGCTTAGTTGACTTATCAAGCTTCATACCTCCATACTACTGATGGGCAAATCTTGGTCTATCCATAAGACTTATGATAGTACGGTGTGAATATAATCCGCATTGGGTTTCTACCCGATACACTAGTTTGTATTTGTTTTAAGCACCAAAATATTTATGCAAAGTTTCAATCTATTTGGATAAACCCTCGAAGAAAAAAGTGACAAAATTGATTTTGAATAGGGTCGCCCCTAGTCCAAAATTGAAAATGTATTTCCTACTTGGTTCTTTGCTCAAAAAAATTTTTGGATGTTTTATTTGTATTTTTTTTAAGCACTAAAATATTTATGCAAAGTTTCAATCTATTTGGATAAACCCTCGAAGAAAAAAGTGACAAAATTGATTTTGAATAGGGTCGCCCCTAGTCCAAAATTGAAAATGTATTTCCTACTTGGTTCTTTGCTCAAAAAAATTTTTGGATGTTTTATTTGTATTTGTTTTAAGCACTAAAATATTTATGCAAAGTTTCAATCTATTTGGATAAACCATCGAAGAAAAAAGTGACAAAATTGATTTTGACTAGGGTCGCCCCTAGTCCAAAATTGAAAATGTATTTCCTACTTGGTTCTTTGCTCAAAAAATTTTTTGGATGTTTTATTTTTATTTGTTTTAAGCACTAAAATATTTATGCAAAGTTTCAATCTATTTGGATAAACCCTCGAAGAAAAAAGTGACAAAATTGATTTTGAATAGGGTCGCCCCTAGTCCATAATTGAAAATGTATTTCCTTCTTGGTTCATTGCCCAAAAAAATTTTAGGATGTTTTATTTGTATTTGTTTTAAGCACTAAAATATTTATGCAAAGTTTCAATCTATTTGGATAAACCCTCGAAGAAAAAAGTGACAAAATTGATTTTGAATAGGGTCGCCCCTAGTCCAAAATTGAAAATGTATTTCCTACTTGGTTCTTTGCTCAAAAAATTTTTTGGATGTTTTATTTGTATTTGTTTTAAGCACTAAAATATTTATGCAAAGTTTCAATCCATTTGGATAAACCCTCGAAGAAAAAAGTGACAAAATTGATTTTGACTAGGGTCGCCCCTAGTCCAAAATTGAAAATGTATTTCCTACTTGGTTCTTTGCTCAGAAAAATTTTTGGATGTTTTATTTGTATTTGTTTTAAGCACTAAAATATTTATGCAAAGTTTCAATCTATTTGGATAAACCCTCGAAGAAAAAAGTGACAAAATTGATTTTGAATAGGGTCGCCCCTAGTCCAAAATTGAAAATGTATTTCCTACTTGGTTCTTTGCTCAAAAAAATTTTTGGATGTTTTATTTGTATTTGTTTTAAGCACTAAAATATTTATGCAAAGTTTCAATCTATTTGGATAAACCCTCGAAGAAAAAAGTGACAAAATTGATTTTGACTAGGGTCGCCCCTAGTCCAAAATTGAAAATGTATTTCCTACTTGGTTCTTTGCTCAAAAAAATTTTTGGATGTTTTATTTGTATTTGTTTTAAGCATTAAAATATTTATGCAAAGTTTCAATCTATTTGGATAAACCCTCGAAGAAAAAAGTGACAAAATTGATTTTGAATAGGGTCGCCCCTAGTCCAAAATTGAAAATGTATTTCCTACTTGGTTCTTTGCTCAAAAAAATTTTTGGATGTTTTATTTGTATTTGTTTTAAGCACTAAAATATTTATGCAAAGTTTCAATCTATTTGGATAAACCCTCGAAGAAAAAAGTGACAAAATTGATTTTGAATAGGGTCGCCCCTAGTCCAAAATTGAAAATGTATTTCCTACTTGGTTCTTTGCTCAAAAAAATTTTTGGATGTTTTATTTGTATTTGTTTTAAGCACTAAAATATTTATGCAAAGTTTCAATCTATTTGGATAAACCCTCGAAGAAAAAAGTGACAAAATTGATTTTGAATAGGGTCGCCCCTAGTCCAAAATTGAAAATGTATTTCCTACTTGGTTCTTTGCTCAAAAAAATTTTTGGATGTTTTATTTGTATTGTTTTAAGCACTAAAATATTTATGCAAAGTTTCAAAATTGATTTTGAATAGGGTCGCCCCTAGTCCAAAATTGAAAATGTATTTCCTACTTGGTTCTTTGCTCAAAAAAATTTTTGGATGTTTTATTTGTATTTGTTTTAAGCACTAAAATATTTATGCAAAGTTTCAATCTATTTGGATAAACCCTCGAAGAAAAAAGTGACAAAATTGATTTTGACTAGGGTCGCCCCTAGTCCAAAATTGAAAATGTATTTCCTACTTGGTTCTTTGCTCAAAAAAATTTTTGGATGTTTTATTTGTATTTGTTTTAAGCATTAAAATATTTATGCAAAGTTTCAATCTATTTGGATAAACCCTCGAAGAAAAAAGTGACAAAATTGATTTTGAATAGGGTCGCCCCTAGTCCAAAATTGAAAATGTATTTCCTACTTGGTTCTTTGCTCAAAAAAATTTTTGGATGTTTTATTTGTATTTGTTTTAAGCACTAAAATATTTATGCAAAGTTTCAATCTATTTGGATAAACCCTCGAAGAAAAAAGTGACAAAATTGATTTTGAATAGGGTCGCCCCTAGTCCAAAATTGAAAATGTATTTCCTACTTGGTTCTTTGCTCAAAAAAATTTTTGGATGTTTTATTTGTATTTGTTTTAAGCACTAAAATATTTATGCAAAGTTTCAATCTATTTGGATAAACCCTCGAAGAAAAAAGTGACAAAATTGATTTTGAATAGGGTCGCCCCTAGTCCAAAATTGAAAATGTATTTCCTACTTGGTTCTTTGCTCAAAAAAATTTTTGGATGTTTTATTTGTATTTGTTTTAAGCACTAAAGTATTTATGCAAAGTTTCAATCTATTTGGATAAACCCTCGAAGAAAAAAGTGACAAAATTGATTTTGAATAGGGTCGCCCCTAGTCCAAAATTGAAAATGTATTTCCTACTTGGTTCTTTGCTCAAAAAAATTTTTGGATGTTTTATTTGTATTGTTTTAAGCATTAAAATATTTGTGCAAAGTTTCAATCTATTTGGATAAACCCTCGAAGAAAAAAGTGACAAAATTGATTTTGAATAGGGTCGCCCCTAGTCCAAAATTGAAAATGTATTTCCTACTTGGTTCTTTGCTCAAAAAAATTTTTGGATGTTTTATTTGTATTTTTTTTAAGCACTAAAATATTTATGCAAAGTTTCAATCTATTTGGATAAACCCTCGAAGAAAAAAGTGACAAAATTGATTTTGACTAGGGTCGCCCCTAGTCAAAAATTGAAAATGTATTTCCTACTTGGTTCTTTGCTCAAAAAAATTTTTGGATGTTTTATTTGTATTTGTTTTAAGCACTAAAATATTTATGCAAAGTTTCAATCTATTTGGATAAACCCTCGAAGAAAAAAGTGACAAAATTGATTTTGACAAGGGTCGCCCCTAGTCCAAAATTGAAAATGTATTTCCTACTTGGTTCTTTGCTCAAAAAAATTTTTGGATGTTTTATTTGTATTTGTTTTAAGCACTAAAATATTTATGCAAAGTTTCAATCTATTTGGATAAACCCTCGAAGAAAAAAGTGACAAAATTGATTTTGAATAGGGTCGCCCCTAGTCCAAAATTGAAAATGTATTTCCTCCTTGGTTCTTTGCTCAAAAAAATTTTAGGATGTTTTATTTGTATTTGTGTTAAGCACTAGAATATTTATGCAAAGTTTCAATCTATTTGGATAAACCCTCGAAGAAAAAAGTGACAAAATTGATTTTGAATAGGGTCGCCCCTAGTCCAAAATTGAAAAATTATTTTCTACGGTGTACTTTTGTCAAAAAATTTTTTTTGATGTTTTATTTGAATTGACATAATTCTGACATAAATCACATATCAATATTACTTTTTGTAATGCATAGCTTAAAAAAAATCGAAATCTAAAATTTCGACTACCCCATCTGAATTCTGTTCATACTCTTCACTGTGGAAACCAAAAAACAAAATCTTTATCTTAAAACTTTTGACAAAATAACGACATAATTCAGGATTAATTACTTTTTAATAATATTTTAACATTTACGAGAAAATGTGGTTCAAATAATGTGAAGTATGGCCGAGATTTGGACCAAAATCAGCTATACTGGTTCATAGTGTTACCGTACTTCACGCCCACCCTTCAAACTAATGCTGAGCAAATCTTGGTCTATCCATAAGACTTTTGATGGTACGGTGTGAATATATCCGCATTGGGTTTCTACCCGATACACTAGTTTGAGTTTGCATTCAATTGAAAACTAAAGAAAACTTTCCATTGAGTAAAGACTTGTCTTTGCTTGCTCATATTTGTCAAGTTATTTTGGAAGTTTTTAAAAAGGTTGTTCATGAATGATGTCTGACTTTTAAGAGGGACTTGATAGATATCATTTATGAACAAACCTTGAACCTTTAATTAAAGATCTATTTATATGTAGAAAAATAAACAATCCAAAATAGCAATTTTGATGCTCTTTTAGATTTTTCGGTAAATTTTGTGAAGTATTTAACACCTAGATGCAAGATTAAAAATTGAACATTTATTTTGAGTCATAAACAATTGCTTACCCATTTTATTATCTTTTATGAATTTATGCAGCACGTTCTTCTTTTAAAAATCTAGTTTCTTAAAGGATCTTTTTATGGTTATTGTAAGCAAGCGAACCATATGCGTGCAAACATTTCCCAAAAATTAGCATATTCTTCACCAAAACAAATATTACATAACACTCAGTTGGAGATCTTCTAGCTTTACAGAAATTGAGTTGATGGAAAGGACTCAACAGATTGACTCATATTGCTAAGTTTTTGCAGAAAATAGGATTTTTTTTAAAATCTTTAAAAATAAGGAAGTGCAAATATTTCTTAACAACTTTTCAATAAACTCATGCAGTTTCCCAAAATCTTGAAGATCACATTTTATCTCCACATTGTCATATGTTCTCAAGCTGAACCGTTTGCACATTTATGACACAAATATTTAACCTTTAAACAAAGCTATAGTTCCAATTTTACTTTATTAGTATGTAAACTCAAAGAATCAATAAAAATAGCATAAGCATAAGACATAAAGCATGTTAATCTTGGACTAAATTAGGATTTGATATGACAATTTTCTTCAGATGATCAAAAATCCCTAAATGAAAGTTGCAGACCGGACAGAAAAGATTTTCGTATTTAGGAGTTGGAAGGTAGCAAGGAGAGAAACACAAGGGCCAACAAGTCATGAGAAATGATGACACAACTGAAGAATCTGATACATGCTGACGCTGAGTTCTGACTGTTGGTCTTTTGAATGCATTACATCGAGGACAATTAATTTTTTCATCACCAACAGGTCTCCAACGTTCAATTGATGTCTTATAGAACTTTTTTGAAAGTTTTTTGTCTTTGAGTAATTTTTGTCTTTCGTCACTTTCTTCTGGATATCGTTTCATTTTAGTCCGAGAATTCTCGGGTGTCATTTTCTGTCGATCTTTTTTGCTCGTGTTCGGTTTCTCGTGAGATATTTCTCTCCTTTCTTGTGAATGCTTATTCGTACTATCTTTAGTTTCATCCACAAAACTCTCATATGACCCAGAACCATTTGAAAGTCGAGTGCTATTGTGCTTGTAGAAATTCGAATGATATTCTTGCTGACTTCCTAATTAATTGCAATGAAATAAAGTTAAGTCATGATTTAAACTGCTTGCTATACATAAATTGAGCAATTATTGTTGTTGATTAAGAAACCTAGCAAATTTTAAAAATTACCAGAAGCCATTCCCAACTGATTCTGATTCTGATTCTCCGTCTGAACACTTTTGTCAATTAGCTTCTTCAAACCTTCCTCGTTCACACCAAATGATGATTCAGTCTCCTTATGTTTGATACTTTGTTTTGACTTTCTCGTAAATGGATGATCAAATTTCATATGCTCAATTAATTCAACTGGATTATTTTGTGAGTATGTTAATTCTTTCTGACAAATGAGACATTTAACAACTAAAACCATAACTGCAATTCATTTTAATAGATTTAATATTATTAATTTCAAAACAAAAGATTTTTAAGTTGACAAATTAGCAAAGTTGATTATGATTATAAATTTTCAAAAACATTTTTAAGTAAGGTACTAAAATATTTCACATTCTTTGCTGGATCATATTCCTTTCTAGGCTTCCTGAATTTCCTTACATCAAGATTAAGCATTCCACCTATGACTTCTTGTGCAAAGTTCAATGGAAATGATTCTTGATCCTCAATCACATGAGCCATACCTGAGTTCCCAAAGTCTATCCAAAAATAAGGCATAGCTCTTGGAATTGATGATCGAATATTCTTATCACCTTTTATGTCGATTAATTTCTTGTTCATTGTCAATTTCTCAGATTCTTGAATAGCTTTTTTGAAGTAAAATTGAATCAATTCAAAATCTTTACTTGATATCATTTGTACTTCCATGTGAGGTCTTCTATGCAAATATTTAACAGTTTCAAAAAATACTACATCTTCCTTTTTGTCGAGAAAGAATCTAGTAAGTGCCTTTTTGTAGTTCCTAAATTCTTCCCAAACTTCTTCATCGATCATGGTCGTGCATGCTGTATGTTGAATAGGTGAAATAATTAAGTGATGATTGACTAACCGCTCATGATATGGAATGGCTACATAAATATGTTTTCCAACATGAACAATTAGGTCTTTGTTCATCTTAGGAGAATCAAAGCATTTGTAACAAGATTCCAATACTTTTTCGAGCCTTTTTGCTTCCCTAATAGCTTCATCTCGTTCATCAGATTTTGGTTGCTTATCTTTGCGTATTGTATCTGAAAATATATCTGCCATATCCATTTGCTGTAAATCTTTAACTTTACTGATGGCTTTTGCGAATTCTAGATCTTGATCCCTGCCATCTGAATATTTCTCACGTTCGAACAGTGTCTTAATGTCATATTTATCATCATCAGGATAGTATCGAGTCCTTTCACCTCCTTCATGAGTTTCAACTCGTTTCTTCTTCTGCTTTTTATCTGAATGACGTGAATCTCTAACATCACTTTGCTTTATCGGTCGATTCATTCCAGAAGCTGTTGGTAATGAAAGTACAACTTTATTATCATCTTCAGTTTGACGTGGTCTACTTCCTTTTGGATTATTTTTCCGATACTCTTTTGCCTTTTCAAGTTTTTCTTTTAATTCTGTGGCTAGTTTCGTCTTTCCCATCATTTCAGCCTTTAACATTTTAGCACCAATACTATTCATTTGTTCGTCCGTTAAGAAATCTGATGGAGTAAGTAATTGATTTACTTCAATTTCGACAGGCTTGTCAGGTTTTAATTGAATTGGTGGTGATGGTGATCGAGATGGGGATCTAGATATTTTCCTAGCATCTGGTTGTTGACTTTTCTTCCAGTTTTGCTTGACAGAGGGTTGCATATTTCTAGAGCTTCTTGAATAATAGTCATCATCATTATCTTTTGGTCTTTGAAAGGATGGCAGACCACCTTCGCCGGTTTTGAAATATGGATTTAACTCTCTGCTACTTGTGGCTGGATCGTAAGTATCACATTTCTGCTTTTCTGGTGCTCCTTTTTTATCTGCCTTTTCCCGAGTAAATGTAGGAATGAAGAAATTATCTGCTGACATCCAGTCATCACGTTTCGATGGCATTTCAGGAGATTTTTTCTTTTCATCTACAGTTTTAACAACCCATTCTTCTTCACTCTCAGATTCACTTGAACTAGAATGCTTTTTACTTTTCTTGTGCTTGGATTTTTTAGATTTTTTCTTATGTTTTTTATTCCGTTTGATTCTCTCTTCCTCTTCAGAGGAATCACTTGAATATTCACGTTTCTTAGATTTGCCCATAGTGATACGGTTGATTAATAAATGATAAGGATAGTCAAGTGATTAATTTATATGAAATAATAGGTATTTATTTGATTCTCATTCACAAACTTCAACATGCTTCAACAAACCGAAATTTTGATCTCAATTTTTGTAAACAATCTGATGCTTTATGCCCCTTTTAAGCAAGTCATTTGAATCTGTTCTGCCTGTTATGCTACCATTTAGCTACTTCTGAATTTTTCAGTTATTTTACTATCTGTTCATGATTTAAGGTGATTTATTGCATATTTTATTGAAGTTTTATGGTTTAATAAAGATCCAGTGGACACGTCATGCATAGTTAAGGCAGTAATCTTTAAATTTATAGTTACTGGATCTTCCCGCAATTTAATTTTTCAAATATCTGAGAACCACTCAAATGCCTTTATTATTATCACACAATTCATACATTCGTAAGCCTTAGTATTCATAAAGATGTTGTTGAAGAAAGTAGTTGGTACGAGCTTAAAAACAGTGAATTTAATGAATCCAGTGAGATACAAATTTGCCCATAAACTTGTGGAAAATGTAGAAAATGAAAAACAGGAAGTGTCTTTAGACTCTGAAAATTGTATATTAGTTAATGAAAATGATGTATCGATTGGACAGACATCAAAAAGAGATTGTCATAAATTAGATGATCAACAGAATATTAAGCTTCATAGAGCATTTAGTGTCTTCCTGTTTAATAGACAGGGAGAAATGCTTATGCAAAAACGTTCAAGTCATAAGGTATTTATAGTTAAAATAATTAATCAGCAATCCGCAAACCCACAAACCTAGTAAAGAAAAAGTGATGAATAAACATCCGAATCCGACATTGAAACTGGTTTTTGGAGGGCTTGATTTACATTTCATTTATATTATATCACAAAAAATTCCTTCATTCAACGGTATTTAATGTATGTTTGTGTACCGTCTGTCTCACATGATTGCAGATAACATTTCCTAATTGCTACACAAATGCGTGCTGCTCACATCCATTATATGACTTGGAAAATGAAAGGGAAGAACTCAATGCAGTGGGTATTAAGAGAGCAGCACAAAGGCGGCTTAATTATGAGCTAGGAATTCCAACTAGTCAGGTGAGTACCAAATACACAAGGGAATGGAATGTTGAAGAAGAAAACACATCAAAAAAAAACTTTCATTTTTCTTCATACGTCACCCATACGCAGTCAGTCAGTGCTGATCAAGAGAGGAAAAATAAGCAGTTATGAGCTGTTTACATTGTTTTTTTTCGGTTTTTAATTAAACTTTTCTTTTTCTGAGCATTTTCAAGCACTAAAAATATGTGAATGATTACAATAAGTAAACCGTTATATCCAATATGTACAGTGATGAGCTTTAAACAATCGAATTATGATTCGCTGGATGTTTATTGAAAGATCCAGTTGTTATTTTCAAAGTCGCTCTAAATGCTTATCTGATGACTTTTTGGTCAGGAATGAAAACAATGTGTGCTTATTTTATTTATCACAGCTGCTTATCGCTTATTTTATGAGTCTGTTTTAATTATTTTCTCCATAAATCTTTATCAAACAGGTTCGACCAGAGAATTTTCATTACTTGACAAGAATTCATTATTTGGATCGAGGTGATGGAGTTTATGGCGAGCATGAAATTGACTATATCCTCTTCCTACAAAAAGATGTGGACATTAAGCCAAATCCAGGTGAAGTCAGCGAGATTTGTTGGATTAAACGTGATCAAATGGAGGAACAAATATCGACACTAGACGGTCCACTTACTCCTTGGTTCCGATTAATTTATCAGTCTGGACAGCTCGGGCTTTGGTGGAAGAATCTTCATCGTTTGAAAAAATTTGAGGATTATAATACGATTCATAAGCTTAATTAAGTGAATTAGACTAAAAGTCGCCGTTCTTCATATACTTAATAACGAAGTTGCAATAATTTATCTAGTTAAAAGGAAGAACCTTAATTTATCGACAGGAACACTAAAATATTCTTTAAGAATTTATTATTAGATGTTTAATTGTGTTTTATACCGAAAAATTGTTATTTGTGGATGTAGGATATAGTTTTTAGTGCTTTAATCAGTTGAGTCTCAAATGTGAAATGTAGTGGACATATTGACAATAATACTCTAAAATCATAGAGATTCTTATAAATTACCTTCTTTTATAAAAATGATTGCTAGTCAGCACAAAACTGATAGGCAGATATACTTAGCAGAGTCAATAAAGAAATAATATACATCAACTAATATGCCTTATTTGCTGTTTATTTATAATCGGTTGAGAGAAACTCAATTTACGTCAATACAGATCAAATATTTTCATCCAATTTGCAGACTTTTCACAAAACAAATCAAGCTTTTAAAACATATCCAACACGTGGATCATGCCTAAAAAACCAGTTTATGAAGTCATCAGAATTCCAAATTAAAAGTCATTAAAGTTTACATCCTGTAAATTGTGACAATCAATAAGATTCAAATGTCCGATGAAGGCTTGTCTAAGCAAACAATCCAATGACTATAAAAAGTATTCACTTAAAGTGTGAATTGACACAACAATCAAGGTGATTGAAACTGCCAAAGATTTTGGTTACTTCCGTTGCATTTATTCCTATCACATGTCATCAACTTGATTTCCTGAACATTTGGTATTTTCCAACCATGACATTATGTGCAAAAAATTTCACCTTGCTTAATATTTTGGACAAAGAAGCTACCGCAAAAAATGCAATTTCATCACCAAATCTGGCTTTATCTATATTGTTAAAAAATCGTCTCGATATGTCAGTCAAGGACAAATCAGTTAATGTGACGTAAAAATGCGATTTCCAAATGTGCTTAATTGTTTATTTTACTGCCAATTATTTGATTTCTGCAACTTCAAGGTTGGATGGATATCCATTGTAATTACAATTAAATCTGAATCAGGAAATTTAATTATTTGTTTCAAGCACAAATTAAGAGTTTTATTGCCTTGCAGTTAATTTAAAGTTGATTTCTAGTCTGTTAGACTGAAGCTGTTCCCGCGAAGAAGAAATGAGGTCTAAAATGTCAATGTTCATTTAAATGATAATGGAAGGTATCGTCACATGCTTAACTTTTCAAAGATGAGTTGCTTTGAAGGTTGTAACATATTAAGATCATCGAATTTTTATTGTACAGCTTTAAGTGATGTAGTTTTTGCATATTTGAAGCATGTCACATTTTTTGAAGTCATTAATTTTATCAACGGTTTTTTGAAATTTAAATAGTAACGGATTTTGGAAATTCGAATTTTTTATAAAGTCAGTAATATAAAGTTCATTTAATTCCAGTTCATTAATTCAAAGTTTAAGAAACCGTTATTCTTTAAAAAATTTAAAATTCCAAATGCTGAGTCAATGAAATGACAAATAAGAATGAAATTTCTGTAGATGAAAAGTTTATCAACGATCTTGGATATGGAAATAAATATTAATAAAATTTGATTGATTATTTACATTAATGGCTTTTTTAGCAGGTGGTCGATATGAAATAAAAAGCTTCAACTCTTTTTGACTCGATCAAGCGTTATAAAAGTTACTAATTTTAAACGGTTTGGATATAAAGCAGTCAAAATATCAATCCAATCAGACTTCTGTGGTTGCTGCTGATTTTAAATGACGCATCGTCTCAATTGAATCGTATTTCAACAAATATTTGAGAAATTTGCATTCAATCTACATAAATTTACATACCCTTAAAAATTATGGAACCTCTTTCATAATGGTCTGCTGTAATTTTTAAGTTTTTGATGTAAATCAATTTTTTGCAATCAGACTAGGCAAGCTAATTGTGAGCCATAGGGGTGGGGGGGTATGTCAAGAAGTATGTAACGTTCTAACTGTCGTCTGTCTTTAAAAAAAATATCAAAATAAAATAAATTATGAACGTTCGGGGGGGGGGGGGGGGGGGGGGGGGTTGTGAGTTGTAACATATTGTAACAAGGGGGGGGAGGGGGAGTTGAAAAAAAGTCGTTTTTTTTTGCGTAACGTAATAAGTGAACCTAATATTAAGAAGAGTTTCAATGTACAAAATACCTTAAAGAAATCTCTTCGGTCATAAAAATAATTTCCGTTATGTAACGTCTTCCTAAAATTTGAATTTGAATTAAATCATTATCAACAACAAAAATCTCAACAAAATAATTTGATCATCTCAGTATGTTTACATAAAAAAAGTGTTTGAAGCAGAAAGTAGATAGAAATTCAATTAAAAATAGTGAATCAATGCATAATCTCATCAAAATCAGTTCATCATGTATCATTTCCTGCTGTTCCTTTATATTTCGGATGATTAAGATAAGTATAATTGATTGTATACATTCCAAAACATCTCTTGAATTTGTGTCTCATTCGAGCATATTTGTTTCTTTTCATCCTGTTCTAGTGTACTTTTCAAGGTACTCACCACTAAAGCATATTATACCTTGAGTGAAGATAATTTCGGAACTAAACTAGCCATTTACTCTCACAACATGTGGTCTGTTGGATAGATAACTTCTGAATAATTTCAACGCATTTCCTCTAATGCCACAGTTTTCTAAGGTAAGCAGTAATTCATTTATATCCACAATGCCGAATGCCTTTTGTAGATCCATAAAAACCCTTTTGTATTTCACTGATCATCTCTAAAGCTGCCGTTTCCGTACTCGATTTCTTCCCGTATCCCAATTGACGTTTATAAATTCTTAAGATAATCGTCTATGAAGCTAATAAGTCTCTTGTGGAGTATTTTTTCGAATATTTTATTGAAAGTAGTGAGAACCGAAATTGGTCTGTAATCCTTGACATTTGTTTTGTCGCCAGTTTTATTGATCGGTGTCACTATTGCTAGTTTGAATATTTCTGGATACACAGCCATCTTAATTATTCTATTCACGAGGTGGACCATACATTTATCTAATTCGTTTGCTTTTGTCTTAACGTGATCAGTTCTTATTTCGTCGATTCCTGGTGATGATTTTGATAACGCCATAATTTCATCCAGGGGCGTGGCCAGAAAATTTTTAAGGGGGGGCCCATTTTCGAAAATTAAAAAACTGTTATTTTGTATCCTTAAATCTATATTCATTCTTCATAAGTTTAAATATTTAATTCATTATTCATACATTAAATTTAATTTTTCGTGCTGATTTTGACATTTCTTTCATCACTTCCTCTACATTAACTGGTTCTTCCCTATAAATACTTAATAAAACAATTATCAGATTTTCTTAGGGGGGCCCGGGCCCCTATGCCCCCCCCCCCTGGCTACGCCCCTGATTACATCCATCACTTCAGTCTCTGGTGTTTCTTCCAAATGCATTGATTTCGTTTCAGACTTTTCAGTAGCAGGTTGTTCATTTGTCTTTAACTTCATTTTAAGTTCTGACACGGAATCGATGAAATTTTTGTTGAACATCTCAGACATTAGTTTTGGATCATATATGATCCCGTTCTGTAATCTCATTGCTTCCTTTACTCCTACCCAGAAAGTCATTAAGGGCCGTTTTCACTAAAGTAGATAATCCTCGTTTTCGGATCATCCACCCCAATTTTTGGGATTATCCTGGGATAATCTTCGGATAATGGTTTTCACTAAAAAAGATTGAGGATAATCCTGGATTATCTTCGGATCGGATTATTGAAAATGTCAATCCTGGTCCCCCCAAGATTAAAATCGGATAATCTTGGAATTTTTAGGATAATCTCAGGATAATCCTAGGATTATTGAAAAAAAAATAAACTATTTTAGTTGATTTTTGATTTAACGTCGTTTTTTCTTGTTGATTAGTTTAATATGAATATAGGATGTGATATAGATAGTGACATTGACATGATTAATGATATTAGAGCTCCAAAAGAAAGAATATTTCACGAACGTGTAGATTTCATGGAAACTTTGGACGATCTTGAATTTTTTTTTCAAGATTTCGTGTCAGTAAAATTTTTTTTATGGAATTATTAAACGCAATAGAGCCTTTAATAGCACCTACAACTCAGAGGTACGAAATGTATAGTATTAGCTCAAATGAAAATATATATTTTCAGATCCCATGCAATTGAGGCAAAAGTAAAACTGTACAGTACTTTACGGTTTTATGCTACAGGAACTTTTCTGCAAACAATTGGGGATTTATTAGGAATAAGTGTTGCATCTATGTCTAGGATCGTTAATGAAACTTCTAAAGCAATAGCTTCTTTATCGCGCAATTACATATTTATGCCTAGAAATCAACAAGAATTGCAAAACAATTTTACTGGGTTTTATACGATGTCCAAATTTCCAACGGCGGTCGGAGCAATTGATTGTACGCACGTAAAAATTTTTTCGTCCTGAAGCTGAAATTTTTAGGAATCGAAAACAATATTTTTCGCTAAACGTGCAAGCAGTCTGTAAAAGTCATCACATATTTCAAGATATTGTTACTAGATGGCCTGGATCTTCACATGATTCTTTTATATTTGATAATTCTCGTTTAAAATTGCGATTTTAAAATAACGAATTTGGCCATGGAGTGCTTTTAGGCGATGGTGGTTATCGATTGCAAACTTTCCTAATGACTCCTTACAGAAATGCACAATGTGAAAGAGAAAGACGGTACAATCGTGTACATATTAAAGCTCGAAATATAATATTTTTCAACATCTTCAGACTAATAGATGATTGTCTTAGTTTCTCCATATAAAATACATTTCCAGGCTTTAGTCTACACATCGTTGATAAATGATCCTTATGTTTAATAGCCTTTATGATTCTAACATTAAACCATTTACAAACTGTGACATCTTTGTTGCATACAAGTCGACATTTTTTTGTAGACATTTTGATAGCTTCTTTCGTGATTCTAGTCAGCTCTTCTGCAATTTCATTTGGATTCGTCATGAGAAATAGATCAGAATGAAAACTCAGCACCTCGAAGTGTTCCTTAAATTTTGTCTAGTTGGTCTGCTCTCTCTCAATGAACGTTTTTGTAGCTTTTAAATTTGACATTTCCGTCAGTACAGCATTATGATCACTTATTCTAATGTGAATTGTATAATTCTTAATGTCCGCCTTGTCCATGAAGTTTATTGATGCATGATCAATGATTCTTTTGCTTTCGTTTCTTGTCATGATATCCTTAGTGATTTTGAAGTCATAACTTTTTAGAAGATTAACATATCTCCTTGAATCAGCATTGTCAGCTTTTGCATCTAAATTGATATCACCAATAATTATTGTTTTAACGTTTAACGTAAAGACGTTTAATTATTGTTTTAACGTTTAAATAAAGTTGAAGCTTTATTCGATCGTATTTCCTTTCACAATTAATTCCTCTCGTATTCATTTGCATGATCGTAGAATTTTTGCATGCTATGCTACTATTGTTAAATGAAGCAAACGATTCGAAATAATGATTCTCTGAATTTTTATTCATGCATACAATATTTTTGTGGTTCAATATATTAATTGGTGATTCAGGCTGGAGAGAAGCTGATTGCTATGCTTGTGTTTTATTTGCGCTTCTCGATTGACCATTGACATTCCTCTCATTTGGCAACCAGCTCTATTTCATTCAAGTCTGCTTCGTCTTCGATCCATTTTATTTCCTTATCTGATTTCTTTACGTTGATTCTGTTATTACCCATGTACAGCATGAAATTCTTTACCTTTGCAATTTTCTTCGCCTTTCCTCTTTCTTTTTTTTATTCAAGATTCTAATTTTAGTTTCGAAGTTATCGAATTCGACAGTGATGATTTGACTTTGTTGTGCTTCATTTTCTAGATCCTGTGCCTTGACAAATTGATATAAATAGTTTTCATATTTGCAGTTTCCACATTGATATTAAACTTCCGATTATTTTCCTGACTTCTTCTTTAATTTTCTCTTTATCGTTCATGTAAGGTATTGTTGCACCACTTATTTCCACTTATTTATTATTGACGTGCATTCAGATTTAAATTCCGTTGACAATCTAGAACCTAAGTTCATTATGCATTTATAAAGGTCATCAGATGATCTCTCAATCTTATCTCCTGCTCTTTTAAAGATTAGAAAAGATAAAATAAAATAGGAACTAGAACTTTAAAGTATACCAGAGTAATCTTTTATTAAAATTTTATGCTATTTCTTGTTTATTTATCTTCAATATTACATAATAATAGATTTTTTTTTGTATCAATAAAGAAAGTGAATGTGAAAAGATAAAGTTTAAAAATCAAAGTTGTAAAAAATAGACCAAAAAAATGCCTTACAGGTGATATCCACGTCGTGAGGATATATATGAAAAATAAGTCACTTTTTAGACACTACATTTAATTATTTTATACAAAAGGTTATTGGATTTTTGTTAAATGTGAATCTACAGTTACTGTCGATTGAGAAGTTTTTTAAAAACATCAGTGCTACATGCTTTTAAGATCTTGAGAAATAATTTTGATTTTAACAGCAAATTCGGATAGTTTTTCTTTTCATATATACCCAAACTTTATGTGCATATGGTCTAAATGGAAACTTAATCATATAAAATTATGAATGTATAGAATGTCCCTACTCTCAGAATTCTTATTGTGAATCGTTTCCGAATTATTTTATAATATAACATATATTCATAAGCAACAATGATAACATTCTAGTGTCCATATTTATCTTGTATGTAGCTGTTTACATTATTAGCTAATGAACTAATTCTTCCGGCTACTTTATGAACGCCAGTCCTTATCGAGTCCTTGACATCGTCCAAATCGAGGTCTGGACTGTGAAATTCCATACGAGAGCTTCCTGTGAATGACATTATAAATTCAGAATTAAGTCATAGATTTAAAATAAATCTTAGGATTAAAAATCAGATTTAAATAAATCCAAGTAGCAACTTACTTTTAGCAGCCTGTGTTCCATCACCAAAGTAATCAGCAGACGAAATGGACGTTGAATCTTGAAATTTAGACAAATTACTAGATTTTTCAGCCGATTGCTCATTTCCGAAAAACTGATCTGATGAAATTCCTTTAGCGCCAGCAAACTTTTTTTGAATTGATTCAGAATCAAAACTGTCAGATGGCGATGGTTTAGATGATTTCGAGCTACTACTTTTGCTGGATGTTGGTTGTCGACTAACGGATGTGTTTTTGCTAGTGCTTTCTTTGTCATTAGATGATGGCGAAAACATGGAATATACATTTTGTTTAGAGTCTATAGGTTCAAAACCCATCATAATTGCATCACGATAATCTTGCTTGTTGCTATTACTTGACGTTGTTGAGCTATACATTGAATAGTCATCAAACATGTCATCTTTAGAACTATTATTGTCACGATCAAATGATTTCTCAAAAGATTTCGTAGTCTTCATGTTACTTGGTGCAATATCTTGATTGATAGTCTGCATATCTGTAAGCATTGAATGCGATACTCCACCACGATGATTAAATCCCATTCCAAGACGTTCGACTTGTTTTGCTTTATTTGGATCGAGGATTTTCAAACGATCTTCTTCCTTTTGTTTTTTCAGCGATAGATCTTGGTACGCTAATCGAACGCTATTCATTGTCTCAGTTTCTTCCTGTTCTGTCATTTTCTTCTCAATAACTGGTTCCTTTGACTGATCAGCTAAATTGGCACGTTGTTCAATATCAGCAAAATTCGTCTTAACTTTTGTTGCTCCTAATGTCTTTTTAGCTCCCAAACCTGACTTTTTAGGCTGAATTTTTCGTACTCCAATTGATGATTTAGTCGATTCCGTAACATTTGAACTTAAAAAGTCAACACTTGGTTCTGCACCATCATAATGGACATACGGTGTTGTCACTGGCTTTGCTGATTCAACCTGATTAATATTATCACTTTATTATTGTTGCTTAGAATATTGTGTATATGACTCACCACTTCACTTCTTTCAAGTTGGACATTATTTAAAGTTAAATGCTCGTTTTCAACATGAGCAAAGAAATCATGTTCTTGTTCCTGTTGTTCCTCATGATGATAATGTGGCTCATTTATGTGGAGCTATATTAAGATAAAAATCAATTAAGCATGCAATTATTGAGAAACAAGGAAGTAACTTACAGTAGTTCCGTGCAATTTACAAGCTTGTTGTGCAAGATGTGTTAATTTATCTTTATACAATTGAGCAGCACGGGAATTATATTTTTGCTGGGCATCGGTTGTGACACAGTTATGTTGTCGAAAGAATGAGCTTGCATTGGCATTTCCACCCACCTATAGTGATTTACATCCAGGAATTAAATATGAATCATCGAATGAATAATTTAAACAAAATACTTACTTGCATTTGACGTAATTGCAGCCAATTCCAATTAGTGTCGAGCTGATAAAAAGTTCATGATAACTGTAAATTATGTGGCAATAAAGGATATACACGAAATGTAAACTTACGTTCGTAGACCTCACAAAAGTTAAATGAACTCCTAAAGATCTATGGACAGCAGAGCAATCGATGCAGATGAAAACTCCATAAGTTATAGATGACCAAGTTGGATTCTTAGCATTACAATCGAAACAAACCTGGATTTTTGGGCATAAGAAAATAATTAAATATTGATTTAGGAAACAAAACTTTTTACTTACTTTATTATACGGTAAAGACCTCAATCGATTGAAAATAACATCAATATCTGTTTTCGGTGGAGACTCCATAGTTTAATATACTTAAAAACACCAGATATAACTTAAATAATGCTATAATTAACAATTCTTTCTTGAATATTTTGACATTAAAAAAATGATACGTGTAATGGGAAATTCCCACGCCTTGACTTTGGACAGAAGTGGTGCTGACTAGCTAATTGTCAGGTTTTGCAATATTACTTGACTAGAGTAGCCATATTGTCTTGATTGCAGTACCAATAATGTCACATTAGCTTAACTTATATCTATGAAATGATAAGTGACTTCAAATCCCTAATATCCAATAAATATTACATTATGAGAACCAACTCTGTATACCTTGTAGCCTCGCACCCCTGAAAAGTCTTTCCTACGCCCTTTCTTTTTTTCGTGAGCCTTAAATCGCTTCACACGTTTTTGATCAAAATGAATCAAACAATTTCAAAAAAACGCAAGGTACGCAATGAATTAAGCTTATTCTGATATCATTAATTAAAGTTGGTACTGTAACGAATGTGAATATGCTGGAAAAAGGACTTCAGATAGCAAAATAAGTGTTGAAAAACATGAAAATAATTATCGTCCAAAAAGAGCGAAAAATTTTTATAAAAGATCTAAAATTTCCAGCATAAAACCTTTATATATTAATTAAAATAGAATCAATGAATATAGAGTAATTAATTACATCCAACAAAAAAGCATTAATTATGTTAACAAGAAATTCTGATCATAAATGTTTATTTACAAAATTCTGAATGTCTAACCTCGATATTTCTTATTAAATTTTATAGTTCGTAGCCGCTGGAGTCTTCAAGGCTGAATTGAACGAATTCCTTACTCGTGAACTTGCTGAAGATGGATATTCAGGTGTTGAAGTACGTGTAACACCATCACGTACCGAAATCATCATTATGGCTACTAGAACACAAAATGTTTTGGGAGAAAAAGGTCGTCGTATCCGTGAATTAACAGCCGTCGTACAGAAAAGGTAAAATATTCTATTATTAATATACTTACAAGCTTACTAATGTAATAATGTTCTTGCCATTTGTAGATTCAGCTTCCCACAAGGAGCCGTTGAACTTTATGCTGAAAAAGTAGCAACCAGAGGACTTTGCGCAATTGCCCAAGCAGAATCACTCCGTTACAAACTTATTGGAGGTTTGGCAGTTCGTCGTGCATGTTATGGTGTCTTGAGATTCATTATGGAATCAGGAGCTAAGGGATGTGAAGTCGTTGTCTCTGGAAAACTTAGAGGTCAGCGTGCAAAATCAATGAAATTCGTTGATGGATTGATGATTCATTCAGGAGATCCATGCAATGATTACGTCGACACAGCCACAAGACACGTACTCTTGAGACAAGGAGTTTTGGGAATTAAAGTTAAGATTATGCTTCCATGGGATCCATCAGGCAAAATCGGTCCAAAACGTCCATTACCAGACAATGTATCTGTTGTTGAGCCTAAGGATGAAATTACATATTTGAAACCCGACACAGAATACAAAGCAAAACCATTGTACATGGCTGGTGCTGAAGAACCACATATTGATGTCGCCAAGTAAATCCGTTTGTGAATGAATGAGGAGCACTGATAAACATCTGAAATATTTCAAGTGCTGTAAATTAAATAAGAAAAGATCGTCAAATAAAAATGAAGTAAATCTATTCCAAACAAAACAAAAGTCTAATTTATTAATTCCTTCTTTGTCTCTATTTAAAAATATTATTATAAATATTGCTGGATTTCCTGAAGCCCCATTGTCACAAATTAAATGATTCTTTGTCAAATAGTTTCAACCATAAAAATTATAGGAAGGATGTAAAGATTCCCAGTCAACTTAAATTTTAGATAATATAATGTTGCCAAAATACTTGTAGTTAAAGTTCCATCTCGAATTGAAGCATCTCAAGCGATTTACTAAAGCTGACATGTTCGCCTCGTCAATACTGTATTGATTGACACAATTTCTGTAATAAATAACGGTTTATTATTTAAAGTTTAATAGTTTTTGAAGTTCAAAACAACGACTTTTAAGAATACAGAAAATAACGGTTTTCAAAAATTCAAATAATATCGTCTTTTCAAATTCAAAAAATAAAGGTTTTCAAAAAAAATGAACTGAATTGAAATGAACTTAAATTACTGAACAGAAATTCAAATTTTCAAAAATCACGTGCTAAACTTACTGTTTTTCTTTGAACAAGCATTGTGAATTGCACAGAGACAAAATACTAGTATTCATAGATTCTAAGCATAGGGAATATGGATGAATAGTGCCGTTTCCCTTTAACAATTCCTGTTCCAATGTGGATTGTACTGCTATAAAAATATCCTTGTCGACAAACTTCATACCAATAAATTTAGATAAAATGATTTCTGATGTGTTATAGAAGCAGCTAAAGAATGGAGAAATTGCGCTCAACAATAGATTTATATACGGAGATTTCTCATTGAGAATGACTGAAGATTCTGATGACTGAATTAAAATTTTCATGTCCAATAATTTTTTCAAGACTTTATCAAATTCCTCATCCTCAAATCGTGGATATAGAACAAATTCGTAAATAAAGACCTGTCGAAGCCATAAGACATCCTTTTTGAGATCATCAATTAACACTACATTCTGTCCAATCGTAGACAGTACAAAAAGTGCTGGTTGAGACAGCCAATAAATCGTTGGATTGCAGTAAAGTTGAAGTGAAAATACAGGTACAACAATATCCATTACTTCCTTGCACAACCAATGTCCTTTAAGGTTTCCATTTGAAGTTCTATTGGAATCAGTGTTGGCTCTTTTCAACTGTATATTTGAGCTATTTCCAGTTACTTCGAGGACATTATCATGTAATGCCATAGTCTCTCGAATATTCTTAGCTGGATCTTTGTCATCGAAACCAACAATTGCTCCAAGTTCCTCAAAAAAAGCTGCCAATTTTAAAACTTCTCTTTCTAGTTCCATAAATGTTAGAGATTCAATAGAATTTGTGTGAATCCTTTCACAATAAATCAGAGCAATCAAGTTATAAGCCATAATGACTATTTTATTTTGTTGCTGCTTGAGAACATGTTGAGCTAAATCTGTCGTCAATTGAATCTCATCAGCGCTCATTTTCTGTATATGAGCAGGTTCTGATGAATGATTGAATTTTTTAACATCACTTCCATAAAAACTGTTTAAGGAAATCGGTTCCCCAAAATCAAAAAACATGTTGCCATAACTTTTACTTTTCAAGGACGTAATAGCTTTGAAAAAACCTTTTGTCGATTCTTTTGGCTTTGGAATTCCCAAAAGTTCATAAACAAAAAGTTGTTCTTCCAAAACCTTTTCATAACTGATTGATACAGGCACAACTTTTAAATCATGTACCTCACCCATAAAATATGGCTCTAAACTCATCGACAATAATCCCAATTTTGGCCATAATGCTTTACACGTGCGACTTCGCGTGCCTTCAACAAAAAATTCCAATCCAAAATCATTATAAGTTATGATCTCGTGCATATATTCCTTGAAAATATTCCAATAGAATTCATCACCAAATGTTCGTCGCATATAAAATGCTCCAGTTTTTCTCATCAGTTCCCCCAAAACCTTCATATTATAAAAATCCATTCCAGCTGCAATACTTGGTATTTCAATATTATTAATAAAGCATATAAATGACATAAGCATAAAGTCTACATATGAGCGATGACATGGTAAATAAATTATCTGTTGATTTCCCATCGATTCTTTTAGATTTTTTATAGAGTTCTGATTAATATGAACGGCAGAATAAAGTTGTCCCATTAATTTTTCAATAATTGATCCCAATGTCCTGATGACAATCATATTCCTATCAAATGCCATTTCTGATAAAATCTGAAGTGCTGCAAAAACTTTCTTCTTTCGATCATCTTTGTCTGTAGATATCTTATCGAGGTAGTCGTTAAATCTTTGATTCTGTAGAACACGTAATTTGACGTCATTCGGAACTGACCGACGTACTTTTTCAATTGGTATTTTTGGATGGAAGGTATGAGTTAATAAATTCACGCGATTTTCCAAATAGTTGTGAAAGTTGTGGAGATACTGTTGGCTTTTTTCCGGCATTTCCTATCAGAAAGAGATGAAAATAAATTTTATTATTGTAGTGTATCATTGGTGCCTTTATCTTTGTGCTATAATCTTTAGCTTATCATATTTTTTTGATGACGACACAGCATGCATTTACCATTTTCTTTGTATTTGAAACTTTATACGATAAGGAGAGCTGTGATTTCTTGTTCAGTTAATTGCAGGACGTTAACCGTTCAACTTCTGTCTACTTTTATATCTTTAAGTGACTCGATTTTATTTTTATTTAATCAGAAATGTCTGGTAAGTTCTATTTGATTACTTTGAGGGTGATTTCAAGACTATTATGGCTTGATATTGGACATAGGCTTGATTTTAGTGATCTTTATTGTATGAAATGAGAAAAGACTGTATTAAGATATCAATCGTGGGCTGATCTTGGGAAAATTGTGTATTTTTGGAACTATTTAATGTATTATTTTGGTATTTTCTAGTCACGCAGATGATATGTTGTTTCTCTTAGTCCATTTTGATGTTTTCGGTATGATGATTATTTTAAGTCGTAAGATTAAAATTGAATCTTGATTTTCAACCCTTGGATTTAATTAAATCTAAAACTTTAATCCACCGATTTAAGAATTAATCCAAAAAATCAAGTTTGCAGCTATGCAAAGTCATTTCTATTGAAATTTCGTACTGCCAATTTCAAAAATAAAAACAATATTGACCCAAATAAGCACACAATAATTGTTCAATTCCAACACTTTATGAACTATGCGAAACAACAGCCTGTTTACTTATTTAAATAATAACAAACTTTGTAACTTAGCTGATATAAAATATTAATGAGTTCTAGATATCACACCATTTTTGACTTATGACTCATATGCCATTTTATAAAATATAAAATTATATAAAGTTAACTTATAAGCATAGATAAATGTACTGTTATCGATAAATTTGAGTCTTATGAATGTCACCGCACGGACTTAAATAGTACCACGAATTTTTCAATTAGTATCTTTATCTGCTTCCAAAATTCTTATCGTAAATGACTTTTTTGCAACATTTTGATTGATACTTCTTCGTCACTTTTAATGGAATAAACGAACGATTTCGCTGAATAGTGAAATTTTTTTTAATGAGAAGCAGCATGCTTAATCCTCTGTTAATCTTATGAAGTAATATATGACTAATATTTTTTTAGGTATTTGCTGGCAACATTGCAATGGAGAAGGTCCATTCCCAGAAAAGATGGTTCGAGGTGGAGTCGATGCTGACGGATCAATTATCTACATTGGACGTGCTTTCCATAACGGTGATATGATCCCAGCTAAAGTCATTCCAGATAAAGTATAATTGCTTAATTTGAAACTAATGACAATCGTGATTAATGACTTTTTTGTCCTACAGAGTATGGCATACGTCTGTTATGGTGGAGAAGAGATTGAAAAGGACGATTTTGAAATTTTACGTACTGGAGATTTTGTTTGGGAGTTCTGCACAAATGGAAATGTCCCAGAAGGAGCTGTTCGTTGTGGTCAGACTGCAGATAATGAAATATTGTATGTAGGAAGATGCTTGTATTCAGGAACACAAACACCAGGCAAGGTTCAACCGTCACACAACTGTCTATGTAATTATATTAATCCTATATACCTACACTTGACTAGGATCTAATTGTTAATTTTATGTATTCTTATAGACATCCCATTCGATGGTGCAGAAGTTCCAGTTACCGATTACGAGGTCTTGTGCATGAAATAAACAACTTTTAATCTTTCAAACCAGTTCCATGCACAACAATTCTATCAACTCTTCCGGACTGAGTTTAAAGTACACGAACAAGCAATTAATCACTATACAAAATGTTAAGAACGGCAAAAAATAGCCAAATGTACTTGATGACTTACGAATTATACTGTTTTGATGACTAGTCACGCTGTTTTCACTTAATTTTTACTCTAAACTGTTTAATAAAATAACTTTGACATGTTTAAACCTCAATTTTACAAATATTTATATTTTTTGGAATGCCACAAGTAAAAAAGTCATTAATAAATTTTAATTCTAAAAGATTATTAAGCGCATTTCCTTAATTCGTTATAAAAAGGTTCCAGTGCAGAGGTCCACTTTTTAAATAATTTTAATAATTTCAAAATATCGATCGAAATCAAAGTTATTCAAATTATAGAACCCCAATTTTGTTTACAATTTATAAAACTTGAATTTATTAAAAATGCTAGATAACGAAGAGCCGTGGATGCCTCCAAGAATGCAGGCAATATCGCAAGCACCAAAAGTATTACCTCAAGTTCCAGAACTGACAATTATTTCGACAGAAAATAAGCAAAATGGTAATAAAACGAATTTCCTTCAACGAGCAATTTTAACTGAAAAAAATTTAAAGCCACAAAGCAGTCACAATGATCCAGTGAGATTCCAGCCACAAATTGGAACTAAGGACAATAGATTTGGTGAGAATTCATACAAAAAGTCACCTACAAATATTTTAAAAGAAGACAATAAAGCATATCAGCCGATGAATTCAAAGCCACAAGTTCCAGACGTAACAATCCTTGATGATGATAAGCAGACACAGTCACCGAGCTCGACAGAACGAGTATTCACAAATTCTTATAAGGAAATGATGATAAATTCACATAATCAATTTTTAAAGCAATTTACAAAGGAACAAAATGTTAATACAGCACCAAAATATCCAGAAACAGCTAGGTACAAGCAGAATCCACTTACTAAATACATTCCAAGTCCAGAAGCACAAAGTTACAAGCCATATAAAGACGGAAATTCATCCTCAATATTAACAGACATAGACATAACTCAAGGCAACAATAATATTGGCAGTAAAAAGGATGAGACCGAGGAAGTGACATTCAAAAAAGTAGCTGAAATGCTCAGTGAGATCCAGAAGCTTGTTATTCCAGAACAGTCACTTCAATCTCCAAATAGCCGACAAAAGTCAAATAATTATGAAATTCTGAAGCAATTAGCCAATAACTATTTGTCACAAGAGGAACTGATGAAATATCAAGTTGATAGCGAATTAAGTGAATTAGAAAAATGTCAAATGCTTTAGTTTTATGTTTGTATGTATGTTAATTATTAGAGTAGTAAATGAGTCTCAACATTATTAATATAGTGTTTATTTCTTGACAACTTGTATAACATCCTCATCAGCCATAATATGACTGATACCAACACGTTGTGGAGAAAACTTTGCAGATTGTCCCCATACTAAAGCATATTTAAACGAAGCAGCAAGTGTGCGATGAATAGCATGACAAACATGCTCAACTGAAACACCTCGACGAAGAATTAAGCAATCATCAAAATCTGGTGGCTGTCCTGGCTTTTTTGTGTACACTCTAATTAGTCGTAAATATTCCCATATTGTGTCCAACAAATAGTCTAAATTCAGCATCATGTTACAACTCACGACTATCGAGTGTTCCGAACGAGCTAATCTATTAACTTCCTCAATTGATATCTGATCTATCTTATTGTAGACATAAAGACATGGAAGATAAACTCTAGAAATATAAAGGAAGTCATTTTAAGTAATGTTAAGGGAGAATATTGATGTGAGAAATACCTATTTCCAACGACAACATCAATAAACTCATCAGTCGTGCAATCGTCTCGGAACAAAACTTCAGCATTAAATATCTTAAAGGAATGGAGAATTGTCTGGACCATCTTTTCATTGCATTTTGTTAATGTTAATGTCGAATTAAATGATAAGCCTCCGCCTTTTTTGAGTTTATAGTAAATATTAGGTCGTCTCTTATTCAATCGAATACCAACAGATTCCAATTCAGCTGTTAATAGATCTCTATGGACATCAGGCTTTGTCGCATCTAACATCATCAAGACTAAATCAGCTGTTCTAGCAACAGCAATGACTTGTCGTCCTCTACCTTTACCTTGGGCAGCTCCCTCAATAATTCCAGGTAAATCGAGTAACTGGATATTAGCACCTTTATACTCAATAACACCGGGAATACATGTTAATGTTGTGAACTCATAATTTGCTGCTTCTGATTCCGTTTTTGTCAGTGTAGACAATAGTGTTGACTTACCGACACCTAATAATTAATTTACTTTAATTAATAAATCAAGATCAAAATAAACTTTAAATTACTTGGAAATCCAATTAAAGACACTCGAGCATCTCCGGATTTAAGGACATCAAATCCTTCTCCTTTTTCTCCACCCTTTTTAGTCGGTTCCAAAAGTTCTGACTGCAAAATGACATTTTAAGGATGTTAATTATACTTTTTCTGAATTATTAACCCAAAAAAATCATAAACTTACCCGATATTTAGCTAATTTTGCTTTAAGTAATCCCAAATGATACTCTGTCGCTTTGTTCTTCTGTGTTCGAGCGATTTCTCGCTCTATTTCCTGGATTTTCTCGATAATTCCCATGTTTTAATGTAAATAATCAACTTTTTTGAAGGAATTTTGAGAAAATTTTGCACGAGTTAAAAAGTCATTGGTGCTGACGTACCTGAATGTTAAAAGCGCACACGTGTTAGATGATTTTTGATATGGAAACTTTTGTTATTAATTATGCATTTAAAGTTTGAAAAGCAAAAAAATAGTTGAATTAATAAAGTATAAAACAACCAGACAAAATGACAAAGCCATGCTCAAAGATTGAGAAAATAAGCAAATTCAGTTCGTATTAGCTTCCGCGTGGAACACGGAAGGTGTTTCTTTATGTCGGTCAAATTTTGTCACCCAACCTGCAAATCCACCGTTTTATCCAAAAGTAATGAATATAGGGAGGATTAAAATAAATCCATCGGATTAAAATTTGAAATCGTTATATCTACGTAGGTGTTGATGAAAGTGCGGCATGTTTAGTATCGTTGGATAGGTCTTTTAAGGCCCTACATTACAAAAAATTTTTTATCTAATAATTCTCAATAACAAGTGCATCAGAACAATTTTAATTTAAGCCTCCAAAAAAGCTAGTTTTTTCGCTCTACTGGATCAGGACTAGCATCAAATATTATAAATTTGGTATCAATCGATTCCTAAGAAGATATAAAACATTTAAACTTCCTAGACAACAAGGGATAAATTTTGACATATAAATCATTACGAAATCAAAAAAGGTTTAAAATTTGTCACCCAACCTACAGCTCGCAACTCAAAATCAATGTATATCAATAGAAAGCTACGAAGGTCTAGTAGGGCGGAAATTTAAACGCTTTGCGTGAATCTTCTTAGTTCTCGAGATATAGTGAAAATAGTGTTTAATCTGGTGGATTATAAATAAATCCTATCTATAACTAGTGAATCGGGTAGAACCCAATTCGGATTATATTCACACCGTACCATCAAAAGTCTTATGGATAGACCAAGATTTGCCCAGCATAAGTATGAAGAAAGTAGGAGATATAAAGCTAGAAAGTCAGCTGAGCTTTGCTCAGCATAAGTCTGGGATATAAAGCTTAACGACCATTCTTTAAAAGTTTTTTAAAAAAAAATTTATCTAAAGTTGAATTTTATAAAAATCAGTGAACTTTTAATTTGAAAAATTCATAAGAAAGGAAAGTTTTTTGCTTTTTCTAAAGCAACGGTTGTTCCTACCTTGCCCAAAAACAATACAGCTCTTTTATAGAGCAGCACGGATCAAATGTTAAAAACTAGAAGTCTCTACGATGTCTCGTTATTGAGATTTCTTGCTGATTATCTTCAATTGGTTTTGATTTGTGCAGATTGAAAAAATCAGTTTTTCGCATTTTGTGAGAAAACGAAGCAAAATTGTTTATAAAAAGTCTCAGAAGTAAAGTTTGTGCCTGAAATTTTACATCATTTTCAAAAATCAGATTTTAAATTGGTTGTGGCATTGCTGAGAAAATCGCAAAATACGCTTTCTGTAAGCAAATAAGCAAACAAGCAAGCAAGCAAATTAATCAGCCAGAAATCTCAATAACGAGACATCGTAGAGACTTCTAGTTTTTAACATTTGATCCGTGCTGCTCTTTAGAAGAGCTGTATTGTTTTTGGGCAAGGTAGGAACAGCAGTTGCTTCAGAAAAAGCAAAAAACTTTCCTTTCTTACGATTTTTTTAAAACAAAAGTTGACTGTGATTTTTATAAAATTCAACTTTAGAAAAAAATTTTTTTAAAAAACTTTTAAAGAATGGTCGTTAAGCTTTATATCCCAGACTTATGCTGAGCAAAGCTCAGCTGACTCTCTAGCTTTATATCTCCTACTTTCTTCATACTTATGCTGGGCAAATCTTGGTCTATCCATAAGACTTTTGATGGTACGGTGTGAATATAATCCGCATTGGGTTTATACCCGATACACTAGTTGTTGATAGTAGCTGGTCTTATTCCAGTAACACGGATTAACTAGTATTTGATCTCCATCATTAATCCTGACTTATATATTGCAAATTATTTGGAATAAAATACTTGAAAATAATGGAAATGATATCATATGCTGGCTATATATCTAGCTATATAACTTCAAACATAAGCTGAGCACAGCTCAGCTGGTTCGTCAAGGTTTATACTTTAAAATTAATACTGAGCTAAGCTTAGTCTTTCCACAAGAGTTTTAATGGTACGGTGTACATATATCCGCATTGGGTTTCTACCTAGTTTTCGTTTTGTATATCACTGTAAGAACTGTAATCTAACATAAATCAAACTCGGAAGCTAGTGACTTTCTACGTAAGTCGTGTTTTTAGTCAGATTCAAATTCAAAAAGACGGGTAAGGGATGATTTGCATAATTTATGTATTTAACATTTTAAAGGCTCTGACTCTTCTGGAAAATTGCTTAAAAATGCTCATAAAACTCAAGTCAACAGCGTTGGATTAAAAATGAAGCTAAAGGATTAAAAATCAAGTCTTAAGATTGAGTAAGCAAATAAAACGGTTTCAAAAAATTTGAATCAAGAGTTTTTACTGATTTAGAGAGGTTCTGCTGCAACTTAAAATATCAACGGTCAAAATTTCAAAAAAAAAACGCTCAAAAACATTCAAAACATTTATTCTAGTTTAAAAATTTAATTAATAGTTTACAGATATTGGACGATGAATACGTCAAAACAGATATCTCGAATCCAACAAGATTCTCCAGACACACCATTAAGGCGAAGGTCAGCGCTGAATGCATCAACGCCGTTCCTTAACGAATCTCATCGAAATGAAAGTGTAAGAAGCATAAAACTTTTTGTTTATCATTGAATTAATTTAATAAATATGCTGTTTTTAGGTACTAAATGATGACGAGGCTGAGAGAAGGAAATCTAGAAGAGTCGATCCTTCAGATTCAGGCACAAACTTATCAGAAGCCGCTGATTCATTGAATAACTGCCTCAAACTTTATGCAGAAAATGTGAGCCGAATTTTATCAACAAATATTGATTTGTGCTTTAATTAATTATTTTGTTTTTATAGAAAATATGTAAAGACAATGCTTGGACATTGAATATCATCGATTCCTTCTCAAAATTGATCAAGAAGCATCATCATTCATTGTCAAATTTTCAAGTTGCTGGATCTACATTAGAGGCATCGGCCAAAGTTTACAGCCTTCGAGTAGACTCTGTTTACACGGATGTCTTGCGTATGAGTGCAGATCTATCCAGACAAAGTGAGTTTGTGTCTTAATTCCTTAATAATGTGTATTAATCTTGTCAATTAATTAATATAGCTGCAAAGGCACTAACAAAGAAGAATCGGCTGAACCTTGAAGAGGAATCAGACAGAGACGATAATAATGAGGATAAAGAAAATCAAGATGCCAATAATCAAGATGGAGAGAATCCAACACAAAAGCCAAAACAAAAAACGACAAAGAAGCGTAAACACGTTAGTACTGTGACAAAAAATCCAGAAACTCTAAATGGACGCTTGGATACACATCCTTTAGTAGATCCATTTTTCGCTAAATTAAATTCAATGGTTGGTGACATAAACAGCTCACAGCGACTTATGCAAAACATAATTCCAACAAAAGACTCAAATTTAAAGCTTCGACAGAATGTAAAGATTTGGGATAGTCAGGAGGAGGTGGATGTAACACTTGACGACGACTTCAGATATACAGATGAGAATTCAGACATCTATCAAATTAATTCGATATCAGGGAGTGTAGCAAATGCTGTCTTAAGAACGGAATTAAAGCATTATCGCATTTGTGATATTCCAATGGAGAATGCCGAGGAAGCAAATGTAAGCATGCATATTGATAATAATGACTTGAATATGTCAGTTGGACGAAATGCATCACATATTGGGTTACAATTCGATATTAATGCTGAAATTGAGCCAATACAAACTGAAAAATCATTTGTCATAGATTTTGGGGACATGAACGACAATGATTTTGAGGATATTGGTGAGGAAGAGATGGTTGCTTTAGAACGGTGTAAAGGCCTTAAAAGACAACCAATAATGATTGAAGATATGCAGCCTGATTCAGTTTTACATCTTGAATATTCTTATCGACCACTCGACATGATTGATCAATTTTGGGCTGGTCCGTCGCATTGGAAATTCAGACAAAGTCGTCGAACGCATGCCACAAGTATTGGTGGACGTAGTACTCTAAATCGCGACTCTGCTGCTTCAAATCAAGTATTTACGACAGCACAAAAGCCAAAAATATCAAGAAAAAAGAAAATAATAAAGAAATCAGAAATAGGCATTGAAGATCTATTAAAGATTGAAGATGATGACTTGATATCGCCAATAACAAAAAAAACGAAAGGAAATCAATTGACAACACATGTTATGGTCAAAAAATGGGACAGTAAAAAGCTGAAACTTCCAACTGATTTTCGAGTTCCAAATGAGACATTTGATTCGTTCGCACATGCTATATCGATTCACATCGCGACAAATCCAGACGCAACATTTACATGCAATGATGACGAAAGCCCGTACGATTACGATAATGAAAATGATCGTAACTATTGTAGTCGATTAGAAGTTCAATCAGATACAGAGACAGAAACAAATACAGATATTGGACAGCTTGATAATAATATGGAATTCGATAATGTTGAGATGCCTCCACCTCCAGTTCCCGATGAAATTCCAGACTTTTATGTCGGAGCACCAGAAAGAATTGAAAAAATTAATATTGCCTTTGCTAAACGTGCCAAAGTTGTGGATATGAAGCAGCTTAAACTTTGCAGTTGGAATTTAATAAGTCGTAAGAATGTAGCAGATCCTTTACATCATCCACATTTTGCTGATATCCTAAAGGACTTGCCAAAAATGTTGAACAAAACTATGGCTGAAAATATGAGCATGCCTCTTGCATTTTATGCTATTCTTCATCTTTGCAACGACAAAGGTTTACTTTTGGAACAGAATAATAACGATTTGAAAGATTTTGAGATTATACAAGTTGATTAGATTTTTTATAGACCCATTCAATATATCGAATATTTTAGTCTTAGAAAATAAAGGACAATTTTTTTTTTGTTAAGCATTTAAGAAAAGTCAAAGGAGAATAAGAAACGCGAAGATTCCATTTCTGTGTGCAATTCGCGTTATATACCTACCTATATAAATACATTTTTTGTAAGTTTATTTTATACTGCAACTATCTACAATTAGTAATAATAAAGTTTTTGGCCTTAACATCATCAGACTTCTTATTGCTTAACAATTTTCAAGATCAAACATTCTTTATATATTTTTCTAGCTTCAAAAATTTTACGACTTATTCAAATTTCTAACGGTTTTCAAAAATTTAAATTTTGAAGAGAAAATTTGTATGTCAAAAAGTCGTTGAATAACAGTTCAATTTTTGAACTTTAAGGAAATAAAATTCAAATTTTTTGAAAACCGTTTAAACATCCAAATTTTTAAAAAAAAATCCGTTACTCGACCACGTGGACACATGAGTATAAAAATTGCCTTCCAATAAGATTCACGTGAAAGCTCTCCATACAAATTGTAAATAAACATTCAACAGATGGTATAAAAACATACTTCCAGTTCACCCAACCACCCCACAATTTTTTTCGAATTTTCCAATCATGCGCAAACTTTTAGAGATGAAAATTTTCATGGATACAGCAAACGATTGAAGTAGTTAAAAAAATAATTTTACAAAGTTTAAAATCAATTGTTAGGCACAAAAATTAGACTAATAAGTTTACCAAGTAAGTATAGTCATGGATATAATGTGCAACATAGTCGATCTAACAGAATATGCACAACTACCCAAAATATCTAGAACATCTGCTAATTTTCACAACTTTTCCTTCCTACGTAGATACGACATTTGTTTAAAAATGCGAATCAAGTCAAGTCCAGCAGAGCTAATTGTCGGCTCATCCCAAGATCTAGATGATGATATGTCAGACGTTGAGGAAGTCTTTATTAGAGATGGAAAAAGTGAGAAAAATAGAGACATTGAGAATAAGCCATTAATGCCATCAAGGAAGAAGCACCAACATAAAAATTCCAAAACGACACAGCAACTTAAAATCTTAAAGAAACAGTATAAAAGATCCAGATGCCATCGATGTTTGGTGCCATTCTGCTATACCTTATTGTTAATGCTTGTAATGCTAATCTTGGCAGCAATTGTACTGACTTTATTTCCTGTTCAGAAACTTAAACTTATGTTCCATAATGCATCGCCAAAGCTTTATAAAGCTCTAATGATCAACAATAATGAGTTAGAGCCATCGATTCAAACAGTGGACATTGAGCAAGTTCCATGTCAAAATTTAGCTGTAACGACTGTATGGAGCAGGACATTAACGAAACTTAATTCTGAAGCTCCAGTAAGGAAGGCAGACTTAGATGGTGACTTTATTGACGATATAATCATAGGTTTTGGTGTCGATGACTCAATTTCATTTGATGGGAACAATGACATTCCACAATGTACGATACCAAATAGTGGACAGATAGATTTATGTGAAGGTGGAGTTTTGGCTATAAATGGAGCGACAGGTGATGTTATGTGGAAGTATTGGACACCTTATGCAATATTTTCGTTGTTCTGTAAATTTGACATAAATGATGATCGAGTAAATGACTGCATTATATCCGGTCCTGGTGCTTTATTGCAAGCTATAGACGGAAAGTATGGTAAACAGTTATGGGAACTAAAGAAATTTAGTATTCAAAGTCCTGAAGAGATTGACATCAACTCAATTGACCTCTATACTATTAATATCATGCGAGACTTGAATTCTGATGGAGTGCCTGACATCATTGGTGCACACACTGACGAGAGATTTGGAATTCGAGAAGGTCACATTCGATTAATATCCGGTAAAAATGGAAAAGTCATTAGGAACATCCCGTCGCCATTTAAAGAAGAAATCTTTGTTCCTGTACAACTTATGACTTTGAAAGATGGAACTGAATTTTTACTTGTTCTTACTGGTGGACAAAACACGGCTGGTGGAGTTTACAAAATTCGGCTTGATTCCCTCAAAAATTTCCATGATGACAACGATTATACGACTGTTCAGAGATCTTCGTCTGGATTTTTGGTACCTGCTATTTTGACTGATTTAAATGGCGATGGAGTTGAAGACTTTGTTGTGTCTTCATTTAATTCGACAATTTATGCATTTAACGGAGCTAATAATTGTGTTTTGTGGACTTTTACATTCCCATCATCAGAAAGTGTCAGTTCCATTGTTCCTGGATTTTATAATCATGATAATGTGACCGATTTTATGGTTAAATATTCAACTGGCCCTGGATTTCCTGTCTATTACTATTCTCAGGTTTATTTTCATATTTAACATATTTAAAAAAGTCGTTGGAAATTAAAAAATCATTTCTATTTCCAATTTAGACAACAATTCTTGATGGAACCACAGGAAAATCATTTTTGGACTCAAAGATTACTGATTCTGGCGGAGCTCATTCTTTACTTGGTGGAATTTCTATAGCTCAAAATTATGGTGGTGATTGGTTTCTTCACTTCCAAAGCTACTGTCGAGATAAATATGAAAATGCAAAAGATCCATACAAATTTGTTCCTGATTCTGACATTATTCAACAGTCACGTGCTGACATTTGTATGCTTCGTTACAATACATCTACAGTTTTAAAATTGAATGCTATTAGTCGGCATGTGGAACCACCAGGAAATGTCATATTTAGTTCAGGTATGCATGCATAATTTAAATTTAAATGCAGGCCTTCAATTTTCTGTTGCAGACAATATCCCACTTCAACTGAATCAGTCTGACAAGACATCAACAGTCACAGCAACGAACAACAATGTCAAGCAACCTTTAAAACATCCCAAAATGAGATTGAAGCTTGCACAAAATCGTTATCAGCCACAACCACCAATTGAAGTCAATAAGAAGCAAAGTAACGTAAATGAACAAACAATAAGGCACCAACAACAAGAGAAACCAGCACAACCTCAACAAATCAGGAATGAAGAACGCTTACCAAAGGAAGATTTAGGCGAAATGACACAATTAGTTGCTGGAGAAGGTCAGAAACAAAAGGCTATAAAGCTCAGAGAAAAACAACTTAGTCAGGACTTGGCAGAACATCGATTGAAGTTAAAACAGAAGGGAGTAAATGTTGGAACAAACTTTGAGGATGGAGATACACCAAGTAATTTTAATGAGATTATGAATAAAATTTCAATGATGGAACTGCCAAGAGAATATAAAGAAGATATGTTGGTAAGTCAAGTACCCTGTTTTTTCGTCAAGGATGAGTTTTGAATATTTTTAAATCCAAGGATTAAAATTAAACCTAGTTTGAAATTGAAGGATTTAATTTTTAATCGTAGGATTAATAAAAAACCCAAAACTGACAGACACACCATTCTTACTATACTGCTAAATATTCAATGCATAATTTAAAATTTCTTCTTCCCATAGGACATGAATCAAATGACTGATGGATTAGACAAGCCAGACTATGATATGTACTACGACCAAACTCAACAGAAACATATTCCAAGAAGATGGAATTCCAATAATCGTGGCATACGAAGTGAAACTGACTATGGAAGTAAGTAAAAATAGAATAATGCCTTTATGCTTAATATAATTAACATTCTTTACAGCACCATCGACATATGAAACGATTCTTCATGATTTAGAGAAGAGCAGTAAGAAGCAGGATGCAAATTCTCAAACAGTCAAAAAGGTTTGTAGTCATGGTGACATTTAATAACTATTTAATCATTGATTATAATGATAGGTATTAGATGATAGTGACGTGAAGAAGATATCTCAGCCAATGCTCGAACCACGACCTGAAACTTTATGGGATATCGAAATTGAGAAAGAAAACGATGAAAAGAATCCAACCAGAAGACGTAGACGTGAAGCTATAAATAATGAGAATATACTTCCGTCTATAGCTTCAACAGGTGTTTTATTGGAATCACTAAACAAAACAAATTCGTCGATTGACTTTGTCTTTGTGCTGAACATCCGTGAATCGGAAGCATTTCCTCCTTTATTAACACAAGAAGACCTCAATTGCGTCGAAAGCAAAATGGCAGCTTTAGGAAGTTTCCAGAGTGACATTGTCGACTGGCAGAAAGGATTCCTTAAAGAATGCCTAAAGAGTCGCTTGTCAGTGACTTTTAATCAACAACTTCAAGACACATCACATTTTCCAGCATATGAAACACAAATATCTATTGTACGCATTTCAATATCATGTACATGCAATGACTTGAATGAAAAACGTGAAGTATGTTCCACATTTAAGAATATTAAGGAACAAAAGTGGCCGGAATTTATGGGCACGCAGTTAGATGGATCATATAATATTTAAATATATTTCAAATAACTTATAAGTAACAAAATATCGAGAGACAGCAAGTGAGAGAACTAAATATACTATAAATAGGCAGCAGTTTGTCGTCGTGTATGATTGAAAACTTTAAAGATGAATATTTTTATTTCCTATATACATATATTGAAGAAATTATTTAATAAAAAAGACATAGATGGAATTTATAAGAGAGACAGGATACAATTATTGTTTTGTTTTATATCCTTATTAAGTATCATAGTCATCAAATTCCTGCTTAATTTCCTCTTTCATGTAAAAATGTGACGGAAAGTCTGTGTGTTGGAACTCGTTTAAATTGTACTGTGAATCGACAATGTTCTTTAGTTCCGAAACTTTATCTGTAAATTCTGTTGCTGTTTTTTGGTGTCTGTTGTAGATCTCGTTCTTAAAATAGTTAATAAAGACTGCTGATGACTCGCTAGTTAGATTAAAGTATGCCTTTTCGAAAGTCAGCACATCAATCTCAGTTTCTGTATCCCGGTCATCATTTGTCAGTACATTAACAATCGAATCCATTAAAGCTTTATAAAAGTATTCTGTAGAATCAGCAAGTAGTTGTAAAGCTGAATCCTTGATCTCAGTGAAGTCATTAATCCTCACGAGACCACAGATTGACTTTTTAAGTGCCATTTCTGCACACTTTTTGTTAACTTTTGGTACATCTTTTGGCTTTCCATGCGTAAATTCGGAACTGACTGTCGATATGAAGCAGTTGAGTGTATTTAAGGTTTTTGGAGCACTAATTCTATTTGGAAAGATATCAAGCGTGGTCTGGAGTGTCGGTACAATTTGTTGAAATGTAAACTGATCATTTTGGGATGTATCTATCAGTTCCTCAATTAATTCTTGCTTCTGTTTAAGCCCAACGATTTGATTCACTGTAGAATTTTTATGCTGCAACTTTATGCGATTCTCTTTTGGTTCAAAATAAACAGATGAATGTAAAATCTTTAATTCTGATCTTTTCTCGAACATTATTTGTTTATCTAGCTCCAAGTTCTTGGCTTGTTCCTCCTCATTTTGTGGCTTTTCAGTAAATTCTCCCCAATATGTTCTTTTCATTACGAAATTAAATTAATTTACGTTTGTTTATTTTTATCGTGCTTATTTCTTTTCTCTATTTATGTTTTAGGTGTGTAGAAGTTTTATTCAGGTATTTTGAGGGAACTGACTACAATTCTTATTATGTCTGGTGTCTTTTATGTTAATTTTCGTTGTTTAAAGCATTCTTGCATTTAACGGTTTTCAAAAAATCAAAAACTGTGGATTATCTGTTCAGTGAGTTTCAAAATTTCATTTCAGTTCAGTTTATTTAAATTTTTGAAAACCGTTAAAGCTTGAGTACTATCAATAAAATTTGTAAAATGCGCGATGTACACAAGACACAAAACTTCATTCGTATATCGGCATGTATACAAACAGGTTCATAAAATAACTTTACTGATTTATTAAATGAAACCAACAATGAATCAAAACGAAACTAAAACAACAGAAATCATTAAAAAGTTTAATTTTATGTCAAAAGATGGATCAGAGAACTATGAAGTGAATATTATTGAGATATTAGGAGGTGTATATAGCTACTATACATGGCCGTGCGCTAAAATCTTAGCACAATTTATGTTTTATATGAGACGATGTATGAAGAACTTAAATATCCTCGAAATTGGAGCTGGAACTTCATTGCCTGGAATTTTAGCCAAGAAACTTGGTGCTAATGTTATATTAAGTGATTCAGCATTGTTAAATAAATCATTAAATCATATCAAACGAATTTGTGCCTGTAATAATTTAAAACCTGGAGTTGACATTCAAGTTAAAGGACTAACATGGGGTAAGGTCTTTATGCTGTATACTTCTTAATATTAATTCTTACAATATCATATCACAGGAATGATTGGAAATGGATTATTTGATATGTCAAACGACTTAGACTTAATAATTGGATCTGATTGCCTTTACGACTCGTTCGTGTTTGAGGATGTGCTGTCTACAATTTCATTCTTATTGGATCAAAACCCTAAGAGCACATTTATATGTTCATATCAGCTAAGATCAAGTGACTGGACATTTGAAAATTTATTAAGAAAATGGAATCTAAAGTGCAGAAACATAGATCTGGAAGAAATCGGAAAAGATGCAGGAATCGATATGAAAGACTTGATGGAAGGTCACGTCATATATCTTTTAGAATTTTATCGTTTGTCATGATAATAGTTCTATTTTTTTTATTATCAGGATTTTTTAATAAAATAAACTTTAAACCATGGTTCTTAAACTAGCTATAGCAACTAATTGTGCTATATTTGCATATCAAATTAAATTTAAATTAAAACTTACTGCAGTTTACTCAAAATACTCTCATAATCCTGCTCATCGGACTTTCTCTGATACGATCCTTCGAATTTTGCCATATACTTTTTGATGTATTCCTTAGTCTTTCCTTTAACAGAGTCTGTTGCCTTTAAAATACTATTCGACTGTGCACAGTGCTTTGACTCCTTCGTTAGAACTGAGAATGTTAGCTGTGAATTGAAAAAAAATTTCGATTAGATTAAAATAAATCTAGAGGATAAAAATTAAATCTATGGATTAAAATAAATCCATTTTACCTTATGAACCAAGCTATTGTAATCCTCAACTGAAGTAATTTTACCGATAATACATGCATCGTCACGATATGGCAACAAGTATTTCATAATTTCTTCCTTAATTTCATCCCTAAACTGCTTTTTAATGATTAATTGATCAGCTGGACTTATTTGAGGAACCGGCTTAGCTGGTTTCTTTAATTTCGATGGATCAATTGGAGATTCCTTCTTTTTAATGACTTCAGCTTCCTTTTTGATTTTTCTCATTTTGTCTAATTGCTTAGATTTATTGATTATGTCAAGCTCATCGACAATTTTCGCTAGACTTGCTTCGTTTAAAGATGAATCTTCTTCGTCCTCATCGCCTGAATGTTCAGCATGTTGTTCACCAAGCAGCATACGTCGCTTTTTATCACGTCTTAATTTTTCCTTAACTTCTTTGTATCGTTTTGTTTCCGTTCGCCCATAAAGTTTGTCTTCTTCAGTTCTTGGTCGAATAAACTTCATTGTGCTTAATCCACGACGACTTTTCTTTTTTAAGCACTTTTTAGCTGGAAGTTGTGATAATTTTATAGCTTGATCTGGTGGATTTGACAGCATGTTATTCATAATTTTTTTTTCTAAATCTTCTTCTTCAGTAATCATGTCATTCGATGGCAAATTTGTAGATTGTGATTGCATTAATTGTTTCTTTTTCTTAAGCATAGCTAATAGTTCCTTTAATTCCTCTTCTTCTTCATCTTCTGTCTCCGTTTCAGACTCGTCACTATCGAGTTCATAATCATATTCGTCGTCAGAATTAACATGCAATGGAAGTAATTTAATTGGTGCTTCCCATTGTGGCTGACGAATCTTTTCATGATAATAATAAATTCTACCGAACTTATCAATTGCGTATTTCCAATGATCAGGCAAGTCAATTGGTGGCAAGTGATAATCCTCAGTATTAGTTGAAAGAGTTAAAGGCTCATATTTGAAATTATGATGATTTGGAGGAACTGGAACTGTTTGTCCCATTAAATTACAATATTCGCCAGTCACACGATTTACACGAACTGGAACCATCATTGGATGAGTGTTTGTTGGAAGTCCAAATAATGCACAGTTATTATCATGAAGTGTAGCCATTCGAGTTTCTAATTCCTCTTGTGCTACCTTCATTGCATACATTTGACGTCTTTGTTGCCTCTCAACTGGTCCAATTGTTTTTTTATATGATGAATTAAAGTTTTTGTTGTTATTAGCTGTAAATGAATCCTCGCCAAATCTATTTTTATAACGATCATTGTCAATAGAATCAATTTTATTAATTTCCTGCCATTCTTCCATGCCTGCCTCGCGTTCATGCTCGATCATAATTTCCTGTTTTTGTTTCTTTGGAATACGAAAATCTTCCTTCAAAACTTCCCATTTCCTTAATAATTCTGATGCTGTTTCTTTAAGCAATAATTTTGTCGTTGGTAATTCTTCGAGAACATCAAAAGTTCTTATAAATATTGATTCTTCAGACTTTTGTTCGATAGATGTGTCTTGTTGGAATTTACTTGCTGCTTTATTCTTCTTTTTGTCAGCTTTTGCCTGCTTTTTCTCTTCTTTTGACAGCTTTTTTTTCTCCAAGTCAATATTTCTCCATTTTTCGACTCTTTCGAGGATTTTAGAGTCACGCAGCACTGTCTTGTTTGTAATTGGTAAAAGATCCAGTGCACTCATTAATTCTATACATAAATAAATGTCAGGAATTGAACTCTTTATGCTTATATCACACATCCAGCTATGCAATAATCTTAATCCATTATAATCAAGGAACAATCTTCGACATGGAAACTCTCCAGAAATTAAGATCTGTAATAAACGACTTCTTGCGTCTGTATTCTTAGCTCTGACAATTAATCGAGCAAGTCTAATTGTGTGTGCTCTGTTTTTCAAGCCTAAATTAGTCAAATCATTAATTTCTTCTTCAATTTCGAGATCTTCAAGTGGATCTTGACGCTTTTTGACCTTTCTAACAATTTTAACAACTTCCTTTTTAATTTCCTCCTTTTCTTCTGATACAGGCTCGTCAATTTCGTCTTCCTTAATCGGTTCTTGTTCATCTATTTCAGATTTTTCAGCTTTAACCTTGCCTTTTTTAACAATCACTTTCTTTGGCTTGCCTTTCTTAGCTTTAGAATCGTCAATTTCAATTTCTAGTTCCTCTTCACTTTCTGGATTTTCACCAATCCATCCACGACAATTTTCCGATTCACAATAGCACTTTTGTGCCTCTTTACCATACCTTTGAAATTGATAATCGAACGTTATTTCCTCTCCACGTCTAATGTCTCTAATACTAAAGAATCCAACTCTTAGTTCACCATTTACTGTCCATTTTTGTGTCATTGCATTTGGATCGCATGAATGATTAATAAATCTTGATATATTTCCTTTAACTGTTGCATCAATTACAGCATTACTTCTTAGTGCCATAAAATAGTAATGACGATTCTTATCCTTTGAATATTTCTTTGCTCTCTTATCAAATTGCTTATTATTCAGAACTTCGCCAACATATTCAATAATGAATGTTTCAGGTGGAATATCATCATCAGCTCTAATTCCAAAACCTTTCTTTTCAGTCCTAAAGACACTAACTGGTGAATAATTGTATCTTTGAAACTGCTGATTATCGCAAAATTCTCCACATCTACATTTTGAGCTGCATTCGATAAACAGTAATCTATTAATACAATTATATCGACATCCCATTTCACCATTTTTCAGGTCCTCTTCTGTCATTGTACAGTCACATTTCATAGTTTTATTGACTTTACAGATCACCTTGTCTGATGACTTCATATAAATATTATCCTTGATTGTTATAAATTGACTTAATCGTTCGTCACATTGCTTAACATCAAAACTTTCAGGAATAATGACTGGCTCTTGTTTAATAACTTGAGATCCTTCTATACCTTTCATCTCATCATCTTTAATCTGTACTGAATCATTTGACTTTTTCAGGATTTCTTCTGCCTCCATTTCAGCTAGTTTCTTATTTCTTGCCTTCAATTTTGCTGCTTCTTGAGCAATTAATGCATTTTCTTTGGCCATAACTATATCCTCTGTTTTGATGACTGGAGTTTCCATATAAATGCTTTTTAGTCTTCTAGATCTTCTTAAAAATGAGAATTCTTCGAGTTCTTCTATAGGTTTTGCTTCCTCCTTAACAACATTTGTTTCTGGTTCACTAATAACTTTTGGAACCACATCAGCTTCCTTTATTTCGGCATTTTCTGTGTCATTTAAAGTTAAATTTACTTCAATATTCTCAATTTTTATATCTTCGTCTTTACTTTCTATCAAAGACACTTCTTGGACATCCATTTTCTCTAAATTGTCATTAGATGAGTTATCAATGATAGTTATAGTCTCAGAATTTTCTTGTGGTTCTTCTTTAATTTGTATTGGTTCCTCGTCAGCTTGTTTGGGATTAATGGCTTCAATTTCAACAGATACCACACTTATTTCAGGCTCATTTTCATCAATACTGGATGTTTGAACTTGTGGAACCTCTTCAAGCTGTTTTTGTTCGATATTTGAACTATCGATTACTTCCTCTTTTATCTCAATCATCTCGACATCTTCACTTTGAACTTGTTCTTGTAATTTTTTGTCTTTTTCAGTTGATTTATTGACTTTTTCATGCAAACAGCAGTCAATTAACTTAATTTCTAAACATTTGATTGCTACTTCAGCCTTCTTTTCTTCATTTTCATTGAAATTGTCCATTTTTTCCTCCTTACTTGTAAATTCATTTTGTTTTGAAGATTCTTGGATGTTCTGTGTATCACTAATTGATGATTCCGTTGATTCTTCAATAAGTGCTGTTGATAAATTACTACTTTCTAATACCGAAACATCCAATTGACTGCTTGAAGTATCACTTTGAGCTGTTTTAATTATGATTTTACGAATTTCAATAATTGTATGATAAATATTATTGTTTTGACTTACGTTTACCACGAGAACTACGTCTGACCACTTGCTGTTGGATCTGCTCAGAGCTGGAACTTTCCGAAATATCAGATTTCTTTTTTCTTCCTCTCTAATTTTTATAAAAATCAAGTTTTAGTCAATTCAATGAGATTTACATGCTTATTTATGTTTTAATGTACCTTTGCTGGAGATTTAATTTCCACAATCACTTTTCCAGACCTTGTTTTCCTCTCCATTGTCCTTAAATTCTTGAATTCAATTAAATTTTTAAATTTTTCATGTAAACAAAACAATCAAAGGTGGTCCAATGTTTTAAAAATTGAGATTTTGAAAGTTTTATAAAAAATCGACTTTTCTATAGATTATGAAACCCCCTTAAGTTTTTCACGAATTTTCATGAGAAAAGAAAAACCTGAATTTTCCTTTTTAAAAAATAATGAATCACCAATATTGGATAACAAGAAATGCCAAAAAGCTGCAAAGGAAGTTCAATGCTAAAGAAGACGAGAATATAGTGCATAGGTAAGTCTTAGTAATTACGTTTGCTCATTTTAGCTGACATAAAAATCAATTAATTGCAATATGTTCATTTAAAAAAAACATCCAGTGATCTTGAACTAGACTCAAAAATTGAGCTATTTAAATCGATAAATGAATCCACGACCAATTTATCAAACATAGTCGACAAATATCGTGATGCACTCAATGTCCTGGCAAGTGAGATGGCAAATTTGGGTCAGTTCCTTCGTGATTGTGGGAAAAATTCAGCATCCAGTTCAGGTGTTATGATGAATTCAGGGAAAGTTATAAATTATTTGGGACAACAGCATTTCACAGGCATGTCAGCACTTACTCGAACATCCCAGGAACTTAATACATTTAAGAGAGCTGTAAATGACAGTAAAGAGACCATACAAGCTATGGAAAAGGAAAGGACTGAATATCGTGCATCGTTAGCTCTTATGAAAAATTGTAGTGCTGATATCGATCCAGATAGTGGACGAGGCTTAGAGAAATTTCGTACGTCGCAAAAATATGTCAAGTATGCGAAACAAAAATTCGACAAGTTCTCCTTAGCATGCTTACAAAAGGTAAGGGTATCAAATTTTAATAATCCATGAATATAGTTAACAATTAAAATCTACACAGATTGACTTGCTGTCGGCTGCTCGTTGCAATTTATTTTCGTACTCGCTTGCAGCTTATCAGAATAATTGGATGTCGTTGTTGTTGAAAAATCAGGAAGTTTTGGAAGCTCATATAAGGATAATTGAGAATGAGCCGATAAAACACAGTTTTAGTGGTGTTTTAAAGGAATTAACACAAGAAATTGCCAGTTCTCAAAATGTCAAACAGCCAGAAGCGATAGAATTGAATGATAATGATCAACGACTATTCTTTAGTGAAGAATTCAGCGATGGAGTTCAAGCTGAAAATAAAGTAGAAAATAATAATGATAAGAATGGTGTCAATGATGCAGCAGAAGTAAAGGCTAATGAAAATCACAAGCTTATTGATTATGAAGCATTTGATGAGTTTACAAGTTCATCTAATATTCTATTGCCTTCACAATTGCTCATGGATGACTCGTTATTTAATCAAAATGAAATAGGCGACTTGCTAGGATCATTAATGCCCTCCTCAGCCATGCAATCTAGTGATTTAATAGCATCAAATCAAGCCACAGCAAGCAACAGCAAAGAAAACACTCCACTTTCGCTCAATAAGAATCCATCGAAAAAGTCGAGTGACATTAGTAAATGGTTCCAGTTATTTTCAGATCTTGATCCATTAAATCAGCAAAAGGAAGTTAGAGATGCAAATGAGAACATGCATGCAGCATAAAATAATCTCTTTTCGTATTCTCTATGTTTATTTATGTGATATATTTTTAAATTATATGTGTAATCCAGAGTTGCTTTATGAGAGTATTGTGACATGTGACATGGTTTCGAAACAGTTGAGTGACAAATAAATGACACGTCAAATACATCGTTTTTGACAATGACACTTGTCACTTAAAAGTCACGCTGTTGTGGAGCAACTCTGGTGTGATCTGTATTTTCCAAAAAACCAAAAAAAAACAAACAATAAGTCATTCCAAAAAGAATAAGAGATTCCGTGATCTCGAAATGTCCGAAAAAGCTTCAAAAAGTATCTTTCTAGTCATTTTCCTATTTTTTTTTGTGTGAACAAACTATTATTAAAGTAATAAATTATTTCAAACATTTAAATCGACTTTTCATTTAGGTATCTGTTGAATTGATCATTTATATTTTTTTTAATAACATTCTTTGTTTTAATTGGGTAATATTATAATCATTATATAGGTAGTTAAGCAAAAGGAATGAAAATTTCATAGCGTCATTATCGTAAACAGAATTTATAACACTTATCTACATTAAAAAACATTTGATTAAATTAATTTCTGACAAAACAAGAATATGAGCATTTTGTTGATATTTCAAGATATAACAGATCATATATTAATAAAAAGGATACTGATAATGTTTGCTATGTATGTTATGCTTTTCATTTCTGCAATTACTTACTCGTCAAACGATATATCTGTTGGATTTTCTTCCAAAATTTCATTCAATTTCATAATAATGCCGACCTCTTTGAGCTTGTCGTGTCTCGAGGATCGATTCATTAAGTTCTTTACAGCAAATAGTGCGCCACTTTGTAGCTTTTGATCGTTCACAACGAGAAAGTCTTTAAGTTTCAATAAAATTTTGTCATCATTTAATATCAAGTCATGTGCTCCTGCTGCTAGATTTCCTATTATGCATAGTGCTTGTTCTTTAATCTCTGACGAATGGGGTGAATCCAAAACCATGATAATTGCATTTAATATTTCCTGTGCATGACTTGCCATTATTGACTCAATATGAAGGGAGGTTGAGAGTAAATTACGTAAAAGTCCTAGAGACTTCATAATTACGCGCGTATCGGAATCGCCAAGAAGTTGAAATATACGCTCAGTTCCCAATGTATTAATAATTTCCGTTTTAACATGCTGCTCAGCTTGAAATGCCATATTCATTAGTGCCCAAGTTCCATTCAATCTTAACGATGCATTTTCATTTCTGGTTAATTCACAGAGTATTTCAATGGCACCAGAATCCAATAGACTATCCTTACACGGTGAAAACTCCAACAATAAATTACAAATTGTCGATGATACGACAGTCATCAGTTCTGATGATGGTTTATCATGAATTAAGTTCATTAATGGTTTCCATATTTTGTGATCTTGAAATGTCGTACGTAATAATTGTACAGATCTTGATAAACTATGTAGACAACGAACGGCAGCCACTTTGACACTTCCATCTTCTTTCAATGCATTTAAAACTTCATCAATCAGCCCACGCATATCAATTATTCTCTTCCTTATTGTTTCATCATTTGCTGTTAAAGATGCAAAGCATTTTAATGCCGATTCCTTTGATGATACATTAGTGCAGTTTAATAAATTCGCGAGATTATTAATTAAATGATTACTTATTGCTGCTAGCCTTTGAAGCTCTGAATCAATTTCTGCTAAATATGCCAAGGATTCTGCAGATTCGCCTCGAATCTTCTCATTAAACTCGGGTGCACATAGACGAGCCAAACATGGTAAAGCTTTATAGAGAATCTTACTGTCTTCAGATTTAAGGGAAGAAGTACCAGAACGATGGATATATGTCAAACATTTGGAAGCATTTAATTGAATTTCTGGTGAATTTGAACGTGAGACTAAGGATGTTAAAACATCAAGAATTGGTTTTCCATGAAAATTTGTAGCACACACAATATCAGATACAGCACGATTCGTAAAGCACATAGATGCTAAGCATCTCAAACCAGGCAATTGAAGTTCCTCATATTCTGATTGAATTAGCCGTGCAAGAAATGGAATTCCACCTGCTTGCGTTAAATTTAAGCTAGAGTTCAAGATATTTCCTTGTGATGAAAATGAGAGTAATATATTGGCTACAAATGATTGACAATTAATTGATGTGTCTGATGACGCAAGCTCTAAAAAATAAGAAAAATTCATGATAAGGCAAAACGGTTTATCAATTTAGGGACAATAACAACATTTAAACTTACGAATAAGCCTTGACAGAGTGTTGATGTCTTCTGAATATTTGAAAAATGATGAACGGATTTTGTTGGGGTATTGCATGATAGTCTTTAGGACACTTAAGCATATTTCAATCATTTTAGGATCTGTTGATGACGACAATGCTAAATTTAAGAGAATCTCCTCGGTTCCATATTTGTCAAGATCTTGTACGAGATCCTCAGTTCCTTTTGCCAATGAATTTATGATAATCAAGACATTAAGACGAAGATACAATGGTTTATTTTCATTCTGGATGATCGTTAATAGACGAGGAACGACTCCTTGTTGTATGATGAATTTCTTCTGTTTATTGGACCCAATTACGAGATTTTTAATCTTATTTGTGGCCTCAAAACATGCTTCATCATTATCCGAAAACAAATTATCCATATATGATCGAAAGCTCTCAACTTCCTATATGAATAATATAAGAATCCAGCGATAAGTATAAATGCATAATAGTACATTAGAGGGAAAATAATCTGAATGTCAAGGTTATGTTATCATTAACTTCTCACAACTTTCTATTCATTAAATCTCTTAAAAACACAATATAATACTAATTAATGACTTAAAAGTCATTAATATGATCTTTTTGCATGTCTGAATTTCAAAATTTGACGAAAGATCCAGAACTTTTGAGCAAAAATTTTGCCGATTTTTCATTTTCAATTCTTACCATAAAACAGCATATTTCCATTGCCATTCTTATGTTAATACTACACAATAAGTTCTTAAAAACCTTTTAATCACTCTTTTTCTTTGGGCAAACGTCTAAATCTAGATCAATTTAATATAATTTCCTCGAAAATATTAAAAATATTAAGTTTTTAATGAACCCCCCTTTTCCTTTTGCTAGCTAATGTCTGTCATGCACTCCAACTTTCTTTATTATTCTTCTTAATCAGCCTTAATTTTCTAATGTGGCTTGACTATTAGCTGTTTGAGTTCTATCAATCAAATATTAAAAGGATAGCTATGGATGTATTTTAAGTTTTATGACATAAAACAGCACATAATATTATTATGAAATTTTTTTATAGACATTCAGTCAGGGGAAAAACAATGTTGCGAAATTGTCAGAGAATCTTTTTGCGCATTTACTCACCAAAATCTTTAATTCACTCTCATTATTCAAATATGTCTTCTGCATTAGTTATTTTGCCATCTGGAGCTGAAGAAATCGAGTTTGTAGGCACAGTTGATCTTTTGAGACGTGCAGGCGTGAGTATATCTATATATTTTGGAGTATATTACAGAATTTTCATTGTTATTGAATTTTAAAATTAAATTATTGACAATAGATTACAGTGACAGTAGGTGGATTAGATGGAAAAGATCCAGTAAAATGCTCACGGGATGTCCTGATTGTTCCAGATGTTGATTTGAAGGATGTAGCAAAGAGTCAATTCGATGCTATTGTAAGTTTTTAAAATAGTTTTCTATAATTAGAAATATTTGATATAAAAATGTACCGGCTAATATCAATCTATCCTTTTGTGGACATTCATTTATAAATAGGTTCTTCCTGGTGGATTAGGTGCTGCTAAATCTATGTCTGAATCATCCCTTACAGGCGAAATTCTAAAGAATCAAGAAAAAGAAGGCAAACTTATTGCTGCAATTTGTGCATCTCCAGCTATGGTATTTAAAGCTCACGAAATTGGACAAAACAAGAAGATTACATGCTATCCATCATTCAAGGACGATTTAGGAAGCAAATACACATTTGTTGATGAAAAGGTTGTTCAAGATGGTCAATTAATTACTTCGCAAGGTCCTTCAACAGTTTTTGATTTCGCCTTGAAAGTCATTGAACATTTATGTGGAAAAGACAAGTCTGATACCGTTGCAAAGCAAATTTTATACAAATAAAAACTCAAAATTTATAATTACTAATATGTAGCTTGATCTCTGCATTCTGAAAATAAAGATCTAAGTCAATTTTGGAATAACCAACATTGTTTTAATCCTAAGATTTAATTTAAATCCACCACGATTAAAACATTAAATCCTAAGATATAAACTATTTATCATATAGCAGATTAAAGGTATTAAAGGCTCATGATGAACTTTATTGAAATAAATTAAATAGATGCCATTCATGTTTATAAATGTCGAAATTGTTGCACAGTAAGTAAGCTTTAACAGGCTTTTATTCAATTGTTGCTTGCAAATGGAATCTCGAATTATGAATATCATTTGGAATAAAAAGTAGTGATTAGTAGAGATTTGCGCAATCATGCAAATTATAATAATGAAGGAAAAAATATGATTTTAATAAGAACGAAAGTCCTGAAGATTTAATAGCAAATAATAACTATAATTATTTTATGTATATGATGTTAATGTTACTAGAATAAGTATCCTATAAAGATATTTTTGCCTTAGTTTTGCGCACGATCTTCTTTACCACAAATGCATTAAACATTTCCTAACTTAAAATTTATTAATTTAAACACAATTTGAGATGATTTTTTTTCTTTTAGAATGTCTTTCTATGGACTGCGCGTTGTCCTTCCTCGTCAAACTCGCGTTTTGATATCCACATTTTTTTGAATGTATCCAGAGAAGCTAAAATAGATCCACCCATCCATGTTGAGTAGAGTCTTTCTTGCGGTGCCGCAATCTTCAAATAATAAAATCATCAATTGAGGGTTTAAATATTAAGAATAGTATGCTACTTACTCGAATTTTCATATCCTTGGCCACGTTTTTCTTAATCTCTTGTAGTAATCGATCACCAAAGTTCTTAAAAAGCGTAGATCCGCCACTAAGTACAATATTTTGATATAACATTTTTCTCAGATCCATATCAGATTTCTGAATTGAATACATCAATACTTCGTGAATGCCTTCACACTCCTCGCCAATCAAATCAGGCCTAAAGAGAACTTCTGGTGCTCGGAAACGTGCTTGACCAATCTAAAATTAGCGTCATATAACTGTAAAATAATTCCTATACTTGAAAGAAAAATGATAAATTAATACCTCAAGAGTGTTTCCGTCGGGAAGCACGTAGCCAATTTTGTCTGTATCCATACTTTCTTCTTTCTGAAGATTAGTAGCAAGATAACAGACCTTTTCTTTGATCATCTTGACAATTTCAAACTCAGCAGTTGTGCGAAAATTGAAGCCTTCTTTTCGAATCAGAGCTTTAAGGTACCGTGTTACATCTCGTCCAGCAATATCGACTCTCATTATACTGTGAGGCATTGCAAAACCCTCATAAATTGGAACTGAATGTGTAACACCATCACCTGAATCAAGCACAACTCCAGTAACTCTGCCTGTAGCATATAAGCTTAAAACTGCTTGCATTGAAACAAAAAGTGCAGGAACATTGAAAGTTTCAAAAAAGATTTCTGCTGATTTCTCGCGATTCTTTCGAGGATTTAATGGGGCTTCTGTCAATAAAACAGGATGTTCTTCAGAAAATGTTGACAATTGGTCCTAAAATTCATCAATAAATTTAAAAGAAAACATGATCCAGTGAATGTAGTCTACCTTTCCGTATATATGAGTCCAGATTCTCTCCATATCATTCCAATCTGTGATAATTCCATGTTCCATAGGATATTTTATACTAAGTAATCCACGATGATCATCCGCTCTTTGACCTACAAACATATCTCCTTCTAAAGCTCCTGCCATCACTCGTATATGCTTTGGTCTTCCCATACTAATAAGAGAATAATGCAAATGATTTTTATGATGTCATCAATTGACAGACTTTTTCTATAAATATCACTTACTAATTAGGAAAAATACATTTGGGTATTTGATCTCCAGCAAATCCAGCCTTGACGATACCGGAACCCTAAAGAAAATAGCAGAATTAAGGATTTCATTAAAAGTTTTCTTTTTCATATGGGCGATTTTTTTTGATGATGATTCATTTATTTCAATTCATGCGGCTCAAATAGTGAAAATTACGGTAAATTGAATCAATACTTGATGTACACAAGGCTTATTATACTCACATTATCTATGACAACAGGTTGATTCACAATTACATCATAAGCTTCCATTATATCCTACTATTTTTAAATAATTTTAAATGTTTCCAAATTAAAATTATTTTTTTTCTGTGCAATTTTGTTTGTTGATTTATTTTTGAATTTCCAATAACCGTTATTTTTTCAACTTTTCAAATTCTTTATTCTGACAACTGTTTTACAGAATTAATTCCAACATTGACAAAATTAACTTATTTCTAATGTTTCCAGTCGTAATAAACTAGTTTGCTACATAGCAAAAGATCAATTTAAATAAGAAAACTTTAAAAGTTTCGTAACGTTCAAAAAAGATTTGAAAATCCATAAAAATTCTCGGAAGTAAACAAGATCCATACTGGATCTTTTTGTAAAGTGTAATTTAATTTCTGTGAATATAACTGTGTGGATATACTCAAAATATTAGTAAATCGTCAACAATGCATAGTAACTTCTCTGTAAATATGCCATCTTGGCTGTATCCTGGAATGCGAGCTATTTATCAAAGTTTATTTGGAATATATCGAGAAAGTAATCCTTTAGTTATATCTACAGTCAATAAAATCTGGCAGTTTCCCAATTCTAATGAAGTTCTTGACTATATATTCATATATCTTAATGCTGGATCTATAGAAGAGAATGTACCACCTCATTGGCACTATGTAAGTTTAGGTCTGTCTGATTTGTATGGAGACAGCCGAATACATCCTATAGATCCAACAGCAAGCAGTTCCGATAGATTGAGTGGATTTGGTATAGAATTAACGATGAGAATTAAAAAATATTCAGAAATATCTCCTCCAAGTTGGCCAGCACAGTTAATGCAGCAGTTGGCTAAATATGTGTTTGTCTCCAGAAATAAGCTCTTACCTAACGACTACTTACCTTGGAATAAACCACTTGATCCTGAAAAAGAGGACTGTACCATTAAACACATGCTAATTGCACTAGATTGTCAACTTAAAAGGATCAAAACTGTTCTTGGACATATCTCATTCTGCCAAATTGTCGGAGTCACCGATGAAGAGGTAGGTACTCAAATATTGTAAACATGCCTCTAATACTCATAACATATCATTTAATATAGCTCAACTGCTCACAATCGTTTAACGTGAAGCAAGTTTTGGAAGTATTGAAGCAAGATCCATCGACAGGTGGAATATCATTAATTACAGACATGCAAAGGACAAGAAGCGTTTTTGATTTATTTCCACAAACTTTGAGAGCACTTGAGGATGATTTAGAGCGTGAAGGATCGGATTTAGCTGGAGTCAATGGAGAATTTTTCTACAGAGAGTTACCTAATATTGCAATTAAGACATCATTGTGCCTTACTATGTCTGATTCAGAGAAATCACTTGATTTTACAAGACATCTCGGTCGTTTGGATATTCGCACAAGTGCTGAATTAAATGCACACCACTCATCACCATTTTTGGCATTTTCAAGACACTTGCCTGTATTTCTCGACGGTGTTGAGATCATTTTTTCCCCAAATACTGCGAAATTCTTAAAGCTTGCATTTAAGCATCGTTTAGGCAAAGGACATCATTTTACGTTCCAAAATCCAGACACTCACCTCACATTTGTAACTGATAATGTCAGTGGCTGTTTTGTCTCAAATGAACAGCCATATGCATTAAATGGGAAATGGCTACAAATTCGCATCGACAAAGAGTTTTTAAACACAATCATTGATTCTATTCAGGAGTTTGATGCTGAAAATGCTCACCAACTTCCGAGAATCTTTGACTTTCCTGAAAAGAATCTTCGATTTATAGTTAATAATTTGGGTACTTAATGAGGAATTTGTTTTTTGTATGAACAGGGCTCAAAAGTACCCCCTTAAATTCTGAAATTGAACATTATTTTATCTGCGCAACTAACGTCTTCCTAGTTTTAAGAAGTGATATAAAAACAAGATAAATCTCATAAAATGTGCCTTTTAGCAAGACTACTTGACTGACTATTCATGTTTTTTGTGTAGTTCTTATTATATATATTTTTTAATAAAAAATAAATAAAATTGCAATAAAATATTAATTTGTCTCCTTTTTAAGCTACTACTCGACATCCACTTGCTTTGTTGTCATTATCTTCCTTAATATCATTTGATTTATCTCCGCTTGAAATATGTAATTTGTCAGGGTTGTTAATCGATTTCACATGGACACGTGCTTCATGTTGTTTAACTTTTAATTTTGATTCACTTGCTTACAAGTCATGTTTGAATCAGTTTTAAATACGTAAGCGACAACAACAACCCCTCTTATTATAAAATTAAATGCCACTTTCATCCCTCGTTAAATTTTTTTAATAAAATATTTCAACAATGAATGAATGAATGAATAAGAAGAGAAGAAAAATCGGGGATGCCTTATTATGAGGCTGGCAAGATCGCATCAACACTATAATTTGTATTTTTCAAAGCAATAATTGCATATCAAATATTGTCCTTCCTCTCCCTTTCTCTACACATCTTCATGCCTTATTTAATAACAATTTTAATATTTATTGTTATTAGCTTTTAATGTGATGATGATACGGATTTAGTAAAATAAAATATGCTCAAGAATGTCAATAAAAATAAAGAACGGAAAGAAGAGGATAAAAGTTATTGAGGGAAAAATGTCATTTTAATATCATTATATTCACATGATCTATCGTGGTTCAAAGAAATTCGTCCCTTTTTACCAAATACCTCAAACATCCCAGCATGTTATATACATTTTATTTTTTTGTGTGATAAATGATAATATCACAAATATTTAATAAATCATTGGGTAGATACACTTGTTAATAATATTAGAACAATCACTGCTGAGTTATGCTGATTTTCTGAATCTCCTTTTTATTGTTGTTTTGGGAATTTTTTGAAGTTATTTGATGAATTTTGGATTTTTAAAATTTTAACGGTTTTCAAAAATTTGATTTCAAAGTTTAATTTTTGAAATTCATTGTTTACAAAAATTGAACCTACTGAAAAACATGGATTATTGCCTTAATTTCTCTTAAAACTCAATCAAAAATAGGTGGATATGATAGCTTAGATGTTGGTGCATATCCTGATATACTTTAAATAGATATTGCCTTAATTTCTCTTAAAACTCAATCAAAAATAGGTAGATATGATAGCTTAGATGTTGATGCATATCGTGATATACTTTAAATAGAAGAATTTAATAAATTTTGACGGTTTTCAAAAATTTGATTTCAAAGTTTAATTTTTGAAATTCATTGTTTACAAAAATTGAACCAACTGAAAAACATGGATTATTGCCTTAATTTCTCTTAAAACTCAATCAAAAATAGGTGGATATGATAGCTTAGATGTTGGTGCATATCCTGATATACTTTAAATAGATATTGCCTTAATTTCTCTTAAAACTCAATCAAAAATAGGTAGATATGATAGCTTAGATGTTGATGCATATCGTGATATACTTTAAATAGAAGAATTTAATAAATTTTGACGGTTTTCAAAAATTTGATTTCAAAGTTTAATTTTTGAAATTCATTGTTTACAAAAATTGAACCAACTGAAAAACAAGGATTATTGCCTTAATTTCTCTTAAAACTCAATCAAAAATAGGTAGATATGATAGCTTAGATGTTGATGCATATCGTGATATACTTTAAATAGAAGAATTTAATAAATTTTGACGGTTTTCAAAAATTTGATTTCAAAGTTTAATTTTTGAAATTCATTGTTTACAAAAATTGAACCTATTGAAAAACAAGGATTATTGCCTTAATTTCTCTTAAAACTCAATCAAAAATAGGTAGATATGATAGCTTAGATGTTGATGCATATCGTGATATACTTTAAATAGAAGATTTTAATAAATTGTAACGGGTTTCAAAAATTTGATTTCAAAGTTTAATTTTTGAAATTCATTGTTTACAAAAATTGAACCAATTGAAAAACATGGATTATTGCCTTAATTTCTCTTAAAACTCAATCAAAAATAGGTGGATATGATAGCTTAGATGTTGATGTATATCGTGATATACTTTAAATAGAAGAATTTAATAAACTTTAACGGTTTTAAAAAATTTGATTTCAAAGTTTAATTTTTGAAATTCATTGTTTACAAAAATTGAACCTATTGAAAAACAAGGATTATTGCCTTAATTTCTCTTAAAACTCAATCAAAAATAGGTAGATATGATAGCTTAGATGTTGATGCATATCCTGATATACTTTAAATAGAAGATTTTAATAAATTTTAACGGTTTTCAAAAATTTGATTTCAAAGTTTAATTTTTGAAATTCATTGTTTACAAAAATTGAACCAATTGAAAAACAAGGATTATTGCCTTAATTTCTCTTAAAACTCAATCAAAAATAGGTAGATATGATAGCTTAGATGTTGATGCATATCCTGATATACTTTAAATAGAAGAATTTAATAAATTTTAACGGTTTTCAAAAATTTGATTTCAAAGTTTAATTTTTGAAATTCATTGTTTACAAAAATTGAACCTACTGAAAAACATGAATTATTGCCTTAATTTCTCTTAAAACTCAATCAAAAAAAAGTGGATTAATAGCTTAGATGTTGATGCATATCCTGATATACTTTAAATAGAAGAATTTAATAAATTTTAGCGGTTTTCAAAAATTTGATTTCAAAGTTTAATTTTTGAAATTCATTGTTTACAAAAATTGAACCAATTGAAAAACAAGGATTATTGCCTTAATTTCTCTTAAAACTCAATCAAAAATAGGGAGATATGATAGCTTAGATGTTGATGCATATCCTGATATACTTTAAATAGAAGAATTTAATAAATTTTAACGGTTTTCAAAAATTTGATTTCAAAGTTTAATTTTTGAAATTCATTGTTTACAAAAATTGAACCTACTGAAAAACATGGATTATTGCCTTAATTTCTCTTAAAACTCAATCAAAAAAAGTGGATTAATAGCTTAGAAGTTGATGCATATCCTGATATACTTTAAATAGAAGAATTTAATAAATTTTAGCGGTTTTCAAAAATTTGATTTCAAAGTTTAATTTTTGAAATTCATTGTTTACAAAAATTGAACCAATTGAAAAACAAGGATTATTGCCTTAATTTCTCTTAAAACTCAATCAAAAATAGGGAGATATGATAGCTTAGATGTTGATGCATATCCTGATATACTTTAAATAGAAGATTTTAATAAATTTTAACGGTTTTCAAAAATTTGATTTCGAAGTTTAATTTTTGAAATTCATTGTTTACAAAAATTGAACCAATTGAAAAACAAGGATTATTGCCTTAATTTATCTTAAAACTCAATCAAAAATATGGAGATATGATAGCTTAGATGTTGATGCATATCCTGATATACTTTAAATAGAAGAATTTAATAAATTTTAACGGTTTTCAAAAATTTGATTTCAAAGTTTAATTTTTGAAATTCATTGTTTACAAAAATTGAACCTACTGAAAAACATGGATTATTGCCTTAATTTCTCTTAAAACTCAATCAAAAAAAGTGGATTAATAGCTTAGATGTTGATGCATATCCTGATATACTTTAAATAGAAGAATTTAATAAATTTTAGCGGTTTTCAAAAATTTGATTTCAAAGTTTAATTTTTGAAATTCATTGTTTACAAAAATTGAACCTACTGAAAAACAAGGATTATTGCCTTAATTTCTCTTAAAACTCAATCAAAAATAGGGAGATATGATAGCTTAGATGTTGATGCATATCCTGATATACTTTAAATAGAAGATTTTAATAAATTTTAACGGTTTTCAAAAATTTGATTTCAAAGTTTAATTTTTGAAATTCATTGTTTACAAAAATTGAACCTACTGAAAAACAAGGATTATTGCCTTAATTTCTCTTAAAACTCAATCAAAAATAGGGAGATATGATAGCTTAGATGTTGATGCATATCCTGATATACTTTAAATAGAAGATTTTAATAAATTTTAACGGTTTTCAAAAATTTGATTTCAAAGTTTAATTTTTGAAATTCATTGTTTACAAAAATTGAACCTACTGAAAAACATGGATTATTGCCTTAATTTCTCTTAAAACTCAATCAAAAAAAGTGGATTAATAGCTTAGAAGTTGATGCATATCCTGATATACTTTAAATAGAAGAATTTAATAAATTTTAGCGGTTTTCAAAAATTTGATTTCAAAGTTTAATTTTTGAAATTCATTGTTTACAAAAATTGAACCAATTGAAAAACAAGGATTATTGCCTTAATTTATCTTAAAACTCAATCAAAAATAGGGAGATATGATAGCTTAGATGTTGATGCATATCCTGATATACTTTAAATAGAAGATTTTAATAAATTTTAACGGTTTTCAAAAATTTGATTTCGAAGTTTAATTTTTGAAATTCATTGTTTACAAAAATTGAACCAATTGAAAAACAAGGATTATTGCCTTAATTTATCTTAAAACTCAATCAAAAATATGGAGATATGATAGCTTAGATGTTGATGCATATCCTGATATACTTTAAATAGAAGAATTTAATAAATTTTAACGGTTTTCAAAAATTTGATTTCAAAGTTTAATTTTTGAAATTCATTGTTTACAAAAATTGAACCTACTGAAAAACATGGATTATTGCCTTAATTTCTCTTAAAACTCAATCAAAAAAAGTGGATTAATAGCTTAGATGTTGATGCATATCCTGATATACTTTAAATAGAAGAATTTAATAAATTTTAGCGGTTTTCAAAAATTTGATTTCAAAGTTTAATTTTTGAAATTCATTGTTTACAAAAATTGAACCAATTGAAAAACAAGGATTATTGCCTTAATTTCTCTTAAAACTCAATCAAAAATAGGGAGATATGATAGCTTAGATGTTGATGCATATCCTGATATACTTTAAATAGAAGAATTTAATAAATTTTAACGGTTTTCAAAAATTTGATTTCAAAGTTAAATTTTTGAAATTCATTGTTTACAAAAATTGAACCAATTGAAAAACAAGGATTATTGCCTTAATTTATCTTAAAACTCAATCAAAAATAGGGAGATATGATAGCTTAGATGTTGATGCATATCCTGATATACTTTAAATAGAAGAATTTAATAAATTTTAACGGTTTTCAAAAATTTGATTTCAAAGTTAAATTTTTGAAATTCATTGTTTACAAAAATTGAACCTATTGAAAAACAAGGATTATTGCCTTAATTTCTCTTAAAACTCAATCAAAAATAGGCAGATATGATAGCTTAGATGTTGATGCATATCCTGATATACTTTAAATAGAAAAATTTAATAAATTTTAACGGCTTTCAAAAATTTGATTTCAAAGTTTAATTTTTGAAATTCATTGTTTACAAAAATTGAACCTATTGAAAAACAAGGGGGGACCGTCAAAAATAATAGGAATTTCAGTTTAACGGTTTAGTAAAATTCAAAAATTTCTCATATTTTCGAGCAAAATGACCAAAACTTTAATCAGCTGAAAATCTAATTAATACTCGTGAATTTGTAACTTTAACTTTTTAAAACACAAAATAGAACCTTAGAAACATACTATCGACATTTAAATATGAGTTGTATAACGTTTTAATTATGTTTTCAGCAATTTTCGAAAAAATAAAATTATTTTGTTGACTGAAAACATACAAGAAAATTCAAAAAAATGATATTCGTTACAAGATTTTGAAACTTAAAGTGTTAATTTAAGTAACTTCCAATCATTTTATTGATAAAAATGATAATTTGAATGCACAAATAGAAGAAATAGCACAATTTGGTACAGAAAAACTAAAATTTAAGCTTGGAATAAAGAAGTTATTAAAGGTTGTTTACACTCAAAATACCCTTTCCCGAAAATTCTACGTCATCGGTGGATATTCAAATGGCTCTACAGAAGGAACCAGACATGCTAGGAAAATGATAATGGTCTCAAACTCTTCGTCTCGGCAAATTCTATAATACTAATAAAGAACAAAATACAGTTTCATGGAAAAAAAACACAAAAAATGACTAAAAGTGGTCTCCGATGACGTAGAATTCATTTTTGACGGGCCCCAAGGATTATTGCCTTAATTTCTCTTAAAACTCAATCAAAAATAAGTAGATATGATAGCTTAGATGTTGATGCATATCCTGATATACTTTAAATAGAAGAATTTAATAAATTTTAATGATTTGACTACCCTGTTTTTTCGTTATAAGCTAGTAGCTTAGAAGAATAAAAAAGTGATTTTTTTTGGCTCACTAGTAGCTTAGTAACGAGTAGTAGCTTAGTAAAGAAATTGAACTTCAGTGAAAATTTTGAATTTTTTAACTTAATTAAAGAAATTTTGCTATCTTCTCGATTTTATTTCATTGATAATGTCATAAGGCATTGAAACTGATACTTAGAAAGTTGAAAAAGATTAATTATACTTTATTTTTGGTAGTAGCTTAGTAAAGATTACAAAAAAATTTCAAGTTCAAAAAAACTTTACTAAGCTAGTAGCTTAGTAACGAGTAGTAGCTTATAACGAAAAAACAGGGTAGATACTTTATAAAATGATTTTGCATTCAATGTTTTCGAGGCATAAATTTCAAAAATAAATTGACAGTTATAAAACTTTTTTTGATTAAGGTATGAATTTCGATTAAAATCAATGCATAATGTACTGTAATGACTTTTAAACACAGCTGCACGAAATAAAACTGAACTGACTCATAATCTGGTATTTAATGCTTATCAGTTATGTAAGAACTTTTAAATCACAATTAAGGATGATTTTAAAAAAATTTAACAACATGTAAAACAGGCGATAATTACATAGATTTTTTTAATAATAATTAACTTTTCACCATTAATCGAATGACATTACAAAATCGAATTAATCTCCTTCCCTTCCTATCATTAATGAGGGTATATGCTTTATGCTCATTTATTTAATTAACGAAAATGATGATCATAATAAGGGTCATTTTTCGCTGTTGTCATAAAAACTCATTATCTCATTTCTGTAACTGATGAAAAAGGATGACAAGAAATAATAATTAATTCGTTATGGACAATATGTTTGCTTTAAATTTGTAACTCGTAATTGGATTACGTATAGCAGATTAAATTTGAATAGAGGAACAAAGTCTCTTGAATAAATGAGCATTTAATGTAGCGAATAGCTTAGTTTTTATCAAAAGATTTCCACCTCATGAAAATGTGGAGAGAAAATGAAGAAAAATTGCTGTAACATTTCATTAACCATTTTTAATATTAACGCAAGCGCTTTAGATGGAAGATTAAGAGATTTGATGGTATTTCTCCTCATTTAATACGCTAAGGAAAATGTTATAATGCTTCATTATGTGCCTCTAATAGCTTGATGTAACTAGCTTTGTATCATTAAGGATATTTGCACGTTGGAGCGTGGATTAAGGAGGTAATACGTTTATGGAAGTATGTTGCTGAAAAATGTTTTATTAAAGTTTTAGATGTTTTGAACTTAAGTTATAAAAAATCTAAATGTTTCCAAAATTTTCGTCTCTCTTTGATCAATATCAGAGAAATGTCATACAAGACTCAATCATCCTCTATTAAAAAGAGGAACTAAATCCATCTAATGCCCTTGACGTGGACATAAATGAACATAATACCAGCAAATCATAAGCTAATTTTCCATGACAATTCTTTTATCGACATATTTTTTAATGAATCGAGTAGCTTCAAAATTGTCGATAAGTTCCTTTGTACAGTATCAGTATTTGATGATAAAATTTTTAATCTAACGTAGGCGTGTTATATCCCCTTTCTATAATGAATTCATAATTCTTCTATCCTCGTCAACGTTTAATAAACGATTTATGAATTTTTCTCCTAGCTATATCTCTCCTTCTCTCGTTCGTCTATTTTTTCTATGTTCGTTCAATGACGATGGCATACATTTTTAATGGTAAAATCCACCATCATGAATTTATACTCCTCTTTTTTTTGTTTAAAAAAATCAGAAAATAATATTAAAACAAGAGAAAAAGTTCATAACTCAATATTATCCGGCCTTTCATATTGCCTTTGATGTTTTTGTTCTTTCTTCTTTCAGAAAAGGGAAATATGAAATCCGCTGTTTTAAAACCGAAGCTAGCAAGCAGGAAGGCAGGCAGCATAAAAAGGGAAATATAAAGTAGAAGAAAATAACATTGGAGCGCTCACGTTTCTCATCAAACATTATACCCATCCATGAAACAAGTATTTTGAATGAAAAGTTTTGTACATCATAGCAGTTTTCCTACTGCTGTATATTATAGCAATATAATATCTTTCGCAATAATATATATATGCGGTTTTTGAAATTTATTTTTGCTTTGTAAAAATTGTGCGGTAAGTTATGAAATATGAAATACAGAACAAAGCAGTTTGTTAAAGGCTATCACAGCTTTTTATTGGATGAGACGATTGAGTCTTTTATCTTTGTACTTTTGAAGCGTTCTGAAGAATTGTATTAAAAGCTTTTATTTGCGAAAGCTATTAAAATGAGTTTGAGTGATTAAGAATTCTTATGAGTGCTTAATATGTTCAATATATAACTTAATAATCCTAATGTTAAGATGTTTCATAATATATCCGTTGAGTTACCAACAGTTCATATTATCTAAATTCAAAAAGCTGTAAAAACTCTATTCAGTAATCAAAGTTCATGTCATTTCAATTCAAAAAATTCAAATTAAAAAAACCCGTTAAGAATTTCAAAACTACTTAAAAGTAAAATTACGATTATTTTATATAAATGTGAAATAAGTATCTTTATTAAAATCGAAATCCTCGATCTATATTTACAGTTATGAGGATAAAATTCTTTAAATTTTCATATTTTCGTCTATATATACATATTCGTTCCATTGATGATATGCTTTTTATTAGGGATTCAATACCGGACCAAAATTTCAATCCCGGGATTACGGTAGATTCGGTTCAGAAACTTGTATAAAATTGCGTTTAACACGTTCAAAATAAAAGCTTTCAATTACAAATTAGGTGTATTAATCATTAAAAAAATTTTTAAGTTGAAAACTAAGCCAGAAAGTTAAAGTTTTTCCAAACAAATCAATATTTCCTTTTCTTGTCTTGTCTGAACTTTTTAACTTTACAATAAGAATTTTTGTTAATTTTCATAAAGTTTATCTTAAAATTAACTTTTCATATCAAAAATGATTTAAAATTTTTCGTAAAAATTTGATTTTTTTTTGTCGAGCTATTGTGATTTTTCTTATGTAAAAACGTTTAAAACTTTTGTTTTATAGAAAATCAATAACTACAATTTGGAATTCAAATATTAGATTTTATCGGAGCTTTATTAGAGACACATTTGAATGGTTATAAAATCTATTTAAAATTCAAAAATTTTCAAATTCTTCAAAATTGCAACGTGACTAGACTTTTTCAACACTTTGAAAAGAAAACTAAGTTAAAAAGAAATCCAAAATTGTTTGGCAAAAACATGCTGATTATTACTATTTTACACTTTAATATTAGGGGTCGTTCACTTATGACTTCCATCAAAAAACCTGATTTTTAGACCCCCTCTCCCCCTCTGTCACAAAAATTCTATAGAAAAAAATCTTAGACCCCCCCTAGTGAACGGCCCCTTACCAAGATTTGTGAGAAATTCTAAGGATATCTCGATCCCGTAATCCCGTGATTGCGGTATTGGAAAATCGGTCCGGACCTCGGAAAACCGAATTGAAATCCCTATTATTCATCATTATCATCATTAAACAAAACTATTTTGATGAAAAGCATTCTCAGGATTAATTCATCAATGGAGAAGCAAATTAAGTGAAATATCGATTAATTTGAATGTTAATGTTAAATGATTCGTAAAAAAGGAAAAATTACTGAATTCAATTATGCTTAAAATGAAAAAAATATTTTATATTTTAATCGTCGGCATCACTTACATTCTGTTCGTCATCTGATTGAGCTGATTCTTCCTTCGGTGGTATTGTTGACATCGTAATTTGTTGTTGTCTTTGACGAGCAATCGCTAGGTGCTGTTGTGTCATCTCAAAGTGCTGTTTACGACTCTTAATTCGTCTGTTTTGAAACCAAACTTTTACTTGTGCTGTTTGGATGGAAAGAAATGGAAAATTGTGTTATTATGGATGTTGTTAATTTAGATATTAAGGATTTTATTGTCTTGACAAAGGAGAAGCTCCAAAAAAGATTCATTTAGTATTCGAAATCTTTTAAAACCTTGTTAACTTAACTTTGTGGTCAACTTAATAACGATCTCTAAGTTGTACATGACCCCAAAATTATGAATCAACTCAAAACTCACCTTCTGTTAACTGTAGAGTATGTGCGAGATATAACCTTTCAGGTCCAACCATATACTGCTGTCTCTCAAACTCAGCTTCCAATCTTTCTAATTGTTCAGGTGTGAAAATCGTTCGAACACGCTTACTTTTCAATGAAATTGATGAGGACTTGTTCTTGTTGCCAAAATGATCTAATTCATGAAAATCGTTAATTAATTTATTTGCTGATTTATAAAGTGCTTGAAGAAGAAGCTACATACCCACTCTACTTCTGTCTCGTGCAAAAGCTTTGTTTAATAAATTGGCACTCATATGATTTCGTATTGTTGAACTTGATTGTGAGCTCATCTCGTTGATATTTCGATTATAATTAACATTAAATTCTGAATTAACATGCTGCTTATGCAAGTGCTCTTGATAAGACGAATTAGAGGTGATATTATTATTGTCATAAATGCATTGCTCTAATGGCATTTGTGTTGAAGAATTTTCAGATGATTGCTGCTGTAAAATGTAGTTGTGTCGATTGTCATTATCAAATTTTTGAAACAGCTTACCATGTGCTGTTAGGTTAATTATATTTGGAAAATCTGGCGAATTGTAATCATTTATTACCGAAGAATTTTCTTCAATCTCACGTGATTGTAATGCTTGTAAAGGATTTACAGAATTCTTTTTTAAACCAAGAATGGCTGCAATTGTGAATGATTTACCGATGCTCTCATTCGATGCAACGTCAAGAGATGTATTTGAGGTGTTGCTGCTGTGATCATGAATTTCCAATTTTGTACGCTCGTCACTTTGCAACTCCTCACCAATCATGCGATTTGAATGCAAAATTGTGTTGCTATTTCCGTTAAAAGAAGAATGTAATTGAAGCAAGTGTGTGAATGAGTTTGTATGGTATTTTGGTGGCTGATAGATCATTTTATTCGACTGAATCATAGATTAGTTCACAATCTTGCCTGTAAGTCGATAAGAAGATTAATTATACATATGAAAAAATTGAGTAAATTCAGGAAAAGCAGAATAGAAGAGAAAAACATTCAAAAGCTAATTCACAGGCTAGTTTGACAAAGAATAAGACTTGAACTAGAACGATATAAGGCTCTTCAACCTTTAATATTAGTTTTTTGTTCTGCCAAAGAGCATCTTTGAAACAAAATATTTAAAATTATTTATTGCACTTCTGATCCATGACTTTAAAACCCAGCGGCATTTATAATCTAATATTTTTAATTATGTTTTATTGACACTGAGTTACACATAAACTAAGAACTATAAGTTTGCCACATGTGATGATTGGGCTGAAAGCTTCAACAAATTATTTTTGACTGAATTTAAGAAATTGAAAGCTCACTTTCGAATCATCTAGATTCTTGATCAGTTTCAATATTCATACTCTAGATTCACTGTCAATAATTTTAAAACTGAAAGATGATGCTTCAGATGCTTCAGCCAAAAAAATCGTTATTTAAACATCACTAATTCCCCAAACATAGCACACCTTGCATAAAAATTAAAATTGCACTATCAAATTCCAATGAATCCATAGACATCCACTCAACACTAAAATGAATTTAATTGAAATCCGATTGAGAAAATTCAACTCAATTTTCATTGCATTGTCATTTATGTAGAGTAGGTAATCCAATATTTAATTAAATAACAGAACTTAAAAGTGAATATCAAAAAAAAGGTAAGAATTCGTAATTAAAAGTCTTTCAGTAAATGAAACAATATATCACGTCTATTGTTATTAATTGATGCATAAAAAGTTTTTTTGCGACACAATCACTCAAATTTATAAGATTTCCGACGGATGGATCTACTTACCAACATATGTGTAAGTTAATCCAAATTTTTCTTTTATTTTTTCAAATGTCAAAAATGCAAAAATGATACAAGTTGAATCACAATATATATCCACAATGAACACAAGTTAATCCGTGCGTTATTATTTTAATAGGTTAGCAAAAAATGAAGATAATTATTTTCGGTAAGCTACGAACCAACTTCGTTTAAGACTGACTGCGAATTAAATGAACATAAAAATGTGAAAAACACAGGAGATGAAGCTTTACAATGAAATGCAATAAACCACAAACAGAAATCTCAAATGGGGTATCACAGCTACAACAATAAAAAAAATCCCATTAGCATCATTATAAGCCATACACAGCGAGAACATTTTCTCTCTCTTATACCAACAATATTTTTATTTTACCCCTCATGTGCTCATGCTCATCTCAGAGATTTGGACGAATAAAAAGAGCTATAAAAGTCTCGGTCGGGGTAAAATGTGAAGGGTGGGAAAACAATTTACAACAACGAACGAACAAGAAAAATAACAAAATAATCTTCACAAAATGAGATGAATCCTTTAACAACATAATAATAAATGTTTCGTTATTAGCTAGGTGGAATTTTTATTCTGTGGAATGAAGAGTGGGGAATGACAAGACATAAACTTTTACAATTTCATTTATTTACAACTTTTCCTTATGACACCCGAATGATTTAGGTTTTAAAATCGATAATTAAACTTGAGATGGACATTTTTATATTCATGGTGTGAATTAACAACCTGCTCTAATTACCCAATTAGAAATAGAATATTTTACAGCTAATTGACAATTTAAATTTATCTAATTATGGTTAAAAAGAGAGAAAATTGAGCATTTAAGAAAAGATGAATCTTCGCTTAATGAGTAGCACTGCTAGGAAACTTTTTGTTGTTTGGGTTGCAGTTTGTCGTGGTACTGTTAAGCCAATTTAATGAAAAAGTTCTCTTCCTCCTCCTGTTCTATAATAGGTCAATTTTAAGACTGTAGTTCCAATTATTTGTTGTAGAATTGAATCTTATAATTCCTGGCAGTAACTTAGCGTCTTGATTTAATTATTGTCGGTCTGTTTAAGTCTGATCTATTTTGCTTTACTTTTGGCTAGGTGGGTAACATTTGAAAAACTCTTAAACTTAAGATTTAAAAGAATATGATTTGATATTGAGTTTGATTAACTTTAAAAAATATTATTTGAATCATTGAATATGAATATAAATTATATTAAGCCATTACATTCACAACGTTGCATTGATTCATTGATAAGAGTTTCTTTAACAAGTGATTTTCTAACTTGCATTTAATATGGAGAGAATGAAGGCGTGTCTGAAATTTGAACCAATAACCTCCAAGTGTGCCTTGATTGCTTGATTCTAGATTTGCTTATAATCAACTTTTAATAACTTTAGGGAAATTCTGACTTTAGATAAGCACTTAAGTTGAAAATATAAATGTTAATCAATGGAAACATCATTTTAAAAATTCTTTAAAATGTTAAAAACTTAATGCAAAAGTTGAAAAAATTAACGGTCAAAGCAAATTTATAATTGTTCCACAAAAAACTTGACAAATATAAAAAAGTTAAATTTTTTCACTTTTCCATTATTTAAAAACTTCATAATTCAAAAATTAATCAAATTATTTAAATTTCTACTAACCTACCCCAAAAATACCAAAAATCATTTTGACATCTTCAAAACATATTTAAAAACTTAAAATCACTTCTGAGACATCACCAATTTAGAATCAAAATTAGACAAATAAAAAAATTAAAAAGAAATTGAAAAAGTTGAAAAGTTAAAATTATTAAATTTAACATTTTAGACGAAAATGGAATAAATTTCATTTAAACTAATCGATTATGTAGTTGAAATATAGATAGAGATATTCGTTTATCAATAAACGCTAGTTTTAAGGACAAAAGAGAGAGTAAGTTGAATTTTATTTTTTATTTTTTTTTCTTCTTTTGTTTATTTCGCAATCCAATATTTCCATATATTTTGGGTGTATTTGGCAATATTTTAAAGATATAAGCACTAATAAAAATTTTCGAAATCAGATACTTGAACTTTTAACGTTTAATAATTTAAGATATTCTGATTTCATTAATCAATTTCACTTATTCAGAAAAAGACGAAGAAGTTTGTCATTGAGAAAAAAAAGAAAAAGTAAAAAAGAGTGTTGCAGAAAAAAGACCCATAAAACTTCATTATGACTGATCCAGGAATATTACGTGAATTGTTTGAAGCATGTAAAAGTGGAGATTTAGTTAAAGTCAAAAAACTGATGACATCGCAAAATGTCAATGAAATTGGTAATGACTAATAAATATTTAAATTATCCTTGATATAATACTGTCCAATAAATCATTAGATACCGCTGGACGACGCAGCAGTGCGCTTCATTTTGCTTCTGGATATGGACGCAAAAATGTTGTTGAGTATTTGCTTGCAAATGGTGCCAATATCAACTTGCGAGATGATGGTGGACTTAATTGTCTTCACAATGCGGCCTCTTTTGGACATCAGGAAGTTGTACAGATCTTACTTGATGCAGGTGCTGATCCAAATCTTCAAGATAATTGGGTAAGTAATCAAGTACAAAATTCAGGTCAAGTAAAACTAACTGTTTGGACATAAATTAAAGGGATTCTCAGCATTGCATGAAGCTAGTGCAAAAGGGAAAGTTGAAGTATGCTTAGCATTATTAAGGCACGGTGGAAATTGGAACTTGAGGAATTCTGAAGGCAAAACTCCCATAGATTTAGCAGATCCAACAACTAAGCCAATATTAACTGGTGAATATAGGAAGGATGAACTTCTAGAAGCAGCTCGATTAGGTGATGAACTGAAACTACTTGAATTATTAAATCCATTGAATGTAAATTGTCATGCTATGGATGGAAGAAGAAGTACACCTCTACATTTAGCAAGTGGATATAATCGTGTTAAAGTTGTCCAAATTCTCTTACAAAATGGTGCTGACTGTCATGAAAAAGATAAAGGAGGTAATGACTAATAAGTTATTACTTAAATTAAACACTATTTTTATAATTTTTAAATTAATAGGATTAGTAAGTCTGCACAATTCCGCAAGCTATGGCCATTTGGAAGTTTCACAACTGCTTATTAAATCCGGAGCAAATGTTAATGCAGCTGATTTATGGCAATTCACACCTCTACACGAAGCGGCTCAAAAGGGAAGAGCTGAAGTCTGTAGTTTGCTAATTTCTGAAGGTGCAGACATAAACTTTCTCAATTGTCATAACAAATCGCCATTGGATTTGGCACCAAGAGATTTACAAGAAAGAATGGCATGTAAGTACTCAATGAGTTTCTGTAAAATCTAAGAATATTATTGTGATGTCTGAAAATCTTTGTAGACGAATATAAAGGTATACAATTATTGTCCGCATGCCGTGAATGTGATATAACTAGAGTCAAGAAATTCCTAACATCCCAAACGATATCGTTTGCACATCCATTTACTGGAGATCAAGCATTGCATGTCATAGCAATGTCTGCTTTTCCAAAACGGAAGCAAATACTCGAATTTTTAATACGCAAAGGTGCACAACTGAACATAAAGAATAAAGACTTGCTTTCTCCATTAGCATTATCATCAAAATTTGCCAATTATGACATAATGGACTGCTTGATTAGAAATGGAGCAAATATTAACATAACAGATGGTCTAGGTCAAACTTGTCTTCATCAAGCAGCAAAAGATGATGACGTACAGGCAGTCCGATTACTTTTGTCTCATGCTGCAGATCCAGATGTTGTTTCTTTACAAGGATATACGCCATCTCAAGTAGCTAAAGAGAATGTACTTAAGATTTTCAAAGAGGAAAAGAAAGGAACAAAAGAACTTCAAGAATCAACATCCGATTTAGAATCACAATTACTTGAGGCATCAAAAAGTGGCGATTTAACAACTGTAAAGAAAATTATTTCGTTAAATTCAAGGATAGTCAATTGTCGTGATAGTGAAGGTAGAAACAGTACTCCTTTGCATTTCGCAAGTGGATATAATCGAGTGTCTGTCGTTGAATATTTACTCGAACATTCTGCCGATGTTCATGCATCTGATAAAGGAGGTAATCAATGACTTAGTCATAATTCTGAGTATTTTATAACTGATAAACTTATTTTTTTTATCGTTTATATTAATATATAGGGTTAGTTCCATTACACAACTCAAGTTCCTATGGTCATCTTGAAGTTTCTCAAATGCTTATTAAGTACGGTGCCAATGTCAATGCTTTGGATTTGTGGAAGGTAAATTTAGATTTTCAATTTTTAATCGGTTGTAGAAAAGAGATTGGCTCTAAACTCATAAAAAAAAAATTAACAATGCATTGTAACTTTGTATGAAAATTTTAACAATGTGATGATTAAAATAGCGTTGACCATAAAATTGTTGAATTTTAACAATGACCATTGTAAATTCTATATATCGTGTAATTTTTTTACCATTTGTGTAGAATTTTTGACATGAAAAGTGTAATTTTGTTCTACATTCTACATTCTTCCTCTAGTGTAGACATCTACATTTGCAACACTGATTTAAAATTAACAATCATCATTGTTGCATTACAATCTTATCGTTAATTTATTGTAAAAACAAGAAATTTAACAATGTCATTGTTAAATCTGGTTTACAACGAAATAACAATAAGAAATGTTAACTTTTTTTTATGACTGTATTATTATAACTTTATCAATTAATTGAATCAATGACTAATTATCATTTTATGCTGTCTAATATCCAAAAACCAGTTTTCACCATTGCATGAAGCAAGTGCAAAAGGCAAATACGAAATAGTGAAACTTTTATTAAAGCATGGAGCAGATCCGAAATTGAAAAATCGAGATAATGCTACGCCATTAGATTTAGCGAAAGATCAAGAAATTGCGGATTTATTGAGAGGTAAAAGTCAATTAATGGACTAGTTTAAATTAAACACAGAAGTGAAATTGAAACGATTTTATGTTTTTTTTTTTTCGTTTTGAATAGGTAATGCTGCGTTGCTTGATGCAGCTAAGAAAGGTGATCTGGCAAGAGTAAAGAAGCTATTGACTTCTGATAACATCAATTGTAGAGATGTAGCTGGAAGAAACAGTACACCATTGCACCTAGCTGCTGGATATAACAATTATGAAGTTGTTGAGTATTTATTGGAAAATGGTGCCAATGTGAATTCGACAGACAAGGGAGGACTTATAGCACTCCATAATGCGAGCTCTTTTGGACATTTAGAAATAGCGGCAATACTAATTAAATATAATACACAAGTAGATGCTGTCGATAAATGGGGATTTACTCCACTTCATGAAGCGTCTCAAAAAGGTCGTACACAATTGTGTAGCTTATTATTAGCTCATGGAGCTGATCCATTTCTTACAAATCAAGAAGGCCAAACTGCTTTAGATTTATGTACAGCAGAAGATGTAAAGTCATTGCTTCAAGACGCAATGTTTGCACGACAACCATTAAATGTATCTACATCTAGTTCCATTCCATCAACAACAACTGTCAATGAATCGACAGAACTAATCACATTGCCAAGTGGAAATCAAGTAGAACTTCCAGTAATTATGTCAATGTCATCAAGATCATGTTTAAGTCCAATTCAAGGTATTGAATCTAACATTGATAATGTTGAGGAAGACAAGACAGTTCAGAGTGATTATAGTGATATCAGTAGCTTCCTGTCCAAACTAAAATTAGAGCATTTAAGTGAACTTTTCGAGAGAGAACAAATAACATTGGAAATCCTGACTGAAATGGGCCACGAAGATCTGAAAAATGTCGGAGTTACAGCTTATGGATATAGACACAAAATTCTTAAAGGAATTGCTGGCATGAAATCAAATCGAGGTGTCACAACAGTTCCAGTAACTCCAGCGACAATTTTAATAGACTTGTTGACAAACGATAAAGAGTATTTATTAGTCGAGGAAGAAATGCAAAGCACAATAAGGGAGCATTTAAGGGATGGCGGAAATATGGGAGGCGTATTGTAAGATACAAGCTTTGATCTAGTGGTCCTGATCTGTTAATCAATTAAAACTTTATTTCCAGCAATCGATACAATATTTTGAGGATTCAAAAGATTCAAAATCAAAAGTTATGGAACCGATATATGCACAGACGAGCTGAAATAGCTGAAGAAATTGGTGGACAATATAATGAGAAAGTTTTATTCCACGGTAGTCCATTCATCAATGCAATTATTCAGAAAGGATTTGATGAACGACACGCCTATATCGGTGGTTAGATTTTAATTCTTAACTTTTTGTTCCTTTTTTCTAAATCTCCGGATTTAATTTTTAATCCATTATCTTAATCTCAGGATTTGTTTTTAATCATATGATTTTATCTCATTTGTTCTAATAACTTTTAGGCATGTTTGGTGCTGGCATTTATTTCGCTGAAAATTCGTCCAAGTCTAATCAGTATGTATACGGAATTGGTGGATCTGGATGTCACGCACATCATGATAAAAGCTGCTACATATGTCATCGTTCGTTGCTGTTGTGTAGAGTCGCTTTAGGAAAGTCATTTTTACAATTTACATCTTTAAAAATATCACATTCACCGCCAGGACATCATTCTGTAAGTAACTGTGACTTAAAATATCTCAAGTAGAATTGTTATCATGATTAATTTCAGGTAATCGGAAGACCTTCACTTGGTGGACTCAACTTTCCAGAATACGTAGTTTATAGAGGCGAACAAGCGTATCCACAATATTTAGTGACATATCAAATAATGAATGACAAGAGAAGTGACGATGAAAATGGTACAGATAATGAAATGAAGAGTTGATGAATGCGACTAAATTGTGATTGAATTAATTCTGGAATTAATATATTTATGTTCTAATCAATGCAAGACATTTTATGTACTTTACAATTTAAGGAAACAAATATTTTTATTATTTTTGTGTATCGCTCACAGAGTCTTTTATTCTCGACAAATTAATAAAATATATAAAATCAATAATGCATGAAAAAGCATATCACGGAATCAATCATTGATTATATCAATTTTCAGTTCCCATCCCTAAATACGAAATTAATTTGAGTAATCAGATAAGGTTTTGACAATGTTTAATGCTCAAAAATATTCTAATAAATTTATATCACATAAAATACCATGAATTTAGAAGCTAGAACTAAAGGAAGTGAGCAAAACCTAAGGCAGCATCATATTTGTTTTAAAAAATACTTTCGAGTCAAATACATATCTCACATGCTACATATTAAATATTAAGCATATAAATGTCACAAATTATCCGAATACTCAAATATTTACATCAATTCTGTTAAGGCCTTCTTGGCAGCAGCTTCCTTTGCGATCTTTCGATTTCTTCCAAAACCAATAATAATTTTCTCTTTTCCATCACGTGTCTTAATTTTTAATGGAACCGCCACATTGTCATCATCTTCAATAAGTTCAGTGCTATAGAATCTTGGCTCAGCAATTCCACCTTGAAACTCAAATAAGCGTCGAGTAATTTGAATTGGAACATCATTCATAAATTTATGAATTTCATGCTGCATCAATTTATAAATGACATCCCAAGTCTTTTTTAATGATAAATTTGTATCTAAGTATATGGCACCAACAATTGATTCGAAGATGTCTCCTAAAGCCTTTGGAACTTCAATGGACTTTGCAATGCTCGTGTCATTTTCTGTACTCATCAATTCAACTTGATCAGTTACTTCATGATTATGACTCTGTTGAAAAATGACAAATTTTTTGATAGCTTCACATAATGTATAATTTTCATACAGCATGTGCTTATGGATATCATTTCGAACAATAATGCATGCTAGAGTGACATTATTGACGAGTGCTGATCGCAAATCTGTCAATTTTCCAGGATCCATCTTTGGACAGTTTTCGTAAATGAACGATGTGATCTAAATTAATGTCGAAAGGTAATTTTAAAGAACTTAAAATAATATTATTTTTGATAAATTCTTACCAAAAAATCAAGAACAGCATCGCCAAGAAACTCTAATTGCTGATAAGTTCCAGAAGCTTTGTTGGGATATGAAGCATGAGTTAAAGCTTGTGTTAAATAAATTTCGTTCGAAAACTTGTAGCTGATTTTCTTCTCTAATGCTCCACGATTCGGTACAGTCAAATCAGTTTCATGGACAATTCGTGGGTGAATTTTTTCTGTCAAAAGATTTTGTGTTTCTGGAAGAATTTTTAATTTCTGGCACAATTTATAAGTTGCATCGATTCCGACACTTGAAACTGTACATCCGAGCAATGCTTCAACACAATCAGCAATAATTTTATCGCCAATAACTTTCTGATCAAGAAATCCAATGAATGATCTGTCGATGTTTCTAGCAGAATCTTGTTCATCTTCAATGTCCATCAATGTGCTTCTGAATATTTTAAGTTTTTCGTCGCTCATAATACCATTGTCAACCTCAGAATCAGATAAGTTTTCGGTCACGTCTAGTAAGTATGTCAACAATCTTTTGTCGTTCACTAAAATCTTTTTAAGATTTACTGGTAATTTTGTGGACGGAGCAAATGACGATTTCATATCAAATTGCGAACAATTAAGGATATTCGACAATCCGAAATCATTTCCGATGTAATAGAGGTTTCTGTTACTGACCATTTTGCCTTTCAAAGCTGTTAAATGTCCTTCATGCCAATTTTCGTGCGTCTTATAAAGGAACAATGATGCAATAAACTTGAGAAATCCGTCTCCTAATGCTTCAAATCTTTCCATGTCGAAAACGTCACCTAATCAGTTGAAATTATATTTATTAGCTAAAACCAGTAAAACATTTTTGAAATATTTTAACATTAACGTTCAAAAATTGATCTTTAATTTGAAATAATTTTTAACCGTTGTTTTTCAAATATTTTTTGAACGTTAATTTATTTAACATTTTTTTTCAGCTCATGATTACCTGATTTTGCGGTTGTTAAAACTTTGATCAAATCTTTTTGTTGAATACAGCTTGATGAATTGTTCAAATCTAGCAATTTTATGTTTTTGTCAATTTTTCGTCCCATTAATGACGGTACATTCTTAATTGTTGAACCAGTTTGACGTTTATTCTTCAACAACTCCAAAGAAGTTCCAGTAACTTCATTTTTTCCGCCAATAAAATGGAAATAATAATCAATATCGACGTCTGAAAGAGTCAACCAGTTTCTATCTATATCAATTGGTAAAGCTGATCGATTCCAAGTCAAGTTAGCTTGTGTCTTGAAATTCTTGCTCTTCTGACTTGCCTCAACTTCTTGTTGCTTGATTTTTATCAAAGCATCTTTAAAATCTTCAAATTTCTCTGATGGTTCATGCTCAGCTTGCTTTAATAATTCCGTACGCTTGTCATAATCACCATAATCGACATCAAGCTTATAAATCTGTTGACCATATCCATTATCAATGCCTTCATTGATCAGCCAACGTCTTAGTTCTTCAGCTAATAGCATGTAGTTCATTCGATGACAAATTGCTGGAAGTAAAGTTGCTTTTAACCAAAAATCAGCTGGAAACTTGTAATTGTGACATATTTCTGGAATATATTCTTCACATTCTGTCAGCCTTTCATATTTCTTTTGTTTTCCACTCATTCCAGCACCAGGAAAGAATAATTTTAGATTCTTGCTGATTCCTTTGACTTCAATTAGAAACTGATCGTAGCGATAAACATTTACTTGAAATTTGTCAATAACATGTTCTGCATATGTCTTACTAATGTCACTAGGAAATGCCGATAAAGGTGTCTTGTGCTGATTAATGTTAATTACGACATAATTTTGTTCAGTATATTGTCTATAAACAGGATTAACGACCTTATAAATATAATCTTCAGCATTAAATGTCATGTTTTCAATTTGTGCTCTAGTCAAAAGTGTTGGTTTTGGAACCACTTGAAAATCGTCAATTAGCTTCCAGTCAATTTCATTGTCTTCATTAATAGGAACAATAAGGTAAGACGATTTATCCAATACGAAATAGGTTTGAAAAGCTTTCAACAAATCACGAAAAATATTAATGTGGAATTTTTGCAATTTCTTTAAGCTTCCTTCATTTTCGATGTCTACAGCTATCGGCAATTCACTTATTTCACATTCAATCTCTCCATAAGACTGAAAAAGCGTTATTATCGATAGTTTTGGGATACGCTTTGTTGTTAAGATTCCAAAAGTGTTTTCATTTGCCAGCAATTTATGGAAAACTTTAAGAGCATTGCTATTAATGTCATCAAACTTTGGTTTAATGCTAATTCTATAAAGATAATTTGTTCCAATATTTGGTCCACAGTTTTTGATTGCTTCCGGAATTTTAATTTCATGTAAACGAAGGTTGTTCTTAGTGCCTGCTCTCTTTGGGTTTTCTCCTTGATATTTTTCCCAATGATCAAAGTATTTTGGACTACATTCCTCAATTTTAACATCACTTCCAACTGGACCTAATTTTTCTGTTAAATTTCCATTAGAATACAACATTTTGCATGCTTTAAAAGCGGCATCTTGCTTTGCAACTTTAACACTTTTCTGAGGACTTCCAATAATTTCATCATTAATCATCGATTGTGTCGGTAATGTCAAATTTACACTAAATGTACCACTATCGTAATTAATTCGCTTCCAATTGACACTTGGACTTGTAAAACGATCACCAGGAAGACTTTGTGCGTATTGCATTAAAATCGGGACACAATTTAAAGCTGTTAAGCATGCACCTTCTTTTGTATAGAAAGGATCCCACTCTTGAACTTGTTCCTTCTTTATATCATCTTCACTTGGTGGTAATCGATCAATTGTACGTCCAATTAGTTGCTTTTTCATTTCAAAATCTATTTGTTGCCAAGTTTTGAACTTTTTGTCAAATTTAGGCTTGCTTCCATTATCCAGCATTACTACATAATTACTTTGATCATCTCTGGCTCTTCCACGCGATTGAATATAACTACGTGGAGTTTTTGGTGGATCATAAACCATAACGAGATTACATGCTTGCAAATCAATTCCTTCTTCCAAAACATTTGTGCATACTATGACATTTGTTTCCTTATTTTCAAATCTTTCTAATGCCAAAGAGTTATTTGATGTAGTTAAAATTGACTCAATTGATTCAGGCATAGCATTGTTTCGTCCAACCTGTCATTAAATCATGTTCTAATTATTCAAAGTTTTAAAAGTTAATGTTGTCTTGTACTTACAACAAAATCCGGTTTCATAGGGAAATTTGGGTCCTCGTGACCAAAAGATTTGATCAAGTGATATAGAATCTTGGCAGAAGAACGTCTTTCAGTGAATATTAGGCACTGCATATCTTTGTCACGATTTGGATCTTCGAAGAATTTCTTCAAGAGAAGAAGCAGTGTTTGAACTTTCAATGATGAATTCTTCATTACAATAGATGAACCCTTCTTATCGAAGCCCATTTCACGTTTAAGGTAGTTGATGCAAAATTCTACCTTTGTTATGCATGCTCCAACAATTTTACGAAACTTTTCAGTATCAGCAAATCTTTTAGTCAGTTCCAGTTGTATCATAACACTCAGCAATGCCAAACTATTTTAAAATAAAATAAAATTAGTTTTAAAGAACAACAATAAAGTATCAAGAACAAACTTACTAGCTTCCATAGCATCCGAGTTCCTCGGTTTGAAACTCGAAATCTTTGAATAAATTAATCAAATCCTTTATTTTTGATGGGCCAGTTTCAAGCAATGTTTTTGGGTTTAATTTAGCGTAGTTGTTCAATTTGATTGGCTTTAGTTCTTCTTGAAGTTTTGACAGTTCTGCTCTAACTTTTGTCAAGCACTCATGAATTGGCGTAAAGTTGTAAGTGATGCACGATTCTTTTGCCTTTGTTGAATAAATCAAGACATTTCGTCGGTCAAAGATATCATTAACAGTAATAATTGTAGACTGATAGACACTCTCGAGCTGTTGTAAATCTTCTGGAACAGAATGAGGCTTAATTGAATTGTCATTTCCAATTAACATGCCAGAAAGTCCAATGATTCTTATGTCTTGCACAATATTTGTATCATCCATTGTCTGCATTATTTGCCGATAAACATGTCCCTTCCTTCCGTGATGGCATTCATCGAAAATAATGACACTTAATGATTTCAGATCTATAAATGTACGAGCAACTGCATCATAAAAACACTGAGCTGTCATCACTAAAATTTCATTCTTATTCAATATATCAAGCCATTCTTGTCCATTATAATCATCGACGTTATTTTCACCAGTCAAAATAGCAATACTAAAAGGCATAAGATCTTTTATACGCTCAGCCTGTTGTTTTGCAAGGGCGACTGTAGTAGTAAGGAAGAATGATCTCTTTGCACCATCACTGTATGTGCCTTTAAGACTATCCGAAAAGTGTTTAATCACCTGAATGGCAATGTACGTCTTTCCAGCTCCTATAGATTAAATGAGATTATTTGAAATATATTTACCTACTAGATATAATATGTTCAGACTTACCGGTCGGCAAATAAACGATCGAGTTGCGACTAATACAGACGTCGATAATGTTTCTTTGATATTCTCGATCTTTAAAGTCGCTTTTCTGAGAAGAGAAAATGTTTATTTACAAATTATGCATGCACAACAATGTTAAGCAATAAGAATAACAAGAAGGAATAAAGAACACGTCATACAAAACTTACATGAACTTGTTCACTCATGATTTTGGCATCAAGGCGTCAAATAGCATTAAATATCAAGTTGCACTGCAATGATTCACTTATGCTGATAAGCTACTTTTTAAGTTTTATAGAAAGTTGATATTTTTCTTCAAATTCTAGTAATTATTGATATTTTCATGCAAATTGATGATTCTTCACTATTCTTGTATTATTAAACAATTGCAAATATATCCACAACTTAATTAATAGGATAAGGAACTAATTTTAACTTAATTTACAATTAAATTTTATAATTCACTTTGTTCTTTCTCAAAATCTCAAATCCAAGTAAAGTTATCATAGATTTTCACAACATAATTCGATTGAGTAGTTCAGTTTGACCAATATTTAAGGAATTTTAATGTATTATGTATAATAATAGTCATTTAAGTGCCACAACAGTCAAGAGTCATGTGCTTATATCCAAAATTGATAATTCCGTAAGTATTTTCATCAAAAGATCCAGTAAAACATAAAAAAGTAAGTAATCATGTGAATTTAAACTTTTAAATCCATCTATATAAACAAATTAACATAGAATGGTGAAAATCAAGAATCCAAACCTACTCAGAACATAAAAGCGCTTAGGTTTTGCTCTTTTAGTGCCATTAATGCTATTTTTCATTGTGTTGGTGCGCGCAAATTCACCACAAAAGTGATGCACATTGACATTTTACCTCTGATCACGTTGCTTCCTTCTTTAAATAATCTTCTGAAAATTCATAAAATCATTTACTAAATTCCATAAACTACAACCTTATATCCATCCTTCTATTCTCAATAAGAAATCTAATATGTGGGCTATATAAAATGTTATATCATGGGCAATTTTATGTGTCATCTGTTGATAAACTTTAATGTTTTCAAGATTAAGTGCAATAATTTTTTAGCTCAATATTTTGTCACTTTGCTGACAAAAAGAATGCATTTGGTATGGCAACTCTCGGTGGATTAGTTCATGTTTTCAATATTTTGGAAACGCAAAGATTGAAGAAATATACATCATATAAAATTCAAATGATATCCTTTCCGAAAAATGAGAGCTTATTTCAATCTCTTACAAAATTAACTGTAATTAAGCGATATTCTGATTTTAAGACGCTAGAAAATAATCTTCTTACGACTTACAAAGGTTACAACTTTAAGACATTCTTCAAGTCTGATAAAAATTATTTTAATAGGTAAAATTTTCCAATAACTAGTGTTTGTATATCCTTAAAAATAAGTTCTTTTCCAATGTGTTCTAGATTTGATCCGGAAATTGTAGAACAAAGAAAAAGAACAATACTTGAGTATTTATATTATTGTGCAGAACACTCGGTTCTTTATCGTTCACAATATTTTGTAAAGTTTTTCGATGATACATCAACTAAATGTGATGTTGAAAAGATTTATGAAAGTTCAACATACACCGAGGAATCTCCAGAAGAATCAATTAATTCTTTCGAAGAGGATAGTGAAATAATAGAAGAAGGTGTGGAAACAAATGAACTAATTGAAATTGGAGGGGATATTGATTATTATTTATGTGGCTACTTATACGATGCAGCTTTAAACTTCAGTCATGCAGTTCAGGAAGAAGCAAATTTGCGTTATAAGCGATCGTTTGAACTTTATAAATTGGGCATAGATAAGCTCTTGACAGGTGCAAAAAATGATACAAATGAAGCACGCAAGAGAATAGCAAAGACCAAAGCAAGTAAATACTTGGAGAAAGCAGAACAACTTTATGAAAATTATATTCTGGAAGAGGAAGAAAATGAATTTCTTATCGAGGATATTGATATAAAGGAAACACAAAGTATTGCATCACTTGAACGACCTTTAAATCATATGTCGCGATACAAAGTCATACAAATTAATAACAGAATAATTAAGGTCCAAGATCGAACAGATAAGAAAATTTACATATTAAAAGTAATATGGAAGACAAATTCGCACAAAGTCATTTTCATGCCACAAAATATTCCATTTATGTGTTCCTTATTAAGTTATTTTCATTCTGAAAATGCCATATTTCTTTTACTTCCATTTATTAGTGGAGGATTGTTGTGGGATTATGTTAAAACCTACTCATCTAGTTCTAATAACCAGAAAAATGTCGAAGAACTGTTTGTTGATCCTCCAAAACAAAACACGGATATAATTTCTTCAGAAATTGTGGATAGTCCAAATTTAGCACAATTAGATGTAGATAACTTAAATGAAACTGAAATTAAACCTTCTGGAGATGAGTCTTTAGATGACGACAAACTTTCCCCAAATAAAACTGCAGATGAATGTGATTTTAACATCCCTTCCTTTGATACACTTACACCTGACATTGATGTCGATGATCTTATGAAATGCAGTCAACAATTATTGAAATCTGTAACAAAAACTCTAGAAAAGTCAGTAGTCATAAGACAAGAAGATGATCCCAATGAAAATCAACAAATTCTTGAAACAGAACCGATCTTAAACGATGATAAAGCTGTTTCTGAAGATGATCAATCAAGTGCAGCAGCATGTGCTATTGAGCAGAAGCTGCAAATAACCGAAGACATTCCTGAATTTATCTTAAAACGTTGGGCATCTGAAATAATTATAAGTATCAACTCTTTACATAAGAATGGAATTATTCTTGGTGATCTCAATTTGGATAATATTTTACTAGGATCTAATGGCCATATTTTATTAACTTATTTTCACCAAAATTATCGCAGCAACTTTCAACAGTTATGTGAACTTAATCAGAAGGCAGTAAAGTGCTTTTATGTTGCATTTGAATTTCCTTTGACTAGAAATTCCGACTACTACAGTATAGGAGTAATTTTATATGAAATTTTCACAAGACATAGATTTTATATGTATCATCCAGGAGGAATTTCTAAATATAATGAAATTCAATTTGCCGACACTTGTCAATTGTCTGAACAAGCTAAAGATTTACTTGACATTTTGATGTTCAAAAAATTTGATCAAGATGAACCTTTTGAAAGCATTAAAGTTCATCCTTTTTTTGAAGGAGTCGATTTTAATGAAATTGAATCTTTTGGATATGAATAAACCTTTTATTGTACTGAATATTTAAACGTATAACAATTACGTATTCCTATTTTTGGTGTACTCGCCTGATATGTTTTTGCATATGAATTTTCTGAGAAAATTTCTTATCACAGATAGCAATTGGACATTGGAAAGTTTTGATTTTGTCATGAAGCTTTTTATGCTTCCTTAAATTTGAAAGACTTGAAAATTTATTCTTGCATATTTCGCAAACATGAAGTTTTATCTTTGTATGAGAATGGATGTGTTCCTTCAAGTGAGATGTTCGACTGAATCTTTTATCGCATATTTCACATAAATATTTTCTAGTATTACTATGGATTGCTTGATGATTCCGTAAGTTACTTATAGTAATAAAGCTTTTGCTGCAAATTTCGCATTGATAGTTTCGTTCATTCAAATGTGACCTCAAATGATTCCTCAAACTTGTTTTGTGTGTAAACATTTTAGTGCACATATCACATAAATAATTCTTGATGTTCTGATGAATTTTCTATAAATTTTTAATTAATTAATTTTTTTGACGGTCTTTTGAACTTACTTAATTACCTCATGAACTCTTAAGTCGGAGCTTCTTTTAAAATATTTTGAACAACTTTGGAATTCACAAATATGAATGACGGAGCTTTCATGTTGCAAAACTTCATTCATAAATTTATTTATTTATGTTCCCTGAGAATTTTATTTCAACAAATACCCACATATTGCCCTAAAATACCTAATTAGATTTTTAATTTAAACTTTAAGGTGCATTCTGATGATTTCATAAACTTTTTGGGAATTAAAGTTTCAGGTATCCTTAAGTTAATGAAAGTAGCACGAAATGTTATTCAATATTCATTCAATATTAAACAATTGAAAAGTAAACATGAAAATAATTTAACAGCTGATCAAGGTGTGAATATTATTTTTTGTACTTACTGCCTTAATAGTTTTGTTTATGCCGATTCTTTGTACACGTGAAACATTTAATTTCTAAAGTTTAAAAAAGAGTTTTAATGGTTTTGCGAAATGGAACCGATGGCCGAAATAGCAGTCAATAGTAAATTGAGTTCAGGTAAATAAATCAATTGCTTAATCTATGAAACTTTTAATAATAATTTGATTTCCTTTATAGATGCTAAAGAAGTTCTAATAATTCTTAAAGAAAGCAAAAGTTTAGAAGAGAAACTGAAAAGATTTAAAAATTTCTTATCAAGAGTTAACAATGAAGACAATCAGCACATTTTTGATTTAATAACACTTTATTTTCTCCTTGAATCAAAACATCCAGTGAAGAGCTTAATTCAATCTTATTTCAACCAATTACCTGATAAAAAGCCTGAAGCTATTAAAATATTTAAACATTTAATCAAATTCCAAATTGATGAGCTCCAAATCAATGACCTAGTTAACGACTGCAAGTTTGTAAATCATTTCAATGAACTATCTCAGAATTTTCAAGTAGCCTCGATTGCGATTGGTCGTTCCTCACAGAGTATACTGCCATATATTAATAGACTAATTGAATTATCTCTACAACAACTTTGCACAGCCTTGTCACCAACAAAGAAAAGTGAAATTAGTCAGATCTTGCACAATAGTTTTCAAGCATATATATTTACAATCAGAAGCTGTATCCAACATTCAGACAATGATGATAAATTGAATTTTGTGTCCCATGTTGAAAAATTAATAAGAATATGCTTCAATATTTTTGAACAGAAAGATGTTAGCACTGAGACGAAAAATATCTTCTCTATGATCATAATAATGAAGAACAATTATGTCAAAGATAACAGCCATTATTCTATAATTGCGAATGAAATGGAAAGTCTAGACAAGCGTTTGAGCTTAATATTTGGAGTCATTCAAATTGAAAGCGATGAAAATCTAGCAGATATTGAAAAATTCTGTAATTTACTCGAGATGACTTATTATAATAACACAGTTGATAATGGACTAGTTTATACAATTTCGAGGTTATTCATGCAAATAACTAAGAAATTATCTACGTTCAAATCAATAGAAAACTATCAACAAATCAATTCCATTCTTCAGCCAGGAATTTTAATTGCTTTTCTTAATTTAAAGCATAGCGTGGAATCAATTAGATATTTATCGAAGGATACAATTAAAAATCTCATTGAATTAGGATCAAAAATTTCTGATGGTACCAATCTTATTGGAAATATCTTTGAGAAAATTTCTGCATTGCCTACAGATGTGGCAGCTTCTGTAGTTGGTTCAATTCACTCAACAATTTCTGTAGAAAGAATTTTGGATATGATTCCTGACTTGCTAATAAGGATTGTGACATCGATAAGCACAGATAAGGAGAACAAAATAAGCTGCTACATAACACTTTCTAATAAAGCCTGTAGCGAGTTATCGTTTGATAACTGGTTTGGAGATTTTATTCAACCACTTGAAAGCAAGATAAAATGCAATGAAAACACACAAGAAGAAATTTCACTACTAAAGGAATTAATGCTAAGGTGTATTAAAAAGGATAAGAAGGCGATTGAAATTCTCTTAAAGAGTAGAAACGACTTTGACAAGAGATTCAACTTTATGATATTAAATCTAGCTAAAGAGGAAGGACTTTTGGGAAAGAATTCAAATGATTACTCATTATGGAGAGGAATAATTTCCTTTAATGAAATAATGAATGCAATGGTCAACATAGACATCAACATTCGATTATCTGCACTTTATCTTATTGTTGATACCAAAAAAGTTACAGACAGGTTTTCGCAAGGAGAAATTGAATGTATTCTATTCTTTTTTGAACATAATATTGGATTGCAAATTCCATCTACTAAACAATCTATGATTGCAAGCATAAAAAAGATTTTTGCAAGACTAAGATCTACTATACAATACATGATGAGAAAAAACAAAGACGAAGTTAATGCACAGTTGGAAATATTAGTCAATTTCTGCGAATTCTCAATCAAAAATCTAAACAGCGAAGCAAATTACTCTAGAAGAAGCTTGAGCCTAGTTCTCTTAATTAGCATCCATGAAATATTAAAAGAATATTTTCCTAATGAAATCGCGAAAATTTGGACAAAAACTAAGTTTAATCAGCTATTCAATGTACTTTATGATGCATATGAACACAATAAGGATAAAGCTTTGGAACTAATGTCTTACATACCTCGCAATGTGATAAAAATCTATTCAAATATTTCTTTCGAATTTTTGGAAAAACTTCATAAGTCGATTAAACCATCTGACTCCCTTTCAGCTTCTTACTTAGTTCTTTACTCTATTAAGTTTGCTCAAATAGGAAAAGAAAATTCATTTAATGATGACCAGTCGTACTTATATGAGTTAATTACTTGGTGCGAGAAACAGCTAACAGTCGCATTGGAAATCGCAGAAAAATCAATAATTGTAGCAGCAGGAAGTAATCCAATGTACGGATTTATAAGCAGCATACGAATTATTATTAGCAAGATTAATTTTAATGATGTCAAAACTTGCTCGATGCGGAAAAGCTTTTTCGAAAGATTAATTTTAATTCTTAAACGCTTAACAAAAGTTGCTGCTCCAATTGTTAATGATTCATCCCCTGAAGGCATCTACCCAAACGAGAATTTTCATTTACTTATGAATGATGAAAATGAGACTTACTTAAGCAATATTATCCAAAATACCACTTCACAAATGATTCTATTATGTGCCTGGAGGATTATTAAGGAATGTTCTTTGCTATTTGGAGATTTGTCAACAAAAGCTTCTGTACTATGCGAGAGTGTAAATGAATTATATTCTGTTAATCAATTACTAGATATTGGAGACCACTTCTTAGAATCACTTACAAACATCAAACATAGAGGTGCTTTTGAACAATGCTATAGTGGGTTTTCACAATATTGCTTTAGTTTAACAAGCAGTCATAGCTTTGAGCTGCACAATCTACCATCAAAAATTATTAAGAATATTTTAGAATCTATGACTGATTATTCAGAAGATTTACAAGACAAGAAGCTAATTGAAATAAAAAATTTGTGTGCAACTCGAAGAAGTGCAGGATTACCATTTATATTGCAAGCACTTCTTTTGTCAGAAGTGAAAATTTCAAAATATGAAAATTTTCATGTCACGATGAAAACATTATTAAACTTAGCAAGATTCGGAAAGGAATTAGATGCTAGAATTCATTCATTAAACATATTAAGAGTACTTTACAAATGTAAAGAGCTAAACGATATAATTAATGAATATATTAGTGAAGGCATAAAGAGTTCAATCTTAGGATGTGCATCTCGGAATTGGTCAGAAAGAAATTCATCGACGCTTCTTTTCTCAGCACTTATGATTCGGATATTTGGAGTACAAAGAAACAAAGATTCTGAACAAATCGACATAAAAAACAAGATGAGCTCTAAAATCTTCTTTCTTCGATATCCTGAACTTTATGATTTCTTCATGGAACAATTGAGACAATCAAAAGCGTATGTCAGGAAGCAAGAAATAGATCCGAAACTATTTCCTCTATTGTTGATATTGAATAGACTATTTACTTCTAATACTGAAAAATGTGAATCAAATTTGAAGCTTGTTGATTTCATTCCGATGGTAACAGCTTGTTCTGGATGTGTTGATTTGAAAGCTAGAATTTTGTGTGCAAAATTTGTGGCAAATGTAAATCCAACAAACGGAATTATTCCAAGAGTTATTTATAATATACAAATTATTAATGAATGCATTGATTTGACTTCAAATGACAAACATGGGCGACTTTTGGAAATTTTATATCTTTTGAGAAATGCTCCTGATTTACAAACTAAACGTAATTTTGAATCTGCGTTGAATATTCTAAATGAGCTTTTTGATTTCCTGAAATTGTTTAATCATCAAGTAATTTGCCTTACAACAATTCTTGATTCTATAATTCATGTGTTTCAAAATATATGGAATCAACAATTCAAAGAGCTTTTTAATCATGAAAAATTGGAGTTATGCTTTGACTTTGACAAATCTGCTTATTTCGGTGTACAAGCAATGCAGTCACAACTTATAGCTATAGAATTGATTCAAATGCAACTCAAGAATGATATAAAGTGTTTCAAATTCTCTGGTTCAGGAGATTATTATGGAGTTTTGCAAAAATTAAACTGCATTATATTGATTTTCAATAATACTGAGAAACGTAAGATTATAGCTGAAGAATATGAAATTGATAGCAGAATACACTTCTTCGTAGATAATTTAACAACAGATATCTATAACCAATTGAGAAATGAGCTATTTTTGAAAGAAGAATTTAAAATTGAAGTAGAAAAACTCTCCAAACACAATGATTTTGTGATTCAAGCTCGCTCATTTGAAATATTAAGCTTCACGAATACAACAAAAATCTTCAATGAAGAAGAAATCAATTCAATGTTAAACATTTCATTAACCAAGAATGATGACTACAAAATTGCGATACTAAAATACGCAAAAACTTGGATTCAAGAAAACGAAGACTTTGTTGATGTTATCGATTGGAAAGTTGCAACAGAACTTTTATGTTCTTCTTATTTCGTCAAGTAAGTACAGAAAATAATCACATAAAATATTTTTTCATCATAATAAAATCTATCGTTTCTTTCTACAGAATATCAATTATTGATTTACTTAAGGCTGCGGAAAGAAATTTATGTAATTTCTCCTTGAAAACGACGTTTTATTTTTCTACTATGATTATAAACATATTAATGGATGATGACATTGAAATAAGCACAGAGGCATCTAAAATTGTTAGTAGTATCGTTGGACGGAATGAGATTTATATTGGCTCGTATGCTGTACAACTTTATGTGAAGTTTTTAATGAAAAACTCCAAATTTCAAATTTCTGACAAAGTTTTTCTCTTTCTGATAATTTTGTTTAATGAAGAAAAATTGAATTCGGAATCTTCAGAAAAAGAATTTAATGAGTTTGAAGTATTTGAAAAGAGTGAGTCAAATAGTACAAAAGAATGGTTTGTTATGCGAGATATTGTTGTATCAACAGTAAAAGATGAGTTTCATATTAATATGATATCAAAAATTGAAAATTTCTGTAAAAGAACAGATCAAACTGTCAACTTTAATGATTTGCAAGATTTCATAACAAAATTAAACTAATGAGAGTTGATTTAGAGCAACAAATTCACTTTATTCATTATTTTTTTTTATTCATATTTTAACGAGATAATTTTTTAAGTGATTCATGTAAGATTTTTAAATTTAAAGATTTTGAAAAAAATTTGAGACATTCAGATTCAAAATCATAATAAAAATACAATAATACGAATACTACTATATGTAACAAAAAGGTTTTTTTTTTTCATCTATACAGTACTTTATTGCTTCGTGGTGAACAAATTTTATTCCATAATCATCATAAATTTAGTCATCGATAAACTTTGTCTATAACGAAATTATTTATTTTTTTCTTAGTCGTCGTATTGTTACTGTAGTATCATACTTTCATTATATATATTCATCATTTATATCTTTCCTTTTTTGGCTACAAACATTAAGGCAAGCGAGTAGATTAAAAAAATAATTGTAATTACAAAAAGAAAGGGGGTTTTTGGATAAGGAGGTTCCCACTTAGGAATGAAATTCATTTTATTCAATGAAGTTTCAATCAAGCAAAAAGCATTGTTTTTTTTTTTTTGGAGAAATAACTAGGTTAACTAAATGGTTTTCATCACAACGTGTTTCAATTTTTTTTTCATATTTTCTTCTTCTTTTCATTCAATAATATAATCTTTTTTGTATAATTTTTATCTTTAATTTTTAATTTCATTTATGAAAATTTTCCCAACATTTAAGAAAATATTTTTTTTTGTTTTCAATTTTCAATTCAAGGAATAGTTAAAACTTATAATGAAATTTAAAATAAGTCAATTTAGGAAGCAAGAACCATCAACAAATTCATCCAATTTATTAAAAGTAAATACCTAGGATGGAATCATTCGAAATAAAATGAAGATTTTAATTTGTTATGAGTTTTGCTAGAAAGGCGCTTTTGCCATGACAAATTTTGTACCTTTTAACAAATGGAGCTTCTTAAGCTTTCATCTACTCGTACACTTTATTTATCTAAAAAAAAATCTATGAATCAGACTGTTTTATTTGGAATAAAACCTTAGAAAATGTTATATTTAGGGGTTTTATGTCCACTCGTGGAACTAAGGATTATCTAGTTGTAAATTTACTATTTTAGTGAAATTATGTCAATCAGACAAAAGTACAAAAACAATGTCATGAAGATAAATTAGCTTATGAAACAAGACTTTTGAAAGTTTCTTCAACATTATGCCTTGATAGCAACTCAACTTTTGATGTGAGAATTGTACATTATTCCTGAACAGGAGAGGATTTCGCAAGGAAAAGAATAGACTTGCTGCTATTCTGAACAATTTATTTTAAACAGTTGATTGATAAGCCAGAAAATGTTATAATAATTTCCATCATTATCTGCTATGATCTTTCATTTCAAAAAGTTTTTAAGCGTTCATTTTCATGATTTTGAAAGAGAATTAATAAAAAAAATTTCGTCATAATAATATTCAATTGATTCATTATATTTTTTATAACTATATGATAGAAGAAAATATCTCGTACAACAATTTTTAATACATTTTTTCTTCAGGAGATAATCATATTTTATGAAAGTAAAGATTCACTTTTACTAAGATCATTAATTGTTTGATAAATTTCACGTCTTAGTAAAATCTTAATCTGGGTTTTATTTTCAAAAGGGAAAGTCTTATCTAAAGATTTATACTCATTCTCATTTATTCTTTAGGATTATTAATATTCTTTTTTTTTATCATTATTACTAAACTTAATAACGAAGCGATTTATGGATGTAAATGTATGTTTATTTATGCAAATCGGGTGATTTAATGTCCTAAATGTATAAAAAATGAGAGAAGAAAATGTAATGCTTAATGTACTTATTCTTCTTTAGTCTTTTATTATTACCTGTGAGATAATACTTGATCGATTACTATGTCCACCGAATTCAACAGATAAATCCATTCCAAATGGCTTATCTAAATTGTTATTACTAGCTGCCCTATTGTTCTGAACTGGTGTAAGGTTTGAAGCTTGTTGTAGCATATATTCATTAGATTCATCATTTTCTAAACTGCAATCTAAAGATGAGTCAGTGCTAAAAATTAATTGGGCATAAGCCATTTAAGGGATAGATATAGAGAAAGAAGAAAAGATGTCTTATAGGTTAAATGTTTACCTCATCGTACTGTGCCTCTCTACATTATCATCAAGCAATGGTTGAGAGTCATCAGATGGAGTTTTACCAGTTTCATCACTAACCGACTGTTTATTATTATCTCCAGCTTCTTTCTTAGATTCATGGCACTCACATTGACATTCCTCTGGCGAAACATAGTGTCGTTGATGATGACTATGCTTACTGTTGTGTATTTTTTCACTCGGTATATCCTTATTTAATGGAATGGTTGTAATTTTCTTCGGTTGTTGTCGCTTTTCAGGAATGTTTTCAAAATCAATCCATTTACTCGTTAGAGACTTCTTTGAATGAGATTTTACTATTGGACCTACAGGTGGCTGATGTGGTTGAACGTTATGCTGTTCACCATCTTGACTTGAGTTTGATTCTTTACGAGTTCTTTCACTTTTCTTTGAACATGTATTTTGTATCCCTTGTTCCGCAAACTCTGTCCAACTTTTATTTGATAGATTTGACGTACGTCTCGTCATAGCTTTTGGTTGAACTTTTTCCTTATTTTGTTCCGGTTTGTGGCGAGGCAAACTTATCCTCAACTTTTCTCCCCTAACAAGATTTGCATCAGTTATATCACTAGGCTTCTTTTCGCAGAAATTGTCTAATGATGTGGGATGAATGGGTGTAGTTGAGCGAGGACGTTCAAGTGGTATTGTTATAAGTTCCGTTTGAGTACGTTCCTTAGTTGGAATAATTTTAATACCACTAGATCGCTCCTCTGGTAATGTTGTGGGAACATATGGTAATTCATCATCAAATGATTCTTGTAATACTAGACCAGCACTTTCGTGATCTTCCATAAGTCTTGATACACGTTTATGGATGCAACCGTCAATATCAGATTCTCTATCTGATTCTGACGATATTTCCATACGTGATCCACTTGATTGGTGATGTAAAACATTCTCTTCAGTTTTTTGTATGGTTTGTGGTTCATAAGATGTCGGAGATGCTTGTTGATAATGTCCTACTTGAGTAGTTATTATTATTTCCTTGGATTTGTCACGTGGAATTTTATGTAAAAGTTCTTCAGACGATTCTCTCTTTTTTGAAAACTCTCCTGAACTTCTTTGTTTCCTCGTAACAGATTGAGGTCGTGAGCCTGAGTCACTCTGATCGGAACGAGATCGCACAGATGTTGCTGTTACCTTCTCTACCTCACTCGATGATTGATGCTTCATAGTGTTTCGGGTAACTTCTGACATCTTCGTTCCGATTTCTTCGTTTTTTGGACTTTCAAATACTGATGCTTGTTCTGATAGTTGACTTGATTGACTTTCAGTTTTTGATAGACTCAATTGAGTACAGAATATTTGCTCTTCGCTTCCACTACCTAGTTTTGTACTAAATAAAATATGCTTTTTATGACGTGCTTTCTGTTGATTTAATGGTTGATTTTCATTTATTGTATCGATGAATGACGGAATAACAGGCTTCTCCGGTATTCCATTTTTTGATATAATATTTTCGTGTTTTGGTTGTGAAGATATGACAGTCTCTTGACTTTCTTGAGAACTGTGTCGTTGAACTTCAACACTCCATAAGCTCGAACCTGCATCACGATCCTCAGACACCTTTCGATTAGGCAACTCTTGAAGTTCGAGTTCGTCGGTACTTTGCATTTTCTCTATTTGGGCAGTGGGCGCAATTTTTGGCTTTACATTAAGTATAGTTTGATTATGCGATGTTATTTGTGATTGAGTTTGCATTTTTTTCTCCTCTTGAGCAGCTACCACGATAACATCGATTTCTTCTTTTTTCTCAACAACTTCTGGCGTCTTCTTTTTCAATGCACTAAACTCTTTTTCTTCCGGCGGTGTATGTAATGGTATAAAAATTACATCAGGCGCATCATAATATCTTAATCTTGGTTTATCTTTCTGATTCATTGACTGCTTTTGATGTGATTGCGATGCTATCTTTTTAGTCGCTCCTTCCTGTACAGAAGATGATGGTTCTATTAATTGGGAAGGAGACGGATTGCGATTAGATTTGAATAATGTGAATGCTATTCTACTACTAAAACTACTCTTACTTGGCGAAGGAATGGGTGATTTATCATTTAATTTATTCTTGCCTGATGGTATTGTTGTCGATTTTGATTTAATTGTATCAGCAGTCGGATCTTTAGATTTAAAAAATGAACAAAATGAACTTTTTCTTGATACTGATGTTGATGCTGGTGACGGTGAACGATTGTCTGTTGCATGTGTCGATGGGCTTTTACGACTAAGTTGATTATTTTCTTCCTTTTTTGCTAATCTCTCTCGTTTTCTCTCTAAAGGATCTTGAAATTCTTTTTCTTCAATTATTTTCTCATTCGGACTTATGCCATTGTCTTCATATAAATGATCAGGTTTTAATTTAATTCTAGTATATTCAGTTCCCTCAGATGTCACACCAATAACTTTCTTTATGACACCGCCTGGTTTTGTCTTTTCTAACTGCTTTTGATTGATTATATTCAACCTAACTTTTAATGCTTCAATCTCTTTTCTTCTTTGTTCTTTTGCTGCGGCTCGAGCTGCTTCCGCCGGTGTCATTGAACTGTTTGAAATTTCTTGAATTTTTTCCTTAGTCGTCTTTTTTTGAGGCTTTATTGCTGTCATTTCTTTTACTTCTACACCTTCAGCCAGAGCCACTCTTGTTGGATCTCCTCTTCTAGCTAAAATAACACTTTCGATATCAGCAGTAAGTTGCTCAATACTACCTGCATCAGAAGTCGGTTCGATTGGTTTTGGGCCACAAAATGATGTCTCTACTAACATCTTATGTGGAGAAGGCGATCGTGAAATGCCAGAAACACCCGATAATCTACTTACAGCAGATCCTTGGCTTCCAACACTCGAAATTCTACTTGTTCTACCTGATGGATTCAAAAATGCTGCTACCTCAGAACTACCCGAATCTTTTCGATTATACTGAGTAAGCTGTTGTAAAGTTTGAGATTCATCAAACTTGAATATCATCGGAGCTCGTGGGACCTTCGTAAGGTTTTGTTATAAAAATAATAGTCATTAATATGAGTACTCGTGTCAAATGTATTTACAGAACTTACTTGCGCTGACGAGGGTTTTTCACACTCAGTTTGACCTTTTTCTTTTTCCATGAAAAATAATTCTTCCGTGGAACTTCGTAACTCGTCAGCATCTTCTTGGAAAAGCTCTAAGCAACCAGATGCTTCTTGTAACGTTCCAGTTCCGACCTGAAAATAATGTTACCAAAATTGAGTTTGATGTATTTTTATGGATTGAATGATAAATTTAAAAAGATACAAAAGCAATCTTAATGGAATAGTTTACTAAATTCGCAAAATTGAGGATGGATTTTTTTTTTGTTGGATTTCAATCATATTTGATTGAAAATATAATTTTGCAACTAAAATGTATATACACTGAGACACCCCAATCGTTTTGAATGTAGGACATATTAACATACATAAAAGTGGTATAAATAAATTGGCAGAAATATTGGTAAGAGAGGTAAAAAACCTTTTAATGTATTTTTAAACATCGATATGTCTAGCGACACATAGTTTAGCTCCGTTTTGTCCTTTCTTTGAAGGTGCTAGTTGAAGGGTGAATGTCAAGTCTTTTAAACCTTTTTAAGGTTCAATTTTTGCTTATTTTTATTTTACATCTCTAAATTTTGCGACTAAGCATTTTCGAATGTGAATGTTGATATCAAGAAAAAATAAAATTAATGCACTACTAAAGTCAAATAGCAATGACATTCATACTTGCATCAAAAAATAAAACATGAAACATACCACATTGAAAAAAGCACAAATATTGTCTGGAATAGAATAGTCTGAACTTTTTTTTTTTGATAAATATCGATTTTGGGAAATGAATTTTCCACTATTACATAGGCCGATGATTGTGATCGGAAAGGGGGAGACAAAAAAAAGCATGCAGACGTTTTTGATATCATTGGCTGATTTAATCAGCAATTTTTTGTTTTTGGTTGTACGAAAATGAATTTTTAAGATTTATGATATGAATAATACAACAAATATAGCATACAGAGAGTTTAGCAAAAGTATGAAAGAAAATTTATTTTTTACCCATTCACATACGGTACCACAATCATCCTTTTTTTTCAAACATAATATAAAATGATGAATGAAATAATTTTATTAGTTTTGAACGAAATATTTAAAATAACAAGTTGCACACATTTTTGAAATGAATATGTAAAGGAAAAAAGAAAAATTCAAAAAGCCAAGACTTGAATCAAGGTTTATCCTTTTCAAAATTGGCGCACCTTGATAGAAATCATCAATTAAAGTTCATTGAGTTGTAGATATATGCATAATAGAACTAAGAGAAACAATCAAAACAAAATTAAGGATTAAATGACTAAACATAAAAATTAATTCCAAAAGAGAAAGAACAATAATTGAAGCTTGGTCGCTTAATATGTAAATTTCTAAAATAGCTCAAACAAAAAAAAAAAAACAAAAGTGTCAACATAATAAAATGTAGTTCTGCGACTTTTGAATGCTATTTGCTTCACGGTTTCCAATTTATTTTATCAAAAAAAAAAAAAATGTTGTGAAAGGAAAGGATGAAAGCATGAAAAAGTGTATGTGTGTATATCGGTTAATAGACATACCTGATCAAAGACATTTTCGGGTGAACTATCTTCATGGTATGATGAGCTTGATGCACGACTAATGTCAATACGGGGAGTTAATGGAGCTTGTAATGTGGCTGCTGTTACTGTGCCAGTCGTTGATTCTTGGGATTGTTGACTGATATGGATTGATGATGGTTTAAATTTACTATGCGGAAAAACACCCGCTGGACCTCCCTTTGATTCCATAACTGTTGTTCAATATTTTATTTTTTGAATGTGGCATATATGAGAATAAATCCACACAGATAATTTTTTTCTTCTCAATTATAATTTCTTCCCTTATGTAAAGGTCTTTACTTCTTTCCTTATGTGATATAGACTTATACAAATAAATGTATGATATTTTCCACTTGCCACCCAACTCAACTCAACTCAACTCACTTAATCGAAATGAAAAGTGCACACATTCTCAAAATCTACAATGCTATAACATCGCTCGATAATTTCTTTCTCTACAGCTCTATCCTTCACTTTCAGATTTATTTGTTTCTCCTTTTAATTCTTGTTTATTTTCTTCAAAACTTTGTCCTTTGAAAGTTTTCTTTTTCCACAGAATTTAGCTTCACACAAACAAAGCTAATTAATTATTATTTTTTGCATGGGATCTACATTTTTTCCAGATATACTTAAACACGAGAGCTTCACGTCTATTTAATGTCATGAAAAAAAAACGAGGAATATTTTAACTTTCATTAGAACTCATTTGGAATAGAGTTTATTAACCCTCCCTTCAATGCATCTACACTCTCTTTTCCTTCTTCTTTTATTTTTAAGCCTTGCCGTTCTACAAAATTTCACACTTAGTTCCTCTACATTTATAAATTGATGAAAACTTTTATCTTTTGCAATACTATTTATTAAACTGTTTTTAATACTTTTTAATTATTCAAGCTACACTTTTTTTTAAAGAATTATGAAAATTTTTCATCCACTTCCTTTTTTTCTTTTCCTTTTTTGAAATGATGAAAAAAAAATTCTTTTTTTTTGTGTGTTTTAATGAGCGAAATTTAACTGATTTAAATAACTTTGATAAACACTACCAGTATAATATCTTTTCGTTATGAATTAATTAACAATTAATGACACATAAATGCACTAAACGAATAAACTTAAAATATTTCTTACTGCTTTAATTCAACAGCAAATCGAACCTCCAGTAAGGAAAAAAAATTCCCAACTTTTTAAGCTTTTCGATCGATATTTTGGAAATGTGACGAGAAATCCTTCCAGTTTTGTGATTTATCTCTCTCGATTTTTCCTTCCAGTGAGAGTTTGTTATGCTCGGAGAATGAAGTTCCCATAAGCAGCATGATTTTCTCACACAAATCAAAATTGCAGATTATGTGAGGTTGTAAAAATATAAACATTTATTATCAATGCATGCGTTTAAAGAATCTTTTTGAATGCGTGATTTTTTTCTGATGCTGTATTTAGTCATGCCATGCTGAAAAATAACGGCTGATTATTTTATACGGTCATTCTTATTATTTTTCCGGCATTTTCTCTCTGCATCATGACAAAAAAAGAGCAAAATTGGCATCGATTCGAAATGTCTTTTAAAGAGTCACGGTGGCACTGACTTCAGATTTGTTTTTGCTATGCATTGATGTCACGATAACATATTAAATTTTTTTTATTGCCGCAGCGTGAGTGGATCTAGAAAGTTTGCAGCTACTACTATTCTTCGTCTTTAATAGAATCCAATTCTCTCTCATTTCCTACAATGTAGTATCTATGTGGATATACTTTCTTTTCTTTTCTTGTGAGTACGCTGAGCGAAAATGCAAAGAATTCTCGGTCAAGATATAAATTTTTCCATATATGTAAACATTATGCAATAGTGCTTACCTACCTCTCTTTCTCTCTTTCACGTTCACGTTTGCATGAACATTATTAAAGAGAAGATGATGATGATTTTTCATTACCACTTCTTTTCCGCTGTACACGCATCTTTTTTCATACATTTCTTTATTTTCGCTGTCTTAAGTAATCTTTACTCTTTTTCATTCATTCAGTTTTCAAAACGCTGTCCATCGGAAAAGAAGCACAAGAATTGTTCCTTTGCGTGTTTGACGGTACTCTAAAAAGAAAAAATATATTCGGTTATTTATTTTTGAGTTGCAAAACGGTTCAATGTTATTAATTTAATGAGAAAAAAAATTATTAATAATCAGCAATTGAATCAGAAGAAGAATTAAAGTGATTAATGAAGAATTAGATGAGAAGAAAAATCATAAAAAAATTATGTTAACAGAAACAAAATTTGATTGTTCTTGATCATCGGAATTTGCTTATGATTTTTTTTTGTGTTTGAATTATTGGCAACCACTTAACATAATTGGATACTGCGCTCAAGATGATAAAATAAATGGTAAGCTTGGAAGCTGAGTGGGAATGTGGAATTATAATCAAATTAATCAACATTTGTTGATTGCTGAAATTTTAAGTTTAAAAATTTAGAGTGAAATGTTTCAATCCAACTCAGTTTGGTGAAATGAGCAACTTCAGGTTTACTGAATATGAACTTCAGTCTCTGAATTACTGCCAAATTTGATCCTTGATCAAGTATGTACCAATTTAGTAAATTTGCTTAATCAATTCAATTCAACTTAAACAGATGCGAACTTGCTCATTATGAATTTGAAGATTGCCATTAACTGGCTTAATTAGCTCAATTCGATCTAAAACTATTGAACTAGAAATATTGGAAAGTTTAGTCAATTTTCTAATATTTTGAAAATTAACATCCTCCACATATCCCAATTTTGAAAGCATGTGCAATTTCGGGATATTTTTAAAATAATATAAAGGTAGATCTAACTCTTTCAATCGTATGGAAGATCCTAGATGAACCTAATCTACGACTAAACATTACTTTTAAGAAAATGACGACAAAAAGGAATGTCTTTTTGCACAAAACTGGGAAAACAAACAACTTTTAAAACAATGTGTCCCATTGATACCCAAAAAAATAATTCATCCCTGACACAAAATCAAGTTGTCCAAAATTACCAAGAAAATCTCACAAAAATTACCGAAATTAATAAAATATATATGTCAAATTTGTGCATTGAAAAGGGAATCTCGTGAAGAAAATGTTCCATTTATTTTTCATCCGTTCCACTTCCATCCTCAAAGCATCAATTAAAATCGTCGTGTTCTAAAAACACAAGAAAAGCAGCATCGCAGACGTAAACGAACGAAAAAAAAGCTACTATACTAGCAATCATAATGTTGTGTTCCCATTCCAGCCACTTAACTCTGTCCCATTTTCAGCAGCAGCAGAAGAAATGCTTTTCATTTTTCATTGTTTAATAACAATGAAATAATTTTGAGCTGTACAATAAGCAGCGAATTTTGTTTTTACTGTTTGAATATTACCTAATTAACCAACGGTTCTCTTCTTATTCTTAATTCGGGCTGTCTTTTTTTACTCAACCATATATATTCATTACTTACTTGCTTGCCTGCTTATCCATTCATAAAGAAAAAAAAAATAATGATGCTATTGCTGAAAAATTAACAGTTTCTGGATTTATCAAAATGATGTATGCCTCGGTTCTCACAGTTCTTAAGCTACGCTGAAAGACATTCTTTAAGTAGACCAGAATATAGAAAGAGAAATTTCTGTCCCATTTTACACTTTTTCTTTCAACCATAATATTTAGTGTTCATGACATCAAATGGATTTGTACACAACATAGAAATTCTTTCTGTCTTTGCTTTTCGTTCTCCTTTTCCGTGATTTAAGTTGATGCTAATTGCATGAAGCACCTTGTGTGCGGCGCTTAAATAGAAGAACACTTTGTATAATGAAAGTAAATGTACGGCGATCATTACTCTTTTACTTGCTGCTCTGAAAGCGTGACCGATTATTAAGCTTCATGCTCGTAACATGTTGCTTGCTCTTCATGAATATTATGCGTACTTAATACCTTAACTTCTTGTATAAATTAATTAATTATTTTCTTCGTGTTTAGCGGTGAATTTTTATCATTTTTTTGCAAGTAAAACGGAACAACCTTAACGATTGCATATCTTCATGTTACTTAATTATGTTAATGATTTAATCTTTCTTCTCTTTGAGAGTTTAATTGCTTATGGCTACCTATACTAAAATTTATATATTCGATCTTGATTTATTCGCAAATTTCATTTCCTTACGCAATATACTGCACTTAAGAAATCCGAGCATTAAAAATTTAATTAAAGGAACACAAGAATCGGGGCTAAATTTAATTAATTATGTGGAAATTATTCATTCAATAAGCCTAGATTTTAATTTTATTTGCACATTATTTATGGTAATTGTTCTAGCCAGTTTGGGACGTTCTGTGACTAAAAGGAGAACATAATTTGCATAAATGCTTTATCGGCCTTTTTTTTATCGGGGCAAGCAATCGCTTATGGAATCAAATAATGTTTTTTTTTTTTTGCTTACGCGTGCTGGAATGTTTTTTGTGTTTGATTTTTTGGGTTCAATGAATGCAGTCAGGTTGATCATTTGTTTCTGATGATTATTGGTAATCATGGATTCTTAAAATCTCATGGCTAAAGCTTTGACAATCTATAAACATATCACAACTAGTTTGGATATCACAAATGGAAATAAATCTTGCTCTTAGCTTTGTTGAGGCCAACTTTTAATAAATCCTGTTAAATCCAGCTTGAAACCACATAGCATCTAGTAGACACCAAGACAATATCTTTAAAATGAATAATCAAAACTTATGAATGGAACTCAAATGAAAAAAATCATAGAACATCTAGAAAATAATTGCTTCTAGAATTTTGTGCATCCATGCATTTAATCGTGTTCTCAAATGTCTCAATTAAAGAATTTTTCGAGCATCTAAAATGCATACTTGTTCAACCATGCAATCTGTTCTTTCATACTTGAATCTAGTCATTTCATACGTGACGCACTCTTAAACCCAAAATTATGCTAAGAGTCATTCATAAGTGATATCCAACTATTGGAGAAGTAAAAGTTCTGAAGCTTTGTCTCTTCCATACATGAACGACCCCTTTTTATTCTTAAACAATCTTAAAAATATAGATCACTGCAATGTTTAACAAGCGTTGAAAAGCTGGAGGAATGCGACATTCTTTCAAAAGCATCCACCCCAATTTCCACCAAAACTCTCGTAGACAATCCACATTCACTTTTGATTTAGTTATGCACAGACATTTGAAATTTAATAAGAAAATAATAATATGAAAAAAATTAATTCCGCATATTTATTTCACTAAACTTCCGTTCCCATGAAAGTTATGCTACTGCCTTATTTCTCATACATCAAAGACTAGCTTTTATTTCAAATTCTTTTGCTTGTAGCTCCACATAACTCGTAATTTATAATTTTTTATTTTGCATACACAATTGTGCTACATTTAATTACTACATATGGATCAACATTACAGGAAATGAATGCGCCGACGTAAAACTCAACGATTATTTTACAAAACACCTCAAAGGAAGAAGATTGTAAACTTCAGGTCGAAAGATTGACTTAAAATTAAGGCGATAAGGAATTAGAAACAATTGATCATCATGCTTTTGTTTGTACAGTTGCTGCTAATGTGGTATTGTTTCAATGGCACTAGAGCAAACAAAAGTCCGCAAAAGATTTTATCAGTTGAAACAAATTGCACAAAAGATTTGATGCATCTTAAATTGAACATGCTGCGTCCGTTTAAAGGAATGTTTTATGCAAAAGGTTTTTTAGACGAATGTAATAGTCAGGCAGGATCTAATTTGCTAACATTACCTTTAACATCATGTGGTATGAGATCACATATGCTCTCGAAAGATACCATGGAATATTCAGTACAGATTGTTGTTCAGCACAGTTCAAAGCTTCAGCAAAAAAGTGATATTAAAATTAATGTAAAATGTGAAGTCTCGACAGACACAATGGATCATAACATTGAAAGCAATGACTTAAAGCCACAACGAAACGGAAGAATGAGATTCTTCAAGACTGGAATGAAGATTCGCTCATGGCTTCAAATAGATTCTCAGAAAGCTGAATATGCAGCAGTTGGGGAGAATGTGACAATATCAGCGAATGCATTGCTTCCACGAAATGTTGGAATGAGGATAGTCGATTGTATAGCATTTGATGGAGTTGGAGATTCGTCTCAGAGACTGTTTGATGAATATGGATGTGCTGTTGATGAGCTGATTATGTCTGAATTTACTGAGCATGTTATGGATCTTGAAGATGGATGGTCCAAGAGCAGTGATGATGACATCGTTCGTAAAATATATTCGACAGGTAAGTCTTAGCATCTTGAACAATTGATGTTCAATCAAGATCCCCAACTTAAAGTAGGAGGTTCTTAAACAGAATTCTTCGATAGACATCATTTGTGAAAGACCAACTCGTAATTTTATATCACTCAGAATTTAATCATTTCCATTCCTAACAGAATTTCAAGCCTTTAAATTCCCTGATAAGGAGATAATCCACTTTAATTGTGGCATCATTCTATGCAAAGGAGAATGTTCGAAAGAATGCCACGATATATCAGAGAATCATTTGTTGAAAAGACCGTTAGCACGTTTAGAGATATTTAATAGTTTGAAGGTAATTGCACCACAAATAGAAGCAATTGATAGACCAATAAAAAATGTTACAACGAGAGGTAAGTGATTTGCCATTTCTCGTTTATATTGTTAATTTCTTTAAGTATCATATAATTTTACAGAAAAATCGGAAGCACAATCAGCGTATTTAGGACCTGATGTTTTATGTATATCGCAATCAAGATTAGCAGTTATTTTCTGCACATTAGGCATAATTTTCTTGTTAGCAGTAATTGTGGCAATATTCTGCTCGATTAGATATCTTACGCAGAGACGAATAATGTACAGCAGAGCTCCAACACTTTCTGATGATATCAGCGGGAGACGTAGCATCTTTTCATTGAGTTCAAGTTCAAATAATTTTTCGCAGTCTTCATTAGAAATTGATAGCAAATTATTCTCTTATGGCAGAGTCTATTAAAAATATTATTATAGCTATAGAATGATGTTAACTTAATCAAGTGTAAAAATGTTAAATATGTACCAATCATTAATAGATTTATATATTGTTATGGATTATGGTAATAAGCACTGGACGACAAATTATATTTTCTTGTCCATTACTTGTTAACTCTAGATATAGAAACTGTATCTAATTTTTTTGTTTGTTAAATGTATCTTTATTATCAAGACTGAAATTTTTTGGATATTTTTTTGATTTTATAGAAAATAAACTACTTCCAGTTGTTTCAACACAAAATTATAGAAAGGAAATCCTCACGTATTTTAGAAATATCAATTTTCTTCCTTAATCTCATCTTCTGGATCTTGAACATTTTCTTCAGGTTCCTTTTCAGCTTGTTCTACCTTAACACTATCAGGTTTTGAGGTCAATTCGTTGAGATTATATTTCTTAAGTAAAATGTAATCTGTAACTACAGTTATACAGCATAATCCTTTAATAACTTCTACTAAAATAGTCTTTTTTGGTTCCTTTAGGTTCACCTTATTAAGCATATTCTTTTGTGATACAAGTGCTGCTAGTTCCTTAATAACATCGTCTCTCTGGATGTCATTGTTCAATCGCTTATTGAAATTTATGGCAAAGGTGCTTGGTTCCTTTAAAAAGTGCTGGTCAAATAACTCACCAGATGTATTAATAATATCATCCATCTTGGCTCTACAAGTTCGCAAAATCGGCATCATTCTGTTTGTAAATTTAGTCTTCTTCTGTTGCGTTGTGAATAAGTCACGAATAATTCTCTCTCCAAGTTCATAGAATTCATCGATATGAGACTTAATAAAGACTACACCGTTTGCTCCAGTATCAACTGATTGAAATAACATTGCCTTCTTTGCTGATTCTTGCTTTGTATCATCTATTGCCTTGGATAACTGATCTTCAATATCATCATCATCTGGATCTACTATTTTGACCTCAACTTCTTGTTTTGAACCATAATATTCCTTATAATACTCATTCAATAGCCTATAAACTTCCCTAACTGACTCATTTGCTTTATAATTGAATGTCACCTGTTTATTTTAAAAAAAAAATAATTTTTTTAAATGAAATTATCAAATGATTGTAAATATTAATGATATTACCAAATAGCCTTGATCACCAGCCTTTAAATAGCTCTTCTTTGACTGTTGATTCTGCTTAATAAAGTAATTCTTTGCCTTAGAATTAAATTTCGGCTTTTTTGCAGGGGATGCCATGATGTTTTGTTTTGATATACTTACTCAAATTTGATTGTTTCCCACGCTTGATTCCTACGACTTGCACACTAATACTATTATATACAGCACTTTTGAGCACCTAGCAATACCAAGGAAGGAACGAACAAATAAATATTTTAATCCACTAAGTTATTTCAAATCACAGTAGAATGACGTCGATGTCTAAGGATTTAAAAAGTTTATTCTCATATCATTTATTTGTCCACGCAACATCAGGAAGTGCTGCCTCATTAGTTGCTGTACTTGCTGTTTTTCCATTCTTAACAATTCTTCAGCGAAAACAGCGTAAATGAACTTTGAACTTTCTAATCTGTTTTAACAAAAAAATTAATGAATGATAATTAACATTTTAGTTGATGATTTGAAGACAGTTAAGCATTTAAATGCTCTGGAACTCATTTTATACATAATAAAAAGGGAAGGGTTACCATCTCTATATCGTGGGTTGATTTCTGTTATGCAAAGCAGTTGTATATCAAACTTCGTCTACTTCTATGTCTTTCATTTGCTGAAAAGCTTCAAATCCAGAGATGCAGTAAGTACCATACTCATTTGGTATCTTCACTTGTCATGATGTTATTAATTAATTTTAGCAATCGGCAAAGAGCGACTTGATCTTAGGTACAATTGCTGGATGTGTCAATGTTCTTTTGACTACTCCATTTTGGGTCACAAATACTCGATTGAAGATGAACGGAATTAACTGTACACTTCCATATAATGATCTCTTATCTGGATTAAAGCACATTGCAAAGTATGAAGGAATTCAAGCACTTTGGTCAGGTACACAAGCAAGTTTATTATTGAGCATAAATCCAGCCATTCAATTCTCTGTATACGAAGGAATCAAAAGATATTTGACAAAAATTTATGGAGCTGAAAAACCAAGTGTTTTCTACTTTTTCTTCCTCGGTGCGCTCTCTAAGCTGATATCAACATTTATCACTTATCCATTGCAATTAGTTCAAACAAAATTAAGACATGGCGATAAGGAAAACCAGCACAAAGTAGGAACCATGCAAATGCTAGTGCAAATACTGAAAGCTAAAGGCTTTAAAGGATTGTATTGTGGATTAGAAGCAAAGATCTGGCAAACAATTCTTACTGCTGCATTAATGTTTATGGCATACGAAAAAATTGCTCGTTTTGTCAAATTCTTACTTCGAGCTACAGCACCTGCATCTTCTTAGTGACTGGCTATTTGACATATTCTTACATTCCAATCGAGTCTAGTCGATTTCATCTTACCGCATTTTTTTTTTGATAGGTTGACCCTACTTATTCATTTTAAAATTCATGACAATTGATATTGTTGGTGATAGTGTTTTTGTAAGGAAGCAGCTTTAAATTATTATTAATAAAAGAGTTAAGGAATTGGGAAAATTGAACTGGACTAAGCGATTTCATTTAAATTGTAATATTGAGATTAAATTTTTTGAAACATTTAAAGAATAACGGTAAAAACATATTTGAAAATTCAAGTACAGATCGGATTAACAGAAAGATTAAAATAAATCGCAGGTTTAAGCAAGTTAAATCAAACTTCTGAAAAACGAATTGAAAATAAATCAAAACCTTACAGGAATTTATTATTAATTATTGTTTAATTTTAGTTTATTTCTTTACAATATCTATTGTTGATTTTTCATCTTTATCATCAGGTCTATACAAAGTGTCTCGACTTTTAATCATCAAATAACATTTTTTTTCTGAATTGTTTTATGCTAAAATAATTAATTAATTTTATCCATCTCTCACACACGCATATATTTATCACTGAAAACTCTCTGTCCATTGATAAATAATTGAAATGCACACATGCAATCGTAGTGAATTAAAAAATCGATTCCATTGCTATCAATCCGTAGCCTTAATCTTGTATGATTATATTAGAAATAATGTGAATTTTTTAAACACCAATCAGTTGATTAGCTACGTGAGAATCGCTTTCTCATCCTTAAAAAATTCAGTCTAAGAGTGTTACTTTTATATTTTATTCATTTTCTTTTTCAGAACTTTTATAAAATTAATGCATAATTGATTTCATTATCATTAGATTTTTAAGGTAGATGTTACCGTTAATAATAATATTGATTGGATTTTTTTTTTGTTTTATAGGAAAATGAAGATAAGAACTCAAGTCGTGTATTTTGGCTAACATATATATATGCTCATAATAATTTTTGTAATTTATGTACATTGCATCATATGACGATATAAAGTATATATATGTGTATCAGAAAGCGAAAACAAGGACGATTAAATTTACTAGAACTTAATGCAATTATGTGTTTCCCTCTCACCTTAATTACCGTTGAACCTTCATCTTCCAATTTTATTCTATCTCTCATTCTATATTTCCAAAGCTCTTCTAGCGCCTGTAGTTAAATTGGTTATTGTTACGAGAGAAACGGTTATTATTATTATGATTATGATTATTGTTATATTTGTAATCTTTGTGGAAATTTCTGTTATTATTAAAATTCTTGCCTGAATTATAACCATTATTATTTTGACTGCTGTTGTTGCTGTGATTAAAAGAATGTCGTCGTTGGAAATTGTTGTGAACTTGCCGATCATTGTATTTATCATATCCATTTTGATTGCCTCCGTTATAGCCATTATTATTATTATTATTCATATTTTGATGGTCATTGAATGGATTCGGTAATTTGCCTTTTATTGGACTATAATTATTATACTTGATCTTCTTGACACGTCCACGATCCATCTCTTCTTCATCCTCATCAATCATGTGTCGCTTTCTTTCTTCCGTTTGATCACGTACAACCTCTTTATTCATATTTGTTGGCTTATTGCCCCACGATAGAACATTTGACGTTCCATATCCACTATGATTTAATTTTTTCAATTGACTTATTGCATCGTCAATGCGAGCAACAATAACATTATTACTATTGTTATTGTTATTTTGTTGCTGCTCAGCCTTTTGTTGCAATTCAGTGGTTTTAGAGATTGAAGCTTTTGTTGATATCGTGCTTCCTTGCTTGCTTGGAGCTTTAATTTTTGTATCTTTTATGTTTGTTTCTATGAATATTCCAGAAGTTGTACGGCATATTGTAGGCGGTTCTTCTTCTTCATCATCGTCGTATGGAACTAAACTTTTAGGTTTTGATGGTAAAGTGGGAGGTAATGAAATATTATTCGATGTCGTAGGCATTTTTAAATCATCGTCTTCGCTTAGTCTTGGTACGCTTGGCAGGGGAGACCGTTCTATTTTTAGTCGCTTGATGCCTATATCGTTTTTTTGGTCCTGTTCAAGTTCTGATTCGTCTCGCTTTCCATTGCCATTATGCACTGAATTTTTTGAATTACCATTCCAGGAATTAAAATTTTTATTATTACTGTCATTTTTTGACGACGACGACGGCTGTTCACTTTCCTTTTGTCTATTTTGTTGTTGCAGCTGATGACTGTGTTTGATGAGATGTGATGGAATCAATTTAGGTAAGTTTGGTTTCGAGAAACTCGAGTCATTTTCGCGCACTTTCTCATAATGATTATTCCCATTGGACTTTGAAGCTCCATTAGTGTTAATTTCCAAACCGTTTTTTACATAAGTATGTCCATTCTCATGAAATATACTATGTCCATTATGCATACTACTTTCGTAAGACTTTGTCGTTGATTGAACTAATTCGTAAAATAAGACATAAGCGTTTCCTCGAAGTGCTGAATCAATCGGAATTGAAGAAACGCGACTGTCATCAAAATGATAAAAATTTCCATTCGGACCCATTCCAACTGCTGTATAATGTCCTCCAGACGATGATCCACCTAAATGAGTTACCATCGAGACAAATCTGTACAAGGAATTTTGATTTAAGTCACTAGATTTTGATAAATATTTCTGCAGATTTAATTTCTCGCTGATATTAATGTGTTTTGACAATTTCCCACCCATCGCTGTGAATCTCTTTAGCTGTATACATAGAACCGCAGGTGCACGTTCAAGTGAAAATCGTTTTGAGGCAGACACTCGCTTTTTACATGATTCACATTTATATCCACATTCTTCGAGATTTTCTTTCGAGAAATATCCTTGAATTGCTTCCGTTAGCGAACCAACACGACTTATATCAAGCGGTAAATCTTGAAAATGCTGGAAAGTCACAGACTCGTGATGACAAGAAAAGCAAGTTACAGTTGATCGCAAATATCCACCAAGAATTTGATTTAATGGAGTCGTTTCCTTACTATATTGATCCATATCTTTAAAGAATGACTCGTTACGGAAACGAAGCAAATATGCCTTCTCCATTTTCTCAATTAAATAACGCAAGAACTCATGTGCATCCTCCTGACGTCCTAATGTTAAATGTTTGCAGATGTGTGATAAGCGATTTGTAATATTTGACGGCGTAAATGAATTTATGTTTGGCCTTTGCGTGCTTAATAGTGTATTGGACATTGCACAGATTATACATTGTGAATTATCTAAAATTACAAGCAAGATACAAGAATTTTAATGTAGTGAAAGTTGTATTAAAAACTTGAAACAAGTGACTCATACCTTTACATGGACTTTTTTCGCGATGTTCTCTGTCAGAAATTAGCCATTGCGCTAAAGCAGGAACATGGAAAAATGCTTGAAGTGCCGAGTTCAAATAACACGTATTACCAATGTTATTAAAACCACATCCTGAACTCCAATTTCTTGAATTTCCTCCATGATTCCATCCTATCTGGATCTTATCTTTTGGAAACAATATTCTTTTTGGTTGTGGCAGTTTACTGGTCGTAGATGAAGAACATGACGACAATGAGGTAGATGAACCATTGATATTCTTTTCGTTGGATGTTAGTTGTGGTTTTGAATTAGCATGTTGTACTGATTGGAGGGAAAAAAACAGTATAATTACACTAGTGTTACTGGAAGATTTACGTATATCTTTTTTTGGCGGTATATAGTAACTGTATCGTCCCGTCTCTTTCTTACATATAGCTTTATACAATGCAGAAAGTCTCATAAGAACGTAATGTAGGTAAAAGAAACAATACATGGAGAGGAATGATATTGAGAAAGAGCATACTTTATATGTATGGAGATTGATAGACGAGAAGGAAGTAATGAGGTCGTAGATGTGTGTTAGAAAGAAAGAGAAAATGTCTGTGAAAAATAAAATAATAAAAAAAAATTGGAAATTCTCAGAAGAGAGCTATCTCAGTGGCATTGTACAAAGAAAGGAAGAAATGGACGTAATATGCGTTGAATATCGACGACTTTTGCGTTGTATAAAGGAATAAAAAGAATGTAGATTTACCGTTTAATGGTTGCTGATTCGGCTTTAATATGATATATTTTGTTTGGAGTGAACTCAATGTATTTGTGTAATTTGGAATCTCTTCATACTCGATTTTAGCTGATAGCACTTGCTTCACAGTCGGTGTAGGATGATTTTCATAATTTTCCTTCTCACTTTTCTGCTTAAAACTCTGTGTTAAATTTTCATTTAACTTTGTTATATTTTCTTTTAAAATTGCAGGCATATTTCAAGTTTTCCTATTTTCACAACACCCTAGCACTATAACTCATATCCTTATAACTGTTTCCACACTAATTAATCACTAAAATCATTGAATTGGCGCAATTCAATCCAAAAATAAAATAATAAGAGTTTTTTGTCACACGCACGTTTTCTCTGAATACTCGCCGTAAAAAATCGGAACTAGCTGATGCCTCGAAATTAGTATGTTGAATACAATAGACTATAATATCTGATACTCTTTTATAAGGACGTACGTTCGAATCACAAAGTCTGATCATTTACGTAAAATTTCATAACGTAGGAATCATTTTTACGTAGAATTTCATCACGCAAAGCACAATGATTCAGATTCGGAAAAAATGTTCAAAAATTCCTTGTGCACAATATTTTTCTGACACATTAGAAAATTGAAAGTTTTTGTTGATTTCTTTTGATTTGATTCTTTTAGCATCTTCTACATAATATTTTCGTTCATTGCTCAAAAAATCAGTCCTTAATATAAAGGATAAACATGTTTTTTTATCAAAAGTTTGTAAAAGTTTATCAAAAAATATTGTGCATGATCAAACTTTGTATGAAATTTTATGTAAACTTTGATCGCAAATATCTCGAAAACGGAATCAAACGGCATGTCCTCAGTAATATGGGAGATAGATTAAAGCTTATTTAATTGATTTATATAGGTTTCAGAGAGGTCTTTGGAAGACTTTTTAACTTATGAATAGTTTAAGTTTTGTAAAAATACTCAGATTTCAATTCCATTTTTAAGGCTTAATAAGCAGATTTCTATTGAGTTGGTTGTTTTAATATGTAGAGCTAAGCTTAAATTAGCTAGCAACTGCTTTCAAGACATCCAAATAACAACTTAAAGTAGAAAAAATCACATTTCTTTTTTCATACTCAAATTGTAAACAAATTTTGGGTGAGATTAAATTAATGATTTCTGGAGTTAGACAGCAAATAGGAACGAGATATTTTTAAAGGATATGCACAAAGGAAAGATCTTTTATCTGGCATTTAAAAGACAAAGTTTAATTAACATGAAATTTTTGAATTTTTGAACATTTTTTTCGATTCTGAATCATTGTGCAAAGCAAAAAATGACGAATTAAATGTTTCAACACAAGTTTTTTAAGCAAAACTAATCTATTCTATATCTTGTTCTTATTATTTAGCATTATGAATTCATTTTGTGTGATTTTATTGCATTTTTTTGTTTACGTGATGAAATCCTTTGTAAAAATGATTCTTACGTGATGAAATTTTACGTAAATGAAAAAAATCACTCAGATTCACACAATACTCATAACGTTACTGGATATTTACCGTTTTATTTGCTCTATTTCTGCGTTCTATGTCTACTGTATAATCTTGTGTTCTTTATAAGAATTTGTCAAAAGAATGTAATTTAACGACATTTATAAATTGAAGACTCGAATAATTTACTGAGATTAATTAAGATTCATTGATAAAATGATCATAAAAATAAAAACATTACGTCTACTCAAAATAAACCAAAAATTGGCAATTCCTTTTTTCTTTAAAGTGACAACTTAATTTAAAGCATCGCTTTCGGCTAGAAACTATTCATAAATGACGTCTATAAACATCTTGTTTTATATTTTCCGTCATTTATAAATAAATAAATTGCTATTGTTGGTTATTGAAAAAGTAAACAAACTCGATAAATTAATTTAATAAAGGATAATACAATGCGATACGCACAGTTTGTTATGGGAAGTGCTGGAACTGGAAAGAGCACATACTGTTCAACAATCCAGAGACATGCAGAAGATAAAGGAAGAGTGATTAACATTGTAAATTTAGATCCAGCAGCTGAACATTTTGATTATGAGCCTCTTGTGGACATTCGAGACTTGATACAATTAGATGATGCCATGGAAGATGAGGAACTGCATTTTGGACCTAATGGTGGTCTCATTTTCTGCCTTGAATTCTTATTAGAAAACGCAGAGTGGCTTAGAGATGCTTTAGATCCTGATTTAGAGAATGAAGTGGACGATGATTACTTGATATTTGATATGCCTGGACAAATTGAGTTATTTACACATCTAGATACAGGAAGAAAGTTAATTAAACTATTAGAAGATTGGAACTTTAGAGTTTGTGGCATTTTCTTAATTGATTCACAATTTATGACAGACGGAGGAAAGTTTATTAGTGGTACATTAACAGCACTATCAGTAATGGCTAATCTAGAAATTCCACATCTAAACATTCTTAGTAAAATGGATTTGCTCAGTAAAAACTCCAAATCTCAACTAGAAAAGTAAGTTTTATTAGCATTTTACAAGAAATTTTTAAATCATATACATATCCTTTAGATATTTGGAACCAGACGCACATGCACTACTAGGAGAAATAACGTCAGATTCAGCTTGGGGAAGAAAACATAGGCGCTTATCAGAGGCAATTGGAAATCTAGTTGAGGATTACAGTCTTGTTCGTTTTACGCCTTTTAATATTGATGATGAGGAGAGTATATCCGATGTACTGTTCACCATTGATAACATTATACAGTTTGGCGAGGACAATGATGTTAAAGTACGTGACGATTTTGATCCACCAGATGAGGAAGAAGAAGATTGCCATATAGATCCACAAGACTATTCAAATCTTTAAAAATCTTTCTTTATTTTGTGTAAATTAATGTTTCATATTTACAGTCCTTATTGCAACTTTTTAAAAAATAAATATGGATAGAACATTTATCTTTTCTGAAATTCAATCTTGTTTTTTATGAGTTTTCATCGTTCTGCGCTGTCTCTGTATCCGTTTTACTTTCAAGCGAGAATGGTGGAATTCTAAAATTATCAAATTGATCAGTATTGTTACTTTTAATACCTTAATTTAGACTTACCGGCAATCAAACACTAAGCCATCCTCTCGTTCGAATCTAAATGATCCCCACATATGTCCTGACTGTGCCTATAATTAATGGATACAGGGTGGATAAAAATAGAATCTGGCCTTTTTTAAAAATATGTTCACGTGTACAATGTGTGGCAGATAATATATGTCACACATTGCATATGTGCACATGTTTTATGTGTGATGTGTGCACATATTTGATGTGTGACACATTATTTTGTGTCACATATGAAAATGTGTGATGTGTGACACACATTTATGTGTGTAGATATCATGTGTAAACATGCAAAAGCTGCACATATTTATTACTTTGCGGGACTAAAGTGGTATTTTTTTGTAGAATTTATTTAAAAAATTATTGATATATAACCAAAACAGTCAAATATTGCATAAAAGAGTTAATTTTCTCCAAAATATGTTCATCAAACTGTAATTTTAAACTAATTTGACTTTATTTGTTGGAGAAATGAAGATGAAACTAAGATTGATGAGCTTCAGTTATGATCAAATCTTTAATAGTAAAACTCGTGTTCCTTAATCACTTGTAAATCAATTTTAAGTCAAGTTTTCCGAAAATAAAGTCAAATTAGTTTAAAATTACAGTTTGATGAATTATTTTGGAGAAAACTTACTCTTTTATACAATATTTGACTGTTTTGGTTATATTTCAATAATTTTTTAAATGAATTCTACAAAAAAATACCACTTTAGTCCCGCAAATTAATAAATACGTGCAGATTTTGCATGTTTACACTGGTTTACACATGATATCTACACACATAAATATCTGTCACACATCACACATTTTCATATGTGACACAAAATAATGTGTCACACATCAAATATGTGCACACATCCCACATAAAATATGTGCACGTATGCAATGTGTGACATATATTATCTGCCAATATATGAATTCTGCCACCCATTGTACACGTGAAAATGCAAAATGTGTTGGATATGTGTACATATTCTGTAAAATAGAATATGTTTTAACAACCCTGAATGGATATTAAGGATCAATCAGAATTGATACACAAAGTAGTTGAAACTCACTTGTAAGCTGACATGAGATGAATATTGGAAAGCCGGTAGACGAGAATTGAGTATTGGTTCTTGTCCTACAATGCCTCGTCCGCGCACAGTTTCTAGAGTTCCAGTTAAAGAGAAAATTCTCCTACAAAAAATGATTAATTATGTCTTGAATGAGTCAAAATTTTATTGAAGCTTACCAGTGCCTTTCTCTGAGCTGAACAGACAGTTCTCCAAGATTTTCCAGTCTAATACAATATCGCCACCAATAAACACTACTGGAAGGACTCTCTTTTTTACCCATATAGAATGGAATTACCGTAATCCTTATATTATTAGTCGTTTCAATATGAACATCACTGAGCTCCAAAAAGGTATGATTCTTTTTTTGCCAAGCTTTTAGAGTATCCAAAGCTGTAAATGGAGGATCACTGTCTGTTTTTGCTAAGAACTTATCGAATAATTCATGACTTAGAGCTGTAGTCTCAAAGGTTTGATAAGGAATCACGTCTAAATGGCTAACCTGTTAATGATTATTGTTAATTAAGATGACATGAACCTGCTAAAGCTTAAGTTTACTCACATAATCGAGGCCTGGAATAGCATAAAGTGAACGGCTATTTTCTTGATTACTTCCTAGAAATGTGACAGCTTCTGTTTGTGCACGGATGAATGGAATATCACGAGAATCAATAAGGACCTGATAGAATGTTTGAGTTCTTTTCTGAACTTCTTTTGTATTGTCGTTATTTGGACTTGTTATTGAGTTCTCATCATCCGATTTCTGATTAGCTACATCTCTGTCGTAGACTGTAGAATGAACAAATTATTGTTATGACAAATTGGTGAATTATAGCCAAGTTACCTCGAGCAGTCCATGGAAACAGAATGACACCGCGATATCCAAAAACTTTATGAAGAAACAGTTGACCCGTATTATAGTTGTCAGTTTTTGGTGTCTACAAAATTGAATAATTTACAGAATTAATAACAAACATGACACAGCAATAACGATTACCAACCTGTAACTTTCCAACCTCAGCTAATCTGTTGAATACAAATTTATTAATAAATTTCTGATATAACTTATCATTTTAAAACCCGTAAAACGCAAAAATGATAAAAATAAAATAATTACTTTGAATTGTGCAAGCAAATATTCGTTGATATACATCTTACAGCTATAGATTTGATTTCATTGCTAGATCTAACAATGCGGGCTATCATGAACATTATGAATATAGTAGCCAAATAACGTAAATTTAATTAATTATACTAGAATATTCAATTTTTGCTCAATTAATTTCACAAAAAATTTATATAAATATTTTCAACTAGGTCTTTGCTCAGTATGTTATGAACTTGTTCTATGTAGTTTTTCTCAATTTTAATGCTGATAAGTGAAGCTTCGAATGATTTTTCTTTATTAATAATGTGTAAAATAGAATAATTAACAGCTTTTAAGACTGACCAAATTGAATTAAAGTATATTAAAGGAATAAATAAAGAATTTATAAATTTTCCATTTTCCCACGGAAATGCTTACTCAAATTTCAAATATTATTTTAACGGTTTTTTATTTGTATTAATCAGTTCCTATAATTAACATAAAAAGCGAGTTTTGCATGTGTCAATTAAAATGTGGGACGTCGAAAATGACCTACTCACAGGTAATAATTAACTTCCTGTGTCTTGTGATAATGAAATCATCATGCATTATCTGTCATTTTCACCTGTTGATAGCTCATGAAGATAATTAAGACAATTTCGCGAGACATAGCATGGCAATTTGCCAAGACACGACTTTATACATGATCAATGAAAGGGAAATTAATTATAATAAAATTAGTATTTAATTAGCAATCAGATTAACTTCATTGATAATCCAATAAAAATGATTAAGAATTTAATTATATTAACGATTTCATTACTATTTTTGGTGAATTCATTTAAATCAGCACCGTGTGTAGAGGAAAGCCTTCCATGGCTGGAAATTGTTGATATTGAAAACTGCACGAAAGGCGAAAAAGTGAAATATAAGTAAATGCACATGTGCTCATATTACACGCTACATAGACAAAGCTGATTTATAGCACATTCACTGTTTTTTAAGGTGTAAAGAATGCACATGTGATGATGACTCGAAAGCAAACTGTCCAAAGTGGATAAAATGCTGTGAGAAAGGCACGATATGGTCGACAAATAGCTGCAATTCATGTTATTGCACGGATGATTATCAAAAAATTTGTGAAATTACAAAATGCAGATTCTGATATGTGATGTATAAAGAAATAGACCAAAATGTATTATTATTAACGTTGTTTTCATTAATTATTTTCTTTTCTTTATTTTTAATTTTTTTCTTTCATTATACTTTTTGTTTTTAGATTAATTTTACACTTATAATAAATACAAGGGCTTTATTAAATGTGATCATCGAGAAACTATCATCATAAAATTGTTTAATCCTAGAAAAATTAATTTAACTTTAATCATTAGGGAGGCAATAATTAAATTTAATCGAAGCGATGTGAAAAATTCAGTAACATTTTTATAATCTTTTTAATTTATTTCAATTATCATGGATATCGGCAATCCATGAATCATTCAATCAGTGTGTGTAATGCATCCTTGCCAGGGGTGTAATTTGGATTTTTAAGTGAGAGGTGAGTGTGGGGGTCTTTTGATGTTGATTTTTATGGTTCAAAAATTTTTGAATTTTTAAGCCCGTTATTTTTTTATAATTTTGAAAAACCATAAATTTCAAAATTTTGAAAACCGCTAAAATTTAAACTTTTAAAAATTTGCAAAATTCAAACTTTTGAAACTCGTTTGAATAAAATTTTTGAAAACCTTAAAAAAACCACCAAAAGATTGAAAATCTCTTACATCGATCCCAAACTCACACCCCCAAATAATCCCCTGATCCTTACTAAATCAATCGAAAAGATACTTCAAAAAGAAAGTTCTGAAATGAGCATCAAAATTTGTCAAGGAATGTGGCATCAACAATTTATTCAATGCAATAAGCGACACTGAAGGATTTCAATTATCAGTTGTACAATTCCAGTCTTGCATATATAATTAACTCAATCTTGTTTATAAAAAATTTTCCTAAAAAATCCTTCAATTGTTTTCTTAATTATTATTTTTTTTTGAGACAAAAACCTACTTCCTCATGTGCTCATCTCGTCGTCGTCTTGTAAAAAATTTTCCTCATTTTCCGTAAATATATCTATACTTGTTGATATGACTTAATTTTAGCTGAGAGGGAAAGAAGAAAATTTTATATATTTTTAAAGATATTTGCTTTCAAGAACTTCTATTTTTGTTGTGTCGTAATAAAAAGAAGGAAAAAACTTAATGATCGCTTCTAGAAATTAAAGCTTACAATGTTCCGATTTAGCGTAATAAAATCAATTTTTTTGAATCTTTTTTTGGGCAATTTTTCTTTAATATCGAGAGTATCAGATAACTTTGACTATGCGTGTTTACTAGCTTCATTGTCGGTCGTTTCAATATCGTGTGAAACACTTATTTTTTTTTCTCATAACACTACAAATCATCCCAAATTAAAGTTTAACAACAATATGAATGTCATTGAACCATACTGCCGATAGAAATTACTCTTTTTGAACATTTGGGACAATGACAATGTTAATTCACAGTCATATATGAATAGAACTACTATTCACATTATAAATTATGGCTAATAACCTCATGAAACAAATAATTGTAATAATATCTAAGAGAAATCTAATTATTTACATGCAATATTCTTCATCCAACATTCCAGCAGTTCTGCATCATCGAAAAATCAGAAAAACTTTTTACATTTCAGAAATATTTCCTTTACACTTGATTTAAATTTGTTTTTCATTACTAAGCACATTGACTTGTGGTAATTTGAGTCCAATCTACTAAACTTGCAATTATTCATTCATTTTTTTTTTCTTGTTTAACATTAATTAATTTAATATATTTATAATGTATAATTAGTTTTTTGTTTTTATCAGTTTTTTTTAATATAAAATATGTCACTCTCCATTCATAAGCAACAATGCAAAACTCAATAATTTACTTCTCGTAATCGAAGAGCAGCTAATCATATCAATTACGATTAAATAATAATTATAATAAGTTCAAAATTTAAAGGTCAAATTCACTAAAACAATTTCAATATCCTTAATCGAATTTAAAACTTTTTTAATCCAGTGGATTTTAAAATAATCCGCTGAGATTAAATCTAATCTCTCGGATATAGAACTAATTCATTGGATTAAAATCGAATTCATTAGATTAGAATCAGTGGTTCTTAAACTTATTGCTGCGGTATTTTCGTGTGTCTTGTAAGATTTTAAAAAATGAAAATTTTCTTCGGTTTTTCAGTCTAAAGTTTTCTTTTATTTTGTCTTGCTCTAAAGCTCTTAAGACACAACTAATCTTCTATACTAATCAAAATTGAGTTCAAACTAGACTTTTTTGCGAATCAAGAGTGCCGCTAAACATTTAAAGTTGCTAGAAAAGTACCACAAAAAGTTGAAGAAACACTGATTTAAGATTTTTAAAAATTAACACAATGCAATAGGACCTCAGGCAATTAATTTCTATTAAATAAACAAAAAAAAAATATCTGTATGTTATCCTTCGTCAATAGACGAACGGCAGGTTGGGATTAAAGTAAGCAATTTTAAAGCAATAAAATATCACGGCAAATAAAGAGTTTTTTGTTGTTGTTGCATTTTTTCATTTTCATTTTCCACAAAATATAAATCCTTGGTAGTTTTGCAATGGCTTGGAGATTTTTTTGAAGATACCTTTTTTATAAATTTATTCAGAGCGGAACGTCTGAAGTCATTTAGTGATTATAAGCAATCGCTTGCGGTACTCCGTTCACTGTTTTTGATTTTAGAACATCATTTTCATATGACATCACCGTCTCCACACCATTTTCCAATACTCTGTGTGTTTTTAATTTGAAAGAAGAAAAGAACGCAGAAATGAGAGAAATAAGATGATTATTGTATATATTCTGTCTGATTCATTTTTAGGTATTTTGATGGTTGAATAATAAAAAAAAATACAAGAAAGAAGAAAAACTTACTTTTTTGTTGTTACTTTCTTGCCATTTACAAAGCTTGTCGATGTGCTAATGCGTTTGACATTTCCACTATGATTTCCACCATTACTAAACGTTGATAATGACGTGAATCCACCACCACTATTCATTCCACCGAAAGGATGTGAAAACATATCGTCCATTAGTGAAAAGCTCAAGAATGGCGACATTACATTTGACGGATGTGATGATCTGTGATGTCTGCTGCTACCTGCATTTCCATTCGGGTGATGTCGACGACCAAATCCGGGATTGAAAAATTCATCTAATGGACCTCCACCGAAAAATTCTCTGAAAACATCTTCGGGATCACGAAAAACGAATGGAAATCCACCAAATATAAAGTCATTCTCAAATGGATCATGTCTTCGATGTCGATGACTGCTATTATAATTATTCTCATTATGTCCTAATAATCCCTCCTTTCCATATTGATCATAAATTCGTCGTTTTTTTTCTGTAAATTAAACAATTAAAAAATGTGAATAAGAAGGCAATCGACATTAACAAGAGAAGATTTAATTAAAATCTGCTAAACACAATTAGTTTATAAAACAGAAGTCGTTCACAAATGACGTCTAAATGTGATACAGGATAGTCTCCAATTAATGTTGACGTCATAAATGAACGAGCCTCAGCAAGCGGAAGCTTCTTTGGATTTCGCTAAAATTTTTCTGGCACATTCAACAACTAAATGATATTAAATAATTTTTTTTTGATTCCATTCAAAACTGACAGTATCATGAGAGAGCGACCACATGAGATACTTTAATTAATTAGTCATTGAGAAGAGTAAGTCAGTCAGCAAATCGAAAAAGGAAAAAAAAAGAAAACCACAAACATATTAGTTCAAAATCATTTGAGTCACAAAAAACTGTCTATGTTAGAGAGAACGCTACGAATGTACAGAAAAACATTAATCAGGCAGGTTTTTTTGTTTGTTCTATCTACCGCCAAAGAAGCGAGAAAACGTCTTTTCAAATAATCCTCGAAAAACATTCGAATGGGTGCTTTTACTCGTATAATCACTGTATCTTGAATTACTATAGCGTGCTCCATAAGACGATGAAGAATAGTCACGGGGTTGATAATGTGAGCGACAGTAAGAAGAACCTTTAGATGACTGATATCGCCCACTCATAGCATCATCATAAATTTTACGTTTTGTTGCTGATTACATGTTTTTTGTTTATTTATTTGTTTTTTTCCATGTTTTTATTGTGTAAACAAAAAAATTTGTTCACATTAAATGTTTTTTCATTTTCATTTAATTCAATTCAAATAAATAAAAAAATAAAAAAAAAAATTGAAGGATAGAAATTATCAGCACAAAATATTTAAACTTTGAGATATGTGTGTAAATTACGTTATAGGATTTGTTTCATAAGTATTGAAATTTAGCAACAATTACTCACCATCACTTAAGACTTGATAAGCCTCAGATATCTCTCGGAACTTTTTGTTCGCTTCCTCTGCATTATTTGGATTTTTGTCGGGATGATATTTTAGAGCAAGTTTCTTATATCTGTTGAATAAATAATGAAGTTCAATGTTAAATTTGCAGCTGATCTAAAATTTTTGAATTTTTAACGGTTTTCAAAAATTCAAATGAACTGAACTGAAATGAATTTTAATTTTTCCAGTTCATTTCAAATCTAGAATAACCGTTGAAAAGGAATAATTTCTCATAATGCAATAACGGAAAAGATTGCACATAATCATAAAATTTCACTTTTATACAAAAATCTATTGTTTGAAAATGCACACGATCATTTTATGACTGGCCTGCTTTTCAAAATATATTCATTTGAAGGTGAAGAAGCGATATTGACAGCCAGAATTGCACATGGCATGAAACAAGCAATAATTGACGACTTACGCTTTCTTAATTTCTGGTTCTGTTGCACTTTTGGAGACCTCCAAAATTTTATAATAATCAACCATGTCTTAACGGGTTCAGTAAGTCTTTAGATGAAGGAAGTTATCAGCTGTACTAATTTAAAATATAAATTCAATCACAGAAAAACACCAATAGAACTTGAAGTTCTTCTTTGTGTTTTCTCTTATTATCAAAAAACTTGAACTGTTCGAAGTCTTCTTACTGCACTTGGAACCTAATAGATTAGAAACAAAGAAAACAATATAATTATTGTGCATGACATAAATGAATACACATTGATCTATCAAATTAGATACAATTGAAGTCAATTAAATTCCGAATCATGCAAACGCATCAAGCTTAATCAATTTTTTTTTTCTATTATCATTTGTGCTGTGCTGTGTAATGACATCTTTTCTTCTTTTCATTTTTGTTGCAAATTGATTTACTCTCAATTACAACATAGGTGTGTGTATATCGATGTGTTCTAGCCGTTATATACGAGAGCGAGACAGAAGAGCAAGCAAAAAAAGAGGTAATAATATGGTGGGTGGCTCGTCATTTATAAATAATCTCTATTCACGTAAGAAATAATGAAGTAACCAATATTTCACAGCATGAGAAAGAGTATTATCAGGACTTTATAGACATTCAATTTGTAACTTTTGCTATATATCTATGGTTTCCCATTGAAAAAAAATAAATAAATGTTACGAAAACACCTCTTTAGATATGCTGGTAATTGGTAATTGACGTACTTTGGAATGACGAAATTGCAAATGTCGAAACAGAATTGCTAGCAAGTCGTAATGCGATGAAAAAAAGCGGTCCGTAAAATTACGATTATTATTGTTTCAAAGTTTCAATTAATACACGAAAGTTATGGTGCTGTCTAGATTCTTCTACCTGCTTCTACCATTTACAGGAAAGTCGCGTTGCTATATTTACATGTTTATTGACAAAACACTCTCTTCCCTCAAACACATGTCTATGCCTGGCTCTTCATAATTTTATATTGTTTGTTCCTATGCAACATAAAAGCTATCACCGCATAGGTCTCATAGCTAACAAGTGCAATGTCTGTAGTAATACATAAAACAATACTGTAGACAGCGAAAAATTGATAATAGTAATGAATAATAAAAATAAAGGAAAGGAAGCAATCACTTAGCATGTTCATCGAACCAAAATACACGTAATGATATTAAGTTGGTGAAAATTTCACTTAAATGACAAGGCCTTGATTTCATTTTTGTGGTGGTTCTTTTGGCAATTTAAAGCATGTCTGTAAACAGTAATTCCAACAAACTTTTTTAACTGCGAATATCATTTTTAGATTCAAAATTAAGTCACGGTAAAAACGAAGCAGCACATACACACACACTTATGTCTTAATATTTTTATCTAATTTCGTCTGTTTTTCTTTTTCTTATTTCAACATATGATCCATACAGAAGTGCTCGTCAAAAGGTGTAAATCTTGATTTCTTTTCTTTCTTCTCTATTATTATTTTTATGCTCTTCTTATGCTCAACATCCAGCTTTCACTAATTATAGAATTTTTGATCCATTCAATGCGAGTTTAATCTACTTTTATTAATTCACGCGAAGCACTTTATGATAAGAATTTTAAGGAATGAATCAACACAGTCCTATATAATCATTTGTCACAGTAAGCACATCGAAAAACTGACTAGAAATACGGAAATCTTTTCTGTAATTAAAGTTTTTATTTTATGATAACACATAAATGTTTATGAATTTATCGTCCTCTAATTTATAATCACTCAATTCTGTATGCTACAAGACCATGTATTACCAAATAATTAACAAGCTGGATGAACTTAAAATGTTCTTTATATTTTTCTCGAAAATCTATTGATTTAAATTTTTACAAAATGCTCGAAATACAAATTAATTAATTTTCTCGCTTGTTTTGCGCTTTTCACACTCGAAACTCGATTAATTCCAGTAGATTAGAGATCAATGAACACAACGGCACTAAATCTACGGCTTAATTTGGATAGGAACTTACATTAAATTTAATTTTTATGGATCACAAAAAAGAAACAAATAAACTGAGCTTAGAAAATTTTTCCTCTCGAGAGTCTATTCAGAAATTTGAATACTCAGCAACCGTTGGCATTTTTGACAAGTCAAATATTTTCAATCCGTTATTAAAAAGTTGAAAAATAAACAAGTGCTAGTTTTTCATATTTCTTTTATTTTTTAAATTTAAAATTTATAATTAATTAATTTTATAAAATTTTCATGTTTTTCTCGTAAATAAAAATCTTATGTATGGAAGATGACAAAATTATATTGACTTATGAAGTAACTGCAGAAGATCAATCTTTAAATAGCAGGTAGGTTTTGGAATTTGGAGTGGATAGGGTTTAGATTAATTAGAAAGTAAGTGAAATGATGAAAGAATTTGGGGGTAGAAGGGATGTAAATATAGCTTGTTGCTCGAAAAGAAAACTACAACTATGAAATATTTAAAATTGCATAAATTCTTTCAAAATCATCATCATCATCCTTTTCATTTTTATGCCACAATTATTTTGTATGTGTGTTATGCTCTTATGCTCTATTATGAACCAGAAATAATCATAAACTGAATCAAAAAAAAAATAATTAAGATTTCTTCGTTTAATTGCATTATCGAAAGAAATGGATAATCAAGATTACAAGAGAATATTACCACGCATTAAAACTATATTATGAGATTATTATTGATTGCTGCTACTAGTGTGGGCTCTCTTCTTGTGGTAAGAGTACAAGGATTTTTGGGCGAAGCCTTTGTTGCAAACTAAAAGTCAGGCACAACAGAACATTAGTAATCATTAAAACACAATGATTGAAGTTTGTTACCTTCACAGGAGTAGGGCCTTTCGCCTGTGTGTTTTCGCTCGTGGATTATGAGATGAGATTTTGATCCAAATTTCATGTCACAATAGCCACATCCATGCTCGCGGATATTCTCGTGTACAACTCGGATATGCTGACTTAAGTACTGGCTGTTACATAAAACTTTTGAGCACAAATGACATTTGAGTCTAGAAATAAAGTAGTCTCTTGTAAGCTTTAGCTGGGTATTAGACAAGGAAAGTATATGTAAAGAACGCTTCATTTAGAACTCACCCGCTGAGTTTTTGATTATTTGTTCCTAATTGAACGTTTGCATTTTGTACGGCAGACGCTTTTGTGCTTTTTTTTGGCTGTGGAGGTGGTTGTTGTTCGACAATGTGGATTTGTTGTGCTAAGGAAGCCTGATGATGGTGCATTTGCATCTGTTGGATCCCATTATTCTCATTTTCGTTCAAAAATGCAGCATATCTTAGCAGGATTATATTTCTTTCGGCTGGATTCGTCACAATATCACCGTCCTCCCGTTTTACGATGAAATTATCCATGATTATGCTAGATTAATTTAATTAAAATCGACCAAATTTATGTTTTTCTCATAAACTTATTTTTTTCTGATTTGTTATTTTAGCTCGTTTTGCCTTTTTAAAGAAAATAATAAAATCACAATAACACTTTAATCTCCTTATCTCATCCACAAACTCCTGTTTTTCACGATACCATAGGTTTTCATCGAAAAACCTCAATGTTAATTAATTTATTATTATTTTAAACTGTATTTTTAATAAGATTTTTAAATTTTTTTTATTTTTATTGTAAATTTTACAATTTTTTCAAACTTAAACTGAATAGATCAGTGCTGCTCAAATCTTTTCGGTCCACGGCACTCTGAGCGCCATATTTAAAGATACTATGAAACACTAAGCTAGTAAAAAGCTATAGCTTGACCTTAATTTTTTAATAATTTATTTATAGTTTTGATGTTCCGCGACACACAGTTTGAGAACAACTAGTTCAGTGGAAGTAGCTATGCGTGACAAGTTGAGATCGGTAATTCCCCCTCGTTTATAAAAATAAACAAAAAAGCATGTTTATAAGTTTCATGCTGCGAATTTTTATTAATTAACTCAGAATTTTGCCATTAATTTGTTTAGAACAATGAGTATAAATACAGCACGACTCAAAATGTCTTTGACAAACATCAATAAAACTGTCAAATCAAGTGAAATCAATGGAATTTTAGCAAAAAAGGTAAGTCAAAGAAAATTCTCACATGTTGCAATTCGATAATATTTAAATTCCTTAATTACAGAAGATACAGGCTGAAGATGTTGATGATACGATCAAAATTCTTTGTGATTTGATGATTAAGAATCCAGAAACGGCATTTCAAGTTAGACAACAGTTCCAATATATATTATTTCCTATCGTTTGCTCACTGCTTAATATGTCTGAGAGTAGCTTCGTTGACTTTCAAATTAAATCGATTATCTTGTCGATTCTTGCAGAGAAAAACTCGCAAATTTTGGGGTAAATCAACTTTATTTATAATTTGTTTTTGTCAATTAATGTAATTTTCTCATCTCAGATATAGCCGTAAATACTTCAATGCAAGGAGTCTGTCGCCATTCGTAGAGGAAGCAGCACACGATGAACAGAGAAAGAAGAAAATGAAATTGTCAAAAAATGTTACGGATCTTCAAATTGTCTCAATGGGATTAAGATTCTTACAACTTGATGCTTGCTTCTATCGTCGCATTTGGGATTGGAGTTCATTTATTGAGCTATTCAGCAATAAAGGATGTGATTTACAAAAGTTGTACTGCAATAAAGTAACAACAATAATTTTCGCATTTTCAAATCATCAAACAGAACTGCTGAATAATAGTATGAATATCTCCGAAGAGACATGCATAGAAGCTGAAATTGACATAACACAATTAGCAACTGAAGAGATAAAATCGCTAAATGATAAGGAAGTGATTGATTGGAAGTATGAGAGTGATATAATAACGGATATTGAAGGAGTTTATTTACCAATTTATAACAAGTCAGTCGTTGAATATTATCAAGACAAATTGGATATTGTAAAAGTAGATTCAACAAGTGTTAATTTGAGAAGTTTAGCTCTCGGTGTGTCATCAGGCAAAGCAGTTTGTCTTTGCGGACATGTTGGTAAGACATACATTTTTAACAGACTATTGGAATTCAAAAATATGTTGAATATTCAAATCTTAAAAAACCTGTACCCTATTAATAATTATTTTATTTATTAGGATCTGGAAAGACAACATTAGTTGAGTATTTAGCAAAGAGAGTTGGACGATTGTCACCAAAACTTGAAGACTTTAATGAATTTTTAAATTCAAAGAAGGAATTCAATGCAAGACAAGTCAATGGAAATAAAAGAAAAATTGAAAAATCATTTGAAATGGATGGAAATGAAAATTTATATGAATCGGGATTTTTGAGAATTCAACTTGGTGACCAAACAGACAGTAAAGTGCTTCTTGGACAATATCGTTGCACTGACATTCCTGGAGAATTTGTATGGCAACCAGGAGTTTTAACGCAAGCTGTTATGAATGGTCATTGGCTGTTGCTCGAGGATATAGATACAGCAACTCAAGACGTTTGTGCGATTTTAACGAATCTGCTTGAAAACAACTTTTTGAGAGTTCCAGGATTTCGTGAAAACTTGAAAGTCGCTCAAGGCTTCCAACTGTTTTTGACATTAAGGTGAGCTTAGTCATACTCTCAACTACTGAAAAAACAGTAATTAATTTAATTTTTGACTTTCTAGAACACATAAGATGTCAAATCAATCGACAAACTCAGCATATAGTTTATTAGAAAAACATTTGTACACGATTAACATGCTTCCTTTATCCAGAAAAGAACTGTCAACAATCATTTGTCAAAATTACCCAAAACTAGCATCAGTCTCTTCAAGAATCGTAGATGTATTTCTGATATTCTCTCGTGGATGTCACACAAATGAAATTGAGTACGATGATATTGAAATGCTGAATGGCTCAAAAGCTGTTAAAAAAGAAAATAATGATAACGATAGCGACGATGAAGGACTTCCATATGCTAATAAGTATAAACTGAATATTCTTCCAACTGCTGGCAGAATGGTCTCAACTCGTGATTTGTTAAAGCTCTGCAAACGATCTAGTCTCACTTTTAAGGCAACTAGTTCCGAATGTGCATATTTAGTGTTTCAAAATTGTGTAGATCTATTCAGTTCTCATTTATCATACGGAGAGTTAAAGACAAACTTAATAATCAGCATTGGTGCTCGTCTCGGAATTATTGAAACTCGTTGTATCCATTTAGCAAATGAATATAAACCAATGATTAAAATGACAACAGACGAAATAGTGATTGGACGTGAAACAGTGTTAAGGCACAGTAAAGAATTAGTGTCGAGTGAAAAGAAAGTGAAAATTAGTGATGAAGATGATGTAATTGGAAAGAATAAAGTTCCACCACCAACATTTTCATTTACTCGAGTTTCTTCCTGTATTTTGGAACGAATTGCTGTTGCATGTCAACAAAATGAGCCAATTTTACTCGTAGGAGAAACAGGAACAGGCAAAACTAGTGCTGTTCAATATTTGGCATATCAAACTAATCACAACTTAGTCGTTGTTAATATGAACAATCAATCGGATGTATCAGACTTAATTGGAGGTTTTAAGCCTGTTGATATGCAGTTCATTGTCTCGCCATTAAGGAATGACTTTGAGAATCTTTTTGCAAGAACTTTTGATGTTTTGAAGAATGAAAAGTTTTTGAGTCACGTTGCTAGTTGCATTAATCGTGGAGATTACTCAATCTTAATTAAACTCATGCTGAAAGTCATATCCAATGCATATAAAATTCTACAGGACAAGAAGAACGATTCAGACTTTATAAGATGGCAAAATTTAGAAAAGAAGCTGAAGAAACTTGATCAGCAATTAAAACATTCTGTAAACCTTTCATTTGCATTCATTACTGGATCTTTAGTAAATTGTATTAAAAATGGCGATTGGGTTTTGTTGGATGAAATTAATTTAGCATCAACAGAAACGCTAGAATGTCTATCAACAATACTTGAAGCTGATGGATCTATAATTCTACTAGAAAGAGGTGATTTTGTTCCAATTAAAAGACATCCAAATTTTAGAATATTCGCTTGCATGAATCCAAGCACGGATGTTGGTAAAAAGGATTTATCCGTTGGAATTAGAAATCGATTTACAGAATTCTTTGTTGATGAATTGACAGTCGAGAAAGATTTACTAATCTTGGTTGGAGATTATTTAAGTAATACAGGAATTGAAAAATCGAGAATTCATAAAGCAGTTCAATTGTACATGGAATTAAGGAACTTATCACAACTAGAATTAAATGATGGATTAGGCAACAAACCTGTTTTTTCTCTTCGTACATTATGTCGTGCATTGAGAACGTGTGCCAAAAATCTTTGTGGATCAACAGAACGTAATCTTTATGAAAGTTTCTGTCTTAGTTTTTTGACACAACTTGATTCACAGTCTCATAACTTAGTGCTACAAAAGATACAAAGTTATTTAGTCAGTAATGTCAAGAAGATTTTATCACAGCAGATTCCAAAACCACCAATTGAGAATGTCATGAATTTTGAAGGCTTTTGGATAGAACAAGGTGATAAGGAATTGTCTGAATGCAAGGAATACATTATGACTGAAAGTGTTCAAAAGAATCTTAAGGATTTAGCTAGAATCATTTCAATTGGAAAGTTACCAATTTTAATTCAAGGACCGACAAGTGCTGGAAAGACTAGCTTAATTGAGTACATAGCAAGAAGAAGTGGAAATCATTGTTTAAGAATCAATAATCATGAGCATACTGATTTACAAGAATACGTCGGAACTTATGTTGCTGATGTTTCTGGAAAATTGTCATTTCAGGAAGGAGTTTTAGTTCAAGCTATGAGAAATGGATATTGGATAATTCTTGATGAATTAAATTTAGCACCAAGTGACATTCTTGAGGCTCTTAATCGTGTACTGGATGATAATCGAGAACTTTATATCCCAGAAACTCAAGTTTTAGTTAAAGCACATCCAAATTTTATGCTGTTTGCTACACAAAATCCACCAGGATTGTATGGTGGACGAAAAACACTTTCACGAGCCTTTAAAAACAGATTTATTGAACTCCATTTCTCAGAAATTCCTAAAAAGGAACTGGAAGTGATTTTAGAAAAGCGATGCATGATTCCAATGAGTTATGCACAAAAAATGGTCAAGACAATGTCAACATTACAAGTTAATAGAAGAACGACAACAAGGAACAATTTTACACTTCGTGACTTGTTCAGATGGGGTAATCGATATACATTTGCTGACAATTCATTACTTGGGGATCGAAATTACGATTGGAACCAACATTTAGTCGATGAAGGATATTTAGTTCTATCTGCAAAGGTTAGAAATCAAACTGAGACAGACATAATTGTTGAAACATTAAAGAAGAACTTTTCTAAGAATATATCAATAGATCATTTGTTCACACTTAGTGACCATACCTCAAAAGTGACAAAAAGCATATTAGAAACATTAATAAGCTATAAAGGATCACAAAATGTCGTTTGGACATTCGAAATGCGAAGAATGGCTGTTATGGTCTCTAAATCACTTCAATTTAATGAACCTGTGCTGCTTGTTGGACCTACTGGTGAGTAAAACCTAGCTACTTAAATTTAAGATTTTAACTGCTATTTCAAATTCAAATATATCTTTTTTTCACTCCTGAAAATTAAAATTTTGATATTCCGTTATATTTTAAATCTCAAAAAACCAGTAAAATTATAATAAATTTTCACTATTTCTTCAGGTTGCGGAAAAACGACAGTATGTCAATTATTATCAGAGCTTCATGATAGAAAATTGAGAATCCTTAATTGCCACATGCATACTGAAAGTGCAGACTTTATTGGAGGCCTGAGACCTTGCAGAGAAGCAAAAGAATCAGAAAATTCATTAAAATTGTTTGAATGGAGTGACGGACCATTGATATTTTCAATGATAGAAGGAAGTTATTTCCTTGCCGATGAGATCTCATTGGCTGAAGACTCTGTTTTGGAGAGATTAAATTGTGTTTTAGAACCAGAAAGAAAGATTTTGTTGGCTGAAAAAGGCGGTGTTAATGAAAATGTCTTGAAAAAGACTGAAAATTCTGAATTTGTAATCAAAGCATCGGATGGCTTTCAATTCTTTGCAACAATGAATCCAGGTGGAGATTTTGGTAAAAAGGAATTGTCACCTGCTTTAAGAAACCGATTTACAGAGATTTGGTGTACAGCTATGTATAGCGATGAAGATTTAATGAAAATTGCAGTAAATATAATGGAAATTACGTACAAAACCATTGATCCTATTATAAATAAAATCGCTGAAATCATTGTAAAGACAGTAAATGTTGTCAAGCAGCTTGTTGAAAAACTCAATTTCTCAATAAGAGATATCCTTGCTTATGTCAACTACATCACACAAAATCACAACATTTCTAATATTGATTCTTCAAATTTGGACATGAATAATGCATTGCATTGTGGCTTAAAAACAATATTTTTGGATTCTCTAGAAATGCTGCCTTATGAAAATGTCAAAGAAATAGCAAGCATACGCGATAAAGCCTTTAAGGAACTGCATAAAAATATTACTGAAATTTTGGAAAGCTCAGTCGATTCATCTACATTAACTGCTCTAGAAGAAAGTCAAGTTACACTCGATTTAGAGTCATTCAAGTTTGGAATTAATCCATTTTATCTTGACATTAATCATGAGTTGTCAGAAAAGCCTACAACATTCACATTTACGGCACCAACTACTAAGCAAAATTTATTCAGAGTTCTGTCAGCAATGAGCTTGAAAAAGGCAATTCTACTTGAAGGACCTCCTGGTACGTTATCTTAACAGAATCGGTTTTAATACCAATATAATAATTTCGAAAATATATTTTTATTTCCAATCCTTTCAGGCGTCGGAAAATCATCCTTAATAGAGAACATCTCGTCAGCTATTGGATATAATCTCGTCCGAATCAATTTATGCGAACATACAGACATTGCTGATCTTTTTGGAACTGACTTACCTGTTGAGAGCTCAATTTTCGAAAATGATAATAATGATGTTCAGCTAGGATCATTTATGTGGCGCGATGGACCACTTTTGGCTGCTCTAAAGTCTCCAAATACTTGGATTTTACTTGATGAATTGAATTTGGCACCACAAAGTGTTCTCGAAGGTATAAAGCTATTTTAAATTAATTGAATACACGACATTAAAAATTATTTTTTACTAAATTAGGTCTAAATGCCATTTTGGATCATCGTGGGGAAGTATTCATTACTGAACTTAATAAAACATTCAAATTAGGACAATCAACAAGAATATTCGCCACTCAAAATCCATTACGTCAAGGTGGTGGCAGAAAAGGACTTCCTCAATCGTTCCTTAATAGATTCACAAAAGTTTATTTAAGAAAGTTGGAAAAAACAGATTTGTCGCATGTCGTTAGCCACAATTTTAAAATATTCGATGAAATTGATGTCCTTAAAGAATACAAATTAATTGATAAGATGGTGACATTCTCAGAAAGGATCGAAAGTGGAATTTCTAATCTTGAGTTTGGGTTTAAAGGCGGTCCATTTGAGGCAAATTTGAGAGATATGTTGAGATGGTGTGAATTTGTAACAAACAAGGAAACTGGATTTGACATGATGAGACTTGAAAATACATCCCTTAATGACTTTCAATTAGTGCTTTTTGAAAAGATGAAGTTAGTCTATTGTGAACGAATGAGGACAGAACATGATGTCGAGAATATAGTAAGAATTTTTTGTGAAATTTTCGAAGCTGATACAGATAGATTAGAGAAGGAATGTCGAACTGTTGGATTCTATTGGAATGACTCTAATATATTCTTTAATGACGTCCAATGCAAACGAAAAGTGTCGAATAATTTCAATGATTTAAGCAGAAACAATCATTCAGTCATTTTGTCAAGTCAATTAAATGAATTAAAGTCCATAACTGAATGTGTATTGCTGGAAAAGCCAATTCTACTTTGTGGACCTACTGATTGTGGAAAGACAAAAATTATTGATGCATTTTGTGAGCTTTATAATGAAGAACTTAATTTCGATACAATTGATGATTCCGTGACTGGAAGTTTTCAACAATTTGACTTTAATAGAATGCTTGAGGAAGTTTGGAAGTACGTTGAAGAGAAATTGCTGATTAAAATTATGGAAATTATTACAAATGTTCACAGTAACATCCATAGAAGATCATTGTTTACAAATTTATATTTATTATGGAGAGATTATGATGTCAATTCCGTTGTTACTCAACAAGATGACAAATTTAATGAGGTTGAGCATTTCTGTAAACGACTGGATCTTGTTAAAACTATTATTGACGCACTTATAAGCAATTACGATGAAGATGACACAATAATTTTCGAGGAAATGCTTAAAGATCTTAAAATATGGAGAAACTTTTTAGTTAAAACATCAGCTACGCTTAATACAGGAGGTCATTTTGTCTGGATTGATTCAATGATTGTAAAATCCATCAAATTTGGTAATTTCATTTGTCTTGAGCATGTCAATTTAGTTTCATCGGCTATTCTCGATCGATTAAATCCAATTTTGGAACCAAATGGAAGTTTAATGATAGCTGAAAAAGGAGTTGATGACTCAAATCAGCCAGAAACAATTTCTAAGCATAAAAACTTCCGCGTTTTCTTGACAACAGACCCTAAATTTGGTGAAGTTTCTAGAGCTATGAGAAATCGCTGCATTGAATTGTCATTGTCGCATCAATTGTACACAGAAGATGATTTAAGAAAGTTAATTTACCTTCAAGGTGTTCATGATATGTATTTGATCAAAGCCATTCTAGACATTCACAAAGGATTGAACAGCTTGTCTGACTATTCGACATTTGGCGTATCCCATTTAATCAAAATGGCATTTTTGGTGTCTCAAAATAAATCAATGGGATTAGAAGATAGAAAATGTCTGATTCTTGGTGCACTGGAAGTTTATGTTCGTTCGTCTAACATTGATTTATTAGGATTTGGATTGTCATTTTACAAATCTAAACTTAGACAGCAAATATTAGATGCTGTAAATAAACTTAAAAGTGTCGAAAACTTGGTGAATTATAAAAATTTAATTATTCATTCAAATGAACTGTCGGAAATGACAATGATAAAGTTCCAAGCTGAAGGACTTCTTTCACTATTAAGATGTTGTGAAAAGGATATGAATTTCGAGGAAGTGCTGGATAATTTACATACAAAAATAACCTTTAATGAAATTAAAGATCCAGAAAATATTATGAAATATTTGTTGACATTCTTGTACATGCTCAGTACATTCTCTGACGTCCATAAAAGGAAGATTTATCTCAACAAAATGATTACGTCTATAAGCAAAGCATCAACATTGAATAAATTAAATGAGAATCTTTATAAAATTGTCAAGGAGCTTGCAAATGAAATTCAACCAAATTTACCATGGAATTCCAAAATGTTTAGTCGTTTAAGACCTTATAATGATTCCAATCTTGATTCTACTGATCAATTCAGAATCACGATGTTATTAATATTTGAAATGACACTTGAGGATATCCATGTTGGAAAATCTATTGCATTAAAGGATATTGACTCAGTTACATACTCGAGAGCTGTCCAAAAGAAGTCCATAGCTGATACAGTCAATAATAAGATGCTGACTGAGCTCTATAATCTCTTAGGAACTTACAAAAGCTTTTTAGATTCAAGTTTCAAAACTGAGAAGCTAAATATTAACGAGAAAATGTCAACAGATTTAATATTGTCATTCTTGTGGTTTAATCGTTTGCTGTCTACATCCACACAGAAGTTATTCCATAGAAATAATGTCAAAACTGATTTACTAGATGAACTCTATCTTCACTTTAAATGGCTCGGTAAGCACTGCATAAATTATTTAACAGAAATTTGCACTTCCAATATGAATCATGTCTTTATGACTACATACAATGAAATTCAAAATTACATCCTTGGTTCGCATCATACCCTTCAAATATGCAAAAAGATTTATGTCAAGAATTTCGCTTCGTTCCTGCCATTTTATAAAGAGGAACAGATTAAAAAGCTTAAGGAAGGAGAGCTTTTAAATGCTTTGACATCAATCACACCAAACATGAATGAACTCCTTGAATTTAATGAGTTTAAATGCCGACTTTTAATTCTGTTGGATACAAAATATCAAAAGATTCGTAGACAAGTCAATAATAATAAAGTAACAGACATAAATGAGTTATTTGAAAGTTTTACGGAAACTTTTAATGATGAAATAAAGGAATCAAATTTGTATGAAAGCTGGAATGATAATATCAACAACTTTAAGCCACTGATCTTTGAGGATCGCTTCTGTATCGAGAAAGAAGTAAGTGAATTGAAGAAACAGTTCCAAAATAATGATTCTGTGGATTTAAAGGATGTGAAGTACAATATTGAAGTATTGCCAATATTTGAGTACTTCCTGATGAGAATTTTGTCTATTGCTGTGAATGGAAAATGTGTCATAAATGATGAATATCCAATAAATGTCCCATCTATTGATAGTAATACCTTAGCACTTGTCAAAATAATCAGTGACAAGCGTTATAGCATCTTACAAAATATTTCAGAAATTGTTAATTCCTCAAATGAGTTCAAGAAGAAATATTCAAGCTTTAAAATGGCAATCGATAGCACAATCAATGAGAGTGTCCATAAATCAACGATCATCAACAGTGACTTGTGCAGATCAACAGAAAAAGAGGAAATTTATTCAGCAGTAAGCACTAATCATATGTTTGTTACTGGAGGTTTATTAACTTACAATTTGATGTCATTATTAATGGGCAAGAATGGAGAAATTCGTCAAATTGGCTTAGGGGAAGTCCATCAATGGAAAATAGTCCTAAATGGTCTACAAAACATGCTGTGGATGAATGCAGAAGTTAATACATCCAATTATGATTTGGTTCAGTTTAATTTAAAGAAGAATTCACAACAAGCTGAACATTTATTAATGGAAATAGATGTTGTTAAGGATCAATGTCAGTCACTTGAAAATGAGAATTATTCAGACTTTAATCAAGAATTTTGGAATCTCTTGGACTATTTAAAAACCGTCTTAGCTAAGGAACAAAATGACATATCCAAAACCAATTTGTGGCTTCAAAACTACACTATTCAGTCACTATGCAGCGTCATGAAGTTAAACCTTATATCATATTTTCCACTTATTGATCCAGTAAAGAAAAATGTCCTTAAAACTAAGTATGTAGATGATGATATAGATCATTTAAATAAATTCCTTTTTGCATATCAAATGATGTCCACAATGTTGGAATATGAGAACTTGGGAAGAACCGACCGAGAATCAATTGAAAAGAAAGTCATCGATTTACATGAAAAGCACATGAAATATTCGAAAAAGACAGCCTTAAGACCAGATGTATGCTCTTATAGTTCAATGGTTCGGGACATAAATCACTTTTTGACATCATTCTGTCATCCAAAGCAATTCCATGATCTATTAAGGAACATTGATAATGAACTGAATCACCAGATAAGCAACAAGAGTATATCCACCAATCAATTGGCTGAAAATATGAAAATTGTGATTAGTGACTTGATTAGTAAATTAGATTTATGGATTGTTAATGCTGACAAATTCCTTGGACACACTTTAAGAAACTACAATAAATATTATCGGGACTTTACAGCTCCAATCCACTACTGCATAACATCGTTAAAGGACAGTCTTTTAGGTCTTAAAAGTTTATTAAAAATGAAGCATGACTCAATTCAAGTCACATCTAGTGGAATCTTTTGGAATTGTAATGAAAATGAGGAACTATCAAATATTATGAAGGAACTGATTGAATTTCCAGCAAAATCACATGAAAGTTTCTTAATGGATGCAACATTAAAGAATCATTTCTTCTCAATAATCGAGTCAATTGAGAATGGTGAAAATTTGTACTTTGAAATGATCAAGTCAAATATCCAGGAAGTGACAAATACGAGTACAACAGTTTATGGAAAAATGACACCAAAATTATTCGAGAAATTTGATCACATTTTGAACATTTGCAACCAACTTTGGCAGAAACAAGAAGAATTAAAAGCTAAGAGACAAGCTGAGGAAGACAGTCTTTATGTCACGAAAACAAAATGCAAGGAAGATGATGAAGAAGTTGTAAAAATGCGCGAAATAGCTGAAATGTTCCCAGATAATGCTGAAAATGATTTTAATGACTTTATACAGCAAGACACGTTAGAACAAACTGTCGAGATTAATAAGCCACTAAAGGATATGAAGGACATCATTACTGAACGTGATTTTAAATTAATCGGTGACTTTTTCATGTCACTAATGGACAGTGAGCATAAAACTAATGAAAAGGATGTCCTTAAAGTTTTTAATCAGAAGATGAAGATTTTTAATGCATTTTTGGAGCGCTTTAAGACCTGTCTCGAATGCTCAATTGATAAAGATTCCTACAAAGGAATGAGTCTTTTAGTTGGATATTGTCAGAGCGTCTATGATGACATGCAGATCACAGGTAGTTTGGGATTATTATTTTAAATTATTCAGATTGTTAATAATGCTATTTTATACCACAGACAATCCGAGCAAGATTTTCGACTTTTACACAGATTCTAATGTCCAAGAAGCATTGACATGCATAAGTGTGATGGAGAAGCTTGAAAAGCGGGTAAACGTTGAATTAGAGCAATGGCCTGATCATGCTGTATTGAATGATGTAAGTAATCTAGAATTGGTTTTAATCCTAAGATTTAACTTTAATCCAGAAATATTTTGAACTAGTTAAATTCGATTATTTTTTGACAGTTATTTTTCAAATATTTTAAAAAATTTCATAATCCTAAACTAATGTATAATTTATTTCAAATTTCTTTCACTAGCTGATTATTCTAATCAATCGTATCAGAGGCTTCTCATGCAACTCATCCCTAGTTCGATTCAATGTTGGCTTACAAATTTTAAGAAAAAAAGTTTATGAATGGAACAGCGTTGCTCATAAATTAAACAACTTTAAGGATATTGAGCATGAAATTGCAGAAATAATACAGAGATGGATGAGAATGGAACTGCAGTGCTGGAGAGAATCGTTAAAACAGTCGCAACAAAAAGTTGAAGCTAAATCTTATCGTTATTGGTTCTTCCTGTACAATTTAATTCATGAATATTTGCAAGGATCATCGAAATCTCAAACAGAATGTCTTGTTGATTTTAATAGTGTTGAAAAGAGATTTGGTAAAGGAGAAATTTTGGAACAAAAGCCTCAACAAAGTGGTGAAGAGAAAATATCATTAAAAGCTGTGACGAATGTCTTGAAACAGTTTATTGAATCATCAAGTTACGGAGAATTCGCTTTAAGAATGAATTTACTGAAATCTTTCAAGTGCTACTTGATTAAAATTAATGAAGAAAACCCGTCAAATGAATCATGTCAAATAATCGCACTTCTTCACAATATTCACCAATATTTCACACAGTTCTCAAATAAAGTACAGGAAATGATTGATTTTATGAGAAAGCCTATTGAAGATAAATTAAAGAAGTTTGTCAAGATTAATTCATTCAATAAGGATTTGTCCTATTTTGGCACAGAATCAAGCATCAAGCAAGTCCATCGCAATTTACATAAATTTCTTAAAGAGTTTGAAGTCGAAATCAGCAAGAAAATTTCAGATTTGTTCATTTACAAAGATTCAGGAACGGAACTTGACTTGAACTTGCATGGTCAAGTTGCATCAAATGCATTAAAATTAGAAACATTTATTGGAACTGATGTCATTGAGAAGGAACAGAATAGTTCTGAAGTTCTTTCATTCAGCAACATTAATAACTTTATTTTAAAGAGCAGAACTTTAGTATCCAATTTATTATCAAACGTTCAGTACCCAAAATTAGTTGAAAATTTGGAAGAACTCATTAAAAGTGAACTCGACAGATGTAATCAATTAAGAGCTTTGAAAGTGGACGAAAACTTTCCAAGAAACAAACAAAAGTCACAGGCTAAAAGCATTTTGAACCAGAAACGAAAAGCACTAAGTGACTTTTTTAAGACCATGATGAATATTGGAATTAACTACAAAAGTGGTTTACTTACCGAAAGTCTTAATCCTGAGATGATTAATTTGCAGATTTATCCATTTTCTTCAGATCAACTTGAATTTTCGAACATTGAGTACAGCAATTCTGTTAATTCATTACACCAAAAACTTGATATTTACTTCAACAAGTCCATTTTTAAGATTAAGCTATTAAGGAACATCTTACTTGTTCCAAGAAGTGATATGGACATGAATTTTATTGAAAGAATTAAAGGAATTGCAATTGAACTTTTTAATCTCGTTCAGGATGAGAGAATGGAATTAAGCAATAATGTCAACATGATGATTAATTTAAAACAGAACTTACGTGATATAGAAACAGCTACTTCCACAAAGAATTCAATATTCGAAAATGAGTTTAAAAAGTTTTCTGTAATTAAAAATTGTTTTGTTCAAAACATTGAAGTTTTAGAACAAGTTCAAATTCTCCTAAAATGTGCACCAAAGAATGAGGAATCTAAGGAATTAAAAGTCCTTGTGTCTACAAACAATGTCTTGCATAAAAAGAGTCAAATTTACGGTAAAATTGTTCAGCAAGTTAATGACATAATAATAGAATCAAATGCATCATTAAAGGCTCTAAACATCCATAATTCAAGATTTGTTAACGGAACTGATGAACATTTATCAAAATTGAAAGGAATCATTAAGAAGCTTGACAATCTGAAGCAGTTCTTTGTTGTTGATAGTGAATATTCAATTTATGGATCTCCTGTCATCGATTTGATTGCCTTGCTTAATCTGGAACTAGAAAAAATTAATGAAATCAACAAAAAAGTGCCTCAAAGTCAATTAAACATCAATAGTGACTTGGAAAGCTTATCACACATGATTTTATTAGCTATTCAAAACATTTTCAAGGAATATCGCACAACAGTTGAGAATATAGAGTCAAATGAAGCCATAGAAGAAAATCATTTGAAAGAAAAGCTGCACAAAAAATTATTAGAGGACATAAAAACTGTAAACCTCAAGAAAATCAATGAAAAATTGTCAGAAGTAATGAACAAACTATTTACAACATCAGTTGACTCTGAAAGTTTAGAATATTTAAGCAAAGTACATCCATTAATTAAACAATACAAGTTACTTGCCGATTATTTCATAATTCAGCACATTAGTGCCAATAAAGTTTCATCAAAAATGCTTTCAATCACATTAAGTGTATTTTTGGAATTAGCTAAAAATGGATTTTGTATACCTGAACATCTCCTGTCTGACGAGGAACAGAAGGAAGAAAATGACTCAAAAACAGGCGAAGGCTTTGGATTTGAAGACGGTGATGGTGAAAAGGATGTTTCTGATAAATTGGAATCTAAGGATCAACTTGATGAAGCTAGAAAGCCTGACGATTATAATAAAGACCAAAAGGACAATAAAGAATGCAAGGAAGAGAAAGGAATCGACATGAGTGACAATTTTGAAGGTCAAATGCATGATGTTTCTGACAATGAGTCTAATTCTGATGGCGAATCAAATAAAGATGAAAATGAGGAAATGGATAAGGAAATGGGAGATACAAAAGAAGGTGCTGATAAATTGGACGATCAAATTTGGGGCTCAGACGAAGAAAAAGAAAACGAACAAGAAGAACAAGATAAAAAGGATGAAACAGGTAAATTTAAGACTTTTTAAATTTAAATTTTAACGGGTTTCAAAAATTTAAATTTTAACGGGTTTCAAAAATTTAAATTTTAACGGCTTTCAAAATTTTAAATCAATTTTAATTGGCACTCGTCCTTTTTTTGACAATGACTAAATTTGAATTTTGAATAGCCGTTAAATTATGACTTAAAAATTAATTCAATAATTTCTCATATTAGGCAAAGGAAGTGATGAACAAAGCGATAAACATAACGATTTGGATGCAGAAAGTGACCAGAATATTGATAATCATAAAGAGCAACAAGAAGGACTCGATGCAGCATCACAAATGGATGAAGACAAAAATAAACAAAAACAAAAGCAAAAACAGGATATAGATCAGATGAATGATGAAGAAGGCGATGACGATCAAACGAATCCTTACCATAATGATTTAGATGAACCACCAGAACCTGAAGATTTCGATTTAAATGATGACATGAATTTAGACAGTAAAGAACAGCAGAATGACGAACAGACAAATGAAGAAAATCCATTCGATATCGATAAAATGAAGGAACAAGCAGCAGATGATATGGACGGCGAAAATGATGAAAAAAGTCCTAGTGAAAGTAATGAAAATCCAGAAGAAAACCCTGATATGTCTGACAGTGAAAACGACACAGAAAAAATGGACACAAATGTTGACGACGAGAATCCAGAAGAAATTAACGATCAACAAGAGAATCCTGAAGATCAAGCAAGTCAACAGCCTGGATTGGATGAAAATAACGACACAAATGAAAAAGAAAATGAACTTCCAAACGAGTTCCAAGAATCGAAAGACAAAAAGTCTAAAGAAGAAAACATCCAGTCAATGCCAAATCAAAAAGACCAGAAAAGTTCATTTGATCAAGTGCAAATTGAGAATATGGAAACAAATCAACAAGAAAATGAAATTGATGATCAAGATACAGGCGAAGATAAAGATGGCATCGGTCAGGCTGAAAATAAAGAATCAGAAACTGGTCATCAAGGTGTTTCTGAGACAAAGGAATCAAAATCTAATAAAAATCGCGACAATGATAATTCACAACAAAAACGTAGGAAAGGAAATACAGATGAGGAACGAACGCTTGGAAGTGTTGATGATTTGAAGAAAAAGTTCCTTAAAACAATAGATAAAATTAATCAGGCACAAAATAAAGATGAAAATGATGATAATAATAAGCAAGGCGATGATGAAGATGAATATCAGCATGTTAAGGATGCTAAAAAGTCTGATAAAACGACTATGGACAATGCGACTGAGGAACAGTCAAAGGAAATTAAGCACGAAGAAAATTTTAAGCAAGAAAATCACGATTTAGAGTCAAATGATCAGTTAATGGACGATGACAAAATTGAACCAGAAATTCAGGATATAACTGAAGAAATTAATAGTAAAAAATTGGAAGAAAATAGCAACAAGCCTGCCAAAAATAGCGAACAGACAAAAGATCGACTTAATGACCAACAAAATCAGGAAACAGTTGTGGATGGTGAAAATGTCATGACTTCAAATGTATCTCGAGGAACTGACACAACAGCACATTGTCAAATGGACATAATTAATGATTCTACAATGTGTGAGGAACAGTCGAATGCAGAAGAGCTTGAAATTCGTAAACAAGTCGAGTCAGAACTGATGAGTCAAAAAGTCATTAATCCAGATGCAGCAAATATGGATAATTGGCAAAAGATATCCAACCAAATGGTATCAAATGCTAGAGAACTTTGTGAGCAATTGAGACTGATTCTTGAGCCTACAAAATGCACAAGACTTAAAGGTGACTACAGAACTGGACGTCGTATAAATATGAAGAAAATTATTCCATACATAGCATCACAATTTAGAAAGGATAAGATTTGGTTGAGAAGAACTAAGGCTGCACAGCGTGACTATAAAATTACAATTGCTGTCGACGATTCAAAGTCTATGGATCATAACAACTCAAAGGAACTAACACTTCAAACAATATCTCTTGTGTCTCAAGCCTTGACATTATTGGAAAGTGGAAAATTGTCTGTTGTGTCCTTTGGTGAAGCTTGTTCTGTCCTATTAAAATACAATGATCAATTTAATGGACCAAAACTTGTTAATTCACTAAATTTCGACCAGAACAAGACAAGAATTGCTGATTTATTAGACTTTACAAGGGTCATGAATCAAGAAGATGCATCGTCTAGTAATGCCTTGTTTGAGCATCTTATGATTGTTCTTAGTGATGGACGTAATATATTCAGTGAAGGCGAGAAGAGAGTTAAAAATGCCATAAAAATGGCACGTCTACAAAGGATGTTCTTAATTTACATAATTATTGATAATCCTGACAATAAGGTAAGATTTTAGTTCCAATTATGGAATCTACCATTTAAATCTTACGATTTAATTTTAATGTCCAGATTTATTTCAAATCCTTCGGATTAATTTTAATACCATACTTCTTTTATCTTCACAGGACTCAATTTTGGACATTCGCACAGTCTTACCATTCACAGCAACAGAGAAGACGACACGAATAGTTTCGTACATGGATAACTTCCCATTTCCATATTATGTGATTGTTCGTGATTTAAATCAACTGCCAGTTGTGCTTAGTGAAGGATTGAGACAATGGTTTGAGTTAGTAAATAGTGAGCAGTAAATGCTTTGTTTATATAAAAATTATATATTTGAATATTAATCAATCAATAAAAAGGTTTTTAATTATACTTGAATTTTATTTTGTGCCTTAACAAAGAACTTTAAGATACATTTTCTTATGCCATAATCATTTAAATCTTTAGGAACGGTATAATTTGCTCTGTTTGAGGTCTTATTGCAAGATAAATTTGAAATAAAGCTGAAGACTCAAGTAGAACAATTGAAACTTAACGATTTTTGTAAAATTCGAAACAATTTGTTTCAAAAATTTTTAAAAGCGTTAAATTTGGATTTTATAAATCCGGTAAATTTCCAATTCAGTTTTCTGATGCATTATTCTTGATTGCTCGACGCAGATGAATTAAATTCATTAAAATGCGTCTCTTTCAAGCATAACTCGCACTAGTACCTCCTTATTTTTACGTTTCAAAACACCATACATCAAAGTCCATCCAAAATAAGGTGATAATAGACTTAATTAATACTAAGTTAAATAAGAGTGATAAGAAAGATGAAGATAAATAGTGTATTGACCGTAGTATCGGATCATAATATAAATCAGAGCGGAATTGTTAATAAATTTGATCCCATCTCTATTTATCATGTGCAACCATTTCTATTTTTTGATTCCTAAATCAGTCATTGTTTTGGAAATTTATGACTTTACATAATAAGAAGTCGATCTATGAGTCGATCACGATAGTTGATTAATTGGCTCTTTGTAGAAGTGCTAAATGGCAAAATGTGTTAAATGTGAATTTTTTTTCAACGACATTTAAATCTCTGCATGTTAAGCATCAGTTCCATTATTTAATTACATTTCGTTCTATCAAGACCTAAAAAACGAAACCAACAAGAAATGAGGAATTTTACATCAGATAATTTAGAGTGCAAGTTTGGAGTTCCGTCCATTACAGTCTTCTGGCGGTACCTGACAGGAACGAAACTTTTAATATTTATAGTGCCATTGATATTTTGCATGCTGACGATTTGGATATACTCGAAAAATTTAAGGAGCTTAATGAGTAATTGTCCATTGGTAATTCGAACTCATTGCTTAGTGCTTGTAAGCATATATCCAATAGTCAGCTTGTTCTCTCTTACTGCCATAGCCATACCGAGAACTTACTTCTTCAACGATTCTGCTGGACATATAGCATTTATGGTCATTAGTTGGCATCTCTACAGGTGAGTTTGTGGATTTAATCTTAACTATTTTATTACTGATTCCAACAATATATAGGCTTTGCATGATATACGTAGACGGCGAGAAGAACTTTATATCCACAAGTGGAGATGAGGCATTCACTTTGAAGTCACCACCTTTATGCTGCTGCTTACCACTTAACAGAGTTCCAATGACAAAGAGTTCCTCTAAATTCGTCAAGTTCCTGATCATTCAAATGCCAATAACACACATTTTGATATTTGTTGTGCTGAATATAATCTACATTGAGGATATAAATGCATTTGATGACTTGATACTGTACTTTATACCATTTATTGCCTTAACGGTACTTGGAGGCATTTGGGGATATAATTTGGTAGTTCGGACGCTCTCGCCTTACTATCCAAACTTAAAGCTGATCCAAAAATATTTTGCATTTCAACTTGTGCTGTTCTTTTGCAAGATCTTTCCAATTCTTATGAATTTTATCATGAAAATGATCATCACATCATGCTATGGACCATTGACTATTGTCGTGAAAAGGCACATAATCATTCAAATACAAGTACAGATTCAAATGTTTATACTCAGTTTGTGGGCAATGCGCTTGTACAAAGATCCAATGATGAAATAAAATAATTTTAAGTCCAAGGCAGACACATCAGCTTCAATAAAAATGTCATTTAAATACATTGTTTTGTTGAAGCCCATGTGTCTTGATTTCTTAATGGAAAACTTATATTTATATTTATGTGATCAAGTCATGAAGGATCGTTCTCAAATGAAGTCTGATTTTTCTACTGCCACAATATCTTTAGTCGAACTCTTTTCTTTCGATTATTAAACAACTAAGTTAGTCTCACTCGTCCTCAAAATAATGTGCATCATGTGTTAACGATCTTTAAGTTACAGTTACAAAAAAATGTTCAACAAAGTTTAAAAATGCATTCTTTTCTTGCATTTACATCAAATATTAAGCGACAGGCCAACTGTTTCTAATTGATTAATATGGGAATGTAGCATAATAACCTAATGTACTCAGTATAAGAAAAGTTTCCTTCTCAATATCATAAACGTCTACTTGCTTAGCATTAAGTTTTCGCCAACCTTCCTTCAGAAGCTCCTTTGCCTTTACAAAATTGTTTCTGTTCATTATTAAAGCTGGTACTTTGAAAAGCTTGGATTGATAGCTGTTAAACATACATTCATCGCAGCTGCATTTGAAGGAGTGTATGTTGAACATCTGCATTTTATTTTTAAAGTAAAAAATAAAATTTTTATCGCTTTTAAAAAAGAATTAAATTTAATTTTTAAAAACAAGTTTAAGATTTAAACAAATAAATACTTACAAGTAACAACGGAAAAGCTGTTCTCCTGCCTTAATTGGTTTTACAACAAATCCTACGATTTTATTTTGAATTGTAACAAAAAATACGTTTGGTAAGCATGAGTGATTAATGAGAGATCTGAATAGTGAAATTTTCCGGTTATCATTTATATTAATTTCGGTTCTTCCACTTGAAGAAAAATCCTCTACTGCATTCAATGGGAAAAGACTTAATAGATGATTTGCTGTTTTGTTCGAAACATATTTGAAGATGCTACACGAGTCATCATTAACAACATGTTGTTTTTTTGATGATAACGATAAGAAGCACATAGCAAGATTCTTTTCATATTCTGGATCTTCAGAATTGCTCAAGTCAAAGTCGAATATGGTCTTGGTAAGATCCTTTAAGTCTGCCTTATAAACAAAATCATCAAGTTCTTCATATCCTCCAAATGGATATGAAACTATAGACAGCATTCTTATATCATCGTGTCGTGATAGGTCCATTTCAATGTTTTTCGAGTAGAAATTATCCATACAGTCAGTAGAACAAAACATCATTGAAGCTATTGGAAATAACAACTGTCAATAATGGTCATTAAATAAATTGAATTAGGGTTTACCTGATTGAATGCAAGGGATCAGATTCAACATGTTTGTTTTGAAACAGTTAGCACAGTGCTTGTAGTATCCATAGTGATATAAAAAGGTAATTAATGGTTCTTCAATGGATATAACATCACCAGCTTTCAAGTCCTTTGTAGCATAAACTCCTCGTCCATATTTTTTTGTGGTACGTAAATCTAAACGATCAACTATCCACGGAATCTTCTCATTAACTGGATATGACATTTTGAAAAAGTTCCATGGATCTTCAGCGACATTCTTTCTTCCCTTTAACATCAGTTCCTTGCATTTCAATTCTCGATTCTTAAGATTCTTACATTTGTCTGCTGGATATTCATTTTCACAAGCCCATTTAATATTCTCCAAGCATTCGTTGTAATATCCAAGAGTTATGTAGACAGCACTTCTATTAGCATATCCAAAAGATCGAACTTTCTTTGTACAAGCAAAAGTGATGGCCTTATTGTATAAAATGAGTGCATTTAAATACTCATTTTTTTTATAATTGACATTTCCTAATTCTCTGAATTCGTTTGCCTTTTCATCCGATTTCTGTTCAATTAATACACCTGAATCATTCATCCTGTTCTTTTAAACTATTTTTAAAGTTGATAAACACGAATTAATTAAATTTCTTTCCAGCTACACGTTTTTTTTTTGTTGACAAAATGGAGATATTAATTCTGTATCGAAATCTATAAAAATCATTTAATAGAGGAAGTAATAGGTTCTTTATTTCCGATATTAAAAAAGGTAAAGTAAGCAGAAAAATTAAATCAGATGGAAAGCTAGACACTTATCAAAAGAACTTAACACGGAAATGTCATTTTATAAGCTTGTAACACCATAATCAACATATTTTGTGCCTTCTGTCTGTTAACTTCATCCAGTGCTGTGCTTTCATTATTAATTATATTCCATCCCTCGTTCAAATAAGATGCATTCATTAAATCATTTTTATTGACATTAACTTCTGTTGATGCATTCCAAAAGCTCGAATGTTTTTCATCAGTACATGCAAGACAATCACATTTGAAGTTGTAATGTAAGAACATAATTTCTTTCATGACGTCTCGCATTGGATCTTCTTGATTTCTGCAAAAATATAAACAGTTGCTTAAAAATAATATTAACATAATCAGACTTGCTTACAAATAGCTGACAAATATTTGATCCCCAGCTTTGATCGGTTCCGAAATGCAAACAACAATTTTATTGTCAACGAATATTGGAAATGAATTTGGCATGCAAGAATGATTAATTATATTTGCGAAAAGTGGGATACTGGCACTGTCATTATGCCAATTAGATCCATTGTCACAAAAAGTATGAGTCGTGTTATTCATAAACAAAATGTTTAAAATACGATTAGCTGCTTTTTTTGGTAGATTATTTCCAATTAGATAAAGCTCTACATTTACTGGATGTCTGTTTGATGCTGATAGTTCCAGCAAGCAATTTGCAATCTTTCGACTGTACTCTTTATCTTTTGGATTGTGCAGATCATAATCAAATATGTTTGCTAAATTATGATTCTTGCTGCTTATGTACTCAGTAAATTTCTCCTGACCATCAAATAAAGCTACAATTTCAGAAAGCAATTTGACATCATCCATTAACATAATTTTCATATCTCCAAACTTTGAGTATGTCTTGTCCATACATTCAGTGGAACAGAACATGATGGAAGCTAAATAGACAAAACTTTGTTAATTTTAAACTTAATAATGATTAAAAGAACTTCATACCTGTTCGAGTACAGGGAATTAAGCTGAGCATGCATGTTTTCATACAATTGTAGCAGTGCTTGTAATATCCGTCGTCTCGTAAGATACAGACTACTGAATCTTCAATGGATATAATATCACCAGCTTTTAAATCTTGTTTGGCGTATATTCCTCGTCCATACTTGTCTGTTTTCTTCATTTCAATGCAATCAACAATCCATGGAATCTTTTCATTAGCTGGATATGACAGCTTGAAGATTTCTGATGACTTTTCATTCAACTGGATCTTGTTCAAATCTTCTTGGATCTTTAAATTCTTACATTTTTCTTCTAGGATGTTTAATTCGTCGATTTTGTTCTTTGGATATCCATTCTTACGAGCCAGGTTAATATTTTCAAGACATTTTTGATATCGTTGGATTTCAAAGTATACAGCACTTCTATTGGCATAAATCAGACACAAAATATTTTTGGAACAAGCGAAACTTAGTGATTTATTATAAAATATCAATGATTCGATCCATTTCTTATTTTCAAAGCTTTTGTTGCCTAATCCTTGATATTCCTTAGCTTTTACGTTCGATTTATTTACTGTTAATTGTTGAAAAGTCGGTGGAAAGTCCATAATTTTATTTTTTTTTATATTCACTCCGTTTTCACGTGTGAATCTATTGGTTTTGTTCAGATTGAAAAATCAGTTTTTCGCATTTTGTGAGAAAACAAAGCAAAATTGGTTATAAAAGGTCACAGAAGAAAAGTTTGTGCCTGAAATTTTACATCATTTTCAAAAAACAGATTTCAAACTGGTTGTGGCATTGCTGAAAAAATCGCAAAATACGCTTTCTGTAAGCAAACAAGCAAGCAAGTTAATCAGCAAGAAATCTCAATAACGAGACATTGTAGAGACTTCTAGTTTTTTTTAATTTGATCCTTGCTGCTCTATAGAAGAGCTGTATTGTTTTTGGGCAAGGTAGGAACAGCCGTTGCTTCAGAAAAAGCAAAAAACTTTCCTTTCTTACGAATTTTTCAAATTAAAAGTTCACTGTGATTTTTTTTTTAAATTAAACTTTGGATGAAAAAAATTTTTTTGAGCAAAGAACCAAGTAGGAAATACATTTTCAATTTTGAACTATGAGCGACCCTAGTCAAAATCAATTTTGTCACTTTTTTCTTCGAGGGTTTATACAAATGGATTGAAACTTTGCATAAATATTCTAGTGCATAAAACAAATACAAATAAAACGTCTTAAAATTTTTTTGAGCAAAGAACCAAGTAGGAAATACAATTTAAATTTTGAACTAGGGTGACTAGGGTCACCCCTAGTCCAAAATTGAAAATGTATTTCCTACTTGGTTCTCTGCTCAAAAATTTTTTAAATATTTTATTTGTATTTGTTTTAAGCACTAGAATATTTATGCAAAGTTTCAATCCATTTGGATAAACCCTCGAAGAAAAAAGTGACTAAATTGATTTTGACTAGGGTCGCCCCTAGGATGTTTTATTTGTATTTATTTTAAGCATTAAAATATTTATGCAAAGTTTCAATCCATTTGTATAAGGGCAATTCCATGAAACGATTTGTCTACAAATTTTTCTCCAAATTGATTTTTACATCTTTAGACTATTCTACTGCATATAAGCTTTTCGTAGGTCATTAAAAACATCATTTTCTATTTAATTGACTGAAATTTTCATACTTAAAGTGGTTAATTAAAGAATTATTTCAATTCTTTTGGCGTTACTTAGTAACACAATCGAAGAAAAAATAATTTGGAGACTCACTTAAAGTGATTTTTCTTTCCTTTGCGCAGTTTTTTAATAATAAAGACTGTCACAACTCAAAGATTGATAATCAAGCTACTAAAATCTAGCATTAAATTAACTCAAAAGTACTTAATTAAGCTACAATTTTAATTTCTATGTGACTTAAAAAAATGTTACTAAGTAACGGAGAGATTTAATCCGTGAAAAAATACAGAATTCAAAATTTTAAAATTCTATTTTTTTAATGTATCTTTTATTAAAGTAATGTTTAACTAATCAGAATTACTCATTTTAGGATGAAAAATAGTTTAAAATGAGTAAAACATTAAGAAAATAAGAGTATAAAGAAATATTTGAAAAATAATATTTCTTACTTAATAGACTTGGATCAAACTCAAATGTAAACAATGAAACTATTTCATGGAATTGCCCTTAAACAATTTTTAAGATTATGATGATGTTGTTATAAAATTCAAAATTTTGAAAACCGTTAGAAGCTTCAAGAAACGTCAATAAATTAATGTCAATTTTATTAATTATGGGATTAATGAATGTTCTTTATTTTAAATATTTTTCTCAAAATCGATACATAAAAAAGAATGAAAAAAATAAATGTATTGTTAATGTTCCTTAATATTCTTCTGGGGACGGAAAATCAACATAATTAGGCAGTGAAAAAACGTTTAGCAGGGAAAAGTGCTGTAATAAGCCAAAGAATCAAAGATAGCGAAATTAGTGTGCATGTACCTATTAATTTCCTCTTGTGTCTTCGAGTTCTGATTAATGTAGTAATTTCCTTCCTTGAGCAATTCATTGGCTTCTGTTAAATTGTCTCTAGACATGAATGTTGATGGAATTCGATTTAATTCAAGGGGGAAAAATTTCTTGACATCATCGTCAGTGCATGCTATACAGTCACATTTAAATTCATATGTCAAAATCAATTCCAATTTATCGAAAATGTGGAGAACATGGTTACTGGAAGAGAGATTAAAAGGATTAATTGATATTCAGACAATAATATTAAAAGCTTACGTATATGATCGGAATAATTGCTCGCCGGTCTTGATTGGTTTCAAAACGACAACAGAAACCTTATTATCGACACTGAATGAGTTGACATTTGGTACGCAGGAATGATTCAAGAGGCTTACAAAGACGGAAATGCTATTTCCACTCTTAATAAATGAATGATCTATATCAGAATAGTAGGTAAGTTGCTGATTTAATTTTCGGATTCCTAAAATGTGATGTAGAGCCTTTTCAGAGAGATGACTTTGTGAGCAACAAAAGTTTTTGATATTGTGGTTCTTCAAGCTTTTTAGAGACAAGAAGCATTTTACTAAATTCTCTTTGTTCTTTGGATCATCGGCATTGCTAAAATCGTAGTCAAAGATAGTCTTGTTGATCGTCTTTATATCGTTATGTTTCAAAAACTTGTCAAAATTTTTCTTTCCACCAAATCCGTCCATAATATTAGCCAATGTTTTGACATTTTCGCACATGAAAGTCTCCATATTTAAGCCTTTTGCGTATAAAGTTTGTCTACATTCTGGTGAGCAGAACATTAAAATGTTTGTTCTAACACACGGAATTAAGTTAAGCATACACGTTTTAAAGCAATGATAGCAATGCATGTAATATGCGTCACCTAATTCGTCAAAAAACTCTCGAAAACAATGAATGATTGGCTCATCAATGGATATAACATCACCAGCTTTTAAGTCTTTTGTTGCATAAATTCCACGACCAAATTTCTCCGTTGTACGCATTTCGACGCAGTTTGCAATAAACGGAATCTTCTCATTAGCTGGATATGATAATTTGAAGAACTTCGATGGATCTTCAGGCTTAACATTTTTTGTCATCAGTTCCTTACACTTCTTTTCACGTTCATCAAGTTTTGACATTTTGTCTTTTGGATATTTATTTTGACGTGCCCATTCGATGTTCTTTAAGCAATCTTCATAGCGCTTTAGCTCTAAAAATACAGCACTTCGATTGGCATATGCTAGACATATAACATTCTTTGAATTTGCAAAAGTTATGGCTTTATTATAACATATTAAGGCTTTCATCCAATCTTTTTGAGCGTAATGTGAATTTCCTGATACTCGATGCTTATCAGCTAGTATATCTGACTTATCAATTGATACCTTGCCTGAATGTAACATTTTTATAAGTTAATTACACGTTTTGCACAATAAATAATCACAGACGTCTTTACTCGTTGGAGACTCGAATACAAATGAAATTTTTTAAGCAAAAAAATGTTAAACATTAAGTTCAAATTCCAAAAAACCGTTACAAAATCAATTTTCTGAAACAAAAAGTTTGAATAAATTATGAACAAAGAAGAAGATTAATTGATGATGGATATTTATTTAATAGTTTATTTTCATCATTTTTTATACTTTTATTGCACAAAGAAAATATAATTAAGTTCATTGAATTGGATAATGCATGAAATAATGCTGCATTTAAAACTTTTTAATTTCCTCCAATAAAATATCTTAAAAATTCCCAAAGACCCTGACAAACATAATTAACTGATGCTTAAATAATTATAATTTAGGTATATGCCAGAGAAATATTCTCTATATCTCTCATTCAACCCTGAATAGTAATAAAAAAAAACATGAAAGGATACTCAAATAAACAGAATATAAATAATAACGTGGGCACAAGAACATATTTTATGTCATTAATAATTTAAAATTCTCCTATCTATCGCCTTATTTCATCCTTATCGATTTCGACTTCTTTTTGTTCCAACGTTGCTTCTCATTCTCACTTATTGCCGTCAATTCAGCAACTTCCTCGTCGTCCGATGACATTTCAATGCCATTACTGCGTTTAATTTTTGCATTTGTCTGCGATGCACTTCTTTGCGGCTCATTTTCATTGTTATTAATACTATCTTCATCAGGAATGTATCTTATCGTACCTAAAACGGAACAGAATTTATTTAAAATTTAACACTCATTTGAAATATAACGGCTATTCAAATTTTGAAACGATTATTCAAACAAAGAAATTTGAAAATGAAGCATGCTGACTATTACATACCTTCAGCACCAAATGAATGACTGTGTTCACGACGTCTTCTGTCACGGTGTGATTCGAACGTTTTCGTCGTTGTCTTTGTCTTTTTAACTCTCTTAATTCTATTATTTAAATCCCCACTTCCGTTACTTGGATTTTGGGATGCTTTAGACGGGATTTTATCGTCATTAGCTTGATTAGAGCTTTCCTCGTCACTTTCACTAATGTCTCTTCCATCATCCTCAAATGAAACGGTTTTAATTGGTTTTAATGATGGCATTTTTTCTTCTACAATTCTCGGCTGTTCCTTAATTTCTATTTCTTCCTGTATTTCTTCATTTTCGACAGTATTTCCATTCATATGCTCGTAATTTGATTCGCTTTTGTTCTCATCGTCATCGTCGTCGTTGTCATTTAACGATAAATTCTCAGTTGTTTCAGCTAAGTCACTCTCTTTTCTTGTAAATTCACTAGCACCTCTTAAAATAATTTCAGGTCCACCACCGTAGATTGTTAAGAAGAATTTCCAAAGCTTGAAATTAATTTGAGCATAATCCGAACCAGCTCTGACATTTCTAATTGGCATAGTCTCTGACTGAAGTGCTATAGCTGTATTATTAATTGGACCAGGCTCTTCAGTCGTCTCACATCGTGCAAATGCTTGCCAGCGTCTAAACCAAGCCATAGAAATTGCAAATAACATTGATGAACTGTCTTGATATTGGAATTCTTCACGTAGCTCAGAGAATAATAACAATTCACTCTTTTGACGTTTTAGTAGATCCTCAGCTCTTGTTTTGCATGTATCACATTCAATTGGACAATTTGTTACAGGACCACCGCCAAATTTTTCATAGAAAAAGTCCCATAAAGCTTGTGGTAATGGAACTAGTAAATCAGATTGACTTGCAGCTTTTGGTAATAAATTTCCATGTTGACAAAGAATTGACCAATTATCGATAGGACCAGGTTCCGAAAATGTATGAAAACGATTAAGCCATTGACGTGAAATATAGAACTTAATATCCGATGGCATATATCGCATAGAATTAATGATTTCATCCGCTTGATCTCTAAATTGAGACATTTGTGGATTGTTTTTTTGATAGAATAATACATAAGCCTCACAATTTTGTACAGTTTCAGCCGAAACTTGCGTTACTGTCTGATCATCATACTCAAACCATCGATCTGTTGGACCATGTTTAGCATAACAAATGTAATGTCCACTTCCAACCGTTCCGTGATGACAAATTACGGCTGTTAAGTCATACGTTGATACTTTTGATCTACAATCTTTATGTAAATATTGTCGCATATCTAATCCAGTTAATGGGAAAATTACAGGACTTGAAATTTTCGAGCTATACGACAAGTCGTGACGAAAACGTTTTAAATGCACACAAAGCATTTCGGGTAGAGTCAAGACTCGTGAAAATTTCAAGCCATTACGAAGTTTATTGCATTTTTCACAACTATACATATTATCGCCTTTTAATTCATCAGCACTAAAAAATGCAGCCATACAATCATGTAGAGTCACAGATGGTCCCCAAAAGAATGATCTAAACCAATTCCAAACCCACCACATCCAACTATCTTGAGCATAGACAACATCTGTGCATGTTGCTGAATTGTTATTTCCAATTAGTGGATTATTAATAGGCGTATTCAGCATTGTTGGATTTTGGGATTGATGTAATACATTAATATAGTCTCTGCCTGGAATTGGAAGTGATAAATCTTGAAAAGTTTCTTCGCGTGTCGATACACGGTCACAAGTTAAACATTGAACAGACGACAACAATTTTCCGTCAAAAATGTCACTTATTATAGATCGATGAAAAATTTTTTGTTGCTTATTATTCGCTGGCGTATCCTTTTGTTGTTGAGCTTGTTGACCTGATTGTGAAGTTAAGCTTGTATTCGATCCAGTACGATTTGTTAAAATGCTGCTTCCAATTGTTGGAATTGACGATGATGTATGAAGCTTTGGAGGACTTGGCGATCGAGATACAATCTTAGCTCTATTATTATGCGCCATTTCGTCCGATAAGCTTGATTGTTCCGATACTCCACTGTCACAAGTCTCATATTCTTCAGCTTCCGATTGACTTAATGATGGTGATGGGCATGGGGATGAGTCAACATTCATTTCCTCTTCATTTATTAATTGTTCAGGCGGTGGCGGAGTTACTTCCTTTAATTCTTCATGTAATTGATCCATAAAGCATCTTAAAAATTCTTGTGTATCATGCTGCTGAAATCCACGAAACATTGGATGTATTGTACTAATTCCTCGAATTATCTCATCAGGTACAATATATCCTCTTCGCTTATTAAGCCACATATCCCGAATTAATCTATGGTAACTTTTTGCTAATCCAATTTTGGAACGTGATACTGTATTTTGGACAATACTTCCACATTCTAGAAAATATCCAGTCAATGGTGGAGAATTACTAAGTGCTTGAAGGGCTGAATTCATGTAGCATGTATTTGCAATATTCTTTAGTCCAACGAGACCGTTTAAATGATGTCCTTGAAAGTCATTTTCATCATCTTCAATTTCACTGCTATCATAATTCCTAGAATTGCTATTATTATTATTATTATTGGTGCTGCTTGTTTCACTGGTTCGATCATACTGGAATATTCTACGTCCACTGTCATTTGAATCCAATGAATTGACACGTTGATGATAACGATTATTCTGATTCTGTAGAAACACTTCCGATTCACAAAGGTAGCACCAGACTCGCTGTGACGATAAATTCATTTGAATGCAGTGATTCCGATTTGACTAAAAAAATATGCGTAGTAAAATATAATAATTAATTTCCTGCTTACATTGCACGATATACAGAGACACAGAGAATGAGAATAAATATTAATTATGTACACTGGACTTACCTCAAAGTGTAATGTGCTGTGATCATTGTGTTTATCTGAGCAGCCAATGTACAAGCAGTTTTGTTGCAAGCATAGCCATAAATTGGGTCCTTGTTGAAGACAATCAGCACACAGTTTACCCTAGAAATCGAGATAAATAGGACACATGAAGCTTAAATAAAGGAAGCATCGGCCTAGCGATGAGAAATCATAAATCACAAAGAGAAAATCGATAGAATAGGTGCAAAGTATATGAATGACTTATAAATAGCAACAATTTTTTTTGCGAGAAGCACAAGTGCGCTGCAAGTTCGTAATTTATGGCTTTATGCAGAAAAATTGTCAATAGCTGCAAATTGGATTTCCTTCGTTCATGTCATATTATTTTTTTTTGTTGCTGTTGCTTTACTGACTGACGATTATTATATTATGTGGACAGAAGCAATAATGTGATGCAATAATCTTTGTAAGGTGTTTTTACAGGTGATTTTCATGCTGATTAATGCCGTCATTTTGTCTGTCTGGATCACCCTGAATATGCATTTTCTACGTCATGGAATGACAAATTATAATTTTATTCATCACATTCACAATGTTGACAATCTATTGAGTATGTCCAGTAAAATGCGCGAGTTGCTTTATATCCAAAACTGCATAATGACTTTTCAACTGGATGTTTTTTTTATTTAAAGAAATTCCATTGAACAATGATTTTGCATTTTTACCTTTTTCTGCAAACAGAGGTCCGACGCATTAGTTTGCACGATGTTCTGCAAGTGAGGACACGATTGTCTTGACATCTTTCACTAATATACAATTACTAATTAAACTACAAAAAAAAATTTCAACAAAAAAAGTTTTTGCTTTTTTCAGGTAAACAGACAAATAAAATGCATTAAAATTAACTTCTTTAGCTTTGAACTGATGTTATTTGACAATTGAATTTAGGATTATTGACTGAAACTCTTTCCATTTAATTATTTTAATGACTATGAAAACACAATTTGTCCTTTGTGAAATTTATGATTTTCAGCCCTTGTAGCAATATCATTGTTCATATGATCATCTTTTTTGACGCTTTTTGAGTAAATTATCATTTTAACATCTTTATTACGGGATTGAGACATTAATTAGAGTAGAATTTTAAGGAAGAATCAATTCATCACTTGTTAAGTTATTAACGGAAAAAAATATTTTAAATCACTCAAATTGAATGTGAATTTCAAATAAAACTGTTTCAAACCGTTAAAAATTGACACGTGGTGGATTAAAAAATTAATCCTGGATTTATTTCTACATCAATCAAAACAAACGATTGTAAAGATAGAAAGGATTAATTAGAGGAAAATGCTTCAACAATACAATTTTCAAATGCCAAAATCGAAGAAAAGAAAGCTGTATACACCATTATCAGATGAAGACGAGAACTTTGAGATTGAAACAACGACAGTAAAAGATTCAGCAAAAGTCAGCCATGAAACGCTTGATAATTGTATTGTAAAATCCAAAGTAAAAGCACAGAAGATTAATGGTAATCTTTATAATTAAGTTAACATCTATTTCGCAAGTAATTCAATCTTTTATCAGAAATTAGAGTAAAGGAACTGGATCCTGACGAGATAGCAGAGAATCTTTCATGGGAAATGATCAAACCAATGTTAAGGAAGGATGCAGTATTGCTGAAATCAATTTGGCAGCACTTTCTTAGGTTTAATCCAGCAGATAAAGCCAATAAAGTGAAGCAACATAAAAAGCCTGAAAAAGACCAAACCAGTTTTAATCAGATATTGTATGTCCTTATGACACGTCCCGGAAATACTAAGGAACAGAACTGCAAACAACAAATTAATGAGTCTTTTATAAACAGCGAAAAATCGGGTCATTCATCAAAAAATCAATTAAATTCTGTGGCTGAAATTCGGCAACCTGTTAATGGCTTTTCCATTAAAGCAATCTCATCTGTAGTGCCTTGTAGTGATTTAAATAGCATATTCACACAACATGAGGTATCAAAAGAGAACCAGAATATTGAACAGATCAATAGTTCCATTAAAGACGATTTTATTGGCAGTCAATTCATTAAAAGTAGAATGAATGTTGAGGATGAGACTACAACAAATTCTGTGAATCACACGAAGCCACTAATTGACTCAAACCAAATTCTTAATGAATGGCTTAGAAATTCACCTCAAAATAAACTGCAGCTTGTTAATAGTGATGAAGACATTCCAAAAACTTCATTGCTTAGTAAAAGTGGGAAGAAAATTCATCACGAGTCGCTGTTTAAATGCTTCCTGTAAATAACTTGACTAAATAGTTTGTTTAATAATAAATCTTAAAATTTATTCAAGCACTTTTTGTTGATTCAAAAAACTATTTAAAAATTCACTTAACATTAATTTCTTTGGATATGCTCGAGCAAGTAGATTTTCTTAGAGTTAAACAAATTTAGACATAAAAATTTTATAAAAAAAATTGCACCGAATCGACATAATTCCTTTTTCAAAATGTACAATTCTATTAAAACGAAAAAGGTTACAGACAAAAAAAAGTATTTTTAAGGCACTTGGAATGCAAAAATAATTGATAATTACATTCATTTTAAAAAAAAATTAATTAATTTAACTTATAAGTTATCTTATATCCAACGTAATAATAATAAAATATAAACAAAATGTTTTTGGTAAGACTTTTTTGATTTTGTTGCTCTGTGTCGTTTAACAAACAATAATGTACAGACGAGAACTTTTTTAAAAATAATATTCAAATGAATTGGGTAATAAAAAGTAAAAATCAAAATGTCATTCGCCTTCCTTTGCAGAGTTAAACGCCCTGCATAGCTTAAATGTTTTAAGTATAATAGATGACTGCATAATGGCGTTAGATTCACAATTTATATGATTTGCGAGAGAATTTTAAAAGTCATTTAATCTTTAGATTCATCCATTTCTAATGTCCAAAATTTGAAGGACATCATTTATGAACGACTCCCATAACTTAAACCCCCCCCCCCCCCTAAAATAAAGGCAGATAAAAATAAAAAAGTTTACAACTTTAAACTTAGAATGTATAAAAAAAAAAACTAATGCATGTAGGCATTCAATACGAAATTCGTCGATACTTCTTCATTCTTAATAACTGAATTTCCATCTTCAATATGACAATTCGCTGTCGTAAGTTGAGATAAAGTGGGTTGTGAGTTGGGCGATGATTTCATGATTGATTGATCATCAACAACCATGACAGGCGATGTGAATTTATTGTCTTCTAAATTGCTGCTCATCGGATGAAGATACTTTGTATCGTCGTCCAAATATTTTGTTGCACCATTTACGCTACACGATGCGAGAGTGAGAGAGATGGATAGAGAAATCGTAATGAAATTAAGAGTTATTTTCTGAGTCATGCAATTTAATGAACTTACGCGTCACTTCCATCTTCAATTGATGAGTAATCAGTTTTGTGATGTGCGTCTGTGGAGGTATCAACTAAAATACCATTTGTTCGTGATGGCGAGCCATAGTCGTAAGATCGTATAGTAGTAAACATTTGATTATCGTACGGGGTATATTGATGTGTAAAAGTACCATACGGTGATGATGCTGGCGATAAAAGAGTTCCATAATGTGGATCGTACGGTTGATAACTGTTCCAACTATCCACAGAACTAGGTGGTGTAACTGTGGTTGGCTGTTGTTGATAAGTTGGAAATGATTGAGCCGCATGAATTGCAGGTCCTGTAATTGGAGTTGCTGAATTATTGTTGCCGTTAATGAAACCTTTTCGTGGCGGTTCTCTTTTCCTCCATTTTGCACGTCGGTTCTAGAATTTTAGAGTTGCTTATTAATAATTTGAATATCCGTGACAAATTTAAATTAGATTCTCACCTGAAACCACACTTGGACTCGACTCTCACTCAAATTAAGTTTAAGTGCTAATTCTTCTCGTGCAAATACATCAGGATAAGGCGCTCGTTCAAAAGCTCTCTCCAGTTCTTCAAGCTGATATGCTGTAAATGTAGTTCTGGAAGTAAAAACAGAAGTAACACTTAATATCACATCATTAAAACAAAGTAAGTGATGCTAATAGCACCAGCTTAATTACTTAAAATATCATTCATGACCATTAGTGTGTGAAAGCATCAATAAATTGTTTACAGTACAGCATTTTAATCTGATTAAATGCCTGAATTGAATTCTAGCACCTCTCTCTCGATTCTAAGCCATAAATCATTTAATTATAGGAAAAAATGTAATCAGAAAATTTATTACACATTTAATAAAGGCTGTTCCTGTCTGGTCACTTATTAAACGAAAGAATGAAAGAATTTACCTCCTTAATGCTATTTATTATAAACACTATATCTCTTTTGAGCGGTAAGAAGGAAAGATTTTTCCAATAATCTGTAGAAAATATGAAAAATGAGCTTTATAGTTTCCGTCTTGAAAGTTGGAAGAGAAGGTTTATGATAAAGGAAATGAAAAACTTGTTGATTCCATTGAATTAATAATAAAGAAGGAAAGTTTTATAAGGAAATTTTATTTTTTCCTCCTTAATTCTTTGTCAATTGCTTGACTAAACTTAAAAGAGGTTTTCTTTGTCTCTTTCTAGTGGTTTTTAAAAATAAGGAAATCAACTTAATGCTTTTTGGAGAAGTTTTCTTGAATTTGAACAATATGAAATCATAGTCGGCAATGTTTTGTTTACTTTTGATGATTTTTAAATGAGGATAGTCAATTAATAAACTTTATCAAGTGCGTTTCTTCTTATTCATTCATTAAGCTTTAAAAATGAACCTTGGTAATACTTCGGATATTTCTTTAATAAAAATTAAGTTTTCTTCAAATTTTGGTTACAAATAGTTCGAATTAAAGATGTAAACCTGGATTACATTTCAAATTAGTTTTTTTCCTATGTTACTGAACATCTAGTATAAAGCACAAAGTTTTCAAGTAAGAGTAGCGTATGCAAAATGACTTTCAAATGTCTTGAATTAAGTTTATCAAAACAGAAACTTGCAAAATATCAAAGAATGCTGAGAAAAACTTTTCAAGAGTCTCAAGAGACTTCACTACTAAGTTCTCCTTTCAGGGTAAGTCAAGCTTACTTCTATATTTTTTAAAATTGACATTTTGAGTAGCAGAAACTTTATGCACACAATTCCTTTAAGTTTAATTATTAAAGCACTGGTGTTGATGAAGCACCATATGCACGAAAAAGAAAGCTTTAGCTACCAGAGCGCAAACGGCTACTTATTAATGATGACATAAAAGAAAAACTTAATAACTTCTTTTTTTTTCCCCGCACAAAGCGTAGTCTCTGTAAAGACTATTAAAATTTTTTTTTCTTTCCATTTCTTTTAATAAAACAGTCACTGACTGAATGAAATGGAATGGATGGAAAGAAGAATAAAAGAAAGAAGGAAAAAGCTAGTCATTTTTCTGTCCATCTATTCATCTGAATGAGATAGAAATGGAGAGGTACTCATTTCATTATTTTTTACGCTATATTACAGACATCAGCAGCTTAGTGCTAGAATCTTAATTTCAAAATGTAATTTTTTTCCCTTCTGCTCTATGAGTCGAAATAGGATTTACTCTTTTTTATTTTATTTTATATCCTTTACTTGTCCTTTTTTCTGTTCCTTATAATAATTATTTTGATAAAGCTGAGAAAAGTATGGAGCTGCTTACTTCTTTTAACATAATTTTTCATTTAATCACACTAGATTTTTTGCTGCATTTGATTTGACTGATTGACCGAGATTTTGAATTAATCAATCGATCATTTGTCAGTTGATTTGACAGTTTTAGAACGGAAGTGACAGATTCTTTTTTTGGGTTAATTTTAAAGTCATTTGTCGAGATTGGGTAAATTTGTTTTTATAGGAATTATTTGATGGTTTGTCATCCTCACTTTCGTAGACATTAGTCTTTTAACAAGTCGAAGCCAATACCTTATATCGGCTTATATCCTGATCCCTCTTGAACCAGGAGGTTTTGCCAAAACTAATCCAAATGCGTTAAGAAACCTAAAACAAAATTCTCAATTTACTGTCCACAAAACTTTAGTAAAATACTTGTTGCGTAACTTAACATTGCCATCATAACTTGCTTAATCCTTTTAGTTTCTTATAAAAAGCTTTCCTTAGAAGAAATAAACGAATTAAAAATAATTTGTGAAAGTGGCTTAGATTAAACATTTGTTCGTGCTCTATTCGGATCTGCTTTGTTTAAAAATTGAATCGAGATAGAAACTATCATGATTTTAAAAGCTCTCTTAGTCATCCTTATCTCCAATGGTTTGCAAAGTACATGAATGTCTCAATAATTTTTTTTCTATCTCAATTTCGCCTATTTATCCTCGCTTCGTGTTTGAGGAATTAAATTTTCAGCTAGTCGTACATTTTTTATGTCATTGCTCTTGGTATGCTCATATCGAATAACGGAAAATGCTTTGTGTATATAGGAATTCCATAGATGGAAAAAGAAAGTCAAATGCTAATGAGAAAATATTTTTGTGTTTTCCGCTTTATCAACTGAATGAAGACATTTCTCTGTGATGCTGAATAATAAATTGCATGAATTTAAATCAAATTAAAGACTTTTGCTGTTTTAATGGCTGATAATTTAATTTTTTTTTGTTCTTTATCTTTATTGATTTTCGGTTGAATGGAAAATTTCATCATTTTAAAGCTATAGATAGTCCTTGAAATGGATTTCCGATTCTATACGAAGTATATAAAAGATTAAATGCCAGACATTATCTAGTAATGGGATTTGTAATGCAAACTGTGGTTTTGGCTTTATAAAATCAATTGTTAAACATTGAACAACATAGAATTTACAGTCTGAATGTATTTTCTTCTATTTTATTATTTCATGATAACGATTGCGATATTGGATACGAGAAAAGTGAGCTTTAAGAGAATTGGAAATTGTTTTGGATTTTAAATTATCTTAAAAGAGATTTTAATTTTGAAAATGTTGGGAAATTGTTTAAATTGAATTGCTTTAATTCTTTGTTGATTTGTTTGTCAAATGAATGGAATTAAAATGTTAAGTTCGTTTACTAAATTGGTGCATTAATGCAATTAGGAGTTTCGAGGTAAGGACAATATTAAAGCTAGTCTTCAGCAGTCAAAAAAGTTTCTTCTTCTTGATCAGAAAAATTCAAATTTAGATATCCAAAATAGGATAGATCTATGAGATTTAATTAAAATAATTTTAAAAGCTCATCAATAGAATCAGAAACTTTTGGCTCAATTAATTGTGCAATATTTTGCCTTAGAACTCAAAGAATTCCAAGAAGGATCAGTTCCATTCAAAAATATCATCCAATTTCTATTTCGTTTGATATCCCAAATTCGACATTTTCACAAATTTACAGATTAATAACTTCAAGGTATTGAAATTCTATTTTTAACTCAATTAACTTCCAATTCATGCAATATTGAATCACTTAATCCCTCATTAAAACTTTTCATTCATGAATATCCACATGACCGTATCAAAAGTCAGCACAATACCACAAAAAAAAGTCAGAAGAACTCATTCAGCACAGCATAAAAGGACAGTACATAAATAATCAATAAGTCAGAGCATATAAATTCTCATAAATTGCCGTCGGCAATAAGAACTTTCGTTCACTTTACTGCCGTAAATATTATCAAGAATCAATCAGTCGTTGTCGTTATTGTAAGGAACGAGAGAATGGGGAAGAAAGAAGAAAATTTTCTTTTGATTATGTTGAGCATACATATATGAACTTTCCTTCCGTGAAGTATATATTCTTCACATAAAATATAATGTGTAGCAGTAATGTAAGTATTGACATTATGATGAAAGAAAGAGAGAAAGTTCAGAAAAGCATAAAAATATCACACACAGCATACAGAAAATCGAATTGATTCTTCATGAATGTACAAGTTTTATGTAAGCAAGCGGTAACAGAGTAACCGAAAAATACTGAGAGAAGGGTAGAGATGGAATGATGAAGATATTTATTCGAATATTACCAGTGTTGGTAACTTAGAGAACATCAATCAGGGTTACTTCTGACCAAGACATCAACTGATCAAAACTTTCTAGAGGCTAAAACTTAGTGTGACTTAAGGCTCTGCATTGAGTAATTCCTTCCTTAGTTAAAGTCTCGGCTAAAATATTCAGAAACTAGATACTGCTCTAGCTAGAACCCTAATCTGTGTCCTGTCTGTGTCAGAGATTCCTAAGGACAATTAATATTGCTGTCTTAGCTAGCTTATATCAAAATGTAGACTTTACAACACTGAACAGACATAAAAGCAGAAAGCTTGAGGAGGTTTTATATCGATATCTTGACATGCTTTATACACTTTTTATTGTACAATTGAATTTTTATTTAGGATTTTTTTCTTACCTTGTTTTCTTCTTTTTCACACCATTTTGATCGTTTTTCTTTTTATCGACGGGCTTCTTATTAGGCGATATCGATGACGTTCCATCACTCGGTGAGACGCTGTTGATTGTTGTCGGTGTTGGCGAGCCATTATTTAAACTCTCGTTTGATTTTCTCTTAAAATTTCCATCTGTTCCATTGATAATGTTCTGTTGATTTCCATCAAGAGATTGTGGCTGTTGAAATATCTGAATATGTTCGATATTGTGCTGCTGTGATGCCGTTGGTACCGTCGTATATTCAATTATTTTTGAATTTGGAGAATATTGTCCACCATTTGATGTAACATATTCCAATTTATGTACACCTGAGCTTGGTGAATATGATTCTAATTTGGCAATTCCACCCGTACCATTGATATATTCAATTTTACCATTCGGCGAATATGGTGATTCCATTTTAACATGACTATAATCGAGTGTCGATGTCGTTGTAGTTTTATAATGATCCATTTTTGGTGAATTACCAGGAAGAATTTGATGTACATCCGGTAATCGTTGATGCTGTTGATTTATGTTTCCATTTGTGTCACGAATCATAATTGTTTGCGGATGATGGTGATGATGATGATGATGATGTGAAGTGCTATGTGGCGGATTCAAAGAATGATGCATTAAACCTTCTGTTGGAAATTCGGAAAACATTTGATCCTCAAAATTTGTGTCCATTGCTATAGCTGTTGTTGTTGTGAACTGCACAGAGCTTTTTTGTGATATAGAGATTTGAATTTTAAATTGAATTGCTATTCTTGCTCTATTATGCAAGTAGGAACACAAATCACTATATATGTGGAAAATTTATGTCCTCGTGCAAGTTCGTTTGTGAAGCTATTAGTTATGCAAAGGTAGATTGAGGGCGCAAATTAATTCAATTTTTTTCAAGTGCTCTAAAAAATTTTTGTAGCTTTTTTTTTTAATCAAATAGAATTTTTCACCATCAATTTATGTCCTTTTTGTGAATATTTTTTCTCTCTCACTAACACAATTTTTTTATCATGCTCAATCCTTTTTCATCATTTCATTTTTGTCAATTGAATATTTTTCACTTTTTCAATGCCGTATTCACTGGAGAGCAGTTTAAACATACGAATGGGTGAGCATATGAGCAAAAAAAAAAAATTCATCAATTAAAATCACAAATGTTGTGAAGGTTCAATAAATGAATGCACACACGTTTGCGCCGGTCGATGGCGGTGATTAAATCTATGTCACTATTATTATATTCGAGGGAATTTCATTGTCTGATGATTTGATGTGATATATATTTTTTTTTTAATCCTGAATAACCTTTTATGTTTTTTTTGAGAATTAAGGCTGCTCTTTTTTTTTGGTGACACAAAAGGTTCTACATGCAAATTTTCAATTGCACTTGTTTTTTATTATTATATTGAGCTATTCAACTAATTGTTCATTGAAATGCAAACTCAATGCTCATCACACCTCTGTCGATATTCACTTTCCAATTCACGATACAAAAAAAAATATATATAATAAAATCTCTTAAATTCTTTTTTTTAATTAAATCAACCGAATATGTTACACTTTTTTAATTAAAACCATGTGAGTCGTATCCCCATCTCAGCGTACAACTTCAATTCACATATTGATTAATTAAATAATCACTGCAATATTCATTTTTATTAAACTATCAATTGTTCGACAAATCAAATTCTAACAGCAAAATTAACAATGAGCAGAGACGTGCTTTTCGGAGTGACCAAAAACAAGAAAAAAAAGTTAATGAAACAAAAATTTAAATGTGCCAAACAGGAAATCTGAATGCCTCAAAATGATTCGACTGAATGAGATGAAATTGGAAAATTGATTGTCTTTTTATACCCAATTTACTTTAATTAAGAAAAATTGTTGCATTTCGACCAATCGTAATGCTCCGATCATGTTCTGTCTTTGTTGTTTCACACAACTCTATGTGACTCCATGCTGAGATCACTCACTGATGCCTTCTCTTTCTTACACACTATTCTAAAATGGGGGAGATCGTGTGATGTAGTTCTTTTACTTTTGTGTGCATGCAATACATAAAGACTTACTTATGAGGGCCTTTTGCTATCTCTCGCGTAGTTATGATCCGCATGCATGACATAAAAGTAATGTGAAGCGTGTGAGAAAAACATATTGAAGTATGAGGGAGGAGTTGAAGTGTGTAAGAAAGTTATTTTTTTTTTGAAAAAATAAAAAAAAATATATAGTCTCGACTATGATGGGTGATTGTTGAATGTTTGGTCGATTCCAGAAGTTGGATGGGATTGGAAATGTTGGAGGTTTGTTGAAAAGATTCATGAATGGAAGATTTTGCAGAAATCATTAAGTTCAGTGATTAAAAATGAGTAGCTTTTGTGAATTATGTCTGCCAAGCAATGAATTTAGATACTTAGTATACCTTAGGCTTCATCTCTGTAGAACTGTGATTTTTAAACATTATTAAAGCTATTCATAACCTTCTAGCCCCTGCCAAAACGTAAATGTGGTCAATAAGATTTATATATGCATTAATAAACTAATTTGAATTCCAAAAACTTCCCTCAACCGACATGCAAATTCACATTCCCATAACAATGCAACAATTTCCCTAAATCGCATCCATAAAAATCATATTCAAAAATCCAAATCCGGAACGACTCGTCAACATCATAAATTTCCAAGAACCTCGCAACTCACCGAATTGCCCGCATCAAAATCTTCTGGTCTATACCAGTAAGTCTCGAAAATATCACTTTTCGCATGGATGAATGAAGAAGTTAACAAAAAGGGCATGTTGCCGCATGCGGTAGATTTAGTTCCTTTCAAAAAGGGATAATTTAAAGGGCATTTAACAATCATACAGTCAGAAGTAGAAAAAAAAGTCTACATACGGGTCACGTGAATATGACTTTTCGTTGTCGGAATGAACTAAAAAATTTTTGGCCATAGATTGATAACGCAATAAGGATACTCGCATTTATAAATATAAATTTTTTTTGGTCACACACAGTAGATGAAATACGGGCATTGCATGAAATTATAATGATGCATATAAAAGAAGTGAAATAGAATTTAGATTCATTTGATGACTCACATATGAATATGTGAATGCATATATGAATAGATTGAGATTTTATTATCACGAGGAAGCCAAAGCATTCAGCTTCTGTAGGGTCGTTTGGATATGATGTTAAGAGTTGTTCTATGGATTTGTCTTGGCTGAAGTTGAAAATAGGTCTTGGACATTGGGGGTGGCAGGGGATTCATAGCGATCCTTTGTAAACACCGATAGTAGACGTCATTAGTCCACAATCCCTGTTAAAAATCACACATTTGAATTTTTCGTATTAAATGAATTTTCAGCATCGAAAATGAGATTTTTAAATTGAATTGGCAAAAAGGTATAGAGACGCTCAATAGAATGTAATTATCCAAGCTAATTACTTTAGTGTGCATCTCAATTTACTCTCGAATTGAGTGCAAAAGTTGAATCAAAAATACCAAAATGAGATTTTTCATTTGGCACATTATAAGCAGTGAATAAATGCATGCGATTTATATTATCTATTTAACAAATTGCGATTGAATTTTTAAAATGAAATTTTATTGAAATATTCTCAGTAGATTTGAATCAACTTTGTGTATGTTTTAAAGGAATATTGTTTGGAATGTTTGCATATTGATAAGTTTGATGAACAGTTGTAGAGGAACCATGTTTGTATTGATTTTGAGCTATGTTATTGCGAGTTAATTAAAGTGATTAGATTTCTGTTTGTTTATTAAGCGTTATGACTATAGCTTCTGTACTGTATTGCACAATATGTAGTTCGAATTAGATCCCAACAATATTATAAGCTAGTTCATATTTATGTGCATTTATGTGTTTGAAACAACTGCTTAATTTTAACAATTACAAAGTTTTCAGCAATTCAAATTAACACCAAACCTTTTCTGTCTCAATTCACTTAATATCCAATTTACATTTATTACAAAAATAATCGATAAAATTTGGGCAAATTATAATTTATTAATCTCGGAAGTAATATTTTTAATTGGCACCTTAAAAAAGCCTTACTTCCTGTGAAATTTACATAATTAATTTGAGAATATTTTAATAAATGAAAGAGGAACCTTTTTTGTTGTCTTTTCCACTTCCTCATTATGAGCCGAGAAAGAGGAAATTTAAAGCCATTGAGTGATGATTTACGGAAGTAAAGGGGTTGGAGAATTACTAATTTAACAAAAAAATCAATAATTTTTCATATCTACGTCAATTTGGTCGTCATTAAATGGGTTTGATTGGATATTCCGTGACGTTATGTATTATTGAGGGGGAATGTAGACGATTGGAGCGATTTTTGTAAATATCTTGAATATTTTCACATTTTTAAGAACTTAGCAAAATGGACTTGATTGGTGCCTAATCGAGTTATTCATTTTTGACATAACTTAATATCCAATCAGCCCCAAAATTATCAAAGTCACTACAACAATGTTACTCATTATAAATAGAACTAACAAGTCAAGTGCTTATTACGAAATGAAAAATGGAAGTAACCCTTTCATATTTCCTGCTAATTAATTAAATTAATTTTGCTGCGAATTCTTTTTCTTCAATTTTTCAGTAAAAGATATTTTCCATTCAGCATGAAAAGTAACTTCTGAGAGTATTTTATTTTAAATAAAGTCCAGGCAATAAGTTTGTGTAATCCTTTTACGAAAAACGTTGTCAGATCCGATTAAAAATCTCAAACAATTGACATGCAAATCCCGTAAAAAAAAGATATTTTGTCATTTGTTTGCATCGATGATGGACGTTGGAAAAAATAAAGCTAATATTATTTCATGAAATGTCTATCAACTTTGCACCTCATAAAGATTTTCATGTCAAGCTTTTCTGCATAGATTTTTTTCGTTACTGCAGAATTCATTCAGAATGAATGACAAGGAAAAGAAAAAAAAAGTGTTTCAAAATATCATTGGACTAGTTTTTCAGTTCTGTTGTTGAACGAGTGCAGTGAAAGCAATAAAAAGCTGTGTACAAATACTTCAGGCTTCGAGTACTTCATTGTCCTGTAAGCTCTTTATACTTTAGAGATTTTTTTCAAACACAAAAAAGGGAAAATGTTTTGAGTTTCATTTGGGATGAAAACATTGCATTGTCTAAAACTGTCGATTGAGTTCTCAGGTTGTCTTAGTGCTTTTTTTTGGAATGGTTGAAACATGATGACTAATTTTAGATAGTTGGAAGTGACAATGTAGCGTAAAGTTTAACATATTAAATTCATATCTGTCGATCTCTTACTTATGAATTTTGTATAAACCTTGTGGCATCTAAGCAGAGTGCACAAGAATGTTCGAGCGGTGAACTACGGGAACTCTTGTTATGGAGACCGATAATTATAACATTACAATACATACAACACAACAAATAGCTTGAACATCCTTTTTTGATCCATATTTCAAATTGAAACAAAAATGCTTTACAAGTCCATCTTTATAATTGACAATACACTCAACTTGCAGCAATCTCTAAAAAGTATCAAACATAAAAATGCTATTCGTTCATAACACCATAGCAATGTGCACATTCACAGACGCAGGACATTTAACAACTAAAGAAAATTAAAAATAAAAATCTTCTTCTCTCATTTTTTTTTGTTTCCGATAAAATCTCATCGATTCTGTCTGCATTTTATAATAAAATACATAAAAAAGATATAAAATGAAAAATATTTTTATGTATATAGACACAGAAAAGCAATTTAGGATTGAAGTTGAATGAGAAGGTCTCGTGAAAAGGAATTTTTTTCAAGCGGTGCTGCAAAGAAAACTTAATTAAAAACTTATTAACAAGAGAAAATGGAATTTAGAATTTTCGGAATGAATTTTGTAAGTTTTATTCTGAAGAATTTATTTACTTTGTGATGAAAAATCTTTGATGAATATGCAAATTCATAATTAATTTGCTGGAACAAAATATTTGAAGTTTGTGAACTGGAAAAATATTTTTGGAAAATTTTTGAATCAAAGTTTTCATCCAAAAACATCAAACTCAATATATTGCCCTTAATTATGAATTCAACTATGTGTTTGAAACAAAATAGCTATTAGACTGAGGGTACGGAACTGATGAATCATTATGTAACTTATGTAAAGCATTTAACTATATCCATTTAATTCCTGATATCTCTGTGGGATAAGAATGCAACTAGTAAATGTAGGAAGTGGTTTCAAATCCCATTCGGAATTCGATTTTTAGAGTTATTCATTTTTTTATTAATTTGTCAGTTAAACTTTAGTTCCTACTACCTTCCAGTTATATTAATATTCTATCTGATCATGTGTATTCATCTCGGCCAAGTGCCAATCAATAGAATTATTACCAAGAGAAGACAAGAATGTCTTTAAAGAAGTCAGAGACGAAACTTTGATGAAATCATCTTCTGATGGATTTAAACTTGCTTACTCAACTGCGAAGAAATCTAAAGAATAATTAAAACAAATTTTTGTTCCTTTTTAATCAAATATCCTTAAACTTAATCAAGTTTTATGCACCAAAATCCCATGGCAACAGATCAAAAATTCAAAGAAGGAAAATTTAATTTTAAAGTTGGACATTAAATGAAATTTTAAATTGAGTTGCAGGTTCATATATAGCTTCAAGCCACAAATGGATCAAAAATGTTAAGAATGGCATTTAATAACTTTGAAGTTTTAATAATGAATTTGTTGAATCAGGATGTGCCTGTGGACATAATGTTGCCATTACTAGGTCAGAAAAATGTTCTACTGAAGCGAACGTCC